TTCAGAAAGCTTTCTAAAAAATGAGTTTAAAGTGAGTGTGTCGCACAAAAACTGTAGTACTTCTTGAGAGTGCACTTTCAGTAAATTGCCAAAAATTTAAGTTGTGCTGTGCATTTATTTGGGGATTAATAGCAAACAGCAGACTTTTAGCGGGATATGCAAATTCAGAATTGCAGCCCAATATAATGTCTCACCTCACAACTACTATAAGAATTTAAGAATGGTAGAACGAGATTCATTTTTGTTTTGCAAAAGACAAGAAAACTCTGAGTCAGTCGTAGAAAATTGGATTTTTCTTCGTTTAGTTCGCAAAACTAAAAAGCTATTTTGCTAATGTTTGGGAGTCATTCTGTTGATTCAACAGTTTTAACTCAGAACATAAAAAAAAATGTCAACTCTTGAAAGTTGATGATCTGGCAGTGCATAAATTCTGAGTAAGAGTAAATTATGGCCAAATGGTCAATGTACTTATTGCTTGCTCTAATCGTATCCGATTCACCAGTTCATAATACTTACATTTGTTAAATTTGTCCATTTTCAAAAAATTTATGAGAGGTACTGTAGTGTAGTAAGAATAAAAGTTATCAGCCGCTGTGTTATGGTCGTAGAAATCCAAACTAGATGCATTTGTTTCCATTTGAGCCTTCAACTTGCGTTATGTTTCCTTACGCAGACACTTAGGATAACGTTTACTGGAAATCTTTTAAAAATCCACAATTGATCACCTGCTTCTGATGCAAAATTTTTGTTACCTGTTGACAAGCTGAAATTTTTGATGTTCAGGCCACTGTACACTTAGTTTTGAATCTCATTGCTTAGCTGTTTTGGAATCTGCTCTGGAAGTTTTTTACCTAAAATTGATGTTTTCAGTTTCAGCAATGCGCTCAGGTAGCAACTTAAATTTAAGGAATCAAGATCGATGACGTTTTGCTGAAGTTTTGTCTTGCGATTGATGAAATGTGATCAATGTGTATTTTAGAGAAATCTTCGATAAAGTAGCGTCCGAAAGGAATACGCAGGTTTTGTTTTGCTGGTGCACTGAGCGCGTCCCATGGTTACGTATCTTTTATAAGACACAGCATTTCTTTCAGATGCAATGACAAGTGAGAAAAATTTCTGAAACACGAGTAGAGAACTAATTGCATTGATTATCATACACATCGGCATAACTCAAATGGACGGTCTATTAAAACAAAATGCAGATCCATACTCCAGCTATAAAATCATGTTGCCAAGGTAGCATATGCCGTTTCGGAACACCTTCGTTCTTTTGTGTATTGTATTTTTCCGTTTATCGAATTCTGGATTCCAGATCGGCGTCAGCAGATTATTAGGTAGGCACTTACACTTTAACTGAAATAAATGTTGATTTGATACTGATTTTTTATCGGCAACTACGACAAGAATGAAGTTTATCAAAACAGTTCTGAAAAAAAACCGAATGATCGAATGGCAGGAACAAATTATCGCTTGGTTTATCCAAACATACTTTGCAACGTCGTTCCACTTTTACTTTAATTTTCTAAGGAGATGCGTTTCTGTGCTTTGTTGTAGATATTCTGTAATGAATCTTGGAGGTGGCAAGTTCTAACTTGTTATAAAATAAATATTTTTCAAATTATTTTCCACTTTCGAAAAGGTGTAGCATTTCGTGCAACATTGCTGGACTCTCTTCTGTCAATTTTCATGACATCCAGCATTTCTTCAGTTGCCCGAAATTTTTAAGGCACAGGCTGCTGACACTCTTTTAGCCTTTGGTGATGGCGATGGCATACTTTCTTTCGAGTAGTGCTTTGCAAACAATGATTTCGTCTGCTGTTGAATCGTTATAATCTTGACTGCTTGTGCTAATTTTCTGATTGACTGCTGCAAATTCCATGACAGAATCTTTAATTTTTATAAAACAGCTGCAGTTATCTGACCTGATAAAGAATTATGATATCTGGGTAACAGATCGTGTACAAAACTTAGTGTTTACTACCATTTAAAGCATTAAAACAGCAACTTTTATAAGTAAAACATTTCTGCATGTAGCAATCTTACTGGTGTTCTGTTTATGCAATTTTTGTCAGGACGTTGTGTTCAGTCTTTGCTATTTGTACAGTTTTGAAAATAGTGGCGAAGCCAAAATATAGGATTGTCACCGATAGCCCTTTGAGCCAGTACACCGTGACAAAATGCGTAGCGGACACGATCTCGCACCCCAGCATTGAAAAATTTGGATGCTGGCAAAGTAGGTGAGGCTAGAAATACCAGTCGTTAACGCTCAAAACTTTCGGGACGGTTTTATGAAATGCGCAAGTCAATTTCATCGTCGTCTGAGGTCTATAAATCAGTATTGTTAAAAGTGACAATATCGTCATCCATTGCAGATTTCAATGCGGTTATGCCAGAAACAGGGTTGTACTTTGTTGTAAAACAGAATACTTGTAACCGATTTCCGCGAATATAAAGTTATACGTACGTATGTACACGTTACGGAAATCCCGGGGTATTTAAGCAAATGGGTAGATGAACGTGTACAAAATTGTGCGCATCGCTCATCTATGAGTGATTAATCGTGCCGACAGATTAGTCTGATAAAGAAGCAATATACTGTATGTGTATTTGATAACACTGGTACATAAAAATACTGAAAATAGAAGTTTTTCAACCGGATGTACACGTCAATAAGATCAGCTTGTCCAGTATTATTTGCCTGTATCATGTATGAATGGTCAATTATTGTCCAGTGTTAAAAGCATCCTGCTCAGTGGAAATAAGCATTTACGCAATTTACATGATATGTGTCCTCGTATGTGTACTTTGGTATCTTATATGTGCAAGTGCATATGAAAGCCGCACTGATGCTTCAGCGTTTTTGTACATTGCTGACCAATGGTATTTTATACCTAAGCTATAATACATGCAAAATACGAGTACGTCAGTATAGTAAGAGTATATTGTATGCTATCGGACCGGCGCTGCGTTTATTGCTTATGACTCAGTTCGCACTGCTAAGTACATAGTGGCCGCACTAGTGGTGCATCAGCCAACTATGTCTAGTTGTAAACGTTGCATAATGCTGACACTTGGTGTTACTGACACAGACCCTGGCTGCATGTGTGCTTCCGCCTGCGTTATAGAACGATGCTGCAGCACGTTATTATTGCCGGCTGTTTACTAACTACCAGAAGAAAAATACATCTTAGATAAAAATATATCTTAGAAATATACCGTAGATTTTATTATTATAATAAGCGTGTTCTAAAGAGGTTGATACATGACTTACTCGTAAACTTGTGCTGGTGTTGAAACCGGCTTGGATACGATTAGTAAAGGCAGCCGATGTCGGAAAACCATAAATTAAACGGATTATAAAAGTCGCACAGTATGTCACAAGTTATATTAATCGCGCACTTATACAGAATCACACACGTATTCCTGGTCAATTGATCACACGGGTAGTGAGTTTGAGCGGAATCTCCCGGTTGAAAAGATTTCACCACTGACTGCAATGTGTAATAAATGACTAAGTACGTACCTGATAGCCACAATGTGTTGTAATGCTTTGACCAGTGGTATTGCATGCGCGAACTATGTGTAAAAGACGGTGCATGCGTGTTTATTACTGTCTGTGATCAGCCAGTGTTGTGGTTTGATGTGATTAATCAAAACAGTCAATGTCCAAAAAAGTGCAGATTCACACTGTGTGTTACAAATTATATTATCAAAAGATTGTTTAGAAGCAGACAAATGAATGTGTATGATACTGCGTGTGTTTAATTACATACAAGTGGCCAGTTGACCACTATGATGTCGTTTGCCGGCAGCGGAATCTTCCAGTGTGATGATGCCACACGCTTGTATTGCATCAGCCGACTATGTTGTGTACCGACAGTGTCGGTGTGTGTGTGTGTGTGTGTGTGTGTTTACGTGGCTGACCGAAACATATCTTAGATAAAAATATATCTTAGAAATATACTGTAGATTTCATTATTATAATAAGTGTGTTCTAAAGAGGTTAATACATCACTTTCGGTGGCAATAAAACCCGCCGCGCTATACAGCTCAGGCAGCCAGCCGTTAGCTTGTTTAAATTTTAAACATGTGCAATTATTACACGCACAAGCAGCGTGTGTGTAAGTGTGTGTGTGTGTGTGCTAGCGCGGCAGGCGATTGACCAGTTTATTGTTTACACTGGTCACTTGTCAGTGTTTAGACTGGCCAGTGCCTGTGTGGTGTTGCTGGCTATAAGTGACCAGCGGTGTTGCCGGCCAGTGTTGAACGGTGTCTTGTATCATTGGAGGGGGTATTGTAGGGGTATGTGATATAACCGGCGGTACCAGCGGTGTTGCCGGCTAATGCCAGTGTTGCCGGCCAGCGTGGTTGTGTACAGAGGCAGTGTGGTGACTCAGCCGGTCAGCCGTTGTTTTGTGCAAACAGGTTGTTTCCACATGAGCCGGTGTGTGTATGTGTGTGTGTATGAGTCACTCAGTATGACAGATGGTGTGTACTGATAAGATTACGATATAATAATTATTAAATATTAATAATTTAACTTTCGCAGCGGGGGCTTGCCGTCATAAAATCGCACTGCAGGTCTTAGGTTTTTCTTCTAACAGGAGCACGTACTGTAGGCATAGGCTGATACGCACAAAACAAAGGCCGCGTTTATGTATTCAGCATCACGAATCTTTAGCACGAATAATAACATTGTAAGGCAAACTCCAACGCGGGAGGAACAAAGCAAAAGCGCCTTCAGACTATCTAACAATTAAAACTTCAAATACATACAGTAAATGTTAAACCATCACGCGAAGAATAAAGCACAAGGGCCAGTATCCATAAAGCAAGAATACATACAGCAGTTGGATACTTTATACAATTTTCCGTTAGTGCAAAACTGACGATGGAATCATCGGAAGCGCAGCGACGTACAATACGTTGCAGGAAGTGAAATTTACAAGAATAAAACCAGCATTACTACGAGGAGTCGTGCCAAGGATATATACGGGGCGATTTATGGTTAGTTAGCGGTTAATTGCTCTGGGATGCTTTCACAAAATTCAGCACATGGTAGCAAGTATCTTGTGGATTGAGGGAATGAGGAGTGTACAATAACCAATGCTGTTTCCAATTGTTTATTCGTTTTCCTCCCAATTTCATGTATGTGTTCCGTGAAGCATCATTGTCAGCAGCCACCTGCACGTAGATGATCTTGCGGCCCCTTGCAAACATGGTTTTGGCCAGTGAATAATTCACAATCCGAAAAAATCCTTTATTCCGATAGTCAGGATCGGTGTAACCCAATGCAAAATTTCCTTCCGCTTCATACAGAATGTACGACACCGCGCGGCCCGATGCAGTTTCCACAACAGCGGCGCTCGGGTAATTCTTCCGGTTGGGATCCAGAATATCTAGCAGATACTCTCTTGTCGCTGTACCTCCTCCGTAATACCATTCGCTGTTTATCTGGTCTGCATATTTTTGCGTCAATGTTGTTAAAACAAATCCAGAAGGAAGATCCCTAAAGTACATGAAGAGTGAACATTTGACGAGTATTTTCACACAGTTAATGAGTACGGACGGTGAAATATTCGCCGGCCGGCAAGTGTTGAGCGAAGATACTTATACTATATAATTATATTCATATGCTCATTATTATTAAATATTAATAATGACAACCATTGTTTCATTGGGCTCTACTGGAAGCTGAAATCTTCTCGTCATTATTAGAGTAGTACGTCGAGTAGTGGTTTTACTCACGTCGAGCAAACAGGTAGGTTTTCACTTTTCAGCTCGTAGACATCCGTGCACCACGATTCGTCGCTACCAGTGGTGCTCCCGAGATTCTGGCAGACCGCATTAACCGTCTCCAATGGAGAAGGACAAGATAAGCCTGGAAAAATAAAAAACATCCCTAGCAAATAATTAATTATAAGTAGAATGCAAGAATATCTCGGGAGGCACCGCCACCAGTAACTGTTGTAGGCACCGCGACCGGCAAATTTCCTTTCGTACATATGTAAAAAAAGGAAAGAACTGGTGGGGGATGCGGATTTTTCATTTTGTAAGTTTCCATATTCCCCCCACCAGTACGATTCAGTACAGCTAATTTCAGTTATACGAATATCCGAAAAATGCCAGATATTAATAATGTACTTCTATAAAATAATAACGCATACAGCAGATACGGTAAAAAATGCTCAGCGTACCGGAAGCTTCTTTTTTACGCATGTGCATACAGCATACTTCTACAGATGCGCATGGTTGTCCATGATTATTAATTAATGCTTTGATACTTAATCTGATTGAGTTATTAGTTCAATTTTTCTCCATTGTAATTAGTGCTAACCGTGAAACATTATCTCTTGGTCCCACTCAATTGTTTTATGGTGTTGCAGCATTTCACGGAGAATGTTGTCATCGGATGACCAAATCGTAATAGTATAAGGACAAACTTGTCTGCATGCGTATCCCTAAAATAGAAAGGCTGCAGGACGAAGTGCTTAAAACTGATCACAGTAGGGAATTAATTTCAAAATTTTTATGTAAAGATGTAATTTGGTTTACTATGGGTGTAATTTGTACACCATGACAATCATACGCACCCGTCTGCCGCATCGGAGAACTTCCTGTAGCGGTCTGCACAACACAACGCGAGGTTGAGGCCACCGGTCTGCAACGAATTCAATACCGTTCCACGGCAAATCTTTGTTGAATTTTCCCCAGACGAGATTATATAACTAAAAAATAAAGCCTAATAGCAATCCTGCAGTTTTTCATTCCTTACTTAATTAAAACACCTGTATTTGCATTGTATTCGTCCAATAAAAAAACAGTGCGATCTAGAACTATTACCGAAAAGCTTTTGTTAAGCAGATCGTATAGGCTGCTACCATTACAATACCGATTACTCAAAATCAGTTATATCGACTATCGAGTACCCACTGGAAGCGTGTCCGGAAAGAAAATTTCCAAATGACGTAGTAAATCGGCGTACCACTCCGGCACAATTGTTATCGTCATTGCGAGGAATTTACAAATCCGAGGTCACAAATTTTGGTGGTCAGTTGCTGTTGGAATGATCGTGTTGCCGGTAAGTTAACTTCGTCGGAATTTTTGCTTTGGTGAGGTCTCAGCCGGTCTCGTCTTCTCATCAAGAGTAGTTATTTTTTGCAGTTATACAAGACGGATTTAAGGTCCGAGCCAGCGTTAACCATATAGTGCATGCATTTTGCACTATAGAGTAAATTTTTAGGAAGCAGAATAGGCCGAGAAACGGTTGTACACTAGCTACTGTAGAAAGACGACCAAGAGTTTTATTTTTCAAAAAAAGTTTTAATTAGGAATCTATGTGGCAGGCCAAAATTTTAGCTACAGGCGCAATCAACGCGGTTAGACACAATGCAAAATCTCGTAGTTCCAAATACAAACACATTACAGTACATAGTATGCAGACGCTACAGCAGAAACTTTTGCGTTCTGATTATAGGTAATCTCGTGGTCACTGAAGGAAGAGATCACACTGATAAAATTAACTACAGATTTCTATCAAGATTGTGTGGGCAGCCTTTACCATCATGGAACAAACATTAAAAATTTATGTACAGGTCTTATTGTTAATTGTGAATAGAAGACAAGTTAATTAGAAAATTATAACAGAAAAAAGGCAGTGCTATGCATAATAATATCAACACAGTTTTTACGTATCTGTATATATTTTACAGAAATTCACATAATTAAATATGCCATATTATCTTATAGAATTATTTTATAACACATAACTCATTTTTTTTAATTAAAAACACGCGGCGTTCGGTATGCCCTTTGATTTCCGGTCAAACAACAAAGGACAATAAAATTCTAAACTATAACGATAAAGGTGGAGTTTGCTTTGGATGTTAATGTTGCTTGCCGCGCATTTCTCTAGCTGATTTTATTTGAAGTCCACACTTCTGATTAATCCTGTGCGATGGTGGAGTGCTCTATACAATTAGGTATGGTCGACCTGTGCTATAAAACATCCAACCCCAGAAAAATACAACAAACATCGTGTTGCTGTTAGCAGCTGTTAACATTCGACTTCCGCCGGCTTCATTGCCAACAAATTAAATGCCTTATACTCGTACTAGTAAACCATTAATAACTACACATATCCTTGAAGCAGCTGCGATACCTTAATATAAGGATGAAATTATTTTTTTATATAAGTTTTAAGTTCAATCAAAATTTGGAAAAAGACATTATGTACACAATTACATATAATAATGCAACTAAAATCTGGCTTCGCGACAGCGAAAAGTTTTCCAGTTACAAAGCAAATCATTGCAGTGACGATGATAGCAACTATGGGGTGTGGCTTAATAACATTTGGGTATATGGTAGCTGTTTTAAATTTCAGCCAATCGTACCAATGAACACGTCGAAACTCTTGTGGTTCCACCGCGTACGCACGAATTTCCTTGACTTTAACTTGTCTTTAAGACCAGCGTTTACGTAGCAGCTTATCATTGTGCAAAATTATCCAAGTTTCGCGGCATTTAAATATATTTATGTTCGTATTCTCCTTTTAAAAATCAATTACGATTGCAAAGAGGCTTTAATATATCGAGATCTGTTGCATTGTTCGATTTGGAACAAGTGCTTTGGCCCTTGGGTAAAACGTGATTATTGTTTGAGTTAGTAGAAATTTGCATTTATAACATCGTGGTGGAGACTTCCGCTGCTACTCCGTTCTGCTTTATAATTGAGATTTTGCTCCCATAGGGTCTTGAACTCGTGGATTTGCTTTCCGTCCGGAAAAAATGGCGGTAAGTGTATATGAGTTTTCTAATACCCACTGGATTCTTCAGGAAAGCTTTCGTCTGATTTCCTGCATGTGCGGAAGAGTTGAACGTGTTTTTCGCTTTGTGAAACGCATATATTATTAATAGGTGAAACCAGCCAGTTCTACCACTGTTGGAGCCTCTCCGCGTGGAGGCACTCGTCCCGCAGGTGGCAAAGCAGGAGCCGGAGATGCAGGCAGAGCTAGGTAAATGGTTACACAGGCTTGTCCGCTTGAGGTTTAGAACAATTTCATAGTGTGATCTTATGTGTACTTGCTGATAGCGCTATGGTAAACCGTTATCCACGATAGGTACGTAATAGTTGATGTGGTTGTAGGAAGACGGGCGGCTCCGGAACAGCTGGAACACGTACAACGCGAACTGCAAATGCTGGTTCCAGTGGCATGTGGCGATTTTACTCTGATGATTCTCCCGGAGTGCGAGTGTAAGTTGGTTTTTCGCAATACGTCGCTGATATTGCCACCGAATGTAACAATTAGTACAACGTATACTTGATAAACTATCGTTCAGAATTTTTTAAATCTGCACGTCGTTTCTGTCACTTTCTGTGGTATCACCATAGGGCATAGAGGTGTTACTCACTGCTCTCTTTTTTTGCAGTGGACCCGTTCCAGTCTTAGTCATGAGCCTACTCTTCATCGCATCAGTTTTTGTTTTGCATATTTGGGGCAAATATTCCCGTGGATGAAAGGTTTTCTGTTGTGCAGGTTTTAACATTCGATTTTGTACACTCGAGTTAACCTATGCGTTTCATAGTTTTAACAGCGGGTTTTAACTGATTTGAATGATATTTTATTTGAGCTGATCCATAATTAGTACCACCATTTTTGTGGTCTCTCATGTTTTTCGGTGTTATAGTTGTACAATAATATATGCGGACAAAATATTGCCGGCGTCTACAGCTTGATAAATCAGATACTCGTATTTAAGCCGGATGGCATTTTCGTGAGTTGATTATCAATGGCCAGAAAAAAATACAAAATTTTGAAGGAATATTAATTTCAGCAATGGAAAATGCTAATAGAGGTGTGTTAACCGCAGTTTTGACAATATTACGCAAGTCAGAATGTATTTAACCGCCGCTAAAATTCATAATTTTAAAATACAGCAGAACGCCATACTGGAAAACGTACGTAACTAACGAGCTCTACGTCAAACTGCGCAATATTTCTGAAACTAACAAAAACAGTAATATGAAAAAAATCATGCAGAAAGAGCCACACTAAAGAGAACAAGCGGTAGAAGCATTAAATCGTGTTAAAGCGACAATTAGAGGAAAGCTTACCAGCTGTCATCTGATTACCCGCAAGTCCTCTGACACGTATCACAATCCGCAGAATTTCATAGCCGAAACATAATAAAAAATTATAAGAAACAGTTTGTCCACCCTGGCTCAAGATCCTTCCTGCCCGTATTCGCTGGTGAATTCTTCAAGTTTCAGCAAATCATGGCTGGTCACGGCGGGTTTGGTTTGGGAAATGGAGCGCACCATGTCGTTCATTGTGATATGCGGCTCCAACAACTGATCTCCGGGAACATCCAGGAACGTCATTTCAACGGCGCCTCTTTCTCCCGGACTGCATGGTGCATACAAATCGACAATTTTATTCGGATCACCGGGCGAGGGTCCTTTAACTTTCTTAAAATGAGTAGCGGTTTGTACTTTACGCACGGGCTGCATAAGGGCATCCCGACACACAATGCTGATATCCGCTCCAGAATACCTATCGGTCATAGCGCCCAGCTGACGGAAGTCGCCTTCTGACAAGTCGCACTTGGTGTTACCCATGTTCAACTTGAAAATATCGGTACGGGCTCCCTCATCCGGCAGCGGAATGTAAATTCTCTTCTCGAAACGACGCCGAATAGCGGCATCCAATACCCATGGAATATTCGTGGCGCCCAAAACAAGGATACCTTCCGAATTGTTACCCACGCCCTGCATCTGCACGAGAAATTCGGTCTTGATACGGCGTGCTGATTCCGACTCATTGTCACTTCTCGAGCTGCAGAGTGAGTCAATCTCGTCAATAAAGATGATGGAAGGCTTCTTGGCCCTGGCCAGCTCGAACAAGCCCTTGACCAGCTTCTCTGACTCACCCAGCCATTTGCTGACCAGGTCAGCACTGGATACGGAAATGAAGGTGGATTTGTTGGCCTCGGAGGCGACAGCTTTGGCTAGGTAGGATTTACCCGTTCCCGGGGGCCAAAGAGGAGAATACCTTTCCACGGGGTGCGTTTCCCAGTGAATAAATGGGGAAATTTAATGGGCAAAATGACGGCTTCCTTGAGGGATTCTTTGGCCAGTTCCAGGCCGGCCACATCGTCCCATTTAATATCCGGCTTCTCCACGAGCACTTTACCTTCCAGGCCTTTTGTCAGTTTCTTATATTCCGAATCCTCATCGTCATCCTCTTTGTCCTTATCATCCTTATTTGAGCCCGGATCTCCAGCGGGGACAGCCTTCTTTTTGTTGTCCTTTTTCAGATATTCCTTCAGCTTTTCAGCCCTCTCCAAGTATTCGGTACACTTTGCTCGAATTGATTCTTTGGCCTTGTCGCCATTTGTCTCGTACTTAATGGCGTGCAGAAAATACTCTACACCGTGCTGATACAGACGCAATGCTTCCGAGTAATTCTTTTTCTTGTCTTCTTCCGTTGCGCGAGTAACCAGATCGATGGCCTTCTGTATCGCTCCTCCTGCCGCCATTCTTTTTTTCTAATTCCTGCCATAACAAGTATACAGGTGCGCTGACGATTAACCGAAAAAATTCAGCCACTAAATAACATACCTTTTAGTTGTTTTTTTAATAAGCACAGTCCAAACTGTTATGGATATCACAAACCTAAAAGCAAAATCTGGAATAAAATGCTGTCACCTGACAATAACAGCATTACTCGTACAGATAGTATACAGGTGCGCTGAGTGAAGGCTCTTCTTCATGTCTACAAACTCGTCAAATGACGCACAAAGATTGTCCACGAACTATGGCAGTGTGACTTGAGAATAAAGAGGCAGTACAGTACCTTTCAATTCATGCAATTGTGAGATCAGTTCCGCAGCACAAAATGTCGACAGTCTCAGAATAAACGTGAGGTAGACAGACTTCACCACAAGTGGAGATCTACTGAGATTCTGCAATGAAACACAGAAAGAGTAAAACTATGGACTCGATTCTAGCATTTCTGTTATTACAATAAAGTTACTGCCAACTTACTAAGCCTGAAACTATAGACCAAAACACTAAAGTGACAATTATTGTCATCGGGGATGAAAGACGCAATAGATAACGAACTAGACACTGAGGAGTGGAACGCTTGGTTTGCCGATTTGGACACAGCTGTGCAATCGTAGACCAAAAATACGCTTTTCTACCAGTTTTGCAACTTGTGTTTTTCGCAAATCTTCCAATTTTACACTTTTTGTACACCAGACTTGGTAGTTTTCTGATTCCAAATCTGGTAGTTTTTTGTTTTCTGTTTTCCGTAGACTTAACATATTATTCATGTAAAAAACTGTCCGTTTTGTGTTAACGTTTTTTGGGAGTTTTGCACCGAGATAACTTTGATCACGAAAAGTGTCGAATTTTCACTGTTGAAGAAACGAATAAAGTACAAAAAAATTACAATTCTGCCGTGTAATCTATTTAGGTAGTAGCTACAAACATCAAAATTTACCCTCAATTCTCAAAGATGGATGAGATTTCATTTGATTTTCGATTTAAAACGCCATGCAGTATTTATATTTCCGGACCAACAATGTCTGGAAAGTCAACTCTGAGCATGCACTTTTTGCAAAATCCACAAAAGTTTTTCTATCCAGCACCATCGCGAATTGTTTATGTTTTTGTTGTGTGGCAAGAATCGTTTAAAAGATTTCATCCTTCCATTGAGTTAGTTTCAGATCTAAGCAAGATATTCGATGAGTACTTTTTTAACCCCAACATACCAACATTATTAATTTTGGATGATCTTATGGATGAAATTTCAAATAACTCAAAAGCATCAGCGCTTTTCACCCGAGACGTTCATCACAAAAAATGTCACTGTTGTTTTTCTATCACAAAATTTCTACAAGCAAGGGAAAGTATGCGGGATATCGCTTTGAATGCTCAATATTTAATCCTGTTCAAATCCGTTCGAGATGTGCAGCAGATAAAAACTTTATCGCGATAATTGTTGTGGACGCGCCGGTAAAATACGTTGAACGGTGTCTTGTATCATTGGAGGGGATATTGGAGGGGTATGTGATATAACGGACGGTACGTTTCGGTTGCCCAGTTGAGCTTCTGTGACGGGGTCGCGCATTGTGTTTTGCTGCAAATTTTAACCGATAGCATCCTCGATATTTGCCGCTTTTGTCCGTATGGTTGGACATGGTATAGTAAGACGTGCATATTCGGTTTCGGGAACTATCACAAATGTTTTCATTATTTATTAAAAGAGGTTGAAAGTGTAGCGAGAACTGGTAGTAAAACTCCGAGGAATCCTCCTCTTTGTGTGAGAATTCGTTGTTTTATCTTTTTGTTGTGTTGACGATTGGCTAGACGCTTAATAGATTTTGAATACTGCTTCACGCGGGCTAAATCAACTTTAGATACTCCAACAAGATTTTTAAGTAAGTTCAGACAAGCCTCTTCGATTCCTTGAATCTGTTTTTTAGAAGCATGAGTGAAAAATGACGTCGTTGGATAGGTTTCATTTGCTGTAGAGAACGTACAACTTCGAAAATTTCTTTAGGACTCATTCTGTATATATTCGACGGTGTGAAAAATGTGAGATTGTACACGCAATTGGTCTGGTGTTTCAGGGCGCAAGTTAAGTAACAGGTATCCAAGAGGCTCCTTAATAGCTTTTCTGTAAGCTTGCCCCAGAAATTTCAGTCCCAGCTGCCTTGATAGAACTTTTATCTGTTGAACATCTCGAACGGCTTTGAACAGGATTAAATATTGAGCATTCAAAGCGATATCCCGCATACTTTCCCTTGCTTGTAGAAATTTTGTGATAGAAAAACAACAGTGACATTTTGTGATGAACGTCTCGGGTGAAAAGCGCTGATGCTTTTGAGTTATCTGAAATTTCATCCATAAGATCATCCAAAATTAATAATGTTGGTATGTTGGGGTTAAAAAAGTACTCATCGAATATCTTGCTTAGATCTGAAACTAACTCAATGGAAGGATGAAATCTTTTAAACGATTCTTGCCACACAACAAAAACATAAACAATTCGCGATGGTGCTGGATAGAAAAACTTTTGTGGATTTTGCAAAAAGTGCATGCTCAGAGTTGACTTTCCAGACATTGTTGGTCCGGAAATATAAATACTGCATGGCGTTTTAAATCGAAAATCAAATGAAATCTCATCCATCTTTGAGAATTGAGGGTAAATTTTGATGTTTGTAGCTACTACCTAAATAGATTACACGGCAGAATTGTAATTTTTTTGTACTTTATTCGTTTCTTCAACAGTGAAAATTCGACACTTTTCGTGATCAAAGTTATCTCGGTGCAAAACTCCCAAAAACGTTAACACAAAACGGACAGTTTTTTACATGAATAATATGTTAAGTCTACGGAAAACAGAAAACAAAAAACTACCAGATTTGGAATCAGAAAACTACCAAGTCTGGTGTACAAAAGTGTAAAATTGGAAGATTTGCGAAAAACACAAGTTGCAAAACTGGTAGAAAAGCGTATTTTTGGTCTACGATTGCACAGCTGTGTCCAAATCGGCAAACCAAGCGTTCCACTCCTCAGTGTCTAGTTCGTTATCTATTGCGTCTTTCATCCCCGATGACAATAATTTTTCAGGCGATTCAGACTTTCTTTTAGAACGCGCTCCGATTTTGCTCCAAGAATAACGCACTTTCCGGTGTGGAAAACATTTATTGTAACCTTGAGATCGGCATGACGGATCCAAACAGCAGGAAAAGGTTCTGGCTCGTAAAATAGGTTGTATGCTTTGGCAAATTTGTGTAGATTGATGACTTGTCCATGCAAGTACGTTGCCATAATATTCACAATTTTCCGTTCGGCAATATGGACGTTTATTCCAAGTCGACGAAGCCTCGCCTGGTATTTTCTTACCAAATTCCAGGCTTCTTTTTCGGATCTTCCTCCGTTCACAATGGCTTTACCGTTTTTTATACAACTGATAAAAGGATCCATCATCGGAGGTCATGTTAATAGTATCGAAATTTCGCAAAAAATTCAGATCAGACTGCACGAGATCGGGTTGTATTTTGACAGTGTCTACAAAATCTTAAACTCTCGCAAAAAAAACATTGTTTTTTGATTCATTAACACCATTAATAATTCAGTATAGTATGCACAAGATTTGCATTTAATTCACGATTGTGATCAATAATCTAGAATTGTCTGTACAATATCCACTTATTTTACAGTTGGCGCACAAACTAGTCATCTGATTCAAAAGTGCCCGAAAAATTAGGAAACTGCGCTCAAGAACGGCGTTTGATTGATTCATAAGAAACCACAAAAATGTTCACAAAATCGCGCATCAGATCATTCTATGAGTCGCAAAGTGCTTTCAGAAATTCACAGAGTATTTCGCAGGATCGGCATTTACGGACGTAGTGAAGCAAAACACATTTTTCTACCAATTTTACGAGTTCTGTTTTAACGAAAATCTCCAAATTGTGCACTTTTGTAACGTAACTTTGGCAGTTTTCTGAATTCAAATTTTGGAGTTTTTCGTTTTCTGTTTACCATAGACTTAGCATAGTTTTTAAGAAAAAGTTAGTCCTCTTTCGTAAGTGTGTTTCCAGAGTTTTTTATTGAATAAGCTAAGATCACTAAACCTACCCGAATTTTACTCTGAAAAATTAATAAATTGCCAAAAATCGTGCGAAAGCCATACCACGAGTGTGCTCAGTGTCAAAGTTTTAAGTAGATCTTCAAGACGGTGCTAAAAATGCGTCGAAAAGTGAGATTCTTCAGTGCGTAAAATGCGCAAAAGTGATACTCTTGAGGCTGCAAAAAGCTAAATTTTCATACTGCACTTTAATAGATTGTCAAGACTACGTCTTTAAATGATACTTCTTTTCTGTATAATTGGCAATAAAACTATACTCTGCTCATGCTAAGGTCTGAAGTTTCAAATCGATGATTTTTCAATAATATGTCTGGAAGTGAGTCTTTCGGATATGAATCGCATAAAAACTATACCCTAAGTGTCCAAAGTGTTGAATTTTTAGTGTCGTTTTCAGTAAGTTTTAAAAAATTTGTCTGAAAGAAGATCTTTTATGTGCATAAATAGCATGAAACCTATTCTCTGAGTATCCAAAGTCACGCATTCTGAATGTATAGCTTAATCGTTAATGAATGTTAAAAATCTGTTTAAAAAAATGCTTTTTTTTTGCATGAATCGCACAACAACTATCCTTTGAGTGCGCTAAGTGTCGAATTTTGGGAGCGTATTTCAGAAAATTGTCAAAATTTAGCTCAAAAGTGTCTCTTTCGTGTACAAATTACCAAATCTTCACTTCGGGTGTGCAAAAGGGCAAACTCCTACATTTTTCCTGCGATAAAGCGTCAAGAATCTGTCTGGAAATAAAACTTATCAGCATGAACGGAGCACAAAGGCTTTACGCTGGCTGTGAAAAATGCCGAATTAGGATAAAAAATTTATAAAACGTTTCTGCGTGTCAAATATTTGTATAAAAGAAAGCTTTCTCTGCGCATAAATGAATCGCTTAAAAGCTATACTTTTACCATTCTAAGTATGAAATTTTGCACAAAAGCTATATTTTGATTGAGCAAAGTGCTGATTTTTGATAGTATACGTTCAATAAATTGTCAAGAACTTTTCTGAAATGGAAACTTTCATGCGCTTAGTTCGCAAACAAAGCAAATTCTGAACGTGAAAAGAGCGAATTTTGATAATGAATCTGATTGCATTTAAAAAAGTGTCAAAAATTTGGCTAAAAGCAGGTCTTGCCCGTGCATGTATCGCACAGAAGCTTTTCTCAAGTGTGCAAAGTGCAGCATTTTCATGGTAAATTTTACCGATTTTCAAGCAAATTTGATAATTTTTCTAGAAGCAAGTCTCCCATGTGAACGAATCGAATAGAAACTATGCTCTTAGCGCTTTAAGCGTTTAATTTTGATGAACAGTTTCAGAAAGCTTTCTAAAAAATGAGTTTAAAGTGAGTGTGTCGCACAAAACTGTAGTACTTCTTGAGAGTGCACTTTCAGTAAATTGCCAAAATTTAAGTTGTGCTGTGCATTTATTTGGGGATTAATAGCAAACAGCAGACTTTTAGCGGGATATGCAAATTCAGAATTGCAGCCCAATATAATGTCTCACCTCACAACTACTATAAGAATTTAAGAATGGTAGAACGAGATTCATTTTGTTTTGCAAAAGACAAGAAAACTCTGAGTCAGTCGTAGAAAATTGGATTTTTCTTCGTTTAGTTCGCAAAACTAAAAAGCTATTTTGCTAATGTTTGGGAGTCATTCTGTTGATTCAACAGTTTTAACTCAGAACATAAAAAAAATGTCAACTCTTGAAAGTTGATGATCTGGCAGTGCATAAATTCTGAGTAAGAGTAAATTATGGCCAAATGGTCAATGTACTTATTGCTTGCTCTAATCGTATCCGATTCACCAGTTCATAATACTTACATTTGTTAAATTTGTCCATTTTCAAAAATTTGCGAGAGGTACTGTAGTGTAGTAAGAATAAAAGTTATCAGCCGCTGTGTTATGGTCGTAGAAATCCAAACTAGATGCATTTGTTTCCATTTGAGCCTTCAACTTGCGTTATGTTTCCTTACGCAGACACTTAGGATAACGTTTACTGGAAATCTTTTAAAAATCCACAATTGATCACCTGCTTCTGATGCAAAATTTTGTTACCTGTTGACAAGCTGAAATTTTTTGATGTTCAGGCCACTGTACACTTAGTTTTGAATCTCATTGCTTAGCTGTTTTGGAATCTGCTCTGGAAGTTTTTACCTAAAATTGATGTTTTCAGTTTCAGCAATGCGCTCAGGTAGCAACTTAAATTTAAGGAATCAAGATCGATGACGTTTTGCTGAAGTTTTGTCTTGCGATTGATGAAATGTGATCAATGTGTATTTTAGAGAAATCTTCGATAAAGTAGCGTCCGAAAGGAATACGCAGGTTTTGTTTTGCTGGTGCACTGAGCGCGTCCCATGGTTACGTATCTTTTATAAGACACAGCATTTCTTTCAGATGCAATGACAAGTGAGAAAAATTTCTGAAACACGAGTAGAGAACTAATTGCATTGATTATCATACACATCGGCATAACTCAAATGGACGGTCTATTAAAACAAAATGCAGATCCATACTCCAGCTATAAAAATCATGTTGCCAAGGTAGCATATGCCGTTTCGGAACACCTTCGTTCTTTTGTGTATTGTATTTTTCCGTTTATCGAATTCTGGATTCCAGATCGGCGTCAGCAGATTATTAGGTAGGCACTTACACTTTAACTAAAATAAATGTTGATTTGATACTGATTTTTTATTGGCAACTAAGACATGAATGAGGTTTATCAAAACAGTTTAGAAAAAAAAAACTCAATGACCGAATGGCAGGAACAAATTATTGCTTCGTTTGTCCAGGCATATTTTGCAACGCCGATCCACTTTTACTTTGTAATTTTCTTGATGCCATCTAAAAAATGGAGATGCGTTTCTGTACTTTGTTGTAGATATTCTGTAATGAATGTTGGAGGTGGCAAGTTCTAACTTGTTATGAAATCAATATTGTTCAAATTATTATGCACTTTCGAAAAGGTGCAGCATTCCGTGCAACGTTGTTTGATTCTCTTCTGTCAATTTTCATGACATCCAGCATTTCTTCAGTTGCCGGAAATTTTTAAGGCACAGGCTGCTGACACTCTTTTAGCCTTTTGGTGATGGCGATGGCATACTTTCTTTCGAGTAGTGCTTTGCAAACAATGATTTCGTCTGCTGTTGAATCGTTATAATCTTGACTGCTTGTGCTAATTTTCTGATTGACTGCTGCAAATTCCATGACAGAATCTTTAATTTTTATAAAACAGCTGCAGTTATCTGACCTGATAAAGAATTATGATATCTGGGTAACAGATCGTGTACAAAACTTAGTGTTTACTACCATTTAAAGCATTAAAACAGCAACTTTTATAAGTAAAACATTTCTGCATGTAGCAATCTTACTGGTGTTCTGTTTATGCAATTTTTGTCAGGACGTTGTGTTCAGTCTTTGCTATTTGTACAGTTTTGAAAATAGTGGCGAAGCCAAAAATATAGGATTGTCACCGATAGCCCTTTGAGCCAGTACACCGTGACAAAATGCGTAGCGGACACGATCTCGCACCCCAGCATTGAAAAATTTGGATGCTGGCAAAGTAGGTGAGGCTAGAAATACCAGTCGTTAACGCTCAAAACTTTCGGGACGGTTTTATGAAATGCGCAAGTCAATTTCATCGTCGTCTGAGGTCTATAAATCAGTATTGTTAAAAGTGACAATATCGTCATCCATTGCAGATTTCAATGCGGTTATGCCAGAAACAGGGTTGTACTTTGTTGTAAAACAGAATACTTGTAACCGATTTCCGCGAATATAAAGTTATACGTACGTATGTACACGTTACGGAAATCCCGGGGTATTTAAGCAAATGGGTAGATGAACGTGTACAAAATTGTGCGCATCGCTCATCTATGAGTGATTAATCGTGCCGACAGATTTGTCTGATAAAGAAGCAATATACTGTGTGTGTATTTGATAACACTGGTACATAAAAATACTGAAAATAGAAGTTTTTCAACCGGATGCACACGTCAATAAGATCAGCTTGTCCAGTATTATTTGCCTGTATCATGTATGAATGGTCAATTATTGTCCAGTGCTAAAAGCATCCTGCTGAGTTGAAATAAGCATTTACGCGATTTACATGATATGTGTCCTCGTATGTGTACTTTGGTATCTTATATGTGTAAGTGCATATAAGAGCCGCACTGATGTTTCAGCGCTTTTGTACATTGCTGACCAATGGTGTTTTATACCTAAGCTATAATGCATGCAAAATACGAGTACGTCAGTATAGTAAGAGTATATTGTATGCTATCGGACCGGCGCTGCGTTTATTGCTTATGACTCAGTTCGCACTGCTAAGTACATAGTGGCCGCACTAGTGGTGCATCAGCCAACTATGTCTAGTTGTAAACGTTGCATAATGCTGACACTTGGTGTTACTGACACAGACCCTGGCTGCATGTGTGCTTCCGCCTGCGTTATAGAACGATGCTGCAGCACGTTATTATTGCCGGCTGTTTACTAACTACCAGAAGAAAAATACATCTTAGATAAAAATATATCTTAGAAATATATCGTAGATTTTATTATTATAATAAGCGTGTTCTAAAGAGGTTGATACATCACTTACTCGTAACTTGTGCTGGTGTTGAAACCGGCTTGGATACAAATACTAAAGGCAGCCGATGTCCGAAAACCATGAATTAATCGGATTATAAAAGTCGCACAGTATGTCACAAGTTATAATATTACTCGCGCACTTATACAGAATCACACACGTATTCCTGGTCAATTGATCACACGGGTAGTGAGTTTGAGCGGAATCTCCCGGTTGAAAAGATTCCACCACTGATTGCAATGTGTAATTAATGACTAAGTATGTACCTAACAGCCACAATGTGTTGTAACGCTTTGACCAGTGGTATTGCATGCGCGAACTATGTGTAAAAGACGGTGCATGCGTGTTTATTACTGTCTGTGATCAGCCAGTGTTGTGGTTTGATGTGATTAATCAAAACAGTCAATGTCCAAAAGTGCAGATTCACACTGTGTGTTACAAATTATATTATCAAAAGATTGTTTAGAAGCAGACAAATGAATGTGTATGATACTGCGTGTGTTTAATTACATACAAGTGGCCAGTTGACCACTATGATGTCGTTTGCCGGCAGCGGAATCTTCCAGTGTGATGATGCCACACGCTTGTATTGCATCAGCCGACTATGTTGTGTACCGACAGTGTCGGTGTGTGTGTGTGTGTGTGTGTTTACGTGGCTGACCGAAACATATCTTAGATAAAAATATATCTTAGAAATATACTGTAGATTTCATTATTATAATAAGTGTGTTCTAAAGAGGTTAATACATCACTTTCGGTGGCAATAAAACCCGCCGCGCTATACAGCTCAGGCAGCCAGCCGTTAGCTTGTTTAAATTTTAAACATGTGCAATTATTACACGCACAAGCAGCGTGTGTAAGTGTGTGTGTGTGTGCTAGCGCGGCAGGCGATTGACCAGTTTATTGTTTACACTGGTCACTTGTCAGTGTTTAGACTGGCCAGTGCCTGTGTGGTGTTGCTGGCTATAAGTGACCAGCGGTGTTGCCGGCCAGTGTTGAACGGTGTCTTGTATCATTGGAGGGGGGTATTGTAGGGGTATGTGATATAACCGGCGGTACCAGCGGTGTTGCCGGCTAATGCCAGTGTTGCCGGCCAGCGTGGTTGTGTACAGAGGCAGTGTGGTGACTCAGCTTGTTTTGTGCAAACAGGTTGTTTCCACATGAGCCGGTGTGTGTGTATGTGTGTGTGTATGAGTCACTCAGTATGACAGATGGTGTGTACTGATAAGATTACGATATAATAATTATTAAATATTAATAATTTAACTTTCGCAGCGGGGGCTTGCCGTCATAAAATCGCACTGCAGGTCTTAGGTTTTTCTTCTCCTGTTCTACTTGAATAGAAGTACAGAAACTGGCGTACGGTCACCAGTACTTTGAAATTAACAGTATAAAACTTGACAAATTACACATTTTCCATTTCTGTTTGACGTTTTTATATTTTTACTCTGTATTTCCATAAACCCACTGACCGAGGCAGTAATATTTAAACAGCTTTTCGTCCAAAAAGGTCTGCGATTTGTTTTGTGTACATCTTCCCTTTTCTAGGGTACATAAACTAAACGCCATAAACTATTCTTACTTGCCCAACTGGGATAAAAATTGTTTTATGGTTCTGATACATAACGTGCCCATGACACTGCATTGCATACTTTTTGCATTTTGTGAACAAGGAATTTTGCATAACTTCTGGCGTAATCCAAAATATATGGGAGGCACCGGGCAGGAGTAGAAAGCACATTACCGATAGTGACCACTGGCCGGCAACTGCGGTAACTGGAAGTACACTACCTAGATTTGCTGCTACGGTATTTCTACTCGTACAGTATGCTACCGTATGCAGACTGCAGAGCACCATGTCGCCGCAGTGACGTAGTCCCTTCGACCGTTGCACTAGTACTGCGGTTGCAGCCGGAAGTGTTAAGCGATCTCACGTAAACGGCGTCCACAGGCGGTCAATGTTCCTGTTGAAGGATAAGATTTTAATTGGACAGGTACATACTACATACATGCTACATACGTCACTTGCCAAATTAAACTCAAACGCTCTACGATAAAAATCCGAAATCGAAAGTTGAACAAATTAAGTAATTTAAAATTTGGTTTTTCTGACCGGCCCGTTTCATTTTGGCTGTAGATAATACCGTTTAAGTTATTTGAGACGATAGTTATTCGAGATCCGGTATGGAGGACTTTGCAAATCAGACGCTTCATCTGATTTGGGATCTCGTCCGGCGATTGGGTTCCGATGCGGAGAAGCCAACGCTGGATGCAATGGCGCTGGTGATGATTGCGGTGGGGCTGGTAACTTACGTCGCTTTACAACTTCTCCCAGCACCATACGGAAGGTATAGCAGTCCTTCGTATGGATTACTAGTCCCTGCGAGGATCGCATGGGTCGTGCAAGAATGCCCAGCCTTTTTCGTGCCACTGTATGTGTGGCTCTACATGGACAACGGAGCACCTGCTCTGGGTAAGCCGTAACCGACCAAAGAAAGGTTCCCTCATTAACCAAATCCCACTGTAGTTCCGTTTTGTAATAACGAAATTAACTATGCTGCGTTTGTTAAAGTTTTACTAACAGCTAACTGATAATTTGTCGACATTTGCAGCTAACAAGATTCTGGCGGGACTCTTCATGTTGCATTATTTCCAGCGGACATTTTTTTATTCGTTCCTGATTCGTGGCGGCAAGCCGACACCACTCGCTCCCTTTCTCATGGCGTTTGTTTTTTGCACGTATAACGGCTACATGCAAGCACGCAGCATCCTGAAATTCCGTGGACCAATCCCGGATGTGGCGGATCCTGTGTTTCTGCTGGGAGTGGCACTCTTCGTCGTCGGATTGTTAATCAACATCCAGTCGGATCACATTCTGCGTAATCTGCGATCCGATGGATCCAAAGCCTACAAGATCCCGTACGGTGGCATGTTCGACTACATTACGGCGGCCAATTTTTTCGGGGAAATTGTGGAATGGTGGGGCTTTGCGTTGGCCGCTTGGCAGTTGCAGGGATTTGCATTCGCTATATTTACCATGGCTAACCTTGTGCCGCGGGGTCTCAGTCATCATGCATGGTATCTAAACAAGTTTAGAGGCGAATATCCGGTCGATCGATATGCGGTACTGCCTCCCCTTGTTTGAACATACCGTATCGGTTTACGGAGTAATTACTGGCGATCTCCGCGGCTGAGTCAGCGTTTGCAGCGAACGGTACCACCCAGGTTTTGCATTTATGGTCTATTTATTTTAATTGGTTATTTTTCTTTTATCGATTTTAGTAAAAGCGGTATTGTGTCGTGTTTTTTTACGGTGATTACAGCATCAGCACTGGTATAATACTGCTGGAATCGCCATTTGTAAATTACGGATTGAATTGGGTACTTCTAAAATGTTTAATAAAAGCACTGCTGCTCGAGCTACATACTTATGTTATAGATCACCGTAAGAGCATCGAAAAATCGGTTGTTTCAGAAAATATTGATGGGGGTGCAATTCGGAATTGTGGATGCGCTAAGTAACACACAAGGGCAAGATAATGATTTTGAATACGAGTTTTTAAATGACAGTAAGTAAGTACCCGTAACATAACATAAGTATCTGTACAGCACTTCAGTACTTACCGTATTCGGGCGCTTGTCAGGAATTCATTTCATTGGATCATAAACTGTGGTAGGTTTTCATCGATTTTCCGCCGATTTGAAAACGATACCTGCGATGGTAAACACACTTGGTTTGACTTTATTTGATTGGCGAGAAGCGGTCATCCTGGTAAAGAACTGAAAGTGATTGCATTAGCTTGATTTACCGGTAGAATGGGATCTGACGTTCGTTTACCATATCCTCATGCGGTTGACAGTGATTAATTCCGACGTTCGACGATGCGATTTTGGACTGGGAATGCCAGCGTTCGGGAATGGCAGGCTGATGATACCGTGTTCATTATGATTTGAACCTTTTAAAAAACGATGGATTTATATAAAATCACACTAAAGAGTAGTGCGGTAAAATGCGGAGTAGTTTATTTCGGTTTAACTGCCGATTAAGCAAATTGATGACCTAAGCGTACGGTATATATTACGGACTTCCACTGGGAATGCATTGTTATCCTTGGTTTGGCTTCAGTTTATCGGTTAACGTTATTTACGTGTGTTTTCTGTCACTGCTTTTGGGTCGGCATTTTGCTTTGGATACAAATTCAAACATCACAACTTTAACGATCTGTGTCATACTGGAGCGAGGCTCACGAGAGATCCTGACTAACTATGACAAAGTAGGAGCGGGAATAGACATGGGATTAGATTATGTTCATGACGACATATTGCCGCCGGAAATTCGATTAAGAAAGGTTTATCGGGACGCCGGTGATAGCTGCAGTGTGAGTCAAATGCAAAAAGCGGCATTGGAAGCGATGTCACTGATGAGAGAAGGTATCCAGTGTGACCTTTATCTAGGACCAGGTAAGGCATTTCGATCCTTGAATGGTTTTGCAGTGGAACCTATTGGTAAAATTGATTAAATACTTCCTTCCTGTCATAAATCGTTTAAAAAATTCTGGCTAGTGCCGATTCGCAGTATAATTATGAATGAAGTTTCCATATATTTTCTAATTGCCTGTGATTGCCATAATAATACTTTTTAGACAAAGCATGCATAAATGACTTCATGACGATTGTAATTTGTATCAACTTTGCCTGACATAACAGGCTGCAAGTTTTTACTTCTTTAGATTTTTATACTTCTTTAGATTATAGATTTGTTTTGAGTTTCGCATTTTGCATCGCAGTTGGCCTGTTTTTGAATTTCAGGCTGTGTGGAGGCAGTCATAGATATTTGCAATATTGCTGCTTTCACCGGGACTCCCGTGATATCCTTTCCCACTGGCGGTATCACGAGTGCCACCAACCCTCGGCACACATTTCCCATGTTAATTCGAATGAGTTTCCGGCTGCAAGCCATTTCTGATACCATTATTATCATCCTGAAAACTCTGTCCATGGTTCATACGCACGTGCTGGTAGATATGTCCGTAGGTTTTCACGTTTCTTTATCGATGATTCTGTACGAACGCTTACGCGCGGCGGGAAATACCGATTATCTTCGATACAATAAATATGAATATCTGGAAGTCAACGTTACGGACAGGGAAATTCGACGGCATCTGCGCTCACTGAGTTTATCTAGTCGAGGTAAAACTCCTCTACATAGATCTCTTACAAACTCTCTGGGCGCACTCAATGTCAGTTACTCATATGCGTTGTACTACATTTATTTAAGTATTTTATAACCCGCTCCAGTGTCTAGGTCTTCGGTTTTACGTAAAATAAGGTATTCTGAATTTGAGTATCTACTTTTAACATTCCACTTAATTGTTGCAGCTGTCATTTTACTTTGTGGAGGTAAGCGAAAGCAACAACTCACGCATGACCTCTCTTAGCGCCATACATAATGCGAACGAAAATCACGTTTATGTTATCAGGTGTATTGACGCGTCGGATCATGGTAGGGACTAGGAAGTCTGATTACTAGTATCACGTCCATAGTAGAAGTGAGGCTTTAATTTGAATTTTTGTTTTTTGTGCGTATATTGCAGTTTCTTGCCTCGCAGCTAGGAATGACCAGCGGTGACTATGTAAGCAGAGTTCGGTCTATAGTTTGTTTGGGTACGCGTATACTCGTACGTTAAATATAAATGACTAGAGTATAGTAGAGTCATACCTTTTTTTCTAATTATGATTACCATAATATATGAAAATTAAAATAAAAATTTGCCTTTCATATACGTAACTTTCGTTTTCAGTTATATATCGCGACTGAGCTATTCGAAAGCTATTACTGGGGCATCTTTACATGGCGAGGTGACGAGGAAAAAGAAGATCAGATCCTTCGAGCTTATGACAGCTTACTCCTTATCGCCATGGATGAAATGGCGAATAACTATTATAAAATCTTTAAAGATGTTTTTCTGGAAAGAGCGGAAAGTGATTATGGTTACAATTTCCAAACGGAAGGGCCATTTGTATGTGTCGGTGCAATCGCTTAAGTGTTGCAGAGTGTGCGAAATCTTAAAGTTGCCCGTTGTTCAGCAGATAGATCCGGCGGATGCGACAGTGGCCGCAATGTTCGATTCCATTGTCTTATACGCGTCAGCAGTTCGAGCGGTGTCCGAAGCCGGGGAAAATATAAAAAACTACTCGGCCATTCTGGACGCTATGAAAGGAAAAACTTATGAAAGCCCTATCACATCTGTGCGGAGAATACAAAATACGATTTTCAGTACCCCCGTGAACTCCGTAATTTTTGTTTTCAGAAAATTTCAATGGATGCAAGTGGCGACCGTGTCAGACGATTTTACGTTCAAGACATACTACCACAAGGCCAGTACGATGTGAGTCGGAGCACTTACTCAAAAGGCTCTTTCAGATCGCCTAGTATAAATATTCATGATTGGGATGGTGGAAGTACACTCTGTATTTAAAATATAAAACCGAGACGTTTTTTTAAAATTGCATACATAAACCACGAGGTGTAATTTTATTTGCTTTGCATAAGTAATATGGTCATAGAAGCACATTCAATTAACTTGGATGGGTATGTTAATCTTGAGCAGCATTCTGACGTCTGTTACAGAATGTGCTTGAAATTAACGGCACGTCGCTGGAGGTGACCGTTAATGGCGGGTTTCACTGGCCAGGAAGCGGTCAGCCGCCGGTAGATGTCCCATTCTGTGGCTTCGATGGGAACGATCCCAAATGCTCAAAAGGTTTGACAGCACCTTATTAATCTTTCCATTAATGAACATTCAAAAGTTTCGTTACAGCGTTCAGAAATGCAGTGATCATCGGATCGGTTCTAGCTGTGTTTTCTGTGTTTTGTGGCATATCTACCGGGAGATGGTATTAGTAAGTAAAATTCAGTGCGGTTTAAGACGAAAAGCCAAGATACAACCTTTTCATCTGTATGAAGTACACGTTCTAATTCATATAAATTAAAAAGTAAAGGTATGCAAGTACCAGAAACTTTTTACTGATGCTCTTGACATCATAATTCTATCTCAGCAAACGGCACGCAAAGAAAAACCCGTTCTGGTGGCGAATTTCACCGGACGAACTGGACGTGGTACCGGCTCATCGACCTACCACGGTGTCGACAGCGGAAGTTCCACAATTAAAGAACAGCAACGAGGTTCACTTATCGTATCTGTTGTTCGGTGTTACTGTACATGTTTGCGATAAGTTACCATACTTCTGTTTCTCTTTTCTAGAGTTTGGATAGTATAAACGAGAAGCCCCAGTTTCAGCCGGTTTCGCTAGTAGCCGATTACCGAGGCGTTCGAGTTCGACTGGTGCAGTGTCCAGAGAAAATGTATCGTCCGTCACATGCGGTGGTTCGGGACTTGAACATAATAAAAAGTCTGCATCACAACAACCTGTTGAAGTTTATCGGGATTTCCCTGGACGAACAGGGATATTGTCAGTATTGCCTGGAAGAGCAATCAGAAAAGGGATCCTTATTTGATCTTATTGCGCACGAAACTCACATCATAGACGAAGTGTTCAAACTGTCTTTCATTCGCGATATCGTACAGGTAAAGTATGATTGCATTAATTCTGCGTAATATAAATTATTGTTTTACGATTTGCTTTGTACTTATATTTAAGCCTGGGTGATTTCATAACAGACTACGTTAGTTTTAAAAAGACTAATGACAGTACAGTGAACGTTCTACATGACCTATTAAACCTGGCTAACGCGCGGAATTATAATACACTGTAACTTGAATTCGGAGCAAAAATTCATATAAAAATTTATTTTACCAAGTCCGGCTTGCTAAATTGTTACATGCGTGGAATAAAACTTGTTAAAAACGAATGAAATTTGCAAACGCAGATCCGCATTAACGATTGGGTAAGTCGTACGATCGTAATCCCTGCTGATTCCATTTGTTATTAGCACTTGTTACTGCTTTTTAGGGTATGCAATATCTGCATTCCACAGTGGTCACTTCCCATGGATTTTTGCGTTCTAGCATCTGCCATGTTAATAGTAAATTCATGGTGCGACTTAGCGATTACGGATTATCCCAGTTGCGGCCCCATGCAGATTTGTTGCCACCGAAAATGTCAGAAGACACCCAAAGAGATTATTACACGCTCCTGTATAGAGCACCAGAACTTCTGCGTGTAATAATGTCTCGCAAAGGCACACAGGTAAGAACTGCAGCGCCAAACCGAGATGTTTTGAAACGCATTACTATTACGGGAAAACCGAGTAAATTTTTAGTCCGGTACTCTGTATATCAGTCCATTAGTACGCATCCCTATCAGTTAAAGATTCATTTTGACAAGCTGAGGTCATCAATCACAATTTTGGCTCTCGGTTGTGATTTTATTTGCTTAATTTCATAAGAAATGACCAGGTCCTAAATTGCATTTTCTTCACATTAATATTTGTTTAAGTATCGTACAGAAATTATATAATAAACGGACTGTCAGTAACATCGTTTTAATTTGCATTTTGCATTTTGCAGAAAGGTGGGCATTTTGAACGACGTGGCTCGGTGACGATAGACTGATAGATGCAGACCGATACCTACAGATATTGATGATACTGTATATTATATTATTCCAATTGTAGGTGACATATACAGTTTTGGCATTATAATGCAAGAAATATTAACAAAAAGTAAACCATACTTCTTGACCCACTGGGACGAATTTACTACTACCGCCAAAAGTATTGTTATCGATGTGAAGCGCGGGTTAATACCTCCGAAGCGACCGAAACTAACTAAATCCAACAACTCATCCACATTATACGAGCAGATGGAGAAATGCTGGGAAGAAGAACCGTCATCAAGGCCGACATTTCAAAAGGTCAATGAAATGCTGGCAAAACTGGGAAAGCGAAGTGGTCGCAATATTGTTGACCATTTGATACGTAAGATGGAGCAGTATACCCAACAGCTGGAAGAGGAGGTGCACAATAAAATGCAGCAGTTAATAGCCGAAAAAGAGCGATCGGATAACTTGCTCAAGCATATGCTTCCAAAGTTAGTCCCACTCGAATTTATTTTTGGGCACTATAACAGTAGGCACGACTATATTGCGGGGCGTGTGCTTTTTCCTTTGAAAATAGTAGATACAACTTTTTGCAGATAAAAAATTAAAAAATTTTCGAAAGACAACTAGCCGGTGTAGAAATGAAAAGGTTTTGCTATTCTATGCTTGCAGAAGCGTTGCCGCGTCGTTAACGCGAGGGGAAAGCGTGCCACCTGAGACATTCCAAAGCGTCACCATAATGTTTAGTGACATTCCTGGTTTCAATGATTTAGTCTCAAAAATCACCGCTTTTGAAGTGTTGGACACATTAAATGCGTTGAACCAATGGGCAGATTTGATTATGGAGCATTTTGACGTGTACAAGGTGGAATCGATTATGGATATTTATATGGTAACGCATGTACAATACCTATTCCTAGAAGTGTGTCAACTGCGGCGCGTACCGGCGTTTTTCAAAGACTGCGTTTTGTTCGATAATCAGTTCTTTATTAAGCTATTTAATTGGATTTGCTCAGGTCGCCAGCGGACTACCAGTACGAAACGGAAATCACCATGCGGCGGAAATGAGCAAATTATCCATACGTAAGAATTCCCTCCAGTGGTCACAACTTACAAACAGGAACCAGTTTGCTCGCAAACTTTGGCACCTGTGATATATATTGTGCGTTTCCTCGCTATATTCCTCTCTCTGAAATACTATTTAAAAAACTGCCTTGCCAATTGACAGCATAGCGTACAATACATTAGTAATACAAAATCTTCTGCCTTGGGGTGCAGGAATATTTTAAAATTATGGTTACTCTAGAAATATGTTGTGCTTAGGAATGCGAAAAGATATCCATAAATTGCGAACTCCTGGTGATCCTTCGAAGCACTTACAAATTCGTTTTGGCATTCATTCGGGTACGCAAATGCAGCCATGAAGCAAAGCTGTATTTGAATGTTTTGTATGGACATGAATGTACAGTATTTTGACTTATATTTAAGGGTCCTGTGTCGCCGGAATTGTTGGTTTGAAGATGCCAAGATACTGTTTGTATGTCCTTCTTCGTAAACGTGTGTGTTATTCAAGTTTTTAAATTGGCGATAAGTAATTAAATCTTATAATATAATACTGCACCGTTAGAACTGCAAGGTTTTGACGTGCTTCTATGGATAGCTCAGTTGAAATGCCGGTAGTTTTGTGGCAGTAACTTTCTGTATTTTGCCGAAACCAGGTTCGGTGACGCTGTCAACACAGCTTCCAGAATGCAGTCAAGCAGTGAAGGTCAGCTGCGATGAATACTGAATTTTCTAGTTTACGGCGTTACTTTGCCAGCTTCTAAAGTTTTATTTGGCAGCAATGAAAATCCAGATCACGGACAGCACGAAAAACATCCTGGAAGAAACAGGAGGATTTGTCATAGAAGAAAGAGGAATTATAAACGTTAAGGTCAGGTCGAACGTGCCGCTGTTTTTTTGGAACTTTGTTGCACTAATCTTGTTCGACGATCCACGCATTATGGTAGATTATGCAGTTACCGCTTCTCCATATTGCTTTCTTGGTTACAGGGAAAGGGAGAAATGACAACGTACTGGCTGAAAGGGGCCTTATTAGCCGACACCTAATTGTTGCAAGTGCTATGATTTCATATTTTGTTCTGTTCATTCATTTAATGTAAAAAAATCACGATTTTTTAAAATTCATTTTGGTAAAACAATCTATTACGGAATTTTCCACAGAACTGAGCCGGTCATCACCTCTATATAACGGTTACGTTCAATAAAATCGCAAATTGTTCACAAACATGGTTTGCAAGAAAAACCGTATAGCGCGTGCGAAATGTCTGAATCTACTGTTGGCCAAAACTTCTCACCTCTTTATGCCGCATTTTATATCATAACAGTGCTTCGAAATTCAGACAAAGCGTGCAACACTCAGTGCTAGGCGAGGACATACAACGCAATACATATGCGTGCCTGCAAATGCATGCGTGAAAATGAAAGATTTCAAAACGACATCTTCATCAGCTGTTCGTGTTCCACAACGTCTTTAAGGCCACGATCATTAAATTCAAAAAGAAACCTTTCCACTCTGTCGAAGTACTTGTCCGTTACCGTTTGTTGCAGTTCTTCCCTGGTCATCCACTGATAATCTTCGACTTCACTTGAAGGCGTTACTGATCCTTTTCGAAGAAGGGCTTTGAAGAAAAACACCTAGAACGCAACATATATCAGCCGGTCAAGTAACGCAGCGAAAGCGTCACCTACGGCATTAGCTCACCTTGGCACCATAAAAATCTTTGGCAATTTTCGATGAAATGGGATATTTATAACGGTAGAATCCCACAGGCGTACTTCCCAGAGACATAAACTGTAAGTCCGTACCGCCTATCCTCCGCAGAGCATCCGCAGCGGTTTCATACAGACTCTCTGAACCCTGCCATGCTCCCTGAGGAAACACCCATCTCGCGCTGTCACCGAGTTTCTGGTTGACGACAAGATACAGTTTCCGGTCTAGTTTTCGATTTGTTGCCCTTGTGTCGTTCTTTTGATCAGATTCTACAAACACAAGCATGAGCAATAACAACATAGCCATCAGATTTCAATGCTTATTTAGCATAAGAGAATGCGAAAAATATGCGATACAAAAAACCCAAATGGATCAAACCGGAAATGTTTACACATAAAAATAATTCAGCCTTTGCAACGAACATACGTAATCTGCGCAGCACGCTTATCCCTCTACAACAAACCCAATTAAAAAGAAACTCAGTTTTACAATTTGTATATAAACCAAACTTCGTACACTGCAGTTAATCTACCTGTAATGCGAGGTGCCGGTTTGAATTTCTCGTACAGTTCGTTCCAGGAGTCTTCTTTATCTTGCGCTGTTTGGACCACGATGTCCGAATCCTCCTCAACGCTCAAATCTGCATCTTTCCGGCGTTTTGCTTTACGCCTAGTTTAGAAAAAAACAATAAATTAATACACCTAAAAGAATATAAGTATCTGAATTTACAGCGTGCGATGACTTAAATTAATTAATAACTGTCAAATACACTTACGCATCCTCAAATTTTCGCATTTCATGATCAGAAAACAAGCTTTTCTCGAACTCTTCCTGAAGGAAAAGATTTTGGAAATTCTCTTCAATAGGATTTTTGTGGGGAGACACTATCGCTGATCGTTCCAAGCATATGGCGCCCCATAACTGCCACTTTTTGTCCTTATTTTCAGAGCTGATTTTGGAACCGTCCCTGTTGCGATCAACAGTTCTGTTCTTTCGGTTGCTTGGGTCGAGCAAGAGGGAAGGGTGAAGCGTCGTTGGAATTGCTACACCAGTGAAATGGGGTAAGAAAATATGTATTACAATGTCAAATGTGCGTACCGCGTACCCGTAGTGGACCGATTCCTGATCAGAGCCTTGCAAAATTTTTCAAGGCAGCTGGTAGGAAAGCGAGTCGTAGAAGTGCTGAAGTATCCGGCCATCGCTGAACTCTGCCTACAGTTCGTTCGCGACACCAGTAGGACCTTTCGTCGAGTCCTACCAGATAGAACATACAAACTGTAAAGATTGCAAAAGGAAAGCCTACTCTCCGCTTTCATAAAACCGCAAAAACAGGATGCTTTTAAAACTCACCTAAATGCCAAAATAATGTATTTTGCATGTGAGTTCCCATCGCAAAAAAATTCGCAAAACTTAGCAGGTTAAACCTACAAAAACTGCCTCCCTAGTAGAGGTTGCAATGACGAATAGAATAAGGTGGCCTGCCTCCACGCACGTGCTGTTTGTGCACTTCCTGGAAATTTCCCATGTTAGGTCTGACAGTTGAGTTAAAATATGCATTTTTTTCTCGCGTGTAACACTTGGCGCGCTGAAGACTGCGAGTGCTGGTTTATTACCATATTTTTTTAGAAATTCTGCCAGGCGATGGTTTCTAATGACCTCCCTTGCTTCAATATTACAAATCACTCTATCCTCTATGCATTCCGATCTTTGAATTCTTGTTGAAGTTGGTTGATCAGTGGTGACACATTGGAAATTCAAAATTGGAGTCTCTTGTTTGCACCATGACGTCTCGGTGAGTTAAAAAACCCATTCTGTTTGTGAATATTAGGTTCCCCTCACTCTTGTTTTCCCTGGCTTCTTTCCAGGACTCATTCATCATGTTTCATTTATTCAGTATTAAACTTTTCTTACAGGTCAAAGTCGAACTCTTTACGGTCACAGGAAATCTCGCCACTTGAGGAAGGCACTTCCAGGATATGCAAACCAGATGTTTTCCCTGCGAGTGATGGTTTATCCAATGGAAGTTACTACAGCGCGGAGGGGATGCGGGCTGATGCGTTTGAGGAGCAGCTGGAAGTCATTGAGGAAGAAGTGCAGGGTTTACGGGCGCGATCCTCACGACGGGGAAGCGATGCGCTGCCTGATGATGATATCGATATTGATTATGCTTTAGAAGATCTTCCGCCCCTTCCGGACCTGCCTGAGCCCCCGAATCCCACTGCTTTCGAAGGCATGAAGGTGGGTTCCGCTAAGTCGCGTTTCTCAGTGATGACTCACGTTTTTCTGTAATTTAATTTTTTTTGTAATTTGTAATTAACTGACGTCATCGCGCCAGTTTATGTGATTAGCATTTAGTGACATGACGTACTAATAATTTTATTATTATCAATATTATTTGCATATTATCAGTTATGGTTTTAATTTTTGATTCACGCACATAACATTTTGGTCGTCCACCCATGTTTCAAACATCTCTAGTAAACTACATCATCATTGGCATCATGTGAAGCATTACAAAATTATCTAATAATGACTTATGTAACTTCACAACGAAACGTAATACTACAATTATATTTAATTTAATTAACTTAGCATAACCAGTGCAGACTACAGACCGTACAGTTATACTGGTTGAACTTTCCCAGCGTAAAAGAAGACAAGTAGATGGTTGTAGTAGTTTGATATAATCTCTGGTTTATAGGTTGATGGAGAACCCGTAGTATGTGCTGGCATTGAATTTATTCAAGAGGCTAGCTCAAGGGCACAGAAAATTATTCAGCGCGTCTGGAAGGCAGCTTGGATACAGACCCCATTCCATCATCTTCCCGAATGGCTGAAGGACAACGATTTCTTACGGGCCGGTCACCGTCCTCAAATTCAGTCTTTCCGCGAGTGCTTCCGATCGATATTCCGGATTCACACGGAAACTGGCAACATTTGGACACATATGCTTGGTACGCTTTGAACGCTTTCGTTGCATCAAATTCACAAATGCTATACTGTATTGCATAAATATTATAGTACATATCTTTCGTTACCGTATGCTAACTTGTTGGGCTGTATTGGCAGGGTGTATTGCGTTTATTGGCGTGGCAATTTACATGCTAACATCAGAACACTTTCCGCAAGAAGAGAAATGGGTTTTTGGAGCGTTCTTTGCTGGAGCAATTATTTGCATGGGGTTTTCCTTCATGTTTCACACTGTATACTGTCATTCTCGTACTGTTGGTCTGCTCTTTTTGAAGTAAGTTATTACTAACATGTAAGCTAATATTACACTGAAATATCAGAAATATTCTGAGTATTCAAGTGACCATTTGGTGTACCCCAGGTTGGATTATTGTGGAATCGCCATTCTTATCTTGGGATCATTTATCCCCTGGCTGCATTTTGGCTTTTATTGTCGGACTTTGCTTAAAACAGTTTACCTTACTGTAGTCTCAGTGTTGGCCGTAGCAGCAGTTATCGTGGCGCTTTGGGATAAGTTTAGTGAACCTGCGTTTCGGCCCATTAGAGCAGGTAAGTTAGGAAATTAGCTTTCTGGAGTATCAGCTTCCTTTTGCTATGCACGAAATTTGTTTTGCAGCTGTGTTTCTCTCTCTGGGCTTGAGCGGTATGATCCCAGCTATTCATAGTATCCTTTCGCTCGGCTGGATACGATCCATGCAGGAAGCATCGATACATTGGCTATTTTTTATGGGCTTTCTTTATGTATTCGGAGCACTGATGTACGCATTCCGACTTCCGGAGAGGTTTTTTCCTGGTCGATTTGATATTTGGGTGAGTTTTACTGCTGCATTAATTGGTCGCCCCTCCCTTGGTTGATAAGTTTTTTCATCCTAGTTCCAAAGCCATCAAATCTTTCACGTATTTGTCGTTATTGCGGCCTTTGTGCACTATCACGGGATTTCTTTGATGGCAAGCCATCGATTTAGCCGGGGCGCTTGTCCTAATCTTCCACCAGGATTGGAAGGGCTGTCCGCATTGGATTACTAGAATTACGCGACTACAACGGATTATTGGGATTGGGCAACTGTGAATCTGTGATACATGTCACTTCTACCCGTTCTGTTATTCTTCGATCCTGTGCAAAAAATACATTTATGTAGCCGCATTTTAATTTATCTTACTTATCTGAATTTTGTGGTGCAGTATTACCGTGTGAGTGATGGTTATGACTTATGATTACACATTGTCCGGTGGTTTCAGTAATATTATTGTCTGCTTCTTAGCTAATTTTGATCGTTTATTTATTTGCAAAATAGTATTAATCAATGCGACATACATCAAAATAAACACGGCTTTGTCTTGCTTTCGGGGTTTCGCTGACGATTACGTAGCGGTACATACACTATTGCAGTACTTGCAGAGAGTGTAATCTAATACCTATTGACTACATCATTATTGCATTTTCATGTAAGTGCAAAATATGCAATACAACACCTGTAGTATTTAATTCGTAAAAAAGACCTCATACAAATAAATAAATACTCGTACAAAATTCTAAAAATTCACATTATTTAATATTGTGAAAAATGCTCAAAATTGCTACCGATTGGTTCGCTTGGCTCGTTTCCGGCGTAGTACATCAAAGTGTAAAATATGGCAAAATGCGTATGAGCACTCCATGAATACAAAAGACACCGACTCATATGAGCCCGCTTGCTCGACTTCGACTGTGCGTCGCTTTCTGGGAAATAAACCACAAACCAAGTGGAAATTTATCGTGAGAATGCAGTTGGAAGTTTCACGTGCTGATAATTATTTATCATTCCCTTTCGATGAAAATTTGTGATCGATTTAGTCGTAAATCTTGCAGTTGTTGTGATCAGCGGAAGTTTTTTCGGAACCGGTTTGCAGTCCATTTCAGTCTTCAGACTATCGTGTGATCTACGTAAATAATCTTTTCAGAGCTGCGTGTTTTTTGCGGATATCTCGGATTCGTATCGCACAGAATCTGGTTGAATTGCAAGAGATACTGTAGAGATCCACAGTTCTGGCCTTACAACTTAAGATTAGTGGATCTACTGACCGTGAGTGTTGTTCAAACATCAAAGCGATGATTGTGTTACGAATGCGCACAATCTTAGATTGTGCGCATTAAGAATAACGATAATGGAAATTAACGTGGTTGCCATAGATTGTATGTAGACGAAAAGAGATTATACTTTTTGTCATTAATTATCCGCTCACGTCATGTAGCTTTTGGTCTCGATAAACTGTTATAAGTAAAAAGATTATCACTGATTATTTAAATGTATCACTGGTTATTACTTTGTATTATTTCCCACTGTTTCATTTCTTTCGTCTTGTTTATTATGATTTTATATTGGTGAATAAGTCGATTGCATGGTTGGTCAAATTGATTTTTCGTAGTTTTCTTTCTCTTTAAGTTTTGTTTAATAATAATGTTGCAGAAATACATTATGAAATTAATCAGTCGGGTAATCGACAGCTTGATCACAAAAAGCATTGTTACGTGACTTGAAATAGACGATTCCAAAAGTATTGCATTATAGTTGGCATTAGTTCATGGTCGATTATCTTGATCCGTCTGCCATCGAAAACGAAATGGAAAGTGTCGACGATCCTATCAGCAGCAACGAAACTGATAGCCAAACTCATTTGCTATCTGGGGTACATGATGAAGAGAATATAAATGAATCGGAGCAAATGCTGAAACAAAGCAGCGAAATGATTGCTCGAGAAGGTTTGCGTGAAAGGATGACAGCTCGAAGACGAAGCAGATTGGAATGCGATTCTGCGGAAGGGGAAGAGATACTGCTTGATCCCAAGGAATTTCCCCCGCTCCCTGAAGCGAGCGATCCCTCAATATTTGAGGAAATGCGAGTAAGTCATCAGTTTGGAATGCTGAAACCACATTGCTCACGTGCTTTCGATGTTTTTTTATTGGTTTATCTGTTTCTAATAAAAATGAATCATCTGAATATCATAACAATATTATAATGAATCAACTGGAAATATTATGTTAAGCAGTTTAATATTTGCAGATCTAGGTTCTAATTGAACGTTTTGTTCGTAGTACACTACGATTTTTGTGAGTCTGTAGAATACTGGGTAAAACTAATATCAAACGATATCAAAACCGCAGTGTATCTGATATGTCCAGGGAGCGAGTTTGGGAAATATCCAGTAATGAATCTTTATTACTTTGTGATCGCTTGGCATTGTTTAGTATTAATTCTTTTTTTAAAGGCGGATGGAGAAGCCGCTTTGGCAGCTGGCATGGAGTTTCTTTCTGAGACGAGTGAGAAAGCCCAGCGCATAATTCAGCGCGTGATAACTGATGTCTGGAAACAGACACATTTTCACCATTTGCCCGAATGGCTCAAGGATAACGACTTTCTCCACTTTGGACATCGACCTCAGATCCAGTCTTTCAGAGAGTGCTTCAAATCCATATTTCGTATTCACACCGAAACTGTGAATATTTGGACTCATATGATTGGTATGCGGTTATTTTGTTGTGCCTTGGGCTGCTTTTACACTGATTGTTTTCAGGTTGCATAGCTTTCGTAGCTGTGGCTACCTACTTTCTGGCTGCTGAAAATTTTGCTTGGACAGAAAAGTGGATGTTTTCCGCATTTTTCGCCGGTGCGGTCCTGTGTTTGGGGTTCTCCTTTCTGTTTCACACTGTGTATTGTCACTCACAGTCCGTCGGTAAATTTTTCTCAAAGTAAGTGCCAAAATGGATAGTTTAGACTGATAACGGGTAAATCCAGTTTTCGGTTAATTCGGCAACTCAATGCTTCCGGTTTCGACAAGTGTGATAACTTTATGATGTCTTTATCATACCACTGTAGTGTCGGCTGATGTATGGCTGCCTTTCGCACTTTGGAATTTGACCTGTCGCTCAAATTGTCTAGGCTGAGTTTAGCCTGATGGAGACATTTTTTTCGCAGGTTGGATTACTGTGGGATTGCTCTTCTGACTCTGGGCTCATTTGTACCCTGGCTGCACTTCGGATTTTATTGTCGCTCAGTGGCAAAGCATATTTATATTGGAGTTATATCGGTCCTAGCCATTACCGCCATCGTTGTGTCACTGTGGGATAAATTTAGCGAGCCCGCCTATCGAGCTTTGCGTGCCGGTAAGCCAAATGGAGTGACGAGAACGTGATCGACGTAACTGATTAATGCTGTAGGGGTGATCTTTCTCCTTCTCGTTCTGTTGACTTTTCCTGACGCTGTGTTTTTGTTTGATTTTCTTAGTGAAACATTAATGATTTGAATAAATAGTTTAATGTTTATCCAGTGAGTCTCGTAATACAAAATTGAATTTGACGGGAAGACGTAGTGGTCTTTTCCATTGGTGCGGAATAATCATTGGGCATAAAAATTTCTCATTCAAATATTTGAATTGCAAACCAACCGTATGCGTATTTAATGTTTTCGTTAGCATAATCTGTCTGGTATGAATACAATAACAGATGCTCACTTACATACATATTTATTTGCATTGTCTTTCTTATGCATTTGTTTCATTTTGTTTATGCGACTTTATAATCATTAGCGTTTTCATGGTCGTTCTCGTTACAAGCGTTTTTCGCATCGTTTTTCGCATAGGCTTACAGCTGTACCCTTCGTTCTATCTCGCTTTTCTATTTTTCCCCCACCCTTACCCAGAATTTCATGATTATGGTTTTTTAACAGGAGTATTCGTCGCCCTTGGCTTGAGCGGCGTAATTCCGGCCATTCATTATGTGTCCTCTGAAGGGTGGGTTCGGTCGGTGCACGAGGGCTCTATGATCTATTTAGTCCTAATGGGCGTCCTTTATGTTTCGGGAGCGGTACTGTATGCGTGCCGTGTTCCTGAACGCTGGTTTCCTGGTCGATTTGACATTTGGGTAAGATTGCGTCACGAGCTAGATGGAGTCATTTGTATTGGACTAATGACCTAACAAGTGTTTTGCCTGCTTTTTCTGACAACTTCTTTCTTTTACAGTTCCAAAGCCATCAGATCTTCCATGTGTTGGTGGTGATCGCCGCCTTTGTGCATTATCATGGAATTTCGCTTATGGCCAACCATCGGTTTACCCTTGGTGCATGTCCGCAGATTTCGGACACAGCTTCTTGGTTTGTCAGTTAAACAATGTTGGGGCGAATAGCCTACCTGTAAAAAGTGGAACAACCCGTGTTTAAAGAGTTATCGGTGAATTTACGGTGGATTTTAATCTGTTTTGACTGATTTTAGTATTACTTGGCTGTTTTTATTAACGGTTTGCCCTGTATCTTCCTTGCTGAGTGGCATTTTGAGTTCAAACATTTATTGGACAGCGTGTTGACCTGCGAGCTCTCAACTAACTGTGTTATCTTTCTTTTACCCGATATCTTTATTTCTGCTGTTTGATGCCATCATATTCGTCTTTCTTCGCCGGTTAATTTGATGGTGTGTAAATTAAATATAAATATTATAGTGATGTGAATGCATTGCATGTTGTTGGTGGCACTCAGCAGTGCAAATAAACGTATCGCGTTGTTCATTCCTGGTTTGTATGCTACAGTAAACGGTTACGTTTGCGGCTAGGCAGTGAATTTATCGTTAACGTTTAGATGTTTAGACGTTTAATTCACACGGTAATTAGGGAAGAGCTACTGATGTAGCACTGTGTAGCAGTGCAAATATCAGCAGCTATACTGGATCTTCGAAAGAGCTCATCGATTAAGCGCGCAGTACTAGTACTGATACTGGATATGAGCCCTGCGTCCGCAATAATGGCGCTCTTGCTTGGTTTAATTGACTTCCGGTTACTGGATATATCGCTTAAATAAAGTATTCAGCGGTGTTTAGTGGTTGGTTACACTTTAATAGGCCGTCAAGTGTTGTTCTCCATTGGAGGACACCGCGATTAATTCGATATTGATGTTGAGGTAAACGGCGATGTTCAAACACTCCGAATAGTTCATTCAGGGAATTGTGGTTATTTCATATGCAGGTATCCCAAGAGTCAATGTAACGATTATGTACTGAGAAAAGTCAATTTGCAAGGTATTGTATCACGAATTATTTACTTTTGAGTTCTTCATGACCATAATATACAGTACCTATGCTGGCTATGCATTGATCTACAGAAACGCACTTCGATTGTCACTTTCGGGGATATAAACGTCAGTTAAATTTGTTGGCAGCACTAATGCATGGTATAGTCCGTTTGTCTGACTAAAACAATAATTATAAGTCACAGATACCGGTAAGAATACTATTAATTTCTAGAATGCTGAGTATAATATAATTAATACGTATAATTCTATAACAGCCATTAGCCGGTCAGACTTCGGAAATGATAATGTTCGATTAAGGGCACCTCTAATTCTTTACACAATAGCAGCGGTGCAGAGTGGGAATTAATGTTCATCCCTGTTCCGAACGCAAAAAAAATTGTTCCCGGGCCACAGCAACGAAAAAACATGTTACTCTCAACGTATTTAAGCTGCATCAGTTGTGTCACTTGTACGTATTGTACGTACAGGCTACCGTATATTACGCAAACTGCACCCGCATCATTAACGCATCATTAATTTATTTTTAAGTCCCTCCGTTTTCCTACGTATTGTATACATATTTTTTTTATAATATCTATATTTGCATATGCCCACAGTAAAGTATATGCATGGTATTTCCCACAGTACTGAAGTTTGACTTAATTCCAAACACGTATTTTCTAACTTTTGAACTGAGAACGGTATTTGGATCAAAGTCAGGCTACGATGTTGTGCGTGCAGAGTACTGTACTGCCGGTGTACTCAAAGTACTGCCGGTTTGCACCGGCATGGCCAGGCTTCCATTTCGCAATTTCACCGACGTCCGCCCAGAATATTTTCCATTGGGATTATTAATTGCTAAGAGTACATTTAATAATGTACTTATCTATACGGTTCTCACAGAAATCGTTTCTTATTTTTGTTAGACAGTATTTACTTTAACGGCAAACAAATGCAGGGATCTTAGAACTGAATCAGTAGAAACCGTAAATCCTTGTGAAATGGAAAAACTTATGCACAATACTCACAAAACCTTTGAAATGTATACGTGTTTACAAAACTTGGTTGATTGTAAGGAGAAAAAAGTCGCCTAACGAGCGTCTCTGTCTCCGGATGTGTCTTGTCAACAAAATGCAGGTGAACACGTCTTGCGAGAACTAGAACTTGGCCGTTTCTGTCAGAATTCCCACGTATACGGCATCGCTGTAACAGCTGGCGCACTCGTCACCGGCGCTGCCGCTGCTCATGATCATCGAATTGCTTTCAGGAAGAGACCTCCGCAACACACACGCCGGTTGTCGGAACTCTTGTTGAGCTTGTTCGTGTCATGATCATTCAGCCCCATCACAAGCGCATTCTTACGCAAAACCTATCTTGCGCAGATTTCGATGCAGATGCCGTTGATACAGTTGCCGATGCTGATTCATCCGGCGCGAGCCCCTGTTTATCACTGCTGGACACCCCGTTGTGTGGAGGTGGAATTGAATTTCCACTGAAGTGGACCACACTTTAAACTGTCAAAGTAGGACACAAATTTACCTATATAACGCAAATGTATAGCCAAACAGTTTATTATTGTGTTGCTCACATATCGTTTGCTCCAATTTTTCTACACCGTAGAAACTGACTGCGGAAAGAAACATATATATTTGAGCACGACTTAGATCGAAAAAATGTTACCCACTTCAAAGCAGTGTGCGGGATGTTGGGTCATTCTGGTTTTTGTTATTTGCGGATGTATTTGCAGTGATAGTCCCGAACCGAGTAAACGCGCACGGGCTAATCAGCCGGACGATCCTCTGCCGGCGTCCAACCCACCCGGCGGGCAGTCAGCTACGCATTTGCACGGACATAGGCTTGGCGGCAACGACGATGCCGAAGGAGAAGGCGACGACGGGGAGAACGAAAACGAGTCGGAAAATAACGGGAATAACAATACAGGAAATACACCCTATCCTGTAAATGGTAAGTGTTTCCGATAATTATTATTTAACTGAATTTAATGTTAGAAATGTCGTTACGTATCATAATTGTTATCAGGCCATTTCATACTGTATATCGTTTGTTTGTCAAACCGGCAGCTCGACCGGCAAAATCTGGAGCGGGAAGCTCATCCTCGGGTTCAGCCGAAGCGGCGGAAACGCCAATTGCTCCGCCTCCTGAACCAGCGCTGCCTCCATTGGTCGTTATTGGTGAACCTGTGCAAACATTCGCTGGTCAGCTGCAACACCGTCCCTCTCCAGCGGTCAACAAGCACTTGTTCGCCTACCATCAAAAAGCCCATCTCAAAGCTCCAGTCTGCTGTGGAAAAAAGGCTCCCAGTCCGTACAGTGCGCCACTGACATCCCATCAAGAAAAGACCAGCATTTCCCAAGTCCAGCTGGTATCCGTGGCGGCACCGTCTGCACCATTGACTCCCAAACAACCGGTCGCCGCCGCGAGAATCGTCAATGAAAAACTCGTTCAGGTAGTCGCCCTCCCGGTATCAAAAGTGCAACCTAATCGGTTACCACCTGGAGAAAATGTCGTCATTGGGAAACAAATCATCAGTGTGGCATCTCATCCGAAATCAATCCCGGAAAAGCCTGCCGCACCGGCCGCTTTTTCCAGTAACGTCGCCTCACAGAATCAGCTACAGATTGTGACAATAGCCTCTCCGGGTGTGCCTCCGACACCGTTGGCCGCTCAGCCCATTGTGCTGCTGGAACGACAGATTGCTGCCAAACATATCCACGCTCCCGGGTCAATTCATCCGCCTACGGTTCCGGCTTCCCCTGCGGTTGCTGCCGCTAATCATCACGCCACTTCGCTAAATCAAGTACAGATTGTCGCCGTGCCCGGTTCGCCGGCTTCGGCGCCTCCCGCAACACCCGGCGCAGTTGTGGAGAAGCAAGTGCAGATTATTTCCACATCGGTAGCAGCGCCATCTACTCCACCTAAGCACATACCTGCGGCAGCGCCAGCGCATATTGAAAAGGTCACCAATGCACAACAGATTCAGTTGGCCGCCATTGCCGCTCCCATTCATCCAGCGCCGGGGAAAATCGGATTTTCTTATCTCAGTCCACCGTCGCGGTTGCTCGGCAAGCAGTTCGGCAGTGTGTATACGCTGCCAGCACCACCTGGACCCAGTAATGTGTACCCCGTTCAACATGCCACGCTGGGAATGAGTTCGGTCGCGTACGGACCAAGTAAGAGTGATCACCTTGAACAACCCGTGTATCGCATTATAACTCCCACTGTTATCCCAGCGCATACCCTGTCGCACACCAAATATCGCGTTGCAGACTTCCACTCGCCGTTGGTGGGATCCATGTTGCCGGTGCCGCCGGGTTACATTAAACACGGACATGCCGGACATACGGGCGCTGCTGCTAACCAATTACAAGCTGTACATTTATCTCAACTGCAGAATAAACACTACCCACAAGAACCCTCTGTCCCGGCCAGAATTGCCGCAAAACGTATGTATCGCCCATTTCCGTACATACGGAGAATGCCCGCCGTTTTTCGAGTGGCATAACTAGTAACAATTTTTTGACATATACTTTTTATTTCCATACGTGAAGTTAGCTAACGTTTGTATTTGCTGCTCGTACACTTTATATTCGATTTTAAGTAAGCGATGCTTTTAAATTTTATGACAGTTTTATACGATGATATGATTCACACTTGAGACAACTGCGTTTAATTAAAGTCAAAACAAAGCGCCAAATTATTCGGTCTTCCGATATTAACTAGATACGCTCTAATTACGAAAATACAAGTCGCTTGTTGCAGATGCTTATCCAGCTGCACTGGGAGAAGTAATCGTCTCCATCAGTAAACCACCCGGTCTCGTTATTCAACCAAATTCACCAGCATATCCGCCTCCAGTCCCCACTATCGTTACGCCGGTTGAGCAGCAGCCGACCCAGCCTAATTCTCCACTTCTTATCCCGTCCACACACGTCGACCCTTATGCACCGGCTCCCGCGTATCCGCCTCAGCCAACAGTCGACACGGGCTCCAGCTCCGTAGCCATCTCGCATAATGAAGTGGCAATTACACAACTGGACAGCTATATTTCCCCACCCTGCGCCCAATCAGGATTGTCGTACTGCTTTACGGATCCGGACTATCCTATGTATGGATTTTAAAGCTGCTACTTTTAAGTATTCTTTAGGCATTGCTTAATTTTAGAGCGGAAATTAATGCGTACATTACGACCTATCCGGAGAGGTATCAGATTTTGCGCTCGATGGTGACATGGAAAACAAACGCACAGCATGTCAGCGCTTCCTCTTCCCTTACCGGTATGCATACGAAAAATACCGTTTACGAATACAAAAGTAGACTTCTAATTTTAGTTAGCTGTCGCAGTGTATTAAATGATTGCGAAGTAACGTTCTCTAAATTATGTTTCAACATTTAGCAACAAAGTTACTGAAGAAATGATAGTAGGCTAAATAACCACTGGTGTTTTTCTAGCCAATACCGCTTCTCAAGCATCCGGCGAAGCTGCTGAGCCAGCACCAGCTGAGCCGACACCCACCGCTAGTAATGCTACGGAAATGTGCGTTTCCCATGTCAATCCATCTGCAAAACTTTATCGGGCGCTTAATGCGCATGATAAATGGAAATGTATTGTCCACTTGCCGGAAGCGTATCAAGCTGCACATTGTGACACCTGCGATACGTAAGGATGTTTTGTGCATTACTGTCACCTCGCTCAAAAGAGTAGTAAATGAATTTTCAATCGCGAATGTGAATTTATTTGCTCTATACAAGAGCGAGGAGATGGCATTACTTATGTACTCACGCACAATAATTGAAAATAATCCATGCGACTGTATTGTAATTATCAGGAATCGCACCTGTAAATATGTCGACAGCAGGATTCAGAGTCAGTGCGTACAAGAATTCGTCCTACAGCAAATGATGGTTTACTCACCGGAATTTGGCCTACATTTGGACGAAATGAAAGTGCCGCGAGGATGCCAGTGTCGGCTAATAGACACCGGCAGCCATTATCCACCACCTCCGCCACCGGTACCGACGGCTGGGTCATACGTCAGCCCAACGGCTCAGCACTACTGAATTCCATAATTTATTGAACTCTAATACAAAGACTCCTTATTTTTTGTTGTTACAGTTTTTGGTTTAATGTTCTGTGGACAACTGATCCAAATTTTTATACAACAAAGCAAGCAGCTAAAATATTTTTGTGTGGCCTTTACGTTTCCAGATCTGCAATAAATTATATAAAATACTACTGAAATCCAGGCACGATTGTCCTTAATCATTCACGAAATCGCTTTTTATTTACACATTGCTATAAATCAGAACGCTGCGTTCATCACTGATAAAAAATTTAGGCAGAAAGAAATATTCATAAAAGCTAAAACATCAGAAACCAACAAAAATCAATGGTGCAAATCAGAAGGATTAAAGTTTTGGTTAACAATTCCTCCGGATATTGTGGCAATATCTTGCCTTTGAATTGGAGATCGATGATAGGTGTGCGGACGAAATGTTCCTGTCTATTCATATGAAAAGAAAACTGTTACTCGTCAAAAACCATCTAAGAAATCGACTATATCCTAGTTCCACATACCGTTGCCGGCTCTCTGGATAAATCCAAATCAGGCCTTCTCAAATTTGGTCCTACGTAATTTAGATCTTCATCCTCTTCCTCTAAATTTTGCTGCCGGTTGAAAACGTCGACAGCGCGGTGTCGAGACTCGTCCACGCCGGGTGTCAGTGACCCAATTGGATATTCCGGATTATAAAAATAACCGGTAAGTTTGGCATTTTTCGGTGGGATATGCCGACGTGCATAATCAGGATGCTGCAGTTGCAATGAAATGTTGATAATTCAAATCACAATATTAAACGCTTCGCAGAGCACGAATTAAAAATTAAGCATTAAATGCGGTACCATTACCAAATGGGCGTTAGCTTCCGCGGATAAAAATTCCGGTATCTGTCGCGGTGAATATGTTTTGTGTGCATTTCGCCGTCGAATGTAGAAGATAAAATGTATTATCAGGATAATAAGGGCAATGATAAGGAGCACAGTAATTGCGATCAGCCAGGGATAGAGAGCGTCGCCGTGGGATGAGGTCTGGCTCAGAGACAACGTTGTTCCGGAAGCGATTGTGCTGTTATTGGTAACAGAATCGCCGTTCAGTGCCAGCGTAATGGGATACAGCGGTGCTGCACGGCTGGCTACGGTATGATCAAAATCCAAATCTGTCATCGCCAATACCGGAAAACGGGTTGCCGGAAAACCCAAGAGTGGTTCTCCTACTGCAACAACAACAAACAATTCAGTTGAGAAAGACGCAGCAATAATTTTTAGTTTTTACCGTTTTTGCAACGCAGACTGCAATAATAGCACTATAAGCACTTTATTTTCTGTGCTCGACAAAATAACAATTAAGCAGTTGATAAGCACAAATACAATTCGTTCCATCATACTCGTCTTAAGAAGAAAAATGTAAGGAATACCGTACAAAAACCCAGTTCTGGTAGAAATTACAAAATCATTAGAGTTTCATGCCACGTTATAGAATTATATGGACATGACCTTTAATTTAGGTAGAAGTTAGAACGATTTAAGTAAAATTGCCGTAATATGAGCGAGAATCATTTTATAATAAAATCAATCCATGTACTACCAAATAATTTATACACTTTAACAGTTAATTATGTCACAACTAGAAAATTCGATACACTGCTATTTTTTTAGTTCGGCATTTTGTAATACATACAAACACATCCGTTCGGATTTGCGGAGGTCAAATTTACAAATCCATTCAAGCATTTATCGCAGGTCGTTCCTATAACAAATCGTTTGCATAAGCACGTCCCATTACGACTGCATTGTTCGGGTGTCGTTCCGGCCGACACGCAACCGCACTCCACGCAGCGTTGTCCCGTCAGAAATTTGCCCCGCTCACACTCATCGCATCGCTGTCCAGCGAATCCAGCGACGCACAAACACATTCCGGTCTGGTTGTCGCATACTTCCGCCGTCGATCCCAGCGCTGCACAGTTGCAGGGAAGACAGCCACGCGCGGCATCGAAGAACCCCGCGCGGCAGGCGGAACACTTGGTGCCGGTGTAATTAATTTTGCAAAAACATGCCCCGGTTGCGAGACAGGTTTCGTTAACCGATCCGGGTAACGAACACTCGCAAGGTAAACACGATGTCGGATCGCTCAGGGAACGGTAGAATTTGTCACCACAACTGTTAAAATTCAAAGCGCACTGTAATTCGTACCGGCAGTTTCAAATAAATACAAAGCAGATGATGAGAGGGAATCGCCAGAAAATTGCATAATTTAATTACCGTCCATAGATGCTAACTTCGGCAATTCGGTACACGTCCCATCCATAGTCGGTGCCGGTTGCTACAGTGCCTGGCTGCAGAGGAAGGAGATGTCCTTCTAAGGTAACACGCACAGCTACTGTGCTAAAGAACTGTTGCAGTTCAGGATTTCTTGAAATCTCCGGTGCACCAGGTCGTCCTTGAAAGACATTCCAATACACAGAATCCTGCCGGTGTGATCCATTTGGTGCCCTTTATAATTAAATGATATAGTTTAAATCATCTCGCTATAATTAGATGTTTACTTTCTACTTTTTACTATAATACCAAGATTGTAAAAAGAAACAATACAAACTGTAAAAAATAAACTGAAATGTAAGCGACCTGTAAGCGACCTTTTTAAAGGATAGGTGCAAAGTGGTTTTACCTACAGTATACGTAGTGTTTTTCAACCTCCATAAATGCACGCTGCACCGTACGTGCGAGGTATACTTAGGTTGTTGTGAGCTTTTATGTCATTAAGTATTCCTTTTTGTCGATTTACAATATTTTGAAAATGGAAAAAGTTAGGAAAGTACCAGTCGGACCATCAATATTCAACAGTAATCTCATGATGACTTCAAGCGTAAAATCCTTACCACGGCAGGGTGCTGCATTGTATTGTATTGACCGCTGCTAACTTTTGATCGGGCTGAATGCCAAAGGAGCGCATGCAATCAACGGCGTAATACTGCCATGAAACCCACGCTGTGGCTCCTTCGGTAAATCGTTCAATGGCAATCGCTGCAGGAGGATTTCCAGAAAAGACGAGCCGAAGGTGGAAGACCTGTATAGCGAAGGATTTCATGCGTATTATATCATAATACACTCAATACAGCTGCGATTTGTTGACTGCAATAGTAGATTCCTCTTACATCGTAATTAATGCCACTGAAATTGGCCACTAGTTCCAGGCGGTCCAAGCTGCGAGTGACAAAAACACTGCCCAAATTTTCGTCGTTGATAGCGCTAATTGAAATATCTTTTGGTGTACATGTTGCGACAAGGCACTGCTGCACTGGATTATCGCTTCTTGCCGGAGCGGCTGGCGCATCGCTTGGAAGACAATATGTTTTGGGAGAGACGCATGCAGCATCCGCCGGATGAAGGTGCAATGTCTTTTTATTCAGAATATTCCACATTACCGAATCATTTCCCCCAGACTGACCAGTAGCAGCAATAATAAATAAAAAAAGCACGAAACCGATGAGTTCTATTAGCGTAAACATCTTGACAGATCTACTTCCGGTTGCTTCAAATCATAGCGCAAAATGTGCAATTGTGGTACGCAGAGTCATCATTCGCTTGGATTGTTCTCGAAATAAACAACGAATAAAAACTTTGCAGTCAGATTAATATTGTCTGTGTACAGGTACATAACAAATGAAAAATCCCGTGAGTTTTAATGATTAATCTTTTGACAACCAGAAACAACACGAAGCCGACGTTAATCAGATCGTAAGATACTGCATATACAAGTATGCACACATCGACAATCCACGACCAGGTTTTCTGAGCATTGCTGTGAAGGATGCCAAAACAGATTTGTGCAAATCGACCCTGAGAATCCGTTGTATTAGGGTCGAAGCATTGTAAAATGTATTCCAGAAAGCTGCAAGTATCCATAAACCAATACCGATCGATAAAATTATAGGTATGCGGCAGGTCTTATTGACACACATATGTGGAATAACACACCGGTCTCTAATACTGACCTGTCACACAACAATCAATATGGGGGTAATAGGCAAAACCTGGATCGCTTACGAATTTACGGCCTCATGCGTTAGACTAAATTCAAAGTGTACAGTATTATATACGCATAAAGCAATTCTAATTCGTTGCCCAACGTAGAATGCGCTGAACAGGTGAGTATTCCACAGTCCCCAGAGCATCCTGACTCCTGAGCTATTCCTATATAGTGAGAAAGTTTCTCTCCAAAATCAGTAGGCACTAAAATCCGAAATACCGATATTAATTACATCATTGTCGGCTGATAAAACTTGAAAATAAACGAGTTTTTTGTGAGATTCTGGAAACCTTTCAACAGTTCAGAATCATACTGTTATACTTAATTATTGTGCTACATCCCGTCCCACTGTACGGGTTCATATTGTACATTATTAATAATTTAATACAAGCGTGTTTCAAAAACCGGTAAAACTACGAGTATAACAGCGAAATAAAAAGTTCTGGCTAGAGGTTGTGCTTTAACCCTTTAACAACTTTCCCGGTCTGCCGCTGTAAAAGTAACAATACGGTTCTTGCTTGACCTTCCTGAGAACATGTAACGCAACCTTGAATAACTGAATCAGGAAAACTTAAGCATTTCTTTTAAACTTCGGCTAAAAATAAAATCATATTCCTACTAATTTATTAAGTGAACTGTGCCAAACAAGACCAAGAGATATACTATACCAAAAACATAAGCGAACCGGCACAAGAATTTGTAAAATAGAGCAAATAGCGTCATTATTTACTGTAAACTTGGTGGGCGTGTGACGCACCTCTGCTGCATCCGCCTGTTCGCACTAATTTGGGGAATATGGGATCAACCGCTTGAGCATTCCGATGACGGCCGACTCGACCCACTGTTCGTACGTAAGTACCGTATTCATACTGCAACTGCAACTCGTCTGGCACGAGTCTCGATTGCTTTTAATTTGCGGAGTTTAGAGTTTTTTGTTTATTTCAAAATCAAAGTATGAGTACAGTTCGATAATTTGATAAATCGTTTCTAACACTTTTGAAGTGCTTAGTTTGGGTATGTACCGATCATAAAACTATTGACATGCCAGCTGTATGTGGTTCATGCTTTTATAAGCATACCGTTTTGTAGTTTTATTGCAGTGTTACGTATTATACCGCGCCATTGCGATCCCTGAGCGACCTCCAGGTCTTTATTTTCAGCGTGTTTTGCTGTTTTCCGATTGATTTGATAACATTTCGCTGAAGGTTTCGAGATTCTTCTGACTGGACTATTGGTATTGGAAAATGAGTTTTGATATACGATGAAAGTGTCAAGAAGGAGATACCCCTGCAGCGCTTGGGAGTGTTGATGTTGCCCATTTCTAGGTAGCGAGAAGATGCCAGTGCTGCTGGCAGATGCTTCAACCCTGTTTTATCCGTTTCGTGCACGCGGTGCCCGCGCATCGGACACTGCTTGATAGACAGCCAGAATGCACAGCAGCAGTTTCTGCGCCATGCAGATGCCCCGTATTGCGCGTGGGGCCGCGGAAAGGTGGAATCAGGTGACTGGATGCCTGCCACTGACGCTGCAGCGATCTCTCATCACTCTCCAGTCCCCTTCTCAATGCCTCGCAATCCCGAACCCCTTCGGTTGCCGTAAAGTGGCCAAAGTGGCTGTACAGAGTCCTTGGATTGCTCCCACTGCCACGTTACGCAACACACCGTCATCTCTTGCCGCCGCGGGATGTCCGCCTTTTGGATTCCTTTTCGACATCGACGGAGTGTTCCTGCGCGGGCGCGATGCACTGCCCGCCGCAGGAGAGGCGCTGCAGCGTTTATTGGATTCTCAGGGGCGATTTCGTGTGCCCACGGTGTTCGTTACCAATGCGGGAAATGCGCTGCGGTGGGAGAAAGCCAGTACGCTTTCCAAATTGTTTAACGTGAAGGTTGGTGGGATCACTGAAATGCGTGTTGTTTTAGTCGCGTGACTGATAGTATGTTGTTTTTGTAAGACGCCCTTCTTGCAGATCGATCCCGACCAAGTGATCTTGGCTCATAGCCCTCTGCAGATGTTTCGTCAGTATCAGAACAAACACTTTTTGGTCAGTGGACAAGGCCCGGCCGCGGAGATTGCGGAAAGCGTGGGTTTTACCAACATTATCACCATGGAACAATTACGAAACCGTTTTCCGATGCTGGATATGGTCGATATGCGGCGGAGAGATGTGCCTGTACGTTGTTGCTTATTCACTTTAACTCTCTCTTTATTCTCCACAGCATCTTATTGATTGAAGAATTGGGTGTTTTGCAGAGAACGCGTTTCGAACACGATTTCCAGAAAATTGAAGGGATTTTGCTTTTGGGTACGTCGAGCATTCTCTTCTATGATTTAAATTATCACAGTGTGTCAGTTGTCATGTTTTAGGCGAGCCGGTGAATTGGGAAACGTCGCTCCAGTTGATTGTCGATGTGTTGGTATGAACTGTTAAAACATTTAAGCATATGGGTTTGTCCCTGCATTGTGGACTGTCTTTTTTTTGCCAGATGACAGACGGCCAACCCACTCATCGTCCGGTTGAAACGCCCAGTCCTCATCTGCCCATCTTGGCTTGTAACATGGATTTGTTATGGATGGCCGAAGCACCGCTGCCGCGGATTGGCCATGGAAGTTTTCTGTTGTGTTTGGAAGCGTTATACCACAAACTGACCGGTGACCACATTAGCTACAGCGCCCTGGTTGGTAAACCTAGCGAAGCAACGTACCATCACGCGGAATATTGTTTAAGCCTGCAAGCGGCGGCCATCCTTGGGATCCGGGACAAGAAGAGCGCTGCTAGATCCAAATGCACGATCTCTCGTATATATGCCATCGGGTAAGCAGGTTTATCAGTTTAATTGAGCTGCTCGTATGTATTTATGTTGACATATGAATTACACTCACACTTGCGCATAAATGTGAAAATTGATTGTTTTCCACAGAGATAATCCCGACACGGATGTTTTTGGTGGAAATCTGTATGACAAGTTTCTTCAGCGGCGGCGGACATTGGGTCGCCAGAGTAATTATGGCTCCGACGCGCCGCATCTAGTGTTACCGGAAGTGGGCGAGGTTGACATCCATGCAGCTGTACGCGCCGGTGCCACATCGGAAATCGCCAAAATAGTACATCATAAACCTGTAACTCAGGACATGCAAGAATCGATGGAGGAGGTTGAACGTAATGCGACTGAAGAGGAGCAGTTCGCCGAAACGTGCGTTACCATTCTGGTGGAAAGTGGTGTATACAGTGCGGCTCATGCTGAATCACAGTCGCAACGGAGCGAAGTCAGTCATCAGCACCGGGATTTTCACCATAATCAGCTCGGTCTGGAGCACAAGGAGAGCAGCGGATTGTACCAGCCGAAGTACATCTGTAAGAATGTTTTGGATGCAGTGGATAAAGTGTTCAGCATTGAAGGCTTCGGAGCTAACGCCGGACAAGGATAGCGGACTTGGTCTCCTGTATTAGGCCGATCGTCGGTCGGCCAGATGAATTCTAGTCCTCATGGAGTGGATAGGTGGGATCCACGGAAAATCATGTGCCCGGCTGCGTTCGTATAGTGTGATGAGCTATCATTGGTCATGCTGGGTGGGTAACGTTGTAAGCAGTGTTGTCGTTCGCTTCGAAGCATAAAGGAAAGGAAGAAGCTTCGTGATTATCTGAGTCTAATAGTTCCTTTGAAGTGGTGATTTCTGTCTGCGTGACACGTATAGGCGTGAGATGAGATTGTTTACAGACTGTAAAATATATTAACAGAGAATCGGAGAGGCTCTTTACCGGGTTGAATTGTAGTGGGAATTGCTGTGATCTGAAATCACCTAGTGTCACTTGAGAAATAAAACTTCGGTTTTCGGTTGCTTTTGCCTATAGGACAAATGCTGTAATAAAATTCATCTCGGTCATATGCCATAATCGATGACCGCTGTAAACATTCTACTTTGACGATTTTTAATCTGAATTTGACGAATCTCGTAGTTTCGTAGTTTGATAAAAAATTTCGTAATCTCGTAGTTTGATAAAAAATTTCAGCAACTCACGATTACAGTTTTCATTAGAATTGTATGTAAATTTATACTGTCATCCGTTTTATTTGCGATTTAATATCGTATCTGTCATCAAATGAATTTGCACACCGGGCTCTGCTATCAAAAATATGTACACTATTAAACTTTCAAACACAACTCAAGTACTTACTCGCTAACCGGCTACAATAACAATATAAAACATTAAAATGCAGAAATCGACGATCAACGACACCCGCACATAGCGATCGAACCACAATAAAATTATACAAAGATATTTGATGAAACTCGCAATTTTTTTATTCTAACTACGAACAGTCACACAGTGTAACAGAATCATCATATTCTGTTATCAGTGTATATTCGAATGCATATTGGGGCTTGCATTCTGCAGCAACTGTCGTAGCTGTGGGTCCTGCTGTTGATTGCGTTGTTGCATGAGGAACATCTGCTGCTGTTGCTGTAATCTCTGTTGCAAACTCGGTTCCTGCATCATTTGCTGCTGACCCATTCCCGGGTTAAGCGTCTGAAATCCGCTCATGCCCATAGACTGTCCAAGCTGCTGCTGCTGCATTTGTTGCTGTTGCATTGCATATCCTGAATCCATGCCCATTGTATTCATGGCGCCGCCGCCCATATTGTTAAACTGCTGGATGTTCTGCATTTGTCGATACTGCTGTGGCATCTGCTGAGAATTCTGGGAGAGTTGAGCCTGTTGCTGCTGCTGTGACTGCATCATCTGTTGTTGGAGATGCGGCTGCTGCTGCATCTGATGGAGACCGGCATTCTGAGCATTTTGCTGTTGTTGTTGTTGATGCTGCTGTTGTTGTTGCTGCGCACGGCTCTGCAGCATCTGGCGCAGACTGTCCACAAATCCCACCTGATCCCGGGGAATCAGTCCTTGAAAGCTATTTGCTGCTTGATTGAATATAAAAACAATCACTCGCAGCTCCACCGTTGTGGCTTCACCTCTGTGCAATCCGGTCTACAAATATAAATTTTTTTTTTAATTTTCCATTTTGTGTACTTGGTATGTGATCAAATTTCTCACCACCACGTGCAAATTCGGTATGTGGTTGGATGCAGGAATCAAGATGCACCCAAGCGACGGTGACCTCTTCAGCATGTACTCAATCAGCTCTCGTACAGCAACATCTCCATTAGGCATTGTTGATTTAAAAGCGAAATGAATCTTTATCGGCGAGTCCATGAACGCTTTCATATGCTGGATGAAGTTATTCGGGAGGAACTGTACCCCAAGTTTGGGAGGCCATCGCTCCGCTCTTCTGCAAAGCCAATAAGTGTCACTGTATTCTAGGCTTTCTAACAAGAAATGCAATCACTGCAAGCGGCATACATAATGTCTGGCGCAGGAACCCATATCTCACACTGCTGCTGGACAAGCGTGGCCGGCTGACCAGCCACTCGCTCTCGCGGACTAGCCCACTCCATGATACCTTCCCACACAATACATTTGCCCTCATGAATCCGACCAGAGCCACCCTGCGGTGGGGCGACACCGGCTGATGACGGATGGGGAAAGGACGGTACGGAGGCGGTGAGCGGGCTATTAAACTGTCTCATATCCGGAGCACCTGGGCGGGGAAACTGCTGCTTGACGGTATCGGCGATCTGCGTCACGGATACGCTGGGTGGTCGAGTTGTAACACCCAGACCAGCCCGTGGTGTAGGCACAGTGGGAAGGGAAACCGGGGCGGTGAATCTCGGAACAGTGCTGAACATATCCATCGCTGGTTGGGGCAGATTAGGAATGGGCAATGGAGAGGCGCGCTGTTGCGGTGGCAACGGGCGAGGGCTCTCGCTGGGTTTAGGAAACATGGGTGCACTGGGATCCATCATAGCGGGCATGGCTTCCTGAGGGGTCACGACATTTCTCGGTGACAGAACATCGGCCACCGATAAAGGAGATTTCAGCTTTGGAACTGGCAAGTTTCCGCTGCTATCCAGTAGATTGCTTAGGATAGAGTTAGATTCTTTTCTCTCGAGAGGTGCTGGAGCGGGCGACAAGTCCACCGTCTGTGGGCGTGCCGGTAACTGTTGTTCCATTGGAACAACTGGCGTTGTATCCATCGGCTGCGTGGCCGGGCTAATTAATCCCGCATCCAACGGGATGGACGGAGATGCTTTCTCAGGCACCGGACGGATGGTGATATTGTTCAGCAAAACCATATGCATCGGATTGACGTTAGCACTCGTCTCGACGAAGGAACTAAGATGCTGCGTACCCTCAAAGATTTCACGAAGGAACTTATTCCGGCGGGTGCAGATCACCGAAAAATGGATGTCTTCCTGTAGGAGAAAATTCGGGGCGTCGGCCACTGTGCGAGGACGATTGGGATTGGTCATCACGGCATCTTCGAACGGAGTCGACTGACCGACGACAATGAAATGCTTTTCCACCGGTTGGTCTTTGAGATGCTTGGAGATGAGTCGGTGCATGTATCGTACTCCCGTCGACAAGGCTTCGAGAAAACAGCACTCGTAAGATAACTGGAATGATGCGCGATCAGCGGGAATGTGGTCGAACCATTCCAGCACTGCCTCTTCGTTATCTGTAGGTTGGATACCGCAGTAAGTTTCCTGACCGATGGGCGCATCTAAAAGAACCAGAACATCAACACCAGCTGCCTCGTACCGAAAAGTGACATAATACAGGAGGTTGCCTTCACGGCTTTATAATAATAATTATGTAACACAATAAATTGCACAGTAGTGAGCACAAGCAGTAATAGTGAATAGCCACTGAATACCCCTTTAAAAGTTAAAAATGCTAGTTTTAAATGCAAGAAATTCTGTACGGGAATTCCGAAACATCCATATGCAGAAGTCTTGAATCTTATATCAAACCGAAACTTCTACTGAATAGGTTAGTGCTTTGCAACCATATAAAATAATAACAATCTGAACTGTTCTTCTCACCTCCGGAATAATAAAACACGAATCCATACCACGCGTCCTTGATCCAACCATAGCTGCACGCAATCAAAAATAAAATTAGGGAAATATTCTTTCACCTTGCAACATGAACTCTTCCCCGATTGCAAAACAATCACAAACCTGGATGAGTCTCCGTCTGCTGAATTGACAGCCTTGAAATAGGATAGAACTGGCGAGATATAAGCGCTTTTCAAAAGAGGCATATGCCTTTCCAGCTTGCCAGTCGCTTCTACCAGGAACACCACAGCGTACTTTGGTGGCACAGATATCTGCATAGATGTCGTGTCTTCCACAACAGGAACGCTGGCAATTCCTGTTGGTTCAAATTCTAAAAATTTCGGTTCAAACCCATCCATGGCTACCAGCTGGAGAGCTTCCGCGGGATCTATCTGTGTGATCGTGTACAACTGCGCGTGGTCATAATTCACGCTCATCCCAGCGCTGGCACTGTAAAAATGTAAACATAATCATGGTACGGTATCTGGGCCAAATGGTTCGCTTAACCGACTTGCCATATTCGTGTACCGCTTAGTTCGTTTTGACTTTTTTGGTGTTGAAATTAAACAGACTCAAACTTACGCCAGATAGACGGGAAAATATCCGATCGGATAATCCAGTCTAATGCCGATTAAGTCAAAATTTCAAACGAAAATATTTTGTAGTATTTCCATTATAAATTTTCGTATGGGATCGTATGTAGACAAAATTTCTTTTGTCGTGTTTGCAAAGGTATAACACGCAAACGGACAACCACAGACCACAGTCAATAATTTTCGCATTCAGTTCGTGATGCATCATGCAGCTGACCGCTTCCTTTAGGGCACGCAATATCTGTCGGAAGAATTATAAGTGTATACGTCGCCACTGTACATTTACCCAGAGGGGAACGATCTCGTAGAAAAAACGCACGAAAAAAAGCGTTCGATTAAGGTTAGATCAAATAAGTACGCTAATATACGAACAAATGCACTTGTAAGTACTTATGTATATCTACCCCGTACCTTCAGTACCCATCTGATGCGACTTTGATGCTAACATGCTAACAAGATATTACCTACTTACCGGCAGACTTCAACGTGGAAAAATACTATAAATTATAATTATACAACTAACGGGAGTAGTTAAAGCCAGTTAATTAAATCGTCATTAACAGTTTGAACTGAACCAAAAACTGAAGACACCATAAGCAGGCAAATATCCAGCTTAAAAAATCAAACAGGTTCTTGTCGTTGCATATGATGAAGGTTATGAGAACTGTAATGAATTAGTAGTGACGAAGTACCTTGAAGACATTGCGCTGTACAACCATGAGCAACATGACGCAAATAACCGTATTTCTACGCATAAACTGTGGTAGTACTTGCGCTATAAACAATTTTTCCTAGCCGGTACTATTAAAGAGCTGCCGGTTATCCCATGATTAATAACGCTTCAATCCAACTGGATTAAGCTCCTCTGCCAAAAGAAGGTAATTCAAGGGAAACTGCAAGCCGCAGCGCCAGCTACAAGTGCAATGGAATCGGCATATCGTTCGATATACCATCCCCTAACGCTGAATATTTCAACAATACCTGTAATGTCACTATATATAATGTGCAAAACTACGCGATGCGTTGGATGCAATCAGTATAAGCGTCAGTAATTTCCGGTTTTCGTTTGATTATAATGTTTACATCTAAAACTATGCATCAAGTGAGTTTCAGTTAACAATGCTTTTTATTTACATCCCAAGTCAGTAAATCAAGAATAAACTTGCTTACGACGAGCGACACATAATACAGTCCATAACATCACCTACAAATTTTGATTTTTTTCTAGCTGTAGACGAGCCAAAAATTTGGATACGTACAACAAAACCACACCCCAATTCTAATGGATTTACCGTCAAAATAAATTTAAACAACGGAAAAAAATTTTCATACGGGTCGTTTTGATTTCTGTATCAAATTGTGCGTAAGTCTTCCGCTGACGTTTGAATCGAGCGGAACTCGAAACGCATATTATACAAAAAGAACGCTAACTATTATATACAGCACCGGCATTCGGTTGATGTTTTAAAATTTGTATCTTTTAGCAACAAGCGCCCGGTTCGCGCTGTACGTGGGACCACTAACGATGCGTGAAGAAGTCCCGGAAACGCAACTTTTTCCGGATGTGGACATGGAGACATGCGATGCCGCAGGTGGGGCAGGCTTCGCTTGTGCAGCAAACATCCGAGAGGCGACACGAGGATCAGTTGGTATGGCGGTCGGTGCGCGCATTGGTGGATCTTTTCTCGGCAGTACAGAGCCCGTTCGGACGGGGTTTGTGGTCCGCCTGCATAACAGCGTGAAATGGTACACAACTGACCTTTCTGGTGAACGTCCAAAAAGTCTGCTAATTATACTGTAAGTCAGTATAACCTTACCTAGCATCGGGAATTGAAGGTGCGAGCGAGATCATGGAAACCGACGGAGACACATCCATTTTGGTCGGCGGGTGACCCCCGGGATCTGTAGTCTGACTGCGAGCGCCACTGGCAGGTCTTTTGTGCAGGCTGGGGCCGGAAAGAAGTCGTAAAATTGTCAAGGTGCAGCACAAACGTGCATTTAACAATAACGTGCAAGGCGACCAGACTATACAAGGAAGCTATACGTACCTGTTGGAAATTATCGTCATCAGTCGGTCGTGCTCTTGTTGGAGTTTGGCTATCGTCCTATAACAGTGAAGAAACATTACCTACAGGTTACAGACTTACAGTTGATGATCATTCTAAAGCATTTCCAGTTTTTTGGCTCACTGCTGGTCAGACGCTATCCGCTGTCGCATTTGCTCAATTTCCTCGGATCTGCTACACAAACAATGTAGGAAAACCTGGTGACTCAGATCTGGTCAGCGAAAAAAAACGTAAACCGCAGTTCTCACCTCGAAGCCCCATTCGATGGCGCACTGGCCTGTAACCATAACCATAAAATAACAAAATCATTTTTTTGCAAACGTTCAGCATGCATAGCCAGACAAATAAGTGACGCGGGTTTATTCACTCCAAAAATAAACTGACCATGCGGGTCGCACTAATTTATTTTACCTTCCGCTTCAAATGACTGACAAGATTCCTCCGCTGGCTCTCTTGGAAGCTGTGCGCTTTGGCAAAACTGCTCCATAGAGTGGTGGTTTCTTTTTGAAGAGTGGAAAGCTTTTGGAAATAATCTTCCAATGATCGGAAATATACGGCAATAGAAGGATCCATCTGAAATTCGTAATGTATGACATCACCAAATATTTCACGTAACTCACCACTGTAAGCTTACTCTTTAATCAAAACAGCCAATGCAAAATCGTTAAGCGCCTTTCGATTTATTTTCTTAGCTATTTTTTAAAATAATACAGCTAAAGGAGTGATGACACGTAATCAGAAATCTGGAATTTGTTCAGTGAAATTGTAAACCAGCTGGCTGCAGCGCTCTTCGCTTGTCAGAACAACTTACATCTTTGCTAATGCCCATTGTCCGACAGTCACTACGACACTGCATACATTTTCCTCGCATCTTTTCTGTTCAGAATAAGATTGGAATTTGCACAGCCCAATCATGTAATTCTACCGTTAGACAATTCGTAAGACGGCAATGAAACCTGCTCACCTGCACATCTCCGACAAAATAAGTGCCCTGAAAGTAAAACAGTTACTGATATTAAAACGTCACGTACACAGTGTGCGTGTACGATAAGTCTCATCATAAGCATGGGCGCGGTAAAAATATAGAATGAAAGGGATCTTCTTGGATGATTAAGTAAGCTTTATAAAACGGCTCGCACATACCGCAGTTGGTAATGATAAATTTCAAGATATCCACTTCTATATTCGGCTGTAAAAAACAACTATTGCAGTGCACCCAGTCCATTTTCATCGGAAGTATTGAGAGTGACCACGGGACAGTCGTTATAGGCCATGGGATGAAACTGTAGATCTAGAGCGCGTTGCAAATTTTGATCAGCAAAGCAGTGGAGGACATTCAGCGCAATAAAACCTAAGATTTGGAGACTTTGAACCAGAAAATTTAAGAAAGCCCAGAAAATATTAAAACCGCTGAATTTTAACTCTGTATTGTACTCTGTCGCTATGGGCAAATTGTCCAAAATACCGTTGCAAACTTGCAGCTGCCAGTTTTCACTGCGCGACCTCGCGTCTGCTAGAAAGCATTTCGCACTCATGATTCAAACCGCCCTTCGATTGTAGGGCAGATCCGACCGATAAGATGCTGTAGTTTTGTACTCGTAGTTTAGTTTAGTTTCAATTTTTACAGTTAAAATTTTTTCTGCTTTCCAGGCGTTTTGAAATATACAGTTGGCAGATTATTTCACCGACAAAACACCGCCTTGCAAGAAAGCACAATTTCTTGCAGTTCAGAGTTACTTTGTTCTAAGTTTTAGTTATTGGACGCTATTGGACGTCATGAGTGCTTCGACGGTAGAGCATACGGATAAGCCATTTGATAACGACCATGATGACGATGATCCTCCCGCTCTATCCGAGGAAACATTGCGAGCGCTAGCAGAATTTCGAAGAGAACAAGAAACTGGATTACTCTCTGGAACTGACAGTTTGCCGGTGTCAGAGAATTGGGTAAGCAGGTGTGCTTCGAAGTTAGCCGTCCTGGTAGAATCTTGTGAAGTTGTAGTCTGCTTAGTTATATACAGTATTGGCGCTTATCGTGCATTTGTAGTAATTTTTGTGGTTAATTTAAATTATTAAATGAAATACAAATGGTAAGTAAGCGTATTTGCTCTACTGTACCGCAGCTAGAATGGGATGCTTACTTCCTGCTTAATAATCTTAAAATTTTTCAGCAATTAAGCCAGTTTTGGTACGATGAATCCACCTGTCAGATGCTGGCGCGAGAAGTTTGGGAGAGCACAGAACCTGGCGAAGCGTAAGTTTGACGTTTGCAAGCAAAAATATTCTGCATGCCCGGGATTTGTTTACGTTTTCTACGCTGATTACTTGGGATTATTGCTGGTATTTGCAGAATATGTTGCATTAGCTGTCCTTCGCTGTTCGCTGCCCTCCTGAAGTTTCACGGCCACGATTCTGTTGCTCTGCGAGATCGCGAAATGGTGCTGTTGGAGTATGACGATAGATTTCGAATAACCGCTGGAGACAAGTTTGTTTTCTATGACTATAACCTTCCGGATGACATCCCTTCACAATTAATGGGAAAATTCGCCTTCATTGCGGCTGATCCACCGTTTCTTTCGGAAGAATGCTTGGAAAAAGTATCTTTAGCCGTGAGAAAATTGGCGAAACCTGAATGTAAAGTTCTTTTGTGCACCGGTGAAATCATGGAAGACACGGCTGCAAAATTGCTGAGTGTCAAAAAATGCCGCTATTCGCCGGTACATAAAAGCAAATTGTCGAATTCCTTTGCAACTTTTACTAATTATGATCCTTCTGTTCTTGACAACTTGTAAATTCAACTACCGCCTACTGGTAGTTATTTTTGATCAAAGATATAAAAAATCGAATTAATACGAGTGATGGGTTAAATGTGCTTTATCGCATCTATAGTTTTATTTATAACTATTATGCTTGCGCAAAGATTATTTTCGGCAATTTAAAATTATTTAGAGTTGTAGACAAAAATAGACTGCACAATTATGTGCTTCATAATTATTTGCGTTTTGCCCTTTTGGCGCATGAGCATCACGTTCGTGACACGGAAGGAATCGTTTAGGGTTAATTAAATCTTTGGAAGAAAATTCATGATTTCAGAATTGTATTGCCATTTCCGATCCGTTGTAAAAATAAACTTTCAATTGTTTCCGGAGGGGATGCGTGCGTTTATCCACGAGATGACTTCGTTGACACATTTCGTTCCTACGTTGTTCGGTTCGTTATGTACTCGATGATAAGAGCCGGGATATATCTGCGATGGAAATTCAGAAATAATCATGATCACGAATTTTTATAACTAAATCGACGTTAAGCCACTTCAATATTAACAAGTTTAACAAACCGAAACTGTTTTATCGACACTGGCGGCCTTTTCCAGCAATACTTCAGCTCCCCTGACGTCGCATATTCGGTCCGTGTCACCGTGGATGCACAGCAAGGGCCATGTTATCCGCTCCATGTTGTCCACAATTCGGTCAGCGGCGCATAGTAACACATGTGCGGTTTCCACACTAAGTTTTCCTCGAAAAATCAGTTCGTCGGTATTAAAACGATCAACCTGGAATGAGGAATAGGCCGGCAATGCTTGAATAAATTTTGGGGGCGATATGAAATTAATATTGTACTTACCACAGCGCGATCCCGACATAAGTCGTCGTTGTTAATATTTGCAAGACCTGTAAATCAAATTTCATTGTGAATTCAAAATTCTTGTTCTCGCAGTAAACGCAGAAATTTTATTTCGGTTGTGACCGGTGCTCCGGCCTTATTGGCAGTACTAGTGTACTTGCACAGATACGAAATTCCATACCTAAATTCGGCGTAAGCTTTGAAAAGATTTTCGCCAAAAATCGCTTTGTTGGTGTAGCAGTTTCCGGATTACCAACGATCATTGGGCCTATTAAAATCATGCCCTGGCATATATTCGGCTTTTCGATACCGGCGAGAAGTGCTATTGCGCCTCCCTAAAAGCAGAGTTTCATAGCCCGTCTTTTTTCTTTGTCATGGCATTATTATGGGAAGTTTCGAACTTCCCATGCTATGTTTCTTTCTAAACTGATATCATTACGATATTAATATGATAATCGTACACGTATTTTCGGATGCTGTAAATTATACGAGTATTGTTGAAGTGCACTCACGTCAAACAGTAAGTGCCGCGCGCCTTCGTTGGTGTTACAAGCTCAACCTCGGCCTCCGGCCTCGGTTGAGAATTTTTAGAATTGAAGAAAGTAATGGGGTAGTTTTATAAATATTTAGGAAAAGGAATTTAACTGGATCGGAAATGCGGTTGCGTAAAGTCATCTGCTTATTACTACTAACATTTTACAGTTAATTACTTACTTGTTAGCTTACCATTGAATGACCCAATATAAAAAACGGCACGTCTGGTAGCGATCCACGCACTTTATCAATATGGATCAAAACATCACGGACATACGTATCCACGTTTTTAATTTGCCCGCGAGTTCCTTCGCTTTTACCGTGACCAACTAGGCATCGCCGAAATTGGAATAATGGTGAAACGATATAAAGTAGCTCTTATATTCAAACAGTGAAAATGTGCAGAATAGACTACACCGTATTGTAGCTAGGCAGCTTTTGAAATACTGCATATTATAGTCAACTCACACTTAGTAAAGTGTTTTATTCTTTCTGAAATTATGACTTCGTTATTACATATACCGTGATCGTGTCCGAAAACGAGGAAACCGGCATCCAGCAGACCGTCTATGACTGCATCGTCCGTTCCGAAATATTCAGCATAACCGTGCAAATAAAGGATCACAGCGCTGCAAGACTAACGAAAGTGAACATCCTGTTTTTTATGTCTTCTTTCTTCTTTTTTTATTTGTTCTATAAGCTTTTTTTACGGCGCGGTACTGAGTACAGAATAGGATAGTTTTGTAATCTTCTTCCGTAAGTTATGGCTGCGGACATTATGGACATAGAGTACTTGTACAGTAGTACCATGGCAAACTAAATCTGCTAGAATAGTATATAATTTTCCATGGTAGTACTGTAACAGATCTTTGTGCGTGCTTGACATTCGGCAGAAACCAGTACGAGTATATGGATTATCGGTCAGCGGTGATGACACAACTTGAAATTAGAAAACATTATATTATTTTATATTTCGTGCTGCCCACGAGATCCAGCGATTTAATAATTGTGTGAACGTAACAACAGAAGTGCAGATATTTCCATTCTTTATCATTTTTTAAGTAAACGTGCACGCGCATCTGCACGCACAGAACGAATAATGAACGATTCAAATAATTAGTTAAAAATCATTATGGTTTCACGGATTTGTGTGGCCACAATACATAATAAAAATTCAACACTGCACACTGGTTGCTTGCAAATGCGAAGTGAAAACATTTGCATTAAAATGCACCGGCCATGGTCGCGTTACCTTGCTAGAGTTTAACTTTGATCATGAAAGCAGAAATTGCGTACCTAACAGAAAGTACTTGTACCCAGAGCTGTGATTTTTGCCGAACTTTTCTAATAATGATGCATGCACTAATCACTATGTAGTGATTATTGATAAATGCATAAATTATATTTTATTGTTCTGAGGTTAGCATGAAAGAAACACATCCAAGCCACAATTATTTCAATCAGGAATGAAAAGAAATAATCGACAAAATGAGGTAATATGCAACTATGCAAGTAACTACCAACATCATGATAAAATAAATTTTTACAGTTTTGCGAAGCTGCAACCGTTGCGTGTTAAAGTTCAGCTTGTAGAATTATTCGGCTTTTATCGAACTCATGGTCAGTGCACCGGAAGTTCCATAACTTGCGCGGCTTACAAAAATATGGCTACGTTATGTAAGGAGCAATTTTACAATTAGCGGCATCGGGAAAAAGTGAAAAATTGCAGAACGTAAAATCAAATATCTAAAGAGAAAAATTGAAATCGTGCAATGAAATGCCATATTCCATAAATATTGTTCATGCAAGAAAGCTAAAAAACTCCTTACGTACCTACTCTAGTAGTGGGTACGATTCCACTCACTAGGTTGTATTTCCTTGCAGTCGTTCAAATGCAAACAGTATAAAAACTGTCCTTGCAAGTAAAAGATGAAAAACGTGAAAAGCACATTTACACACCGACTTTAAATAAGAAACACATCGTCAGTGTCCGACATGGGTGCTACATATCGCGACTGACCACAGCATTTCATTTTGAAATCTATTCGCAAACTACAATTATTATTCATGCCGTACAGAACACTGCATACGGCATTGTATCGTACTTATAGAACAATAATCAAGCAGTTTTCAGTTTTCACACCAGCATAACCTACCGTGGGATTGGATAGCGAACTGAATCCGGCCGGAAATAACGGCAAAACAGATTTAGTCCTTGAGAATTTGTAATATGACGTTCAGATAGTGGCTGATCCATACTGTTGATTCGATTAACGGTGATAATTCCACCAAACCAAATCACGCGCGGAATTTTATACGAGTGTAGATGCCCAATGTGCTCAACGCACGCTCACAATTAACATCCGCCTGATCGTCCCGACAGGTTGTTAAAATTATTCTTCTAATTATCGCTTCCCTAGGAGGAATAACACACCCTTTGCAAATTAGAAGATATCAGGTTTGTATTTGGAAGTATATTATTTTCGAATTTCTGTTTCTGCGTTTTCAGCTCGAGGCAACAAGTTAACAAAAGTTTGTGTAGACGGTTTCACAGGGTAAAAGATTCCGTTCCAATATATGCATGCGTAATACAAAGAGCTGTGCAAAATGAAGAGTTTTTCTGCTGCTGCTGGTAACACATTCATAAAGCACAATGTTTATCTAGCAGGTTTTGCTTAAGCTTGCAAAATATACAACCTTAGCGTTTGGTGTTCGATGCCATTGCCGACCTTCCAAAACTGTGAGCCGAATCGACGCATGCTCTACTCATGTAGAACCAGCGACATTTGTACGTATTCCACTCTATTATCTACGGCACAGGTGGAAGTTCAATCTAAATCTTTATGATATTTGTTGCTAGCTAATCATAGTCATAAACTGTCAACACATGTTACCACAACAATTTTAGCCAATGTAGAGCCAAGGCGAGGTGTATTGTACAATGCGTAAATGCTATGTACCATGGTACGAATGATTTTGTGTGAACTAACGCAAAAGTGGGCACAAGGGACCAATATTCTTTCTACGACAGAACCGGCTTCGGCTTTACGTTGCAGGACGTCACTGGACGTGTGATATAGGTGCAATACTTCGTTGTATAGTGTGCAATCTGAGCAAATTAGAAATTCTTACAGTTACAGTAAATGAATACCTATATTTATTTAAATGAATACATATGTGCAATAATTTACTCGTACTGTATCATGTAGACAGTAACATCCATGACCACGGACATGTGTATGAAAATTAAAGCTTAACCGAAACGTAGAATCCTCTCCGCCATTTCGAATTATATGCTGGCTTGAATTGACGCATTTAAAGAATAACCTTTGTTCAAGCCGGATAATAAGTTTCTCACATACAGTACGCTAAACTATAGATTTTCTTTAGAAAATCCCGGCGTTTCCGAAAGAATTTAGCAAGGTTTTCCAGTTTACTCGGAAGGCATATGAAATCAGACTAATTATATTGGTGACGAAAGAAAAAGGTCACTATTAAATATTCTGCGGTATGCTGCATACTGCTCAAATTTATTTGCACGTTAGTGGAAAACTAGGCAAACAATTCAACAACGGCCAAACGCTTCATCTGTTGCTTTTTTATCAACAAGTAGAGGCTAACACATACGTGCTATACACAAAACATTCGCAAAAACTTGTGGATTGTTCGGAGCGCGACCGATGGTCACCTAGTTCTTTCCGAGACGTTAAACGCAGTTGGTTGAGCGCGTATAGTTCATCTAAAAGTGACGTGAGAAAAACAAATAAAAGTGACGAAGTCTAGTTCTATCTCGCATTGTATGATGAATAAAACAAAATCCATGTCAACTTCTTAATATAATATAGCCGCATGCAGGTGCTCTCTCTGCATGCTCTCAAAATTTTAAAATTAATGATCCCTAAATTAATCGATCCAGTGCTTCGGTAGAGTATCTGTAGATAACGTTAGGTTATACCGATAGATCTATCGTCTAACTGATGGCAAACCCAACTATACAGACTGCAGTTAGTAATAAAATTTAGAAGCTAGCCAGCTCAATAATTGTGAATATATTAAGCGAAAAGTTTAAAATATTTGTGGAAGTACTCGCGGTTCATGCAACTGGTAAGTAAGTCATTGTGGTTCATAGGTAATTTGAATTAAACCACCACGGGATATATTCAGCGGATCAGCATCAAAATCCAGCGAGGCAATATATGCGGCCTCGAATCTCGATCACAGGAAGAGCGCCGACAGGATCAAATTTAGCTCGAATTTTTATTATGATTACACCGTCTCTGTCGGCTGATATTTGATCAGTGGTAATTTCCGAAATTGTTGAAAGAAATGTATATTTAAAGTTGACTAAATTTGAAATAAAGTCATTAATCGACAAGTACCCGTACTGTAAAGTGTAAGGAAGTACATAGTCACATAATAACATTATACGTATGCATTTTTTCTTTTGTTAAATCGGCGGACCGGCGGTATAAAAAGGTCACAATTTTTCTATCCTAGCAGATGTATTTTGTAGCACTCCTTGTGTAAACCATTGGCCCAAGTAGGACAGTTACGTTACGTTCGTTGAGGTGTGAAGGCGAGCATTATTTTTAAGGGGCGGGGGCTCGGGTCAGGCGACTATTGAAACCAGGAAATAAACCATTTTATATTACTAAACTGACAAAATACAGTAATTATCTTTTTCACTAAGACAAGGCAAGATGCCCTTTAGAGCCGGTTTTTTTCATTTTATTAACAGTGCCACTGTGTCATCTCATTTCGGTTGACAGTTTTATGCAAGCCTTAAATTTTGGAGAAACTATTGTTATCTCAGGTAATTACATGCGCACGTGTTTTTAATTAAGTAATATTGTGTGCGCCATTTGGCCCACCTGTTTCCGCCAAATGTAAAGCAGATCACACTTGAGCAAATTTTGAATTACAACTCTTTTAGTGATTCGCTGTGGGTCAGAGCATAGTCAAAGCGGAGAAACCAATGCAACTTTCTCTGTTATACGTTAGTTTTGTTGATCGTTCATTTCGGTTCAAGAGGAGGATTTAGTGATGTCACTGGCAGGCATATTTTGTGCAGAAAGAACCATTGCTCAAAAACTGTGGATCATTCATTCGGGATCGTTGGCTTGAGTTTGTTTTATCATCCTCCTGTAGAAAGCGCTTATCTGCCAGTTTTTTAGTGACAAGGAGTCTGGTTATCTTATATTGTTGTTATTATTTACGATCTGTTGCGGATTCATCGGAAATTTGCGAAGGTGGGTTTTTGTGCAGAAATGTTTTAGCTTTCTCCAAATTTCCTTGCAGTTTTAGAGTGAGCTGCCAGCGCGCTGCTGCTTTACGGTCCGTAAAAAGTTTATACTGTTTAGTCACAGTAGTGTGTACCGTGTTAGTCAGGCATATGGATGATCAAGAAGCTGAAGAGCGCAAAGACATCACATGGCAGATCCTTGTGATGTGCTCCAGTTTCTGTAAACCTTCTGACTGCATGGAGTTTTGTTAAGAAGAGGCGTAAATTGTCAGAAAAACTAATGGTCTCCTTGAAAATTAAATTCTGAAACCATTTTTCCACATTGTACGGTTTGGCATTAGTTGGGTTTGTGCTACTGGGAAATGGGAATGATCCAGATAAATCAGTGTGATAGCCATACTTTCCCATTTGATGAATGATATGCAAGCGATAATACAGGGACATGCAGTCTTATAATTCACTTATATTACTCACCACCAGCTACTGTAATACAGTAATAGAATAAAAATGAAACAATAGCTCAATTCAGCAACAGTACAAGTACAGTGAAGTACGATGATAGCACGACAAAGACAACGTGTAACATTCGTAAATCTACCGAACAATAAAGACAGTCAGACAAAACAATATCAGCATAAAACTCAGAATCTCCACACGCCACACCAACTAGATCACTGGTTGAATGGCGAAAACGCGCCGAAGCGCTTTGGGGTAATACTCGCCCCAGATCCCATCGGGCATGACACACAGAGACTCCGAATTTACACCTCCACGTCCCATCCACCCATCCAGAGGGTTCGGGAGATCCACTCCACGGTCCAATGTGAGCGAAACGACAGCTTCCAGAATGAACATCCATGCGTTCCCGAAAACAGAAAACACAGAGCCCCGAACGCTGCACCAACTAGGTCACTGGTTGAACGGCGAAAACGCGCCGAAGCGCTTTGGGTTAATACTCGCCCCAGATCACATCGAGCACAACATCCAGAAACTCCAGGCTCCCCACCCTCAGGCCGCATGAATCCGGAATGCGAAAATGATATGCAAGCGACGGCAGGTCTCGAGTCAGCGCGGCTCCCGAGCGCACATCCATGGTTTCCAACCTCACCGTTCCCAAAAGCAAAAACAGCAGAATCCCCGAACGCTGCACCAACTAGGTCACTGGTTGAATGGCGAAAATGCGCCGAAGCGCCTGGGGTTAATACTCGCCCCAGATCACATCGAGCACAACGTTCAGAAATACCGAGCTTCCCGCCAACAGGGCCGACGAAGTCTTCTCCGCGGGATGAATTCAGGAACCGATTCAACTCCATGATATGAGAGACGGATGAACAAAGCGAATCAGATCCACCAGATGAGTATGGCGAAGTGAGATGTTACACGGGTGCTAGAGAGCCTCCAGTGGCGGATGCTGGCAGAACCCGACCGTGAAAGCGCTCAGGACTTGTCCCTGCCAATCTGGCGTTAACCAGAATGGCAGGGCTCAGTTTACCACACAAAAATATCCGCAAAAACAAAATGACAACACAGGAAATTCAAAACTCTAGACAAAGACTCGATAGAATATTATATTGTATAGCAGTGACTATAACTATAATGTTTTGACGGTATAGGCTATAGCTGCTAGTAATTTGCATTAATTTTGATACATTATTATTAATTGGCAGTTTACCTTATGGTTTTTCATTTTTTAGTTGCTTGAACTTGCTTCTAGGCAGTCACATAAGATTATAAGAACCAGTGATCGTGAATCGTGATTACTAGATGTTTTTTAATCGTAGGTCGCGGTGATTCCCAGTGTGGAAGCCCCGCAGTAGATATCCTGCTGACACATGGCGGCCATTCGGAAGAAGCTTGTGATTGTTGGGGATGGTGCTTGCGGTAAAACATGTCTTCTCATAGTCTTCAGCAAAGATCATTTCCCGGACGTCTACGTTCCCACTGTCTTCGAAAACTATGTCGCTGACATTGAAGTGGATACAAAGCAGGTGCGTTCGATTGATGACTGGGAATAATGTTGGTGCGGTCAGAGTGTAGAATTAATGCGGCTTCGATTCTTCCAAATATTGATGGTGGTAAAGGTTATCTTATATGCAAAAATAGGTACCTACTTGGTTTTTACTCTCGTTTTATCGAAATTGCAAAACATTTTGGGATTTGCGTTCATTCGCGAAATCGCTCTGAAAAACAGCAAAAGTTTAAAACCCCGTTTGAACTTAAAGTGTGGCAGGCCGCTCTGCTCTTCGTGTAAGACAGTAAGTACAGTTTTTTTGGGTAAAATAGTGGTTCCAAACCCTTGTGCGCTCATTTTAAAATCCCTGTAATTCAGTATTATTTCGTGCTAGAATCCCGGATGGTATGTATACGAGCATGCAGCAATGAACCTCCCAAGTGTTTGCATTTTCATTACTAATTTAAGTTTTCGGTGCAGCTGTCAATGGTATTTTGGACTGCCCAGTTTATCGATGAACAAGCGATTGGCAGTAATTGTAAATGTTGTACTTCTGCTTATGGCTGTATCAAGTTGAAAAAGTCTTGTTAATGTGCCCCTTATCGTCACATAAAGTAGAGGGAGCGGAGTGAGTAATCCGCACATTGATTACTGTGATGTTATCACGGAATGTTTTTCCATAGTGCAAACGTTTATGCGGAATTATTGAATCTGTAATATTTGTTTTGAACAACCGTATGATGGGTTACTTTTGCAGGTGGAGTTGGCCCTGTGGGATACTGCTGGCCAGGAGGATTACGATAGACTCCGTCCACTCAGTTATCCGGATACCGATGTCATTCTAATGTGTTTTTCAATTGATAGTCCTGACAGCCTGGAGAATATACCTGAAAAATGGACTCCGGAGGTGCGGTTTGCTGGCCTGATTTGTAGCTGCCGGGCTGTAATAATGCGATGAATTATAGGTCCGACATTTCTGTCCGAATGTGCCCATTATCCTGGTGGGAAACAAGAAGGACCTCAGAAATGACGAAAACACTCGCCGTGAATTAGCCAAAATGAAGCAGGTATGTAAGGGTGTAAACAGCGTTGGAAGCTCAATTACCACACCTTTATAGATTGAATAAATGAGCTGGCAAACAGTGTTTTTGCATCCGATTTAATTAGATATCACGTGAACAGACCGCGGCGTAGAATGATTTTAATGCGAAACCGATCCGCTGATTGCGTCGATGTGTATTTGGGTTGGTTTGTAATTAATTTTCGGTGTGGAACAGGAGCCGGTTAAGGCGGAAGAAGGACGCGCCATGGCGGAGAAGATTGGCGCGTATGGTTATTTAGAGTGCTCCGCCAAGACTAAGGAAGGCGTACGGGAGGTGTTTGAGACAGCTACCAGAGCAGCTCTGCAGGTCAAAAAGAAGAAGAAGACAACCTGCCAAGTCTTATAGAGGACGATGGGGAACCCATGTGCACTCAAAATCGTGGATATTAGCAATTTATGTTGGGCTTTTATTTTTTGTTTCTGCATCGTCTCCTTAAATATGCGCGCGCTGTTTGTTTCATACGAGAAGGCTTTCGACACCTCAAAAGACGTTTCTCTCACATTTTTGTCCCCCCAGTCGTAAAAAATGACTATGCTTCCTGGCTGTCCTGAACTGGCCACTGGTGTCAGTGTTTTTTGAATTTTCAGTTTGTTATTAATATTTTGACACTCTGGACATTGTACGTGTATGCTACTTTTTATAATAATTAACGTTTTTTGTGTACTGATCTTAATGATTCTTATTATGTGAAAACCGATGCTGTGTGTTGCAAATTCGAAATGGTTTCCTGCTTTTTAGAGTACTAACGTTCCGTACCATAGTATGGAATATGGATCTTATTATTAGTTTTTCTATATTAATGGCTCTCGTTCGAAGATAGTGAACGAACCGCTCTGAAAACGATGGATTTCAGTACAGTACAACTAGAGATCAATATCATACAATGCTAACATGGCGGCATAAAATGCGGGTTAAGGGGGACTAATTTATAGCAGGAACCCGATTTTCTAAAGTATCTTCATCCTTGTAAAGCAAACATTCCTCTACTTAAAACATGTAAGATACTGGAGAACGGATGAGTCGTTCAATTCTTATGCGTTTTTTTGCGAAGGACTTTTATGCAATTATTATAAATTAGTCCCCCTTAATACGAGCTAGAGAAAATGTTTCACCGTCTACGAAGCAGGTTACTCTAGTCTGAGAATTTCTGCAATGAAGATTTACGAAAGGATTGCAGATCAAAAAAGGCTTACTGTAATATAGTGACCTTCAAACAACTAACACAACTGTACGACGAACAATCCTACCTGCTAGTAATCGTAAGTAAATGTACTAGTACTTTCTATGGTCCCACAAAAGGACTCACCTGGTCAGAACTCAGAAGTGTCTCCTAGAGTGCTACTGTATGTACGAGTGAAGTACAGAACTAGTACTTTATATACTAGTAGTGTTATATTGTAACAGTGGCCTATCTGGCTACTGTTCTAGTGGGGTGGCGATCAGCCTTTACCACGATTATGCGGCTGTTGTGGACCTTGTGGTGAAAGGTGGCACGGCCGGCAACGATGCTGGCCGAGGACGCTCTTACTGATGTTACACAATTACACAGGTGGCTCCGATTGGGATGACGCTAGTTCATCCCAAGCGATCAAACACGACAACGTAACTCAAGGCATGTTTAATGACAAGGCGTTCAAGAAACGGAGCAAGGTTGTAAGCAAGGGTTTCAGCAAGAGGAACAATCAAGTAGATGCAAGCTGTAGCAAGCGAGTGTCAAGACTGAATTCTAGAAATTCATGAGAAAGGAAACTAGCCGGTAAAGTGGACACAAATTCATAACGCGATGGAATGAATCATAACTGGGCGGTCTTATCGTTCGTACAAATACTATCGCTACAATATGTACTGATGTACATACAAATTACAATACTACAGTTGTATTAAATTTTACTGAAAGTTACTGTAAATGAACTTACAATTATTAGTAAAACAAAACCATACAGTGATACACCTCTGAGCTCACTGAAAATGGACAGAAGTGCACTGTCCAGTGTCCAGTAATCCAAAACCACCATCGTGAATTAAGTACTGTACATAATCATTAAACCCGAATTTCTTCGGTACTTGTACTGCACCGTCTGTTGAAGTCTACTATAGCATTTTTTGGCGAGCAATTACGACGCAGTCAGCATGCACTGTATGCACCCGAATAAGAAAACCAGGAAACCATGATGTACAGACAGTAACAATATTCCGCATGTTCCAGTATCCATTATTTGCTGTATTCTTTCTATTACCTACTGAAAAAGCATCATTCTATGATTCGTTGGCATTCAGTTTTGCAGAGGTTTTTATACATACACCAAGTTTCACGCGTGGTTTCCCACAGAATCCCCACGTCAAAAAAAACTACAACACAACCCTTTCGTTTCGTTAATTAATCTCTCGAAGAAGAAACTGCTGCCGTCATTTATAAAAATAGAAACCAGAAAGATCTGCATAAAAGACCGGATTATGGAGGTAAAAACAAAAACAAGCACAGCAGTACAGTTATTGTGGAATGTTGAGTTTTGGGCATCCCATGCACCAATACAAAAACGACCATTCTCAGCAAGATATACTTCCGGGCAGATTTTGCGTTCACAGTTTGAACGGGGGTTGAATTAATTCGGCGTACTGCAGGAGCGCTGCAGACAATAAATTATCAAATCGCTGCACTTCTTGACCACCGGACTGCTGCTGCTGCGGATCCATGACGATAACGGGAACGAGACTGACCAGCTTCGGGTACAAACTAATAGCATCATGCCACACTTGCCGATCAACTGTAAAGAAGTGACAAATTACAAAAAGATATACCATGCAGAGATTTAACTGGGATAGCTGCAGCCTGCACTGCAAAGCGGAAATTGTCATTATGGGCTTACGGTAAACAATTTTTATTAGATGTACTATTGAAAACTAACGATCTGGAGAAAAGAGGATGAAACGTGATAGAGCGCAAAATTTTACAGACCCCATCCGTAAGCAGCCGAAACAGCACCACCACCACCAGCCACAGCACACTTTTTACCATTGGCCACCGGCGTCTGCTTGATGATGCTCAAAACACTGCGGATGCAGCGCAGAGCGTTCTTTCCTTTGAGAACTGCCTGTTCACTGGACTTCAGCGACAGCGAAGCCAGCAATTTCTCACAGCGAAGCAGCACGGCCGGCACGTTAATACCCTCGATGCCCTTAGCATTGGGGAAATGTATAAGCTGGAAGTCCAGCAGCGCTTCGAAGCAGAGACTGGCATAGTTCTCGGCGTTTACGGGAATCGCTGGAATGACAATACCATTACACCACGACCGCAACTACAAATGTCTAGAATGTTATATGCTGTAGATCTCTAATCAACTTTTACCAAAGTTGTTTTCCGTCACATCACGATGTAATGAGCCTTTGTGCAAAATGCTCAAGAGATTTTTCAGATCGTCCGCTGGTATCAAGGCAACGTAAGGGAGGATATCCACACGAACAAAGGTCACAACCTAGAAAGCAATGTTCCATCACATTCCGTAACTACTACATATAACAATAAAAAAAATAAAAAAAGAATTCCATAAAAGTCAAAACAGCCACGAAGTTTTATCGGTTTCCAGCTGCAGCCCTCCAGCACCGCGAACAAATTGACTGTAAGAATCACCTCTAAATCGATTTCATCCATTCCCCATGAGGTCTGTGCCATGGCTTTTGGTCCGTACAAAAAGCTGTCCAGTGCCTTGACAAGTTGAGCCCACATGTTTTTATAGCTGTCCTTGGTCTGTGCAGTAACTGTCGGAAGGGTCATCCGCACCACCTTTACGATGGACTGCATGGCAACTCTCCAAGCCGTTTGGTGAGCATCGGTTTCATGCAATCGCAAGGGCTGTTGCAGAGCCTAAATCAATAATAAATAATGTGGATGTGCATGATGAGGTGTTAATGTAAAAAAAATGATGTGTACATTTACTGCATTATGTAAATACGGCAGCCGAAGCCATTAGGTCATTAAGCGCAATAGAGCACCCTCTGAATCCCTTCTGCTTATGCTAATTAATATCCGCATGCTTCCAGTTCATTAAGTGCGCTCTATGGTCGGTCACAGCCTCCGCCCGGTCGAGTCCCGGCTCGCATCTGCCACATGTTAATCCCATCCTTTCGATTGCGCAACCGGTAGGATTGCGTAATTTGCCCTTACAATACAGATGTCGCGTTATTATGAATAGTATGGAAAACCATATACCCTGCATTCTGCAATAGATTGCATTGATTCCGTTAATAAGATCTTTGGAGTTATTGATCACGAAGTGGGAGCAAAGCCCGGGAACTGGCCAGATGGAATTCAGTTTATGTTTTATGAATTTTTATGAACAAATTACAGGTATATACAGATATACTCAAAAAGCAAAAATTGCAAAAATGACGTAAAATACTGCAAGCATATGACTATAAATTTCTGAACTCATGTATCGTTCAAAAGTAAAAACGAGGCTGCAAAATCAGTACTTAATATAAAAGTAGCACTGTAGCACCAAATTAGCTTGAATAACAAATAGACTGTGTTTTCGTTCAAATGAAGCGGTTTTCGATTCATTATCTGCATTAATATTAAATTATTATTGCAATAGTACTTGTGGTTTCATAGTGCATATATATTATAAATTTATAACTCGTACTTTTGTGCTTTAAAATGCAACGCAATCCACAGATGCGTTGGTCAATTTCAGTTCTCTTACGCACAAATTTTTGGATACGTATTATTCGTTCTTTTCCAAATTCCTTAGGCAAGCAGTAAGTACTAAGCACACACTTATTACTGTTAACTGGTAGAGTCATATCCCTTTCTTTGCGCTTCGGTCATCTGCTTATAATCTACAAAATAACTTGAAGAAAAAACCAAAAGCATTTTTCATGCTAGTATACGTATCATGCCGTGGTTTCTTTTTGAAAGAAATGCTGATCTTAAAAACAAAATTTCCGTTTAGGTACTGCGTCATTCAACAGCGTGACAAGAATCCGCCGAAATCATATTGTACCATGTTTTCAAAGACGGGGAAAAGCTCGTTGATTACGACTAATTGAATTTTGTTGAACAATGTCCGGGTGAAAGTAGTTATCAGCAAGGCGTAAGACAATAGTCCCGCCACCAGGCCATACAGCACTCACATCAAAATGCCTCTGCCATAGACGGATCCGTATGTACAGAAGCGCACATTCTTTTCACCCAGGATTCTTTTGACCAGTAACGTCATCATTACGATAATGCACTGTCCAGATGGATATTACAGCATTAGGCGCACAAAGCCGCCTAACCGGCCACTGTCCACATTACCAATTTCTTCGTATACTTCTAGCAATGCCAGCAGTAAATCACAGAGAAGAAATCTTCTGTCAAACTGCGATAAATCCAACAGCTGGCTAGCTTCAGTATTCTGAATCTGTGATCTGGCTTCCACCGTGACACAACGTAGTTTTTTGCAGTTATTGCAATTTTTAACTGGTAACCCTAGTCACTGCGTAATTGTTGCTCATCAGTTAAATGTGACAAAAGTTGGCTAGTTTTCTGGTTCATTTCGGGACAAAAAGTCAACAGCGCGTCAAATTCTTATTGTTGTATTCCGCACCCCAGGCCACCGTGCCAGACTAATTGGGAAAAAATCCTCTTGAAAAAGCTCCAAGTAAGTTTCCCATGTTCTTACACCATTCAGACGTAATCTACGTTCTATTATGCAAGATTGGCCACCCAGTGACCTAATTGTGTGTCGGTCAGTCTGTACTGTTCCCTCCCGAATGGGCCTTTTTCCCGAAAATAATTACGAGAGAGATGTAAAACAAAAGAGCGAAATCTTCTTAACTGACCGCGCCATTACAACGGCATACTGCCCCGTAGACAGCCAGTAGGACAAAAGTCGAGGAGAATTTCTCAGATTGTTATCGAGCATTGCCTCATTTGGGCTCTGACCTCACCTAGAAGCTCAAACGATTATGCACTGTCTTGACGCAATCAGACTGGATCGCGCAAAAGTTAGGCAACTAACTGCTTTTGCGCTGTCTAAATCTAGCATTTCCTTATTGCGTGCATCTGATCCGACCTAGGTAACTAGGGAAGATTCTTGATTGTGCAACATTTCATCCGATTACCAGTTGTAGGTTCATAAGCGTGGTCAGTTTTGAGGCCATATCGAGCTCTGTCAGCGCATCCCAGTGATTTTCAGTAGATGCGTGAAAACGTGCTGATTTCTGATTTGCACCTTGGCGATTCAAACGTTAGCAAGTGACCTTTATCACATTATGGATCTGCTAATATCACCCACGATCTGTAGGATGTCGCGCAACTTCTTGACATCAATGACCAACTCCAGCGCTTACGGACCCTATGCCACGAATTATCCGTCGTTGTACTGGCCTTCACAGAACGATGCGGCAACCAACTATTTCGAACAATACCGCGTTCCAACAACAACCACCGCAACAATGGCCAACGTTACCACGTCTGCTGGATTCGCTCCCCCGTGCAAATACACGGAGCCTGATTCCACACAGGTATGTACATAATTTACAGTTTTGCTTTGTTTGCAAAGCTGAATCGCGCAGTTGTTGGACGATAACTAAATGATCCTACAATTAAATTTTTGGAAGGTTTAATAGCACTCTTAATCGGGGCGCGGTACTCCTAAATGATTAATCGCATCAAAATGCAAGCGTGTACGTACTTGTAAGCAGCATTCGGTGCCATTCACTACGTGTTAAAGTTGTTGAACTATGTAAAGGCGTGCACTAACTGTAAAGTTATGTTTTTTCTGTTGACCGGTTAATCAATGTAAGCATAATCATGTTTCCGTTAAAAGTTAAGTATTAATTATTACTACGCTTAAGCGCTCAAAAGAATTTCATATGTAGCTCTATAATAACTTAAATTATCTACAACAGTCAGCGTCGATGGAGCACACGACCAAGTCTGGCCACACCCACCCAATGCCTGAGCCGCTGCCCGTCCCACTGCCATCCTTTCCTACTGACCACCCGTCGATGGCCATTCTGACTCGTCCGAACACCCTTAAGCGCAAACCAACTCCTGTGTCGGATGATCGCAAGGACGACCATTACTGGGAGCGCCGCAATCGCAACAACGAATCGGCCAAGAAGTCGCGGCTGGCTCGCAAGCAGCGCGAAGAAATATCCGCCCTTCGTGTGGTCATGCTGGAAACGGAGAACCAGGTGCTTCGTAGTCAACTGGATAACGCTCACACTGAGCTGAAGAAACTTCGCTGCCTGCTTTCGTCTTCGTGAGTCCTCTTCCGCAGTCCAGTCATTCTCAGTGTTTTACGCTCCCTCTTATGTAATGCGGAGCGGGTTTACCGTTTAAGTTATAACTGGATTTCTTGTTTCTGGGTGTATTCAAAGCGAAATTATGGTATTTGATCTGGTTAAGCACTGTACAGCTTTAAATAGTTGCGCCTTTTTGGCAATTTACCCGTGTTTGCACTTTAAGTTTACTGTTAACATATAACCTTACAGTACCTGAATTATTGTTCCCAGGATTTCAGACTCGATGACCAATTTCCATGTAAATGTCTCTTGGTATAACTCAACTGTTTTGTGCATGGCAGTTTCGGAAAATAAAGAAAAAGTAGCTGCCCACCAGCGAACTAGATAATCCGGCTCCATAGACAGAGCCCGCGCTATTACCGGGACAGAACTGGAGAATCGGGTATACTTCAGCCACAAATTGAATAATTCCGCTATTAGATGCGGTGTAGGAGATTTCGCTTTAACAATTTCCTATCAAATCACAAGTGAATTAAATATTTAAACATCTAGACAAAATACTCGATATCTGAATGTATAACACATAGCTAACTACTTTCTCCCTTTAAACATATTATATCGTTGAATTTGCGAGTACGTTCAGTGATTCACTGACTAATTTGGCAAACAGATATAACAAAAATACCATCTGAAGGCACTCTGCATTTTGCATGACGCATTCTTGAAGGGGGGTTATTTCAGCTTTGCATGGAAGAACCTTGGAAGCGTTTTTGTGCAGCACCGGTAGCATTATTTGGGGATATATATCTTGTAATTTTCTGAGCATATCCACGGTTAGTGCTACCGTCAACCGAGCGCACAGCCTCCGAAAACGACCCGTGTAGAATGTCAGCAGTTTTTGCGAAGGCAACAAATCTCTAAAACAAAACAAACCTGCTGCTCTTAACTGAACACGGAAATAATCGGTAATTAGCATGCTATCAGCAAGCGCAATTTGACTGTATCTTACGTATTCGTTGTTCGTTTCATCTGCCCAATCATCTCCATACCGATGGCGTGATATGTTTTCCAAACATCCTCCCACATCGGGATACTAATAAGATTTTCCGTAGCTGTTGTCTTTGGTAACGAGGAGTCTGGTTGCGCACTTTCCGCGCGAATTTCTCCAACGAGAGTATTTCATCAATACAGCGAAAGGAGGCCATCGCGACTTCCTCCATTCCCGGCATACCGGCACGTTGTATGTGGAATAGCAGCCCCTGCCAGACCTGTTGAGGCTGCTCTGAACCAAAAGAAACACTTGCTGATACACGCAGGCACATAATACCACAGTCGGTAAAAAGCTACACATTACCAATGGCAAAGGGAAATACTACAGTGTCTGAATATTACGAGTAATTTCTACGATTCCATTACACAGCAGCATCCTTAACAGCAGCGCATGACTTACTTAATCGAAGTACAACTGGCAAATTCAACAACACAGTTTTCGTAACACTCGGCAAAACCATCGCCCACGTCTCAGCCCACTGTTTTTTGGCCGTATCCCGGGAATGATGAATAATAACCTTGTCATCTTTGTCATCCAGTTTAGTCTCCGAAGCCGTCAAATAATAATTTTCCAAGCATTTCAGCAATGTATAGCAAGCCTACAGTAGAGCCAACATTACATTCCATTCAAAACATCGCCATATTATTTTTTTAAAATAAACAGTTCAGAGCTCACATCAACAATTAAGCGTTGCCACGAACTGAGATCCAATCCGGCACCGTGCGACGCTATCGCCAGGAACAGTGTCTGAGCAGCACTCTTCCTGACTTCCGGTCGCACGTCCAGACAAAGCTGCGAAAGTTGCTTGTACAGATTCAGCATAAAATTTAATAGACGCTCTTGTCCAATGTTGAATCCTGTGCGATTTTGATAGATGTAATCGGCAATGTTCCACTAAAGGGTTAACAGCAGCAGGTCATTCCGAACTTGCAGCCGATTTCAAAACATTTTGTCCTACCAGAACGCCGATAGCGGTTAAGCTAACGTTCAGATCCACGGTTTGTGTGCCAAATTTTGCTGCAGCATCAGCGCACTGCTCGATGCAGTCAAAAGAGATATTCCGCAGGTGGTCAGATACCACGGCCTGGACGCATTTAAAGCTTGCTCGTACCAGTGCTTCACTAAAACGACACAATCTCAGTTACGTACAGGCATTACTCAATTTAAAAAAGTTGTTCCATCAGTTTTTATTTACTCGCCAACACCGTTGACAGCTCCTATCACTTCGACAATGGGTCTCCAACAATTGGATATCTTTTCTGATGAACTCAGAATGACGTGGTTTAGGCAGTTATACTGTTTTAATCTCACGTCTGACCAAACCACTTTCGAAAGGTCCAAAAGGGGACGAATGAGCTTTTCTTGCAAAGCCTAAGGCAAAACACATAAGAAATACGGATAAAAGTACTAATTGTACAAAATAATCCGTAAAAGTACCATATTTAAAGACAACGGGGGCTGGAAGTCATATGTGAGGCCTTCCTTAACCAGTATAGTTAACGCATCCGTACTCCACTCTCGCAAGACTTGATTTGAATTGGCCGAAACCTAAATGGGAACCAAAATAATAAAAATGCACGCGAATATCGGTGATACGATGAACTAGTTGCATTCGCAAAAATGCAGAGACATGAAAATCTCAAAACGAAATCAGAAATACCTCAGCCAAGTTGGAGGTCACAGGTGCCCACCAAGCTTCAATACGGAACATATTTACCAAGCTGACATCCACCAATTTCGCGATGGCAAATAACGAAGGCTCCTATGAAAACAGCGCCTTCAAACTCTGCCATAACATAAAACATTTTTTTACATTAGTAGTAACCGTTACCCTGCTGTGTGCTGCCGTTTCAATGGCATCCAGTGATAATTTACATAGTGCTTGCACAACATGGTCTAACGATCCATCCGACAATTGTTTTGTATTTTTGAACACCTCGTCAAACTTCTTGGTCAACTCCGGTAGGTCAGACATCAGAACGGTGGTAACGATAGTGTTCATGGTGCTTTCGGTTGGTCGCTGCTTGTGCTTCGATAAACCATTACTCATTCCCGGGATGAACTGGTTGATACCTAATATCCAGGCCAAATGCTGCAGAGAAGCCAGCACTAAAATCCACGATCCATCCAGAAAATCACCCAGGAGAATTGTGATTTCCAACAGTGTATTTAAACATGTTATATTTTTTGCGGTGAGCTGTAAAACACACAGAAACGATTTGTGCTGCAGCCTTGTTTTATAATAAGAAGCCAGCCTGTTACCCTACCATGACGGCTCCCGGAAACGAAGAGGATAATGGTGTCCCAACCGCTACGATCTGGTTGCGGTTTTTTGCATCCGCAACTCCCTCCAGCTTTACTGCGTCGATCAATCCCTACAGTTACAGCGCTATGAAGCATAAATCTAAAAACGAAAAACCACAAAGCGGATTTTCTACCCGACGTATCTGCGCGAAACGGAGCTAATCGCGATGATGCTGCCTTGAGTATGTTAATGGTGTAGTTGATGGGAAAGGCTGCTTTGCACAGCGCCGTAATGAAGGCTTCCCGAACCAGTTCAATATTCACCAGTCCAGCCGCTTGTATGTACACTTTACAAATGTGCAATAAACTATCCGTAACCGACTCATCATTGCTGGCTTCCAAAAGGGTAGAAACCGATGACAAAACTCCACACCAGGAATTCTGGACCAATGTATGCAAAGCGGCTATTGGAACAAAACAGAAATGGCTGTCGCCAACTGGCTATCACGCATGCTGAAAGTGACAGACAGTACCTTTCATCCCTCGATTTTCTTTGCTTCCCTTAGTCTTATCCATAATGTCCTGAACTGTTCGAGAAACGAAACAGATTGCAGAAAAAGCCAACGACATTCCGTAATTGTCCGTAGACGGCGGCGGATCGGCATCCCGCGAATCAAGACTACAAAATAAATAAATTTGATACTGCAACAGTACCAGACTATCAGTTGTAGAAAATGCAAATAATTTATTGCATGACATTTCTTACAAAACACTTACAGTACTGGCTTCCCAATTGGAATAATTTGAACGTTGACATCTTTATATGTAAAGGTAGCCTGAACTGCGGAAGCAGAAACTGCTTGCGGAGTGGATGGCGGCGTTGTTGGGGAGGAAACAGCAGATGTCGGCTTAACGAAAACCGTTAAAATGTAATTGTTCAGCGTATTGATCATATCACAAAACACCCCTTCGGAGGCGGCTTTTGTTGAGTATGTCTGGCTGATTAATCTACGAAAACAGGGAAATGAGCAGATGGATTTTCAAACATCTTCAATTCGTACATAACCATTCTCGGGTCAGCCAATAATTTATAAAAAACTTCCAGTGCCAACAATTTGGTCCAGTGCACCTTATCAGCATCGATAAATTTGATCAACAATGAATAAAAGATTTCGGATTCGGTCCGCAAGATATCGCAGTAGCAAGTGAGCAAAACATAAGTAATCCGGACCAGATGCACGGTCACTGGAAAGGAGGGCTTTTCCGCAATGGACGCCAAACTGGTTGAAGGGGTACTGCCAGGAGTCGATGCAACCGACCGGGCATGCCGAACACATGGCGAAATCAATTTGAAAAGCAATGGACACAGGCGCTCTTTAAGAAGAAAGGAAAACTCTTTAAGCTGAAGAAGAAAAAGCAAAATCAGAGTTCCAAACATTTTTACGACAGTCGTTCATTTCTGCGCACATCAAACAATGGACGGTACGAGAGCAGAACGCTCTCAATCAATTCCAGGGCCAGAACGCGCGTCATTTCCGTCATCCCCACGAGCCATGTCGGCTGGTCGCCATTCATAACTTGGCACAAATCCTAAAACAAAGTGAGCACAGTAAAAATTTTATGGACAACCAGAACAATAGGAATGTTATGAACATTGTGAGAAAATAAGTTCACCGTTACAATTTTACCTGCAAAAGTGAGTACGCATCTGATCCACAGATATACAATGACGCCGGCACACTGCGCGTCGAGGTGGTACTGGCTACAGATTTGATCGATACACTATCGCTGGGCATCCGCAATGAATCACCAGAGCTTCCGTCTGAAGTGCGAAAACGAAACAAATACAATGCCAGAAACGTGTGTTTTCCGTATATACCATGCCAGAACTGTATGTTTTCCGTTATTTAAGACAAGCAATCTTACTGCTTTGCGATGATAGCTTGCTCTCATCGAGAGCTTTTTCGAACAGGAGAGGCACCAGTTGCCGGATGGCCGCACCAGCTGTATTGCTTACTACAGGGTCCTTGCTGAAGTGCATCCGCAGGCAAATAACCAAGCACTGAAATCAAAAGCAAGATTACTGTATATGCTGCATAGAAAATTTTCGTTAAATTTCGCGGTTTTTATACTTCACTGCGACGCAAAAAAGTTATCTGTGCCAACTACTTCAGCTTGCGGTATGTTTGTACTAAATTAATTATCGAAATCAAACAGTTTTTTAACGGTAAATCCGCAATATGCAGTTGTCAAATTATCTTTTGCGTGACCTTATCACATCAGTTTCAAATACTAAAAATGTCTGGAAAATTTTTTCCATAACAAAGCAATCTCGTTGTGTTGCATTGAATTTGACTCAATAAAGTGGTAAATATTATTCCAGGTCCAGCCGAACACTGATCGGTTACCGCAGACTGAGTTTGTTTACAATTTAAAAAGGCTAGGCATACAGTGCGTCAATTAAGCAAAAACACAGTATAAGCGAACCAGCTGAAAACGCACCTTAGCAAGATATTCCGCGTGCAGAACATTGCTGGACGTCAGAATGCGGGTGATAGTCTGAATCAGTTTCAGCTCTTCCGTGTGATTCTCCATTAACGTCCACAACAGACTCATTACGACGGGCAAGGAGGCCTAAAATATTAAGCTGCACCTTCAAGCGACAATTTAAAATCAACAAAGCCAAAAGAAACGGACATCGGCGATTGTTTCGAAGGCAAAGAGTCGCTGCAGTGCTTCCAGCGCCAAAATGACCAGCTTGGGGTTTCCGCTCTCCGCACTCAATAAGATCGGCTGCAGCAAATCCAGACAGTGATTGACAATGCCTAGAACGCAGCCAAAAACCCATAGCATCCATCGAATATGAGATTTCAGTCCGGTTACTCACGTTCGCGAACATCTTTTCCGTTTTGGCTCAGGTTTCGCAGTCTAATTATTGCTGTTTCCGCAGCCTGGCAAAAATTGCATTTTAATAACGATTCCATAAAACGGAACAGCATTAAAGCCTGCCTCTTTGACAGCCGTGTGCTTCTTCCTTGCTTCGTTAGAGATGTTGCGCAAATCCCCCAGAAATGCTTCCACAAACTTGTTGTCGGACTGGTCGAGCGTCGCTGCAGCCATTGCTGCGTCTGGGTCTTCCCACGCGGTGATCAGTTATTTCTGACACTCCGAAGCGTCCTGTATACGATCCACAATATAACGCATTATACTGATTATAGCGGGAGAAAGCTTGAAATCCCAAATAAGGAAAACCTCCTTCTTCGAAACAAAATTAGAATAGAACGAAATTACAGGGTTAGGACTAAAGAGTTATGAGCTAAAAGGACAGCATAAAACCGTAAACAGTTCCAGTACAGCAGCTGTACAGGTAAGTATGGGTTGTCTCACTTGGTCAAAGTATGCACTATTCCTGTTAAAATCGCGAACGGATGATGATATAGATACTTTTTTGGTTTGAATACCTAACAAAAATGTACCTAACAAATAATGTTTGAGTACCTAACAAAAATGATGCGACATAAAACAACAGCGTCCAAACAACAAAGATTACAGTTATAAAATATCTATACTTGTAACGGTTTAACCGTAACAATTTCAAATTGCTCATAAGTACTTATTAATTCGTCGTGTAGAGTCGTAGAATGCGTGCCACGCCGCACGAAACAGCTGGAAGAAAAGTCACTTGCGAAATTGTGTTTGTCGCAAGCCCGACCGCCTGGTTAGCAGGTATGGGTTTAATACGAGTACAGGTACTGGGGCTCACTCGTACTGATTGCTTCCTATCATTTTGTAGACCAATGGCGATCCAGCGATTGAATCAGCATTTTATGGCAAAACATCGTTTACTTCTACGCTTCGAAATGCAACGCAGCAACAGGCACGAAACCGCGACTGTAAAGTGTATTGCAAACAGCTTCCAGTAATTAATATGTTTCTTTTGCCAGATTTCATACGACAAAAGTGACCTTGTGCGCGTTTAACGGGCGTATACCGTAGAGTCAGCTGCGGTTACATTTAGAGTCGACATCGGTTATAGGATTAGTTTTGTGTTCCTGGGAATTGTTGGTTCGTTGATCAGAAGGTTGACGAGTTAATATTGAAAACACCATGAAAGCTTTAGTGTTTGGCATTTTATTGCTCAGCGCCTGTTGCTTCGATTTCCTCGAGGCTCGGAAGCGTTCCGGGTGTTATAAAAAGGAATACGATCGAAAAGTGAAACCGGTCAAGTAAGGGCTTCGACGTGGATTTTTTATATTTGTTATGTATGACCGTAGATTTTTTGTATGCTGATGTATACAGATATGATCTTCATACCAAGATGCAAAAGATTTTGTTTGTGCTGTCACTGTTACATGCTAAAATTACATGATTATAAATGAAAACTGAAGCTTGAATAATTTTGCTTTTTCCGCAGTAAAGTTAGGCAACTTTGTGTGATATATTTTATTTTATGATGGTGCATCTGTAGCTCTGTACCCTTGCTCTAGGACCCGCCCACGACATTTCGAGTATTTATCAAACGAAAACCTTCCGGAAGCCTGGGACTGGAGAAACGTTGATGGTGTGAACTATGCTTCCCCCACGCGGAATCAGCATATACCGCAGTGTAAGCGTTCTCTAAGCGGTTTATTAAATGTAATGATTCGGGCTGCTGCCACTATTTTGCACGAGAACTGACAATTATTATACGGCATGCACATTGTACTGGTGCCGTGATTACTGTAAAAGTTCTTAAACAGTGAAATTTTATGATTTTGCCAAACAAGCACGGCGCTGGCCCGTCGGTGTGTATGTTCAGTGTTAAATTAAAAATTACTAAGATAATGTGTTTTTTAATGGATTGTGTGAGTACGTGTGTAAAATAGAGTAATTATGTTTGAATAACCTCTTTAATATAATCCATATCTTTGAAGTACAAATAAGGGATTCTTCCTATATAATTATGGTATGGCTTCGCTTTTGTACTCTACGTCTAGACTGCGGATCTTGTTGGGCCATGGGCACGACTAGCTCGTTAGCTGATCGGATTAATGTCGCCAGGAAAGGCGCGTGGCCGTCCGCTTACCTTAGCCCTCAAAATGTACGTTTAATTGTCTGTGCGGAGCATTTTTATAAATTGTTGATTACTATGGCAGAAGTGCGAGTCATTAGTGTGCGGTTGGTAAATTGAAACGGTCAATTTGTTTTAAAGGTCTTGGATTGCGCCGATGCCGGCACTTGTCATGGCGGTGGTGGATTAGCAGTATTTGAATACGCTCACAAAAAGGGCATCCCTGACGAAACTTGTAACAATTATCAAGCCATTGATCAAGGTGACTATCATAACGCTCCAATTTTCTCGTGTTAAAAATATGCAGAACACTGTGATAAATTGCTTCCTGTAAAATACAGATGCGAAGTGGTTGATTTGTTGCTGTCTTATTTATTGTGTTTACGATTGTGTACATTCTAAATCTGATGGTAAATTCACAGCCAAGTGTTATTCGATTCTTTTCTGTGATAACATGGCAGATTGCAAACCGTTCAACCAATGTGGAACCTGTTCGGAATTCGGGAAATGCTATGTTGTGCAGAATTATACCGTGTGGAAGGTTGGAGACTTTGGCCCGGTGAGTGGCCGCGAAAAACATGATGATGGAAATCTGGAAAAACGGACCCATAGCGTGAGCCTAATAACTTTATGGAATTTGTATCTATGAAATTGTTTCCGTTTTTGCTTTGCCCGTTCGAGGGAAAATCATGTCGTCCTGTGCCAAAAATGTTTTACTTTACAGTACTTAACTAAACAAGCGTTTTTAATCGTTAAAGGAGAGTATACAATACATAAGGCGAGTTTATGCAACTGCGGTAGTTTCCTGGCACATTCAGATATGTGACTTAATATTTAAATTTATTATGTTAGGTGCGGAATTTCGGTTACGGATAAGTTTGAAGATTATAACGGTGGAGTCTATGAGGAATATCTTCCGGGAGCAGGCGTACGTTTATCAACTTTTTTACGTAACTGTTACTTACTGTACTTGCTCTACTCCTACTGGGTAGTGTTCGTAACTTACGTTGGCCTACTACAATACTATCTATCACATGGATTAGGTCAAACCCTTAAGCGTTATCTTTTATTTGTGGAAAAATTATAAATATTTGTACCGTCATTACCATGAATGTTGATCTTACAAAATTGCTTACGGCATCTCTTTTTTACCGGTTTAGCTAATTGCATAAATCATTGCAGATTAATCACATTTTATCCATTGTTGGTTGGGGCATCGAACACGACACCGGAGTTGAATACTGGATCGGTAAGATAATGCTCAGCATTACGTACCTGAAACGGTGTCATGAAAAGAAGATAATGAGGCGCTAAAATGGTTACACTGTATTGTAGGACGGAATTCTTGGGGTGAACCATGGGTAGGTTATTTAAAGGCTTGACGGAAACTTTGGGAGAATTGCCAAGTTCTCTATTTGACAGGGTGAGCACGGATGGTTCAAGATCGTCACCAGCAAATATAAAAATGGAAAGGGCAACGACTACAATCTCAACGTTGAATCGGACTGTGCGTATGCGGATCCGATAGTCAAGTTCTAGAAATTTCTAAGAGTTTCTGAACGGCGTTTGTAGTTCCAGTGGAATTTAGTGCTCAGTTAGCCACACTGGTGTGCAGTTTATTTGCGCTTCCGGAGGTGATTTTCGTTTGAACGAACCTTTCCGGTCCGCGTTAAGTGCCTTTTGTTTAACGTATATTCCGTCCTGTGTAATCGTTTGAATCTTTCTTAGTCTGCATTGTAAACTGTTTGTGACGTTTGTGACTTGTGTACGATTTTGTTTTTTGTTGTCTAAATCGCAGCAGTTGCTAATGATGGTAGGAAAGCTTTTGTAGTAAACTTTTGCAGTGCGAAAAAGCTTACCGCGAAACTGAGTTTACAGAATAGATGCATTTGTAAGGCTCTCTGCAAACTGGAATATCATAACTACTGTACTGTTTTCATTCTATTGAATTCGTAGTTCGTACAGTACAATAAAATTCTATAATACTCCTTCCCACGGAAAGCGGCAGGGACTCTTCACAAACATTCAGTCTGCTCACAGTGAATACTTTCTATCAACGTTTATAATTTCAAAAACGAAAAGAAAATTTTAGCCAACTGGTAATAAAGGTAAGTACATCAAGTAAATATCTATATATCTATCTATGTATAAGTATAACCACAACGACCCCATGCAGTACCAAAACAATCGCTCCGTATTACCGTGCACATCTAAAGAATGCAAAATGTAAGAACTTTAAGCCAGTAGAAATTTTACCAAAGTCAACAACTTGTCAACGAAGCTGAAAGCTCTACCAAAAAAGTAAAAACCTTTCTTACAAAGTAGATCTTTCAGAAATGTCTAAACAAATTCTTTCGAGAAAAATCCCCTATCGCACTGAGCTGCGCAAAGAAGTCACCGACAAGATCTGGCACAATATAGAGTTAATTCAAAGCGGATCGGAACTATTTAACCGTCATCACTGTCGCTGCTAGTACTAGAGTCATCGTCGTCCATTTCGTCATCACTGTCATCGGAATCCGAATAGTTCCCCAATGCCAGCAACGGCAGGATTGCTGGAGCATAATCAAAAGCACCCACCGCATGCATTGCCATCGCCACCATTGGGCCATCCAACCCGAAACCGTACAACGGTTCATCATCGTCCGAATCATCACTGCTGGAGATGCCCATAATCTGAATGGGATTAGCTTGTTGATCAATATCACTGGAATCGGAATCCGAGAAGCCAACATCCACGTCTGATCCCGATAAATCAGAGTCCGAGTCATTCATCATATGGTTGAACAGGAACGGATCGAATGCCATCACATTATTCCCTTCATGAAGACGTCCACCACAAGGTCCATCGTTGAAGTGAGTGTACGGATTACCACGCGGTAAGGCTTGACCACACAGCCAGCAGAAATATGTGCGGCACCCTTTCGCCGTGCACGTGATTTTGTTACATCCATCAGTTTTCTGAAAATTAACAACGCCTAACCATGTGACAAAGTTTTACACTTGTGCTCACAAACAAATATCATAGGAGACACGTAAGTAATCGGCCGATTGGTCTGCGGTTGCGCCTCATCTTCCTGTTTTTGTCGTCCATTGTAGTTAGTCGATTTAAAGAACTCAAGATTCTTAATGTAGCCTGTACATAGGAGTGACCCCGTAGAAGTACTCCGTAGAAGAAGTAGCTATTTACCGCCTGCAGCACTTACCTGAATCGGCGTTTTACATTTCGGACACGGTTTAGCATTTTTCGCAATCCACTCTTCTGACTCAGCGTCTTCCAGTGCAAACTTAATATTGTCCATGCCATACTGACGTTCCAAATCTTTCTTTTCCCGAGATGTACCGTTTTGGTAGCGCTCACGGATTTCCCGTTTTTGGTCTACATGGCCGGTACATAAAAAGCGCGGTAAGGTTATAAATTTCACTATTTCTCAAAAGGTGCATGCAATTATAAAGGCGAGAAATATTTCAATGATTTCATAGTCCTCACCAAACGATAAACATGGTGTGTGCGGATGCGGATTGGCTTTACATAGACAGCAGAACTGGTGACGGCAAGACAGGCAAATCACCTCTCGTGAACCGTTGGGATCCAGCTCCATTGGCATATTACAAGTAACTTTCGGACAGCGAACAAACGTTGGGCCGTCCACAGTATTATCTGTGGTCAGATCGCAGTAACGTCGGAAAGCGTCGCGATCAACTACCGATTTTACCTAAAAATGCGAGCACATTTACCGAATCATCGCCATAGTCTACACTGAAAACAATCTGCTTCGCTTATTACACTTTCCGTCTTCGCCGGAACGGCGCAATCTTCCGCCAAGCACTGCAGCTCCTTTACGCGATTTTCTTTAATTTTCAATTCAAAATCCTGTTTAACACAGGCCTGGCAGAAGGAATGATGGCAGCCGAAGATAACCGCATTCATAACGGATTTATGGTCAAAACAGATCTGTCAAAAATGAAAACCTAACGTTATTTTAAGGCATACAAATGTTAGTGGTAGGCCATTTACAGCTGCACGCGACTGGCACCGAATCGCATTGATATACTTCCGCTTACCGCACAATCGAACGCTTTAGTAATCTTTGTCGTGGAGCATTTAGCAATAGCCTCCCTCTGAGTTTCACATTTAAAAACAGCTGACGGATGAGCTCAATATCATCGAATATCAAATAATGGGGTTGCGTTTTAGCCACATGGGGATCACAGTAGGTTACACATCGTCGAATCAAGATTCCACTAAACTCGATGCCATTCTTTTCCAACCAGTTCAACGCTGTCTGGAAAGGCTCATCACCCATGTCCGCCTTAAAAACTTTCGTCATCTCCGACCGCAGGCGATTTAGCTAAAAGACAACAACGGAAATAAATAAATGCCAACGCCAATTAAGATAACAGAAAATTAAGATAACAGAAAATTAACCATAAAACGAGTGAAGAAAAGATGCGCTAAGTTTGTTTTTCTGTTGAGTAGAGGAAACATTACTGGTTTTCATATGCTAAAAGTTCTGTTTTCCTCGCGTTTCATCCAAAAGTTTGCGTAAGGAAAACCATCCTTTTCGTACATTAGTTTTGTTCATCCACGAACAATGAACACTGATTTTGAAGGTGTTGGTGGAAAACTCCAACTGCGCTCGGACAGGGGGGAAGTATTTCAGTTCCTTAACAGTTTCTGGAGCAGTCTGATGAGTCAACAGCACAAGCGAGAAGGAGCGAGCACGGGCATCCAGGATAGGATTGACGCTAACAGCAACCGTAGTTCCTGCGGAGCCGCGGTCCATCACCTTCACCCCAAAACCATTTTCCTCGTCGCCGTACTTGGCCTTCAAAGTGGGGATCTCAGCAGCACAGCGCTGTCCCAGAGTTGGACGGCTAGAAGCCAGTGGTTGTTTGGGCAGCCGCGAACGAGTGAAATGACTGGGACCGGCCCCACTGGTAGCTTCATTGTGATTTTCTTCTTCCACAACGACAACTGAATGCCTTTTCTTTTTGGCTTCCCCTTTCTCATTCAGCGATGAGTTCGTGCGCTTTAGCTGTGAGTTCTCCGGTAACTTCGTCTGCAGCCGAGCTACGAAAAAAAAGTACAGCTGCGGGAGAAAGAAACCAAAACCACAAACTCAAATCAAAATTCCAGTACGAGTGCAATAGTCTCAATTTAGCAAATTATTTAGATTCTGATTTATAAAAAGAATAAGGACGACATCGAGTACAGTACTAAAATATGAAAGTCTGTTGTCTTACTGACTCTTACAACTTATTTCTGACTTAGTGTCACATTATACCGTTCGGCTTTCGCTGACGATTGCTTCTGCGCAAAGGCGTGGGCTCAGGAAGATTTTCGTCGTCTTCGTCACTGCTGAGATTCACCGTTGTGACATTATGAGCAGCCAGTCGTTGACGCGGCATGGTTCGTTAATTTGCAAGGAATCACCAAATCAGGAAATCGCCAGATACCCGCTATCACTCAACAAAGCTATTGTTTTACTCACGAAGGTAGTGTTCAAAATTTAGAATTCGCAAGTAAGAGCAAATGAACAATCTGCGATTAGCCAGTGTCGATGAAATGTCGATGAGGAGAACCGAAATAATGCCAATTCAGGTTAATCTGTAAAAATTACGAAGGGTACTCAGCGTCAGCATAAGACGGCCATTACAACCCTATCCCCATTGGAGACCGCTCACCGGATGCGTACGTCAAGTCTAAATGTCACAACACTCCAAATGCACACTTTTTTTATAAAATACTGAACAGGTATAACGAAAACATACATGAGATTATTAAGAGGTACTCAGGTACTATCGAAAGAATCAAAGTATCTTCGGAAAAAGCTTTTGAAACGCTACTCTACATCAAACTTCATACTGCTAGAATTACACAAACGCTACTGGTCATTACTTATTTCGCCCCGCTTTAACAGCTAAATCAATATGGTAAAGTTTCAAAGAAGGTGTTTTCCCGAAATCTGGAAGGCAACTGACACCAGGTACAAACAAGTTCACAACACGAGAAACTCACCAGCTGATCTCATTGAGGAACCACAACAAACACACACACAAGGAAAGCAACTTAGAACTAAACTTACTAGGCAACTGGAAATCGACTACAGCATTCACGACTTACCAGGGCTTCCGTTGTTAAAGTCCCCAAATAATGAAATCTGCAGAAGAAGATACAAATTTAAAGTGAAAAAACCTATCAATGGCAGCAAATTTTGGAAAATGGGACAGATTTGAAATTCCGATCGCTGCGATAGATCAGCAAGACTTCTGAATGCGGAAAGCAAGACAGCAAAACCGTCTGGACTTATTTTAACGGTTTGTAGTGGTTTGAGAAATGACGTCAGAACCATTTATATGTGCCGGTGGCCCGGTGCTTCCAGCCTCCCACCACCGAGATTCCGCCACTACCATATCACCTCAAGCACGAATTTCCATTGCCCTAGTTCCATTTTACTGTACTGTACTGCAATGGCAACTTCTAAGCTGCCCCTAGTGGGTTGGGTTACACACCCGTACCACGATAAAAGGTTCGATGGTTCGTCGGTTAATTACCCAGATCTTAAAAGTTAAGTAAATCACAATCTTACGTAACGCGCGAATTCAGGAACATCATCATCAATTTAATCAGAATCAGAGCAAGTGCAAGGGCAAGAGCAAGAACATGTGGGAAAGTCAACCGTCTGCCGGTCAAGGCAGCGTGAGCACGTCTACTGATTTCACATTTAGAAAAGTCAGAACATCTCAGAATTCTTCGTAACCGATAACATGGATTCACAATTCTACTGAGATAGGCGGTACATCTGTTTCCGGTTGAGTTGTTACCAATGACAATCTGTAGAACATGATTCTACGGCTATAGTACTCTTTTAAGTTTTAATATTCTCATTGTCAGACTCAGTTCTTAACTTCTCACACAACGGTGTGGTAGTCCGTAGTCCATTAGGATTCACAACATACAGGTGATACAACAATATAATTATACGATTTAAACATCGCTCTTTGTTTTCCCGATATCAAGTGCTTTTGTTTATTTCCCATTTGGTTTGCTTTCGTGCGAGAGCATAATTATCATAAATTATTTAGGCTAATAGGGTTTATAACTTTATAGTAGTGTTTAACGTTTAATAGGTTACAGCTTTACCAAAAGCCTAAAAGTTAAGTCCAATGGAATCGGCGTAATCGGTAATTCCAATAAAATTTCGACCGATAAGTACAGCACGAGCTCCATTGCGGGCGCCGAGCGCGTGGCTTATTTTTTTTTAGTACAAGCTGAGCACAGGTGCATTTTGTTTCCTGACACCAGCGAACTGAAATTTTACCCCGATTCGATTTTAGTGTAGGAGATTGTAAAATTTTTTCTAAAATCTAAAGTCTGTTTTACAGCTTGCCAAAATGTTTATTTTCCAGAAAACAATGTGATCGGGATTCTTGGGAGACCTATAAGCAAACTCTTTTAAATGACGCGAACACTGGGAAGACAGGGAGACTTGGAAAATCAGCTGCGTTCTTGTTACGACGATTTTAGTGTGTTTCTTTTGAATCCTAACATTTCTTCCAAAACGGTGCCTTATTCGACTTACTGTAACGCTGCTTCTTAAAATACCGAATCTGATGTTTCTCTGCATGTAAGCCTTGGATTTAAGTCTGCCAGGACTGGGAGAAAAGCTCGAAGAACTGCAGATGGGGTCGTCAGAGGTACTGGAATTTTGCAACTTTTCGAACTAAGTATTAAATAATTCAGTTTAATTGATTTACTAACTGTAAAGTGTAAATTATGTAAATACAGTAAAATGCAAGTAATTATGTAGATCTTTGAAAGCGTTTGTTAGCGAAACAGTTTAATTAAGTTAGTCTTCAAACATTGTCTGTGTGCTAATGTGATTCATATTACATAATACATAATTCATATGTGCTAGTAGTTGCTACCAAGTAATTATTTGAATTAGCAATTTAACAGGCAGGTAATAATGGATTATATCGCAGTATTTATTGTTAGTTTCCTTTTGGGTCGATTTGCCCGATAACAGGCTACGATGAGCAGTTTAGAACTTAATTTAGAGTGCTCAAAATTACGCGAATTGCATTTCTCAGTTTTGTTTTGTTCTCCGATGCAGTATCGTCGTTTCCCGCGTCCTCCGGACAGTGTGAATGTCCTTCAAGGAGATCGTCATCTATCGGAATGGGTGGCTAAGATCGAGACACGCCTGCAAGTCAATCCGCACGATGCAGAAGGTTGGTTCGCGTTGGCTCGCGACGCTCAGACTCGTCCCATTGAGCAGATGCGCCAGTTCTGGGAGCGTTCTGTTTCACATTTTCCTACTCATCCCTATTTTTGGATGTTGTACATTGACCAAGAAATTAAAAGCAGCTACCATGACGAAGCTGAGCGTTTGTTTGAACGTTGTTTGAATAAGATTCCCTCCATCGAGCTTAATCGTTTGCACGTAAGATACGTAATGCAGACTAAGCCACCGGTTAATGCGTCCAATCGCGAAAAAATCTCCGATGCCTACGCGAAGGCAGTTGAAAGGGTTGGTTTGGATATTGATGCGGCATCCTTGTACCTGGAATATATTAGGTTTTTGAGGGATTGCGAAGCAGTGGGCAGCTATGCCGAACAACAGCGTGGCTTCGCCATTAGGAAGGTTTTCCAGCAAGCGGTGGCGGTTCCGTTGAATAACATTGAAATGATGTGGAAAGAATACTGCCATTTTGAGCAAGAATTTCAGGCTCATTTAGCAGAAAAAATCACTGCGGAACGCAGCCGCGAATACACGACAGCCAAGAAAAATGTTAAGATATTGGAATCCATTATGCGCACTCTGCGGCGAGATAAACTTCCGTCTCCGCCTCGTACGTTAAATGAAGAGCGCCATCAGGTACTAAATACTACTGTATTTGGTTTCTGGCTTCTTCCCAGGTCGATCGTATAATTTATTTAATCATATTAATCTTACAGAATCTGCGCTGTGAACAGTTACTAATAGTAGTTACCGTAGTCCACATTCATTCAGTAGAATCATGCTGCAGGCAAATATTGTGAAATGATCCTGAGTTTCCGTCGTTCCGACCAGGACACGAAGATCTGTTACTCAACCGGGAAAATGGTCTGCGATTCTTAGAAATTTCTTGATTTCTCGATGAAACGTATTATCAGTTTTATCACCATAGAAAGCTGAATATATTGTAAAGGGATTGTGTTAGCACTTACAATACTACGAGTAGTATTTAAATGAGTAACCAGAATTTCCCGTAAAACGCAGAATTTCCCGTACTAGTAATCGTAATATGTGGTAGTTCTATTATATGGTTTTGATTCCTGACAAAATCCAAAGTGCCTCTCGACTGACAATGAGTTTCGCATACGACGAAAATAATTGCAGTCTGAAGATATCGAAACGGTTTCCAGTTTTCCACAGGATCCGTATGCTCATTCAATAGCACACGATGTACATAAATACCGCGATATTGGGAACTGCGTTCCCGATTAGCTGAACTCTGCTTAAATGCGACTTTGAGTACCACCGAGCACTATTAAAATCAGGCACGCAGCGGTCCTCATCGGTCAGTGGTGGTCACCATGAGTCCATGCCCAGTGTGTTGAATTTCAGATATTTTTTTAAAAACACTCCACATGTTTAAAACGGTAAAGGAGACCACTACACAGTACCAGGACGGAACATAAGTACCTTATTTCCATTAAAACTCTGCATATACAATATACATGCGTCGACAGACTGGCTGTGTTTCTATTGTCTTACGCGCATTCAGACTACAAAATATTTTTCTGATCGGGTAGTTATTTTACACAATGGAAATTTTATTTAAAGACCGGTAACAGGCAACTATTGACTGTTTATAATCTTCCGTATACCATAGTACGTAATTAAAGTGTGGCAAAGATTTGGTGGGATACTGGTCAATGGTCAGCTGTGGTTTCTATCACTGTTTCTATCACTGTGAGTGTTGCTTGTACCCGTAGATGGTCAGTATTAAAACCTCATAATTCTGGAATCATGTTAGGATCCGTCCTTCTTTAAAAGTTTACGAGCAGTTATTAGACATTAGTTTTTCCAACTACAAGTTCGACGAAATATGGACCTTCTCAATTAAGTCATCAAAAGTTAAACTTGGATACAAACTGCTAACAAGCAAAAGTTAACCTTGGATACAAACAGTAATGTTAAGTTACTGGATCTCAGCGCAGATTACTTAACCATAAGAAGGATATTTGCTTATCGTTATTCGTTAAAACAAGTATGTACAATACAGAAATACGGATAAGTACATATGCATAACTGTACTTGCCAGCATAAACCTTATGGTATTTCTGCATTTCATATTTAATACGTTTTCAACCTGGGAAGAATTTCAAGCTGTAAAAAATCTGTTGGCTAAGCATTGCAGTTAACACATAATTCTGCTAGATTGAAAATTGGAAGAAATGGCTGACATTCGAGCGGTCGAATTCGTTACTGCTCGACGATGCCAACCGAGTAGCAAAACGTATTGCATACGTATACGAGAACTCACTGATGTGCATGCCCTACCGGATCGACATGTGGCTGGAAACAGCTGCGCACTACCGAGACTGGTCGGAAAAGGTGAGTGACTCCCAGTCCCGGTCGACACATATTCTTGACTGAAATACCGATATTCGGATGTTGATAACATGAAATGCATGTAAACAGGCAATTGTCAGAGGTGACCAGTCAACCGCCCGGGATGTTTTGAATGCGGCGATCTCCTGCCTGGAGAGAGCCATCACATTGTATCCCGACCGTCCACTATTCTACCTTGTCGTTGCCGACATTGAGGAATACCGAAAAAACAACAAAGGTGCCAAGAAAATGTACGAACGCTGCTTGGAGAAGGTCAAGGACACCGACAATCCCACGCTGCCCTATATCCACTACATGTTGTTCACACGGCGCACGGAAGGCATTCAGTCGGCGCGGATTATATTCGGCCGAGCACGCCAAGATCCACGCATTACGCAGCAGATATTTGTGGCATCCGCATTGATGGAGTTCTTTTGCACGAAAGAGAAGGAAGTAGCCTTGAAAATCTCGGAATTGGGCATGAAGAAGTATGCCGTTAATGGGCAGTATGCGAAGATTTACTTAGACTTCCTCATGATGCAAAATGAACATAACAACGCCAAGCTGTTGGTGGAAAAAGCACTGAAACTGGACTCCCTGACTGTCCAGGAAAAACTGCTGATTGCGGGCAAAAGTCTGGATTATGAGGCGTTGTTGGGCGATTACGACAGTATTCAGGTATGAATATTTGTAACTGTGAAACTTTATTAAATTTTGATAAACCTTCAAGTTAATGACCTTTATAAAAATAAGGAGTTGAAGTGGGGTTCGCAATGCACTTTGATCGCTGAAGGTAGTAAATTACCACCTTACGCTTGGAATCAAGTTCAATAAATGAACCGCTTATTGTAGAAATGCGATAAATCGCGCATGGATTTATTAAATCAGCTGCAGCTTCCCTCGTCGACTTCGCTAATCGGATCGTGCATGGTTGGTCACTGGAACTACATGGATCTGATGCCGCTGACCGAGAGTGATTTGACCAATATGGACTACTTTGAGAATCGTGATGCCACCGGCGTATGCAAACCGTCCCCGTTTGCCTTATATAAAGGTAAAGTCGAAGAAACCACGACAGCCATCAAAGACCGGATGATCATGCCGGATCTGTCAGCCATGATTCCATTCAAACCCCGATCGCAGAACCGCGGATATCTAGCCGTGCGGGGCGGTGATTATGCCTTACCGGAAAGCCTGGAAAGTCTGAAACGTTTCCTCCCGCCTCCAGAGAGCTTTGCCGGGCCGTTCCCCGACTTGGATCAGATTATACGGTTGGTGCTGGAAGAAGGTCCCAAGTCGTCGGTGGAGCTGCAGAGAGCGGTGGACGGGATCGATCCGGGTATTCGACTGGTATCCGAGGTTATCGACACCGCCAGTGAAATAGGAAGAAAAGAACAAAACCGAAGTGGACGCTGACAGGCGGCTTGTGTCCGACATATATCGTTCCCGGTTGGCGAAAAAGATGAAAATGGAAGCTGAATAAACCGACAGTTGGGCGTATGCGGTGACGCTATTTTATAAAGGAATACATGGTTTTTCGTAGTTTGTGGTTCCGCTGTCGGAGTCGCTCTTTGATAATCATTTAGGGCGCTTATACAGTATGCCGAACTTCATAGTTGGGCTTTTGATGGAATAGGATGCAGATATGCGGTCTTGTTACGGGCTTTACATTTATTGTATGTTATGGTTTGTAAACGTTCACGATTTTTCCACAAACTTTTATGTTAGCAATGTTAGCTACGACACGAACGGTATAAATTCCGCGGTGTAATAAAGCTCACGGGAACTGATCTAACGCCGGGTTACTGACTGCAAAATTTAATTTATTCGCTTTGTCCACTTCACAGAGCAAAGTACGTAGAAACCGCAGTTTTTCCTAAAACTGCAATTGCGCAAAAATTTGACTGTTTCATACCGTTTTGCACAATATCGTTTCAAATCTTGCTTCTCAAATAGAATCACAAATCGCCAGACATGCTGCACTGCTCCTGTAGTAAATTTCTGTGGAATCACGCAGGCTGTGCTTGGGGTCGATTTTCTTTAACGTTAGAGAATTCGTTTTGCACTAGCGTATCAATGTACTCATCGATAGCATCACGCACACCACTATAGACCTGCTCCAGTAGATCCTTAGTACGCTTATCAAGATCATTTCGCTTCCGTGTTTTCTCTTTCCTCTTCTCCTCGCCTGCATACGTGGGAACGGTGTGTAGCTCACGTCGTGACCGGACGGCATTACTACGCTCCTGCAAAGCGTAATCGTGCCGAACTCCGGCCGTTCGGTGAGCCTCTTCGTGGTGCTTTTTCATCAGTTCCTTTGCCGGTAACGGCGGGAGCTTGGCAGGTTTACAAACTATCGGGGTTACGGTGCGGGAGGTATCCCCTTCTTCCGGTTCGGGTGTTCCCGTCAGTTCCTGTTTCTTGAGCTTTAGTTGCTTCAGCTCTTCAACCAGCTTTTGTTGTTGTACGTCGATAGATTGGATCAATTCATGTACATCCGCAAGATCTTTAGTGGTGGATGCGCTGTTATGCACGCTTTTCGTTTCAGTGATTTCGGCTAAGGGAAAAAAAGCAAAAAAAAATTATTATCATCTGCCCGCATTACTGTACTTTTGTATTATGGTGCAGGCAACATTCACTGAAATAGAGTTAAAGTGCTTACTAAAAAAATATTTTTGCAAATTAAACCAACGTGTGCAGTCAGTATGCTGTCATGTACTGTACTTGTACGGGTACATTAAAATTTTATTAAACCGGCCCGCTGCTATCCGTGTTATGATTATTAATATCCAATTTCAATCGATCCTTCGTTTTCTATTCCTAATAAAGTGTCACACATAACGCTAAAAAGTTAAGTACCTAGAGCTGTAGGCGGCGGTTCCCCTTGTGGCAGTGTTTTCGCGCAGCTTTATCCATGCTGCCTGGCTTCACCGGTTTAGGGTCAGATGCGGAGACACGATGCGTTCGAGGGTCGAGGTGTTTCGAGAGCGTCGGATCGCGTGCTCCTCTGGATTTTCCCAGTCGGTTAGCCTCCGCTACGCCCTTTGCGATTTCCACCAGTGGTTTATGTGGAACATAAATAATTTGCTGCGGTTTGATGTATTTTACTTTAGTGACATAGTTTTTTTCGTAATACGGCTGACGGGAAACGTGCGGCGGTACCACTTCCGGGGACTTTGGGCGCTGATCCGGTCGGATCTTCTTGTCCCACCGGCGAATGCGCCCTTCAATCCAGTCCAACCTGGTCTGATTCTTAGCCGCTATTTTGCGTCGCTTCTCCCGACGGTCTTCGGCGATCAGCGTCTCCACTCGCTGTAGTTCCTCTTGCAGCCAATCGTAGAAAGGCGGATTGACCTGCCGCAGGCAGCGCTGCTTGAGATCGTCCTGGGCCTGGATGCGCCGGCGTTTCTCCTTCCATCGATTCAGGAAGACCATTTTCCGTGGCCTCCGCAGGATATAATACTGATCCAGCCGCTTAATCATATCTTCCAGCCACTGGCGTTGGTGGTCAGTGATGCTGGTGTATCGGAAATTGTGTTTATTTATGTATCGCTTCAACGCTCTCACCGCCGCGTAGATGCGCTTATCGGACCACAGATTATCGCGTGTCTTAATAAAATCAATCTGATCTGTCACGCAGGCCTTTATCTGAAGGTATTTTGCCATGCTTTTCGATTTCAGTGTGTGCCGGACTTCCGGTGTCCATGATTCATCACATGCTGGGTCAGCGGCATGTGTTGCTCTACTGGAACGAGTAGTGTTCAGATTGCTGATACTCCTGCCCATACTGCGGTATTTTGTGGGGCGGATGAATACTGACGGAACAAGTTTCGGGATCCGCGATCGCTCCACATCGTCATAGACAGTGTTTTTGTAGAAACTTGGCACACTCGCCGTACCCCGAAGGACTTCTGTAATTACATACCGAAAAACATTACAGCACAACGCTGAATTATTAAGAAAATGTAAGTAAGCTAACACGGTGTCACTGCTATCGTGTAAATACAGTAAGTAGTGATATATCGTTACAAGAGTCAAGAAACATACCCGAAAGTCGCGAGTCGGCCGGAACATTTAAAGCTGAAGGAACAGGGTAAACGATTTCCGGTACAGCGTTTTGCTGAGCAATTTGCACGCGAGCGATTTGCGCTTCGTGTTCCAAACGCTCAGGACTGATCACGCTGAAATCTCCAGAGCTTTCCCCGTTTTCAGACGACATTTTGCTGGTGAAAACTCCAAGCAAGGGTTTAAAATTAAATCACAACTGCAAACCATCAAATAGTTTTGGATTTTAAAGTACCCGGCAGCGATAACCTTTTCAAAACCGATTAACAGCTAAGCAATACTGGAAGCATGGAAGTCTTCGTTGACTGTTTAAATGGTGCGTTGCAGTAAGCTGAATACCTGTCTCACAGTTAGGAATTTCACCACATTTTCGCACAATGGTTTCTCGCTTGGACGAAAGTCCAAATGGGTTCTACAATACTACAAAACCAATCCGTATTTTACTTCCCGGTCAATTGAGCGTCCAAATATTATTACAAGTTGCAGAGATATTGCTCGAGCGCATCAAATGGCAAAATAAAAAATTTTGCTCTTCTAAGTTGTCAGATTAGTCGACGTAAATGCATGTTTCTACGGAAATCATCCTTATTTTACCTATGTACCACCGTGCCACCGTATCGATTAGTAGATCCCGTGCCCGTGAGATGTGGATGCACGCGATGCAAGCATACGAATACCGTTCACAGCCACAGCATGAGAACAGGAACTGCAGCTTACTAGCTGGTAAGTTATGTAGATTTCTAGTAGCAATCAGAAATAGCAGCGTTGTAATAATAAGCACTAAAAAGTAATTACTGCATAATTGCATTGCGGTAATCAAAATCACGGTAAAATAATGAGATCTATCATTTATGTATACTTCTATTGGTACAGACTTATATATGGCCAGAACTTTTTTCTTGCCAGAGCAGGTCCACTTCTTTTTGCATTTAAAACACGAAGAGCTCGTGGTCAACTGAACTGCTGCTAGAGGAAGGTTGCCATATACTCTGGCCGATTAACCCTACAGGCTATTAGGCTAACGACAGTAAAAAACCAAAACAAAGCAAGGTTGCGCTCAATGGCGCTCACATGCCTCTGTCAATAGAAAGTTTGCCAAGGTAGGAAACTTCTTCCTTGCTTTCGGAGTGGCGAACGTTCGTGTTGGTAAAGACAATTGCTGAGCGGTCAAGAAAGTGTGGGCCCAGTTACGATTATGGGAGCAGATGGATTCCTGTTGGAGTTGTTGGAGTTAGAAAACCATTTTCTTATGAATTCGCCGGACTGCGCAAGAAGGATCAGTGGAACACCACGTTCGTTCATGAATCCATCTTCGAAACCCTCGGTCTTCGAGGGCCCCACATGGAGATGGGGATTTTGTGCATTGCTTTGCATGGTAAGGTACGGCTGCTCGGTCCACTATGGAGAATCGTCCGAACTGACACAAATGTTGTCGCAGACGCGGTGCAGTGCTTGTCGCCATCGCTAGCTGACGGAGAAATCATAATTTATTGCGCGCTTTTGTAGGGTTCGAGTGGATAGTTGTTTGGCCACAGAAGAAAAGCGCATGATCGAGTTACGAGCATTTAAGACTACTTTCATGGAGCAACACGGTTCCAAGATCGACGGTTCACAAACATTGCGCGTGAGTCCGCTGGTATGGTTCAACTGGAACGGCGCAAGCGCACACCGGCTCCACGATACTGTCAGAGTAAATGCCGTTGCGGAGCACGAACAACCGAAGCATTTCCAAACCGCCCGATTTTCCTGTGTGCGCTCTTCGGGCAATCTGGACGGTGCGGAGCGCTGGTATCCACATTTAAAGTCGCTCTTTGAGACACCGAGATTGTTAAAAAAAGGTGATACCGTATGTTGCAACGTATCGCACTATCTTCCGGTTATGCAGCGTGGATCCGACATAATTTATTTCCGTCTTGTGGACACGGAGCCGGAGACCATGGTACATGGACTTGTTGAAGTGGATAAAACTTTCTTGTTTATCGTTGGCTTTATGGGATCGTATGTTCCGCTGGCGATGGAGCACTTCTACAGCGACCATCCGCAAAAGCCGCTAAAGCACACTGTTGCAGAACTGGGGCTGGAGAAAGATTTAACAACTCTGCTGGAAGTGTTAAGAACGTTTTCTTCAAAGAATCTCAAAAATCCTCCAACGGTTTCGGTCTTGTTAAGTGGCGAGCCGGCGTGCGGCAAACGCATTTTATGCTATACTGCAGCTCTGCGTTTACACATGCAGGTTTTTGAAATCAACGTTGTTCGAGATACTTTTGCCGACACGATTGCGGCGACCGAGTCTCGGATCCAGCATAAATTTGAAAAGGGTAATTTCGATACACGTCATGTATGCTTTACTTCATATTTTGGTTTACAGATTAAAGTAATCGGATTTACAGAATTTCGGCTTAAGCAGTATTTTAATGTTATTCGTTGTTACAGCGTCGCTCTGTGCGCCGTGTGTCATACTCCTGTCTCATTTGGAGTTTTTTCGAAAAAGTAAGCATGAACCTCGTTTATGGCAAGCCTTGCATCGTGCAATTAAGGATGCTACGTGTGCCAAACGAGATTATCCGGTTATTGTCATTGGCACTTGCATTGGACCCCCTAGTCATGAGTTGGAAGATTTGTTTTCTGTGATTTTGGAAGTTAAGGTATTTTTTGTTAATTACCGTTGACGTGTAGTTTGCTTGTTATTGTTCAGTGATAGGAATATCATATTAGGGCGGTTCACTTAACCAATGAGATATCATATTTGATGTTTTATAGTTATTAAATGAAGTATCGAAATTCATGGCTTTATGCTCGCAGGTTTTTGCTAGGAATTCTTAGTAGTGAGTATGCAGTTCATCGTAGCAGCAATAAGCAGTTGTCTTGTTTGTTAGGGCCTGGTGACTTCCAGAGTGCCTTCTTTAAATAGGTCACTCGCTGGCAGTTTGCATAATGCCGCCGCGGAACTGAATTATGACGGTTTGGTCAGTGCCTCACACCACTGGGACTTTGGTGATGTTATTTCCCTGTTAGAGTCGGCTGAATTTCAGGCATATTCCCGCTGTGTAGATCAGAGGTACGCGAGACGGCGAGAGCAGTAGGTTTCATCCTCTGCTTTTGTTAGCGTTCGACTGCTTTGTAGAAATACCCAGGAACAAAGCAGATCGTTGAAACAGGCTGATTTTATGAATGGTTTGCATGAACAAGAGGCGGCTTTTGGACAGCACTTTCAGTTGAAGGTGAGCCACTGTTCCTACTCAGTGTTTTTTTTGCGCTGGAATATATACTGTATTATCAGTCTGCGCGTTTTCTTGTGACTCTGCAGACGCCGGTGACCACGTGGACCGATATTGGCGGCCTGGAAGACGCCAAGCTAGAATTACTGCGGTTGATTGAACTTCCGATGCGGTGCCAGCAAATCGTGGACAGTGGCCTGCAGAGATTTGGTGTACTGTTATGCGGACCCCCTGGAAACGGGAAAACCTTATTGGCCAAAGCCGTGGCGAATCAGTGCTCGTTGAATTTCATCAGTGTGAAAGGTCCTGAACTGATCAACATGTATGTGGGGCAGAGCGAAGAAAATATTCGCACAAGTAGGTGGCTTGTGAAACCTGTGCATAAATGGTATCTAGGTTTATATTCAAAAATTTTTGCAGCATTTGATCGTGCAAGAAAAACTGCTCCTAGTTTGATCTTTTTTGATGAGCTGGACAGTATAGTTCCGGCACGGGGTCGAACAGGCGATTCTGGCGGCGTGATTGATCGAGTGGTGTCTCAGATGATGACGGAAATGGATGGATTGACTAGGCACACGCAAGTGTTCGTTTTGGGAGCTACAAATCGTCCGGATCTCATCGATCCAGCCTTGCTGCGGCCCGGAAGGTGACAAAATTAAATAATGAAAGAAGTTAGATCTAATTTTAAATTGACTTTCGCAGGACTTATACGTGTTTGCTGTTGCAGTTCTGAGGATAGAATATGTAATGTATTACCAGTTACCTACTCCTCGCCTTTTAGTAACTTGGTGTCTTTACTTTGTTCAGGAAGTTTATTTTTTTACGTTAAACTTTTAAATTTTTGAACTAGTTATTCGAATAGCGAATGAAGCGTTTAGTCTTATAAAACGCTGCAGTTACTTACTTATGTTGTTTTTTCACTTGCAGGTTTGACCGGATTATTCAGATTGGTAACCCAACCACATCAAAGCACCGTTTACAGATTTTAAAGGCAATAACTCGCAAATGCAGTTTGGACAAATCAGACCTTCTCGAGCATGTGGAACGAAGGCTTGAGTCTGACATCTCAGGTGCTGATATTTATGCCGTTTGCGCAGATGCCGCTTTGTTTGCGATGCAGCGGTTGGTGTCTTCCGGTAAGCACTTAATTACTGTGCTCCCACTTTCGATCGTCTGGAACTTTGAATTATAATTTAATCACGCATAGATTCTGCCCTGTGTGCAGTGTGAATCAGCTAATTTAATAAGGAGTTTAATTATAAACATTTAGGTCTCTGCTCCTCTGTAAGCTTTTTCTTCAGGGATCACCGATGCGGAACTGGTCATTACGAATGATGATTTTGATAAGGCCATCGAGCGGAGTCTTTGTACGCAAAATGTAAACGTGACCAAAGGATAGCCCTGAATCGGCTCGTACTGTAGTACGATACTGAATCGGCTAGTTTCACTTGCTCATCTTGTGCCCTGCATTGAAGCATTTGTGATAATCGTACTTCCTTGACAATGAGATTTGGATGAGTATGGTTTCAAATTCGGGTTTTGTCTCTTCATAGTTGTCTGTATGTCTTCCGGTGCGTACAAGCCAAAGATTGTCAGTTTAAAAGTATTTTCTGTGCGAAAATCTCGCATATTTCAGTGTTTACGTCCTTTGATTGCTACTCGTACACAAACTGCATTTCAAACTGACCAGTATGTAATGAACTACGAAGCGAAACCACAACAAGAGAAATGCTCAGAAATCACAACCGACCAAGTCAGAGTAGACCGCCAAACGAAGCAGCTGGAAGAGACTCGACGGTGAGACTGATGGTGAGCAGTGCTTTAATTCGAATTTCCGATTGGCCGTAATAGCTGAATCGAACTGAACCATCATAAGCAAGAAAATGCCCTTCAAGACTGAAGTTATGGAAAACGTCTCCGTTACCTCAGGTGTGCTGACTCTTTGATGAATGTTTTGGAAATACTGAATATATACTTACTCGAATGATTTTCGATGGTTGTTTGCGTCTTAGCGATATAAAATGTTGTAAATTAAAATCAATATGGAAGGATGCTCCTGCTGTCTGGCCCAAAAGATTTGGTAAGGTATGTAACGATTAGTTTCGGTAATCATTACAAATAGCAATCTGACTAGAGCCTCTTACAAAGCGTCATTTTCTGGAGTGAACTCGCTGAACTAATAAATGTTTAATTGTTTACGTTTAATTTAGAGTTTTTATGTGCTGTTATTAGTTATATTAAAATTTTTATGTGGTTTTGTTTCAGATTTTTTGGGGTAGTTTCCTTGCTACGGTGATGGAGTACTGTTAGAGGGGAATAACCAGCTTCTTGTGTCATTTCCAGCCTTAGGTGCATTTTGGTAATGCATACATGAAATCTGATACAGATGCTGACGAATTCAGCTGGTTTATACAGCGCTGTTATTTCGGTGCCTGTAATATCGCATTGATTAATTACGTTAAGGCGTTTTTGCAGGTCGTATTAGTGGCATTTGTGTGGATTAATTAACCGACAAAGCGCGGTAGAAATTAGATGCCCACTCAGCAGTCGTCGCGAGCGGAGGTTGCTAATGGTCTACTTGATCATGGGATGCTGTTTGCTGCACATCGGAGTCGCACTATCACCCACAGAATGGAGTCCGTTACGCATGCGCTGGTGCACAGCAGCTACACGTCGGCCTCAGCGCAGCTGGCCGACGACATCGACGATGATTTCGATGAGCCCACGAAGCTGAGGATCGACGACGGATCGGATGGATCCTCCGACACCTGGTCCTCATCGCTGGCTGTGATTGGGGAACTCAGGAACCCTGTGGACAGAAGCTCAGCACTGAAACGATCAGCCAGTAGAAACTGCTATCCTGATTTAACGCTGCATTCAAAAAGAGTTAGTTTCCGATATTTAACCGACTGATTTAGTTTTATTCTAATTACCACGAAGTGGCGCAATGACTACTTATGACGGCGGCAGACGGGCAGGATGCATGAGTCATTCATTACGTGTTACGTAATTTGCGTTGTTTTACTGTTATTTAAATTTAGCTTTTTCTGAGTTGATAATTAATATGTAGACTTATTGTAGTTTAAATCAATTACTTCATTAGGATTGGCGTTTAGGTCTGTGGTTGCTGTATCGAAGCGTATTTTAGGTGTCTCTTTCCCATGTTGCTCAAGACTCAAAACGGAGCGATTTCCCGCAGATTGTGTCGGACAAAGAGCTGTTCTTGTCCTTCTACGATAAACGGGAAACCCCTGGCACGAAGATAAATAACGTGGACACTGCTCAAGCGCGGAGCGTCGACAATGGATGTCCATCGTGTCCTGCTGGTGATAATACAGATTCCAATGCGGATCCTGTCAAGAAAGATGACACTGTGTCCAACAGTTCTCTTGCTGCTTCGTGTTCGCGATGTCATCGACCGGAATGTGATTGCGAAAGCAAATTGTCCCCATCGGCAGACAATCCGATCGTGGATCCGGAACCGCCCAAGGAGGACTACGACATCCCGCCTGGTTTGGGCAATCAGGATCTCCCGGCGCTGATGCAGCATTTGACTGAAGAAGAGCGAAAACTGTTTACTGATTTATTTGACAGTGTGATGGACTTTTCCCTTCAGGACTTACTACGGGAAGAAATGGATGAAGGTCATCGTCCGCTGGAGCCCACTCCAGAGGGCCTGGACCTGATGACTAACAGCTGGGAAGATGTCTTTCAGAACCCGTACGATTACATGCTCCATACGACAGACAGTTGTCCTAACTGTGGACGGCAGATAACGCTCAGTCGCATGGCACCGCATATCGTCAGTCGCTGTGGTGAATCTCGATCTGTGGAAGAGCGGACCAAACGACTGGGAAAGAATAAGAACGGACTGGTGTCGATGCGCTCCACTAGGAGCACCACCAAGGATGCATCGGATGCTGCGCTGTATGGTGCCATGCAACCGAGCTCTTCATCGTCCACCCCGTTGGACGACCGAGATGACTCCAGTGATGTGGAGATCTTGGATGATATTCCCGCTCCACTACCGATTCCACCCGTGTCCAGTGTGTATAAACCAATTGGATTTCCTGTTGGCTCGCGTATCGCGTCCATTTCTGAAAAGCTTCTCCGCTCAAAACGCCAGACCAGCCTTAGTCCAGAATTCATCGCTCAAAAGAAGGTCAAGTTAAAAAAAGGAGAGAACGTGGTTGATGATGGAGATGATTCGTTCGATGACGAAGATTAGTTTAAAGTTAATTGTTATCTCGTTAACGAATGACTCTGTTGTTTGCGTGCATGCGCAGCCTGCAGTTCTTTCAAACGTGCGACCAAACTGAACTGTTTTTAGTGATAACAAACAGCCATTACCTGCTGTGCTGACGTTTAAATTATTTTTCACCGGTGAGATTTTTTTATTGTCTCTGTTAGTTGTCGCGCCGTTTATCCTTTTGATCTCGTTCGTTTGACTTTTAATGATGATGTGCTCTGCAGCTTTTTGGTTGCACATTTTTATTGGCAGCACTGGAAAAACAGTTAGTTCATCAAATATTTCGTTTCGTCACTTTCGAGTAGAGCGCTCAACAGTCAAATACAGTGCGCATATGCTAGACCAACGCACCAACATCCCGAAAACGAATCCGAAGTATTCAGTGAACACACCATACACCACAATTCACACTGCGCAAGAACGATTCACAAATAAAATTTTAACGCGAAGTATCTTTTGCATAGTACACAGATATGTAAGTTATTCCGTTGCTTTAACAAGTGCTTCAAAGGTCTCCACTTCAATGCTGGCTTCCGCTTTCGCTACATCTCCCGAAGCGGAACTTAACCGGCCCTGGGCTTCTGCCAGTCCATCTCTTGCAGCCTGCAATTGAGTCGAGCACTGTACTTACAATTTTCAACTCATTGTCAGAATACCTCACATGTAACTTATGAATAAAAATATTTTACTACTTACAGAGAGGTGCTTATTTACTGTAACTACTTACAAATTACATTGCGAAAGTTACGTACTGTATAGTTTCCATCTAGCCTCACTGTCAGTTTAAGCCTCATAAACGCAACTCAGGGAAACAATTAAACAGAATTCATTTTAAAATATCTGAGACAACCGCAAATTGAAATAAAAGATTAAAAAATTACCCTAAAACACTTTTAAATTTAATAACGTAAAGTTTGGACGATACACTGCTTGGACACAATACCATGAGCATAAAATCAGTATTTGCAGTTGAAAATGAGAAAGATCTTCAGCAACTGCGAGATATCTTTTCAACTTGGCTTACGAATACGAAAAACAGCTACACAAAACACAAACCTGGCGATCAAGAGACTCAACAGGAACAGCCTCTTCTGCTAATATCTGAACAGTGGAGTCGTCGTTCACCGTAACTGTTCCGCTGCTCACTGAAAAATCACAAGCAAAACGCTGAAATAAGGAGAAATGTGGTTACTACTGCCTACTTCCTATCCTGATTATGATCCAAGCTAGTACAAAAATTACACTTCCTTCGTGCATCGTGCACAACTGCACACTGTATTGCAGCATCCACTGCACATTGCAAACCCAGCAAGAAGACATTTCATAATAACCTGCACAACCAGCTCACCAAAGAATTTTTTGGAAGTTCCATCTTCTTCGAAGACATTGATAACTCCAGGTTTCAGGACTGCAAGCATGGGCACATGGTGTGCTAGGATACCGAAGTTACCACTCATGGATGGAACGTCTATTTGTTTCGCGTTCACTTCATTATAGAAAACCTGCGAATCAGTGAGCAAGTAAGTTACAGCGAGATTTTACAACAAGGATTTTATTAACATAATGAAGTAACCTGGCCAGGAGAAGCAAACGTAAATTTCATCTGGTTCCAGGAGGCTGATGTGGATAAATTCGAAGAGCACCGGTTTGGCTGGACGCTAAACGGCACATCAATCTGAAATTATTCACAAGGGCCATTATGCACTCCTTAGGGAACAGCAGACAAACTGGCGATGCGAGATCCAGAAAGTTTTCTTCGAATAAGATACACCCAGCATCAAATCACTTTTTCTTTTTCAAAGTTTTCCCGCACGGTGACGCAAAACTAAGAGAAAATGTTGTTAATGTTACTTGATTTGGGCGTGCGAAACAGCCCTGAAGAAGTAGTACAGAGTACAGACAGTCAAGCTATAAGCCCTAAGAGCACTAAGACGACTTCTCACGCCTGTAGGCGGTGGCTCGTTAGACGCCAAGTGGATTTTTCGTGTTGTAGCAGTAATTATAGTACTAAATACTGTACCTGCACACTACTTCGCGACGCGACACCGAGAAAAGCCCATACGCTATGATAATAATTATCGGGCTGCATAATCCAAAAAAATCAGATCTTGAATTCAATGTTTAATTTATTTTCGAAATTTAACAGTGGCTGGAAGTTACAGAATTTGATGTTTTCTTAAAAAAGCCTTTCATACAAAAAATAATCAACGCAACTTTAAAGACAATGAAGCAGCGACCATTTAAAAAAAAACTTCTTAACGAAAAATTTTGAAAACTTAAGTAAACGAGAACACCCTTCACGCACTGCAAGTGGTTCACCTGGCTGAATACTGAAGATTTTTCGTGTTATCAAATTCCAGCCATTCATAAAGTGCGAGCCAGAAATCTTTTCGTTTATTCTAACAAGCGGTGCATAATTATATAGTACTTAACATAACGAAAGAATTATGTGTATTTGGAACAATCTTTTGAATAGGTTAGAGTTGAAGAACACAATGAAAGCGCCAAACAAAGCCAAATGCAGCTGCAAGCGGGACAGTGACTGGACGTTGCAGCTGTCAAAAAAACAAAATATCCTTTTTACAGAAAGCAGATTATAATCGCCAGACGACGACGCAATAGGACAAAATAAGCACATCTTCCGCCGTTCCACCTAATGTACGCAGCGTGATCAGCAACTTGAGTGCCCAAATGAGATGTCAAAGGTACTGTGATCAGGTCAAAGCCATCACGGCAGTATATTATTCGCAACTATGGAGCATTTTCCTCTCCAGTTTCATTAGAGGCATCTTCTTTGGACGACTGACCCTGCTGCTCCTCGCCTTCCGCATCCAGCCAGGATTCTTCTACGATGGCAGCAACCCGCTTCTCGTATTCTCTTCGATCGGTCTGGTAAAGCTGAGCCGCCAGACTGTTCGCTGGACTGTTGGGATTCGGTGCGTCTAACAGGGACTGAATACTCGTCAGTACGCTCGCCACATCGTAGCTTGGACTCCATCGACTAAAACGTGAAAAGCAGTGCTACAACGACCTATGCCACTCGTGTAATGATGTACAGTACTGTGCCGGATAATTAAGAACGTCGTCCGTGTCCATCTACCTGTGTGCCACTAACGCCTTATTCGAATCAGAAAACAACAAATTAAGTAACTGCAAAGGTTAGCAGATATTTCTCCAACCCGATTCTCTACTCCACAAGTACATTCCAGTCTTAACATCACAGTCATCATACCACATAATTACCGAAAAGCGGCCAGTGCAAAAACAGAAGCTGCATGCTGCAGCATGCACATGGAAATTTACCCACACTTTAGAAACGAGGAAAGAAACTGTAATCAATAGTCTATATCTGCTACAACAATGTAAAAATGTTCGCAATAGCAAAACGAAACTGTCATTAATCAAGGAGAAAAGGTAAGATGTCTCCATTTAAAAACACGGACTTGTAGTTAGATAAAAAGAAATAAAATAATGCCAGGTGAATTGTTTATTTTTGAATTGTTGATCACTAATCTTAATGGCCAAAATTCCAGAACCACGACTTCAGATGACATAATAGAAAAGCCTATAAAAACTATTAAAGCGCCAAAACTCTGCAGACTCTCACCTGTTGAGAAGATCCAGGCAAATCGATCCATCCGCGTAAACGTTGGGGTGAAACATTCTGCAAGAAGATTGTTCCAACAGTCTAATCAGGAGAGAAGTGTTCTAACTCTAGCAATGGGAGGTTTAAAAGCGTTTACGGTAAAAGTTTATTCCTCAGCCAGCCAAGGCGGTGGTGGCCAAGGTGGTGGTTTACTTACCATGATGCAGAAAATAATACTAGAGTAGTAAATTAAGTAAAGCAAAACACGCTAAACGACACCAACCTGGACAAGAATCGAACTTTAGGGGGTTTGTTGGGATAATCTTCAGTAAACTCCATGACTAATTTGAAAGTCCCATCTTCGAAAGGGGTTCCCTGAGGTCCAAAAATAATGCAATTCCACGAGAGCAGATTCATTTCGTTTGGTGCGCCAGACACTCCAGTTGGAGGATCTTCCTGCAGTTTCTTAAAATCTCGCAACAATCTCCGACGAGCAGGCGTCGAAGATGAAGTCGTTGCTGCCATTGAAAGACGGGGGAAAATAGTACAGCCTAGACAAGTGGAAGATTTCCCAGTATGTCCTCTTTTCTTCCCTCACTTGAGTCGCTAAGAAACAATGGTTCGGAATATTTCGATGATGATCACAGCTGACTGGCCGATTCCTGGATTCCGTAGTGGTTCAATAACAAACAAATGTATACACACAGTCATATATTAAACTGACTGTATCAGCAGATCGAACGGGCCTGCAGGCTCCACACTGACTGAAAACGTGTGCTATACTCGAATAACAAGCTCGAGTGTGAAATTGGCAGCACAAGGTACGCACTAAATAGGTCCTTGTAGATTTATACAGGAAGGCAGAGAATTACGGATGTAGATTAAATACCATTAAGTACGAAAACCGAGCACCAGTAGGGGCACATCAAGATGTACAATAATATATCCCCAAATAACACAAGCAGACAGGATGACTTATAAATTATCGTAAGCTTTACTTATTAGACCAGAAATCCCTATTGTGCCAATCCCTAATCATCAACTGACTGACTTGTGAGTCCACGTCTGGTGGTTCTAGCAACTTCAAGGATAATTCACACTTTGCAATAAATACCAACCACCAGTGTGCAATCTACCCAACTAGCAAGCAATAATAAGTATATCGAAATCACAAAACGATGCTTAGGAATATGGCATTTTCCTGAAATTGAACAATTTATTAACGATGAAAAACTATAAAAATCAACGTATCGTTCGCGAAAAACTTCTTATGAGCTGAATGAGCATGAATTAACCGCAGATCTGTGTCATCGCGCGGATGCGACGTAAGCGAGGATACGTAAGAATCAATGGTCTGGACTTTGGAATGAGTCATGAGTTATCACGTTGACGACGTCAAAGCCGGAAATCTAACGTAAAACAAAAATTTTTTTTGTTTGAGTACAAATTTATCAATTAAATTTTTTTGTTCATAATATGGCCTGACGGCCATAAAATTTTTTTTGCTATGTTTTTGTTGTTTATGCACTGCACTGCATAATCTGCATTGAACTTAATTTTGCCAAAATGTTAAAATCGAAATATTGCACTTTCACATAAGCAAATAATAAGAGTATTTAATGTACAATTTAGGTGCTATTATTCAAAATTACAACACAATCTTGAATGGAAATGTTATAATAGATACTTGTATTAAATTTATTAAAATAAAGATGTAATTATTATCATACATGTGGTACGAGTATATAGATATTAGAAAATTCCACGGTGTCAAAAATTTAAATTTTTGCGTCGATGGAAAAAGCACTAATTTAGTTTCCCTTTAACTAGCTCACATCAAGATGGAGATTAATCTAATAATTGTCATATTAATAATATTTATCCCTTTTCATCGGTGTGCTAATTATTAAGTATATTTATATTCATGGTGTGTACTACGTAGTACGTAGTACGTACTACTATGTGGCTTATTAAACGTGTTGTTTTGCTTCATTCAGGTTGTTTGTTATTGGACACACTTACAGCGACTGGTGAGCAGACTGAACGAACGAATGGAATTGCGTCAGTCAACTGTCTCTGTGCACACCCGCCTTTATAGGATGAAACTTCCGTTTCAGTTCAGTTTTCGCTGAGCAGGTACTCGATCTAGAGTCTTTGGTTTGAAGCTCCCGTCTCATTTACAAGAAACTGCAGCTACAGACGAACTATTTACTGTGAAGCGTTTGCGTACAGACCGATTCCGCTGATGCTGACTTTGACATATGTTGTTAGCAATCCTAATAGCCCAACGCGGTAACTGTCATTATTTTTTGCCTGATCGCCCGATTGGTGTGCATCAAATGAAAAGGGTATCCAAATACCTGTCCAAGCTCCGTACTAAGCCACTTCCTGCTGTTGATGAAAACACTGAAGCCACTAACGAAAATCATATTGGAAGTAAACTCCCTCCCAGACCAGGCGGAAAGTCGGGAACCGGTTTGGAGAACCGTTCGCAGCTAGAGGAAGGGAGACAGCAGTCCCTGCCTAACATGTTGGGAAGGTAAGTAAAACAGGCGAGAAATGGAGTTTGTCGCAAGATATGAAGATACTAAATGTAGTTACTATACTTCTATTGGAAGCTAGATTGTCGCGATTTAATATTTATATGATTTTTCTCCTGCTATCTTGTGGAATTCAAAATTTGTTAATTATACGTTGGCACGCTCTGCAGTTTTCGTAAAATCTGAAAACTTAATCGTAAGTGACTCGTATTAATTTTGTTAGTACTTAGTATTTACGGTTGTAAGACAGTAAGACGTGATAATTTGTAAGTTTTGCTATAAATTAAATTAAGTAATAATAAGTATATTTATATTAATTATTGAATATTCAGTTCCTCAACTGACAAGTCAGTGGCGGCCACAGTAACTCATAACTGGTAAATTTGTTTTGTTGTGCTGATTTTAAAAAGGTAGCGTTGAAAGATTAAGCCCACGAAACAGGAGAACCTGTTTATCAGTTATATTATTATATATGTCTGCGGCCTGCCGCTTTGCAGTTGCTTACATAGCAGGCACTGCCATTATTGGCGACTTTCGAGCAAGATTAGGCGTAATACCCCGTACTCATAACATTTTCTTGGTATTGCTCTTGAATCGGTACGGTGTTTTCCTGAAACTCAAGCTGATTTGAGCAGTTTTGTTGAACACTGTTTGCTACGCAGCTACCAGAACAGTTAGCGATGGCCAATAATTTTAGCCACTATCGCTGCTTTTGTAATTTAAAAGTATTTTTTAAGCACTAAGACGCAAGTCAACTGTATAAAGATCTACTCTGAAGTGGGTTTGTTGGACTGACTGATCCTTACAGTGTCTTCCTTCAGCTTGGATGCGATTAGTATTAGTATAGTTAGATTCGGTTTGTTTAAATTTAAATGTTTATTTATCGTAGATTCCAGAACCGACCTTTGGTCTATAAGACCAATGCTATTAACGATGATTACGATATCAGCACAAACGTGCTGGGATTGGGAATTAACGGGAAAGTCGTGGAATGCTTTAGCCGTGGATCCGTACGGCACAAATTGGCCTTGAAAGTAAGTTTAAGCAGAATATTCTTAGAATCGAACCTGGGTTTTATTGGTTGCTTAAGAAATGTAAACCAACTGCAATTATTTCATAGCGCAGCTGAATTTTGCCTCAAGTAATTGTATTTGAATGAGCTTTATTTTTTTAATGAAACTTTCGTCTGAAGCATCCGTAGTCCGAAAAGTTGTTTTGAATATTATATTTAGCACGGTTACCGCATGTATTGCTATATTTATGAATTACGGGAATGAGTCACGGCAGTATTTATGAATCGTTTTTTGCGTCATCCTCTCACCTACAGTTGAATGCTCTCTGTCGTAATCGCGAATCATCGTTTAACGGCTCATCGACTATTTCATGCATGTTGCGAGAGTCATCCTTGAAGTAGCACTTTCTGAAGCTCATTTTTTATATCTTTTGCTAGTATTGTTTTTTATGGAAATTACGTTCCCTCTGTCTTCTAACGCGGAATGGTAGTAATTTCATGTTTAAAAAAAATTGATGAACTGAAATGATTAAGCGTATGATCTTGTTTGAAGGTACAGTACTGTAGAATAAATAGCGCGATAAATAAACCGATTGCATAAAAAGACACTGTCTTTTGATGACCATTTTCTGATTACAAGCATACCTCCAGATGAATCAGGTTCTCTTGATCATGGTGAAATCATCCGCAAGTTTAATTGCTTGCCATTTATCAAGTAGCAACAGTTTTCCGGCGGATCAACTTTTATCGATGTTTCAACTGTTTCTAATGAATTGTTGTTATTGATTAGAATCTGTAAGTGTAATCAATGTGATGTCTTTCTTGGATCACGTAGTACTTTTGGCCAAACTTCGGTACCTACATTTGATACTTTGATGATTTGATCGTATCGTACTGCCTTATCTCACGCTCGCGTGACATCACATTCTTTGCGATTGAGTGATTACATCACTGCAGCCCTTCCACGAATCTGGCGCACGTTGTTAACGCCGCCGTACTTGTTTTGCGCAGGTCCTACAGGATAATCCTAAATCAAGAAGAGAAGTAGAGCTTCACTGGAAAGCATCCGGTCACAAGCACATTGTCAACATAGTTGACGTTTATGAAAATGTGTTCTCCGGCAAGAGCTGCTTACTTGTCGTTATGGAATGGTATGTATATTCGTGCGACTTACAGGGTACAATTACTAATGAATATTATACGTACTTCAGTGTTTCATCGTTTTTCATTACGATTCTAGTATGGAGGGAGGAGAACTGTTTGCCCGGATTCAGTCGCGCGGGGACCAGCCTTTCACCGAAAGGGGTGAGTGCCTTGACGTCATTTATACTCGTATGCCAGTGTACGAGTAATTGCCATTGTTCCATGACGGTGGTTTGCATCTTATTGCAGAAGCGGCATCGATCATGAGGGATATTTGTTCAGCTGTTGCCCACCTTCATACCATGAATATAGCCCACAGGGATATCAAAGTAAGCGACCTGGCGAAAATTTTGGAATCGGCGTTTCTATCCGGCGCTGAATATGGGATACCTACTGCATCTATTCGTAGTACTGAATGATTGCTTTTGCAGCCGGAAAATTTATTGTACAGCCGACCAGGGAGTGAGGGTGTTTTAAAATTAACGGATTTTGGATTTGCCAAAGAGCTAACTTCCATGAATGCCCTGAAGACGCCCTGCTATACTCCTTATTATGTGGCTCCGGAAGTACTGGGACCTGAAAAATACGACAAAAGCTGTGATATGTGGTCCATTGGAGTCGTCATGTACATTCTGTAAGTGGACTTCGTTCAAATGGCAAATAATGCTGAATTTAGAGAGGCGAGTAAGCACGAGGGGTCAAACAATTTTAGCGCACGAATCTGGATGTTCGTTCAAATTTCACTGAGAAGCATGCGCAGAATTGCAGTGGTACGAGTACTTTCAACTTTGTATGGTCTCTTCGTGATTCATAAAAGACTGCACACAACCGAACACCTTCGAACTTCGGGTTATGCAGAATTTGTGCACTGTTTTTTGTCTGGCAAACGAATATCGGTCTAGTAGCTGACCTTTGCTCGTTGGCGTTCTCTGGTTTTTGACTTTGGAAGCCTTCGTTAAACGTTGTTGTACAATGTGCAAATACAAGTACACCGTCCCATACAGCGAATGAAGTTGTTATCTTTCATTTTGGTGAGTTTTGTTTTTCGCTATCTCCAGTAATTGCTGCTTTTGTAGGATTTGTGGTTATCCGCCTTTCTACAGTAATCATGGTCTTCCTATTTCTCCGGGAATGAAGAAACGAATACGATCTGGACAGTATGAATTTCATAGCCCGGAATGGGATAACGGTAAGCAGTAAAATGTACGAACAGCCAAATAACGAATTCTTTTATCACCTTGAATTCTTAAACAGTAATATGAAATAGAATTTTACATACTGTAAATAAAGTTTCTACCTTAGTGTAATTGTCAGTACTTCTAGTTCTGGGACTGTCTGTCGTACCAAAAATACATCCATTTCTGCATTTAGCTGTATTACAAGATATTAACGGGGAGCGTTACAGTCGATTATAATATTTTATTGCCAAGGTGAAACATTTTGAAAACGAAAACATGGTAAAGCCTGATGGTTTGACAGTTTGGAGGGTTAAAACGCAATTTTTATGGATATCTTGAGTTTTGTTTTGTATTCTAGTATCCCGTGACGCAAAGGATATCATTAAAGGGCTGCTGAAAACTGATCCTACACAACGGCTGACGATAGAACAAATGATGCGCACAAACTGGATAGCTGTAAGTGGAACCAGTGCATCTCTTTTCCCTGCACTGACAATGAGATGAGCGTTAACTTATAGTCATGGACTCCAGTTATTCCATTTCAACCACTAAATATTCGAAATTTAATTCTTTGCAGATGCATACGGCTGTCCCGCAAACTCCTTTGTATTCCGTGCAAGTCCTTAAAGAAGAACAGGAAGTGTGGCCTGAATTACAGGAAGAGATGAATAATGCATTAGCGACCATGCGCGTGGATACTGATCAACAGGTGCATTTGAAGAATTTGGATAAGTCAACGAATCCACTTTTAGCCAAAAGACGAAATCGAGTTAATGTCGGATAGAGAAAATGCAGAGAATGTCTTCTGCCAGTGTGTAATGCGAACCGGCTATTTGTTCTTTTTGAAATGGCACGCGTTGTGGTGATGCCGTCATTGTTGTTTCTTTATTAGACACTTCGAGGAATTTATTTGTGACTTCATGTGATTGGTAGGGTTAATTATTCTTTCCTAGGTGCGGAGTAGTCGATTTTAACTTTTAGGTCGGGTGTTTGTGTACAATATTATTTTATCGGTATTTGTTTTCTTTTTCGGAAGTTGGCATTTTTCTGAACCAGCAGCGAAGTTTTGTTGGCGCTGATACCGCTTACCATCTGAATCAAATAAACGTGTAAACAGTTTTACGTCCATTATCGGTAGTGTCCATTATCGGTAGTTCGAATATAACCATTTATTTCTAATTAAAGTCAAAGCTTATCTACGGTGTTAAATTATCCACAAGCCAGTTCTAACTTCTAATGTTTAACTAGCTTGCCTCGGTCAATTTAGATCAAATATTCTCCGTAATTCGGCCGCCTGTTTCCTCTGCTTGTTAAATTTGTAATGTATGTTTCTTTTGTGGCTGTTAGATTGTTTTTGTATTCGCTCATCAATAAAATCATATGGTTTCGTACGGTAAACCAGTGACGCGAGCTTCTGTGTTTTGCGAGCGCTAGCTGGGGCAAAATTAATTTTTACAGAATTATAATAAACGCTGGAATTAATGAGAAAAAACTACCTTGCGACAAATACAATGTTCGGGACAGTTGTAAACTTATAGTCAATCGTCACTCAGTCAGATTGTTCCAGTTACTGTAATAGTTTACGTTTTGTGATAACAGGCATTGACAATAATCTATTTTCGAATGCTAGTGGGCTAAAATAAAACAAGTTAGATGATCAAATAAATATGGAAACCGAACTTTTGCAAATGGCAAACCTTTACCACTACCGGTACCAGAGAGAATGGTAATACCATTCTCTCTGCCGGTACTGTACTTGGTACATTTGTTTACGATAAAGAACTTCGAATACAACATTGGCTTCAGTAAGAAACCAGACGGTACAGTTTATCCATATTCTTGGAAATCTTGGCAAAACGCCGCTTAGTAATTTTAAATAAACACGAAAAATTGATCCCACTTCACGCAGGACGGTACCCACTGCCCACCACCCAGTCAATAACGTCACGTCACGTCACTAGTAGCTCGGCCTCTCGGCGGAGCCAATGACTGAAACCCCAGCTGATGGTGAGAAGCTTTTTCCTTTTTAATACGTACCGTTTTATTCGTTTTTTTCGCAATTTCAGAAGTACCGTACGGTAAAAGTTTTTGTTCTTGAACTCTTGCTGTGCATATCCCTTTCAAATTACATAATGATTTCCTTTGTTATCTTTTTTCCATATTTGCACATAAAAGTTTTTTTCCGGAATACTGGAATAGATAAAATCATAAACTTAAAAGATGCAAAAACTGACTTTGTCAGTACTGTTATTGCACTTATTGCTGTGTTAGACTATTAGCTTGTGTATCTTCCTTTGATTAGAAGGCTATAACGTCCTCCATTTGCACTGGGAAATGGGAAATGCTCAAGCAGTTAAACAGCATTTGCAAACGTCGGAAAAGACCGGTGTTTTTGTGATCAAGGGACAGAAACTCAAAGAGGTAAGCTGTACATAAAGACAATTTGAAACATCAACGTACGAGTACAACACTGCGGGATAACTATGCAACCTGTTACGAGTAGGCTGAGAGTAGCTGTAATATATCCTTCGAGAATTTAGTGGGATAAATTTTTCTTATGTTGTAATTACTATGAATATCGTATACTTGAATGGTTTTTCACTGTTTTACTTCCTGTTTCAGGTTCCGGAACCGATTCGCAGGTTCGTAGCTCATGGTAAACAATACCTACCATCCACTGCTTTCCACTTGATCTGGATTCGAGGCTGCTACAGTTTCTGGTAAAATTTTTATGCTGTAGATTGGCTGTGAGCCTTCGGACGATTGATTTATCCCAGAACTCCATCTCCAGCTTGCCACCCTGGATCGGGGACTTTAGTGCACTGAAGAGTTTGCAACTGAACGATAACCAACTGGGTAAGCTCGGCCTGTGTTTGTTTGGTATTTGGAACTATTTTCGTAGCTGCCTAACCATGGCATTGTTTTTGTTTTTATTGGTAGCCGGTACAAAAAAATTACTGCAGTGTAAATGGTTTGCGAGGATTTCTCATCCCTTGATTGTTATTAGTACCAATTATTACTGTGAACTTTTCTCATGCTTTTTTGAATACTTTTTTAAAGTGTAAGACTCTTACACTTTAAAAAAGTATTCAAAAGGACTCTTACAGGAAGAGTCGATTTCGCATTTCGCAATATGTGCCATGAGTTGAATATAAAAGTGACTTTCATACTTGCACGTCTTGATACGATCATGCTGGGAGTGCTGTAAATAATCTAACAAAAGTTTCAGTAAGTTTTTGGTTGGCACTTCTGCATTCCTAATTAATTTTAAGTGATTGGACTGTCGTACGTCTGTATCAGTAATTTTGAAGCAGCAATGTTCTTACTCTTTATATCCTGTTTTATTTTAACTGCCGATTTCGACTGCTTGTCATATTTCTCACTTTTTCTGCCTTCCCAGGCAGGTTTTATCATTGCTCAGGGATGAATTGCGTTCATTGTGTGATTATTTCTGTCATTCCTGGCACACTGATATTTTTTGGGTTTTAGAATCTCTTCCTCCTCAGATCGGAAGTTTAAGTAAACTTGAAACTTTGTCCCTCAACAATAACCGTCTCAGCGCTCTCCCGGAGGAGTTACGAAATCTGACTTCGCTCAAATATTTCATGCTCCAGAACAATGAGTTTGCAGTCTTTCCCACTGTTACCTGCAAACTTCCCAGCTTAGAAGTTTTGGACCTAACGAAAAATAGCATCTCTCTGATTCCTCCTGAGACCGCGGAACTGAACGCACATGAGTTGATTCTGAACAAAAATCAAGTAAGGAGCTACGTAAACGGTAACACACCGGTTTATGCATGAAATCAGTTTTTTAAGTATTACCGTGTTAATACTTACCGTTTTAAGTATTACCGTGTTAACATCTCCTTTTCTGTTGTGAACTATAAAGGGAACCGTTTCCATCACCAGGTCTTAATGCTCGTACTCACAGCTCTAATTTTTATAGCGGCATAAGAGAAGTTAGAACTAATAGAGGAATTGCAGTAAGTATTGCTTAAAGTTTCCATGATTTTATAGAATAAGAAATTGTTGCGCCGACAGTTACTGTTGTCTGTGCCTGTATGTTTTAACGATGTTTCACATTGCATAATTTTATAACGGTGTACGTACCTGGAACCTGGGTTGATAAAAACCGTTAATTTTCTCTTTGCACTATTTTATTTTGTGGAATGTCATGAACCAGCCTTTGCATCTTATGAAACATCGTTTAAAAGTATCCAGTAGGACCAGTACTGTTTTAACCTGTATAGAGTATTTGTCTTAACGGTCTTGCGGCACAGCAAGTGTGCAGTATTAAAACTCAGACCTATGTTTAATGTTTTGTAGATATCATCAATTTCGGATGCTATTCATAAAAGCTCCCGGTTAAGAGTACTGCGGTTGGATGAGAACTGTATTCCGCTAAAGGAAATCAGTCCCCGTATTTTGCGTGAATCAAATATTTCCTTGTTAGCGCTTGAAGGAAATGTCTTCCAGATGAAGGAGTTACAATACGTGGATGGTTATGAACAGGTAACATATACTTACGAAATGCTTCGAGAATCGAGAATCGAAATTACCTTCACTACGTAGTATTATACATACTTTGTATTTTATTTCAGTACATGGAACGCTACACGGCGAGCAAACGAAAACTTTAAGCCAACTGTTCGATACAGTTATTATTATCTTAACTTGTGGCGTTTCGGCACGTGTCTTCTTTGCTTGTCGAGAGTGTTACGTTATTGTTTTCGGTGGTTTGTAGATTTTTGATTCGGTTTTAACATTCCATGATTCTGTTGAAAAGGTTTCTAAACTTCGTCGATTTGACATTGTGTAAACTTGGAAAGACATTCGTATGACTAATGATGTAATTTTTTATTCATTGTTCAGTCGAAATAAATAGCGTGAAGTTGCGCTGTCAAACGCAAAGTGACACTGACCTTCCGGCCTGTAAAACAATTTTTCATAATTTACTTATTATTATAAGTGGCGTAGACTTATGTTAATATTATTTTCGCACCGCAAGGTAGCTTGACCAAACTTGGTCACTTTCGACATCGAGCACAGTGATGTGGCTCAGTACTCGTACGACTGCTTGGAAAAACAATCATACCATCTTCGCGCGACATGTTTGCCATGCGCAGAGTAACCGGAAAGAAGCAGCACATTACATCAGTAAAATAAACTTCAAGAGCCATTACCGTAAAAGCGTAAGCCCGTGTTGTGTCGCTGCTACCGCGCAAGCATTGCGGCACGACACATACATTTTTTGGGCGGATCATATGCCGGTCCTAATATAGTTTGCCGCTTTTTCTAACCGATTTTAGCCAAACGGGGCTATAGTGATGATTTTACTTCTGCCCTGATTTCTGAATGTAATTAACAATTAGTTGTGTACTCAATGTAAATACGAACTACTGTTTTTCAGAGGCCAGCAGTTAATTGTTCTGACTAATTAAAGCGTCGGGGTGCCTAAGAATTATTAAGTGCTTTGTAAAAAAATTGAGTACATACGGGCAATAAAGCAGGAGGCAGCGTTGCATAAGACGTACAGTACTTACATGCTGCAACTATTGTACGTCTTTTGCACTGCTGTTTTGTTTAACAAAAATTACAAATTTGATACATGGCTTTGACTTTGAGTACTGCAGTATCCGATGAATCAAAAATTAATACAGTACTTTCATTGGAAAGCTGTTGCCCAGAAAGGCACAAGACATAGAAGTATGTCAGAAAGCGGATATAAGCGGATATAAGCAGAAGTATGTTACAAAGCGGAAACAGGCGGCCGGATAATCGACAGGATATGGTATCTTTGGCGCTATATTATACAGACAATATAGTGCACATGTCTTGTATTTTTTAAGTTTCCCCACTTTCGTAATAATTGTGGTAACCGTATTAAATTTAGCTTTAGAGTGGCTAATTGCTAAGTACCATTTCTACCTTTAGTCTTAGGTCGTAATTAGTTATTCATAACTTAAGAAATTGTTTCAATTTACCAAGTACTTGCTAGCTTATTGGTAGAACAAAATTAATTATTATTAAACTTTGTATGACTGTGACCATTGCACCGGGTATTGCGGCTTGCTAAGTACCATTTCTACCTTTAGTCTTAGGTCGTAATTAGTTATTCATAACTTAAGAAATTGTTTCAATTTACCAAGTACTTGCTAGCTTATTGGTAGAACAAAATTAATTATTATTAAACTTTGTATGACTGTGACCATTGCACCGGAAGCGGCTTTACTACGTGTTTCGACAAGTGATTCACCAAAGCTATGGCGTCAACTATCAGCAACTTCCTGTAAACAACATCTCGGAAATTCTTGCATCGCTCTTTATTATACGTGCCATAATGATTCATTAAATTTGCCGAATATCGGAACTGTGCAATGTTATGGTCACAATCGTATGGTCACAAAGTTTTCGTTCTTTTTATAACAAGCTGTCTGGTCTTGAATCTCCGGATGTAAAATACAATAATTAATAACTGCAATAGTATTGTACCCTTACATGTACACTAGATAAACTTTGTTGCGCTAATAATGAGGGTACTATCATTACTATGTACTTTGTGAGTAGGTAGTCATTAGCACCAATCGCCGCATATTAAATATCCCTTTCGTTTAGAAGTGAAAGATAAAATACCAATGATATCCAGTACTTGTGCCGTGCGTGTTTTTGTTTACTTCCATGGTAACGTGCGTCATATCACAAATAAAATCATATGAAAATACAAAAACTTGGTTTGCTCGAAATAAGTCCAAATAAACAAAGTCTCTCCTACATGTTGGGCGAAGTACATCTTATCACGGAAAAAAAGGGGTTTAAATGTTTTATACCTATGGAAATTTTATCCGGACTGACAGAAATTTAGAGTTTGAGCCGAATTTAGAGGTATGCCCATATATGGTAATAGAAGATTATTGGCTGGAAAGCCAAAGCGCATAGGCTGATTCGAGGATTTTACCACCAATGAAATTTTGTTATGGCTTCGGCCCTGCCCGCGCGCCGCAGGAACGGAGTGGCCGGCTGAGGTTGCTATAAAAGCTTTTGGCCTTGCCAACCATTAGTCCGGTAGGCATTTTGTTGTTGTGAGAGAACTGTCGAACTACGTTCCAGATTCCACGGAGGATCTAAACCAAACGTGATTCCTTGTTCGTCAATTCTGTTCCTTTTTGGTAAGTGCCGAATACAGCCAGCTATTACGGTCTTTCGTTATTATTCCTGTACTGGTATTTAGTTTCTGCATCCAGAAATTGTATTAATGGTCTTTGGCTGGCAGTTGCAGTGAGCGTTAGCAAGCGTTCGCTACGTTCGCGGCTTTCGCCAAGTGGGTTTCCCTGGTTTCATGTTTCGCAGGGCTTTAGTGCGTTTGTGGCGTTTATACAGAGTTAGAGAAGTTTCATTTCATTTTCTTATGAAAGACAGCGAAATTAATTGCGACCCGTGCTGCGGATCGATGGGCTTTACACTGCAGTACGATAGCGCATGAAGGTTTCTGTAGAAGCATGAAGATGTCAGATACTACGAGTAGTTCAATCGATTTCGGATATGCATTATGATTATGTTGCGAGATCGCGTTAGAGTATAGATAAGGGGAACTCTAACAATAGACTAATCGCTACAGTGACAATTTGTATTATAGTAAATTAATATTTAATATTATTAAATTTTATGAACTTTTAACTCAGGTATAAATGCTAGAATTTTCATTTTTCCGTAAAGTTGTAAACGGTGAACACAACTAAAATTATAGATATGTTAAATTTGACATGTTTTTGCCATGTTTTAAAAAGGGCCTTTCCTTGTTCATTAGAAGACCAGTTGACAAATTGATACGTTAGAATAGGAAAGGAAGTAGGTAAACGTTTTTGACCTTGACTAATGTTTGACGGAAAAGATTGTTTATCACGTTTTTAATCGGCGAAAAGTGGGCACGGTTAGGAACGTCTGCAAAGTCCGAATTTCAGAAAGTGCAAATTTCGAGAGCGTTGATAAATTAATCACCCGGAATTTGTTTGTTCAGTGGAATGTTGCAATGGGCGTTGAACGCGTGTGCAGATGATCTACTGATAGAAGCCGATCGTTCGGCATTCGGGCCAAATCTGGTGATGGGACGGTTTTCGCCATATATGGCTTGTGTGTGAATGCTTTCGACTTGGCTGACAGTACTGTAGTCTGAACGCGGCTTCACATTGAAATGTGACAGATGCAGTTGATAACTTGATAACACAGACCAGAGTCACCAGCTCATTAAACATCACTGGCTTCGAATTAATTTTAACATCTGGTTTTTGTTCTACAGTACGCATCTAACCAGTAAATCCTAATCCACAATGGAGGACGAAGTTGCGGCTTTGGTTGTTGACAATGGCAGCGGTATGTGCAAGGCTGGATTCGCCGGGGATGATGCGCCTCGTGCTGTGTTCCCTTCCATCGTTGGACGCCCTCGTCACCAGGTGGGTTTCAGTAATTATATGCAACATATTGGCCACATCCGGGTTGTCGGCCTATTTTATACTAATATGGCAATTTTGGTTAGGGTGTCATGGTGGGCATGGGTCAGAAGGACAGCTACGTCGGTGATGAGGCCCAGAGCAAGCGTGGTATTCTCACCCTGAAGTACCCCATTGAGCACGGTATCGTTACTAACTGGGATGATATGGAGAAGATTTGGCATCACACCTTCTACAACGAACTCCGTGTGGCTCCTGAGGAACACCCAGTCCTCTTGACCGAAGCTCCCCTCAATCCCAAAGCTAACCGTGAAAAAATGACCCAGGTATGCCACCCTTTGCAGAACAAATAGCCACATGTAGGAAAAAATGAATACGTTGATGATAAATTTTGCTATAATGTTTGGGTTTGAATGCAGATTATGTTCGAAACCTTTAACACCCCGGCAATGTACGTGGCCATCCAGGCTGTCCTTTCCCTGTATGCCTCTGGTCGTACCACCGGTATCGTGCTGGATTCCGGAGATGGTGTCAGTCACACAGTGCCCATCTATGAAGGTTACGCCTTGCCGCACGCTATTCTGCGTTTGGATTTAGCCGGCCGTGACTTGACTGACTACCTGATGAAGATCTTAACCGAACGTGGTTACAGTTTTGTCACAACTGGTGCGTAAACAACTCAGTATGCTGCTGCCGTGTGTGTGTGTGTGCGATTCGACTTGTTGGTTGTTGTCTGCTTCACGCCGGTCTATTGTCTGGAGGTCATGAACGGCTGTTGACCAACGATTTAATGCTGACTTGTCGTTTACAGCTGAACGTGAAATTGTCCGCGATATCAAGGAAAAGCTCTGCTATGTTGCCCTGGATTTTGAACAAGAAATGGCCACCGCCGCCGCTTCCTCCTCATTGGAGAAGAGCTATGAACTGCCTGATGGTCAAGTGATTACCATTGGTAACGAACGCTTCCGATGCCCTGAAGCCCTTTTCCAGCCTTCATTCATTGGTACGTACGCACAGCAAATTGTCACAGGACTGATTTTAATGGTCTCCTGTTGTCATTATGACAGCAAGTCAATCCTGTCATCATTCGCTAATTTTCTCTGACGGCAGGTATGGAATCTTGTGGCATCCATGAAACGACATACAACTCGATCATGAAGTGCGACATCGATATCCGCAAGGACCTCTACGCCAACACTGTCCTGTCTGGCGGTACGACCATGTACCCTGGTATTGCTGACCGTATGCAGAAGGAAATTACTGCCCTGGCCCCCAGCACAATGAAGATCAAGATTATTGCCCCGCCCGAGCGGAAGTACTCCGTCTGGATTGGCGGCTCCATTTTGGCATCGCTTTCCACATTCCAGCAGATGTGGATCAGCAAGGCAGAGTACGATGAATCTGGCCCATCGATTGTCCATCGTAAATGTTTTTAAATTGACGGAGATCGGCTTTGTTAAGCTGTCCGAACTGTTTGGGACACATGTACTGAATCTGGATAGAAAAGCAACTTGCTTATCTCTTTTTTTGACAATCTGTAGTCATATTTCTATCTCTTTTGCTGTTGGGCAACGTACTTAATGTTGAAGTCTCATGGTGGAAACGTTGAGAATGTTGATTTATTGTTAAGTAATTGATCAATTTTGGTATGTAAGAATTAATAACTGAACGTGCTTTTTCTGGCTGCCATACCTAAAAGGACGGTTAAATAAATTGTTTAATACCGTTTACGCCTCATGCCGTCATTAGGTATCACAGAATAACAATCACTTGTCTTGAGATTGATGCAAAAGTTTCCATCTCTAGCCATTTGTTCAAACGCCACCGAATCTACCAGTCTGCCATGCGGTTCAGACAAACCTTCGTCCCAACTTCCTGATAATCAAAGGAGACGAAGAAACAGCGCCAGCTAATTCACTCTGCAGCACTTTAATTGATTAAACAGAAAGGGGGATCAACTGGATGCGTTCATACGAATTTAGACAAAAAGTAAAACAAACCACGTGCGCACGAAAATCGCGACATAGTCGAACACGTCATGATCCAACAAAAAACACAGTACCATGTTATTAACACCAAAAATAGCAATTTAAATATATGTCTGTCAATTTCCGCGAAATCCAGAAAACTAATCAAATCCCTTGTGCGACGCCATGGAACGGAATGGAAAGGGTGACAATAAACAATAATCAAAGCAAACGTCAAAAAGTTCTATTACCAGAAAAAATCTTTCCATTAAACCAAAGTTTAACATTTCCATGTAGGCAGTTAAATTACTTTAACTAAAGCGACAAAGAACCGCCTAATCGGCACAAACAGCTTTGCGCAAACAATCAAAAGGAATACCGGAATTAAGTCGAAAGGGCACGCTATTCACGTCGATGGCCAGACAGTAATTTGTCTGTATCTGCTTCAAAGATCCAAACTGGCTGACAATGAAATGGATCTTCTCTAACAAGGCGTCTCTTCTAGGGCCGACGAGATTAACCAGTGCGTCAAGATAATGTGCATAAAGGAGATTACCGTAAGTCGGTTTGTGGCGGTCGCTCGGGTCTACAGAAACGTAAATCAGTCGACTACATACATTACAAGCACAAGTGAATTGTGACGGTCTGCCATATCTTACCGGGAAAGAATAAGGCAATCGCCACGAACAAAAAAGCTTCCGTTAAAGACAGGTCCAATTCGTTAAAATGACTAGCCCATTCGAAAATATATTTGATAAAGTCTTTTTCAAGCAGAGTATCCATCCAATAGCGGCCGTAATGAAATTTGCTTTTTGACGTCAATGTATACATTTCTTCGTCTCTCATAAAAGAAGCGCGTCGAACCTAAAACATGACCCAGGACACTTAAGTTAGCGATAGGAAATCTGAACACGGCAGTACTCGTGCTTTAAGATAGCATTCAACAGTACTCGTACCGGCAAACATAAAATGCGCTCTTATGTGACTTATGAAGTTATGGTTAAGTCTGCGGTTAGAGGGGCTAAGATTAATTATGAAAAACTGGAAAATGCCGTGGTTCGATCACAAATATTTACCATCCAGATGTGAAGACCGCGTTCGCAAATCCTTCGAACCTGGTCTTCCTGTGGGAGATCAGCAAAACCGGGTACCATAGCAGCGAATCTCACCGATCGTTCCACCTCATCGTGCACGTCATTCTGGAACTGATCCAGCATGGATTCCAATGACGTTTCGGGCTGAGCCTGCAGTACAATAGACATATCGTATACGAGTACTGTTAAAAATAATCCAATCGATAATGCACTACATACCGTCGATGAGCCTGTGCAAAAACTCATAAAGGTTTCTTAAGTAGTAGCAGCGTTACCACAAAAGCCACACTATTAAATTATCAATCCCATGTTTCACGTGACAATTTCGTAGATCAATTTACGCAGGTAAGGCCTAAAAGTTATACACAATGCCTACCGGGGCATGACCCACTGCCATCGCATTTGTCATGAACGCGGTCCAACATTCAATCTGGTCCAGATATACCGATTTAATAGCATCAGTAATCGCCTTTATGGATACTTCTAGGCAACTGTTGCGATCTTTCATGATGGACCAGTATTTCAGCATAAAAACCGACGAGTCTGAGTCCGGACCCAGGATTACTCTGGTTCGCAGGCCAGGCAGCGACTGTTGTGCCGAAGGAGAACGTACCATTAATGTGGTTTCCAGAAAACTACCCAGAGTCTCTGTTTTGCTTTTTTTCACCAGGCTAGCAATCACACTTTGTCGTGCTTCGTCTTCCGAAATCCTGTTTACCGACGATTGTAAATCCTCTCGCAATGTCCGGGCGCATTTGATAACCGAAGTATGAGAGGCTGTAGGTGCACTTGGAGCAAACGATCCGGTTGGCAATAATACAGAAGAATCTCTTGCGCTAATCACGAAGATGGACTCTGGTAAAAGAGAGACGTGCTTTAATTACATTAGTTTAATTCAGTACAGTTGAATAACGAATGACACTCCTAATTTAAGTAATTTTAATACAATATAGATAAAATACGAGCGTACCCATATAATACTCGTACCCATGTCGGTGTTAGTACCGTAATTATGTAAAGTGAAACCGTTGTACAGTTGTCCCAGTCCAGTATTCAGCACTATAAAATTCTCTAATACAAAAACCACATCTGCATTGTGGTTCCTGTTTAGATTGTAGACAGACTGCGGATATCTCACGTCAACAAAACGTCAGCATTAAACAATTTTTTAACAAAGTAAAGATACAACCACACGATACATTATTTACGATTATTACGTAGATATTGTTGTATCTTTTCATACGGTAAAATATGATAATACGGTAGGTACTTTTTTGAACAAGTATTTGTGCATCTATACTAAGTAAGGTATCTACAAGAAACGGCTTCGGCTTCGCCTCCGCGTTTCCTGTAGTCTGCGGTCGGTTTCTCGAATGATTTTGATTAATTTAGTGTGCACTATTTGCGATCACTATACGCACCAAACAGTGGTGTTACTTCAGTTCTTTACCACCTGTCACGATTTGCGCTCATGAAAATAACGGTAATTTGGTTACTAGCTCTCGCAGTCGGCTCTGCGCATTGGACAGTAATAGAAATTGGTCACTATGTGCAGTGAACAGTGTTGGTACTTCCAGGGCCGTAGCGAGGGGGGGTGCGCACGGGCGCACGCACCCCCCTCCTCGGCTAACTTCTGAATTTATTTTGCGCCCGAATCTGGCGCAGGGGCGCGCAGGCACAAAATTCATGGGATTTTTTAAGGGCGCAGCGGGCGCCGAAACGAGTGCGCCCGTGGCGCAAGGGCGGTGCCGCGTTAAATTTGTGTAAAATGTTTTGTAAATTTCGGAATCTTGCACACAGTAGACTTTGACCTGTACTGTCGTCTATGCAACGGGAGCAGGGCCGTAGCGAAGTCCAAGGGGGGCGCAAGGGGCGCAGACTCTTAAATATACGGGCGCAGTGGGCGCAGACCGAATTTACGAAGGGCGCAACTGGCGCAGCCGATTTGCGCACCCCCCATCCTTCGGACCTCGCTACGGGCCTGGGTACTTCAGATACTCACCACCACTTGTTTCGTTACTTACGTACCCACCTAGCGAGCGGTGCGCCATAGTTACTTTCAGTAGGTCGGTCACCCACTCGCCTACCGGCCTCTGCACACGAGAATAGTGGTACTTCGGTCACTCACTTTTGTGCAATTCCAAAAGTGGTAGCTCAGTTACTCGTTCGTCACCACTCGTGTGGTTACTCTCTCACCTAGCGAGCTCTGTGCGCTGGAGAGTAGCGGTAGTGCGGTTACTCACCCATCTATCGAGCTAGTAATTGATCACTCTATTTGTACACTAAATTGTAGTGATAGTTCGGTAACTCGGATCCGAAGTGACGGTCCGAACCCCTGTGACCGTACCTCCGTGACCGTCGTCTCCAAATTAATACCCGTTTTCTTAGGAATGATTGTTGTTTATGAAGCAATTTTTATTTTTAAACTGCTCTTTTGAGTCGATGTACGTGGCAGCGATAATACTTTGTAATTTATGTAATTCATAAATTTTTTTCTATGTATGGTTATTTTCAAGGTAAACAGCTCTTTCTGCATCGGTTGTGATCACTAATATTATAGAATTAGCTTTTATAATTCATTGCTGACGAGGATGCCGTTTTTTTGTTCAATCGATTTGGCGTTTTCTGATCTGAAGAAACTAAATTATTCCGTATTATACGGAATAATTTACGGACCGTATATGCTGATTATTCACTGTCTTTAGTTTTGCTCGGACTGTAATGAAAGGTCAGTTCGTCTGAACGATTACTATGTATGGTAAGCTTGTTTTACATCTGCCTTCAAATGGCTATAACGAGCGTTCTTATTCCTAAGTCATGTTTTTGAGCGCTTTAAATTGCTAACGATTTATTGAAATAAAGCCATCAACCAGCAGCATCGTTTGTGAGTACTGCTAACTGACTTTTTTAGTTTTGCAGGAGTTTAAGTTTTTACCTTTTTGGTTTGCTGATCTAAAAAGGTACCAGCTTAAATTTACTGATTTTTTGCTCCAACCGGATTCTGAAATTGTTTCAAGGTCACCCTGAGCTTCCAGCTCTACCGGCATCGGCGTCTGTGTATGGGAGCCGGGGCGGATAATTACCAAAACAAAATGTGACATAGATTCCAGACATGCTGAATTGAATGGCGTTAGCAGTTTTTCGATTCATTTTTTGGTTTGTTCTGAACAGATCGTATGGGGTTTTCCGTTGTAATATAAATGTTTTCCTTGATATGTTTTTCGGTAGTATCATTTTTGCAAACAGCAGTGGAAAACATATAGAACCAACCGGACGGACCGAAATTAAAAGTTTTCTGAACTTGCAAACATGTGGTGATGCGATGTCATCGCACAATACAAAAGCATCTAACCAGAAAACAACTTTAAATGACAATGAGAACGGAGGGCTTTAATTTCTAAAAGCAGCTACTGCGTACCGCCTAGCAGGTACAACATGGAATTTTACATTTAAAATATAGATATGTAAGTAAAATTCATATGTACAATTTATATATCTATATTTTATAATTAGTCCCTCGCTCTATGGCATTTATAAAATCCCATGGAGCTTAAGTTACTGCTCTGGGGTTAATTTACAACGTCTACCACCAACAGCACATACACACAGACTTGTTTCTTTAAAGTTTACGCTAATTTTAAGTAAAGACCATTCGCTTACGTATGGATGTTAATCTCCAAAATTTAACAGCCAAAATTGATATCGCTGACTCATACAGTATTTATGAGAAATCAGCAATCCAATCAGCAATGCTGTGACAAAAAGCCCAGCGGCAATTTATGAATTTACAGGTCGAACGGGAACACGCTGGAATGACGTCCGCTTGTCCCGAAAACATTTCCCAGAATGCGGTTCTCTGAGCGCAGAGGAAATATATCAGGTCTCCCTATCCGATCTTCCCTCCCTCTCATAACGACAGCGCCGACGAACCAGTTTTATTACAGCAGCCCTCCTCATCTTGTCTTCGCCGACAGAGGCAACAGTGGCGTAAAGGTATTTACGTAATTTTGTCCTATAAGCCGTGGCGATCGATGATTTTGCTCTAGTCTGCACTCTTCAGGCCCTAATGTCACGACATGCGCATAACCAGCCCATAAAACATGTACAACCGAATAAACATTCTGTGCGCCGCATTAAAGTAGGAAATCTGTTATTTTCTATCAGGTGCTACATTAATTCAGCCTAATAAGACGCCTACAGCTTTGGTCGCGCCCATCTCACAACTGCAGTGCAATTCGCAAAATTTACAGAAAGCTACAGCAATCAATAAAGACAGTGAGAAATGCAACGTTAAAATTAACACTGAATCTCACCCAACGCAATAATGCACTGTCGTATTTGTGCATCAGTACACATTAAGCCAGCATTAAAGTCAACTGTAAAACATATTCAGGCGCTCTGAAATAACGAAATTTATAACGTTTACTGGATAGCTGCCGAACCTCCCTTTCATTTAGTAATTCAAAAGACTCAAAACTATTATAGCGACGAAAAACCATCGACGAAAATCGCTCAAGACTTATTACTTATAGTACAACTAACCAGTAAGCATTAATAAACCAAGCAACTACACAGAGAAAATCCAACTTTTATGCGAACTAGAAAACTAAAAGGTTGCGGTGCTGACCTCTAGCATCACCCACGTCCATGGCAGAATTCGAGGACGTCGTCGCTGGAGAGGACTGTGGCAAGATGGCAACTTCTCTGTTGCTTCCAAATTCTTTAATTTTGGAACTACGCCCCGATTTCGAGCCTGCAAAGCAACGCCGCCGTTCTTGGCTGGTTCTCAAATTCCGCAGACGAGAACCTTACTATGTACCTTCCAAACTCATTCCTTCATCGATGCATTTCTGCAGACGGCAAGCTTTACAACGTCCTCGCGTTTTCGGGGTAATGGCGCACGATCTCCCGAAATAACACTTGTACGACGCTTTTTTAACGATTCCGCGTTTAAAGAAGGCCTACAACCCAAGCAAATCGTATGCAATTACACTCCGATGAAAACCGAATTATCCCTGTAAATCATTATATTACGTAAGAATGATAAGGACATTTGGTACCTACCTTGCATCCCTCGCACGACTGCACGCCGTAATGCACCCCTGTCGATTTCCCCTGGCAAACCCGACATTTTGGATACATCAGGTGTGTGGGCAAGTCTGGCAAGCCATCGTTCATGGGCATGTTTTCCATGGTCGACTCATCGAGCATCTGAGGATGAAAATCGGGACTCGCCTCATTGGCGTACACCGGAGAATACATCATTCGGGATGTCACGTTCATGGAACCGCCGTGTACGCCCGACAAATGGTCGGAAACAGGCATACAGGCTTAATTGCGTATGGCAGTGACTAGAATCAGTCCATGGCAATTTGGAGGGCGCCACAATAAAAAATAAGCAATAATCCCAAATAACTGGAAGATGCCTTTTAAATAACAAAGCCAAAGGCACAACATCCGTGTTTGGCCTAAGCCTCAGTTACAGTATAGCGCATACAAACGCCACTTGTGACTTCCATCCAAGTTGTCGCCACACGTGCAGAGCGTAGACAGACAAGAGAATCTTGATTCTTGTTCTAGGTGGATCGATCCCAGATGAAGATTAACAGGCCAGGATGTAGATTGTGGTTGGGGTTTAGGTTAACCAAACAAGTAAATTCCTTAACTAACAACTACACCAACAGCAGAATGCAGGAGAACACTATTCGCGGAATAATTTAGTATCCAAATTTTCGGCAAATTCACTTATAATTTCAAGACAAACGGTGGTTTTGCCGAGTACGAAACTGCATTTCCCGACTCCTGAGGGAGAACAGAGGAAAAGTCAAACCTAATGCGAAAATATCGATCGGAAAGCAAAGGTGAAGTACTCCGTAATAAAACGCAAGGTGACAAGCGCAAGGGCAAGGTGAGCCACTGAAGCAGAACTAGAAGGATAGAACATGACGTACTTCTTTACGCTTACCACAACAACGTTAGCGATCTCATTATTTTTATGTTGTAGAACACGTGCGCGGCGGCGCGCACAAAAAGGTAGGTACAGAAGTACCGTATGTACTGTACAAGTACTTACAGTACTTGTACTTAATTTTGTACAAGCACTGCATACTGCCATACAGATACTGTCTCTGTTAAATGGAAACTAAAAATGCGGAAAATCGACACTTTTAAGGAAAAATCAGTAACCGGTAATAACCCTGCCGGCAGTTTAAAGTTTTATTAACAGATAATCTGGCACTGTATTTAAATTAATAATATTAATTTTTAATTATTAATATCTATATACAGAAATTTTTTATTAAGTACATTTCTTGCATTACAGTACATTAGCGCACATTCCACTCTGGAACTGCAGATATTTTTCGTTCGGTATTGTATAAGCAGAAACTTGTTCGGGACAGCTACGAAATGCCCATCATAATTGAGATTATTCATGGTTTAGAAAAATTTTTTAGAAAAAATTGCCTGAGCGTTTTCGATTGCTAGCTACTGTAGCAAGTCGAGACACATCGGCTATCGCATTGCACACCAGATTCGGGAGAGAAAAGTTCCGACCTAAAAAAATCTGTAACCAGTGTAAATTTATTTTAGCCGGTTAATTTTGTGGGGCCGATGTTCTTTCCCTTTATGTTTTCTTCGAATTTACTGTATGGTTCTACAGTTCATTATACCTATCATTCTATATTCGACCGAAGCGAAGCGAAGGTCCAATAGGTTCAAGAAAACGGGACTTTTGTCGGTCACGTTGGTCACGTCTTCATATTTTAAATAAATTCATAAGAGGGAAATAATGTTGAAAACTATATTTAATGAATACAAAAAATAACAAACGAAAATGGGAAATTAAAAAAACTAAAAAAATGATAACCTCCTAAAAGTGTTTATTTAATTTTGTTTCCCGTTTCGCTTCGGTCTTTCAGTGCTAGGCTGCTAGCCAACAGCGGTGCGCTTTCCTAGGTATTTCGTTCGTCCGCACATGCCTTTCAGCATTCAATTTTATGTGATTTAGCATAAAACGATGTGAAAACCGTCTTGTTCCGGCTTGAGGATTTAATCGAGAAGAACTGCCCATACACTAATTAAATTTTGGAGAAATCTCTTTTACGGTGAGAATCAGCGCAGTTAACTTGATTAATATCAAATCGTCAAACCATGGATTTTTTTCTAAAGCAGCAACAATGCAGAACTAGCGAAGCTAAACTCACATTGACAAACACGAGCGCCATTCTTATACAGGGCGTTTACATACCTTGCATGAATAACACTACGGATACTGCCTACTGGCTAAACCATCAATCAAATGCAAAGCTCTGGTTAGGAAACGAATATAATGCGCAAAAAGAAAAACCACACTGCACAGAACAATAATTGTAAGCGGATAATAAAATACAATAAAAACAATCCCAAGATGACTTTATAATGCCGATGCCCCGGAAATAATTTCGATAAGCTCCCGAGTAATGACGGCCTGGCGAGTACGGTTGAACGTCAAAGTAAGTTTCTGAATGATTTCACCTGCAATACCATTTTAATTTAGTCATAACACAAATATCACATGCATATTATCGTAATTATTAATTAATATCCATATTCATGTAAAGTAGAGTAATTTTACGCTTGTAGTTGCAGTCAATTACAGTAAACAAATACATACCTGCATTCTTGCTGGCGTTATCCATGGACGACATCCTCGAACTCTGCTCGCTGCAAGCGTTTTCCTTCATGGCGTAGTAAATCAAGCTAGCGATATTATACTCTTGATAGCTTTTTAAAACGTCTGCATCCACATCATCGTATAAGTTAATCTTATCAGCGCGGGATATGGCGTCCAAGGAGAAGAGTGGTTTTACGGTGGGCTTGTATGAAACGACGGACCTGACAATAAGTAAATCGGCGTCAACAAGTTAATTAAATATTACGTAGACAGAAACCTAATAAATCCTCTCAAAAACAGCAACTACATATATAGTACCAAACAAACGTAAGTACTAGAATGCTCACTTGAAAGTATTGTAATATAAACTGCCGTTGTCGAATTCATAGCCAGAGTCGAGGATGGCCTGAGCAACTTCCGAAGCATCAGCGAATGTTGGCGGCTTCCTGCCCAATTCTTTCACTGTCACCAGGAAATTTTTGGCCATTGTCCTACCAAAAGAACACGTGCATCGCACAAGTATGCGCCGTATACAAAAACCTTAAGATATCCAAAACACGAAATCGTCACTAATCCTGCGCCTCATAAAACGAAACTTCATTACGGTTGAAAAGTCTGTTACTTCCAACTTCCAAGCCAATTACAAATTACAGACTTCAAAAATCTCTTAAATGTATTACAACGCAACCATGAACGTGTAAAGCAAGGTTGATCTCAGTTTTGTAAGGCATACCTCTGCAAAATCCCCCTGGCCTTATCTCCGACAGCCACGATTTTCACATTCTCGGTGCCGCCTTTTTGCGCCAGATCATTGCGGATTGCCTTGACAATACCCGAATGGATGCCTCCGCAGAGTCCGCGATCACTGCTAATGGCAACGACCAAATGATTGGGCTTCGTAGGATCCGCTTTAACATCGGCTTTCTCGTAAAAGGCTGCAAATAAATGGCCATGTATATAGAATTTTTAAGTACTAAAATAACTGCAATCCAACCAAATGACGAAAAGGCGAAAAGCAACGAGGTCTGCATCGATTATGGAACGAACGAGACGAGCTCCTTGTTGTCAGCACCTCACCTAATGCGCCTGCGCCATACGGTCTCGCAGGCTTCAGTTCGCGCTCGGCCCTGGCGTACTTAGCAGCGGACACCATCTTCATGGATTTGGTGATTTTCTGAATATTCTTGATCGATTTCAGGCGGATGGAAACTAGTGGGAAACAATAATGTGCGATCAAATGACGAGCTGTGGCTACACTGCACAGCACGCAACTCCAGAAGAGTCGCTTGTACGCGAATCGGTTCCAGCTATTCGACAACCTGGACTTACTATCTTTCAAAGTCGCCATCCCACGCACTTGCCCAGCAGCGACGAAGCTGAAAGCAGGAAGACATGTTGGATTACGTATGCTTGTAGCATGCATGAATATCGACGAGCCCATTCCGCCGTAACTTCGTCTCACTGCTCACAAAGGAACGTCGAAGTCTTACCTGCCAGGCATGTGCAAAATAACCCTTCCCGACAACATTTTCAAAAATGTGAAATAGATTACTTCACGGAAATTTCGTTTGTGGTCCTTCTCACAGGTGGAATTTACATTTTGGACCCGAATCAAAACGTAGACTGCGGAACCACGAGTGACTGTCGAGTGCGCCCACATATGAAGTACACCAAGTCTGTAGGTATAAATCGATCTGACTATACCAACTCTGGTATTAAAATGTTGCTGGTACTGCTACACCGCAAAAGTGGTCAGTTTTCAAAGTTTGTCTTTTTAAATTTTTCTGGTTTTCAAGAAGCAAAACCATCGTTTTGGATCGTTAGTGGTTTCTAATGATAAAAAAATGTCTAATATAGTAACAAGATTTGTTCTTTACTTTTAAAATTATTTTAGAGATTATCCATTTATTTAGCACTATTGTTTGATTTGTTTCACAATGGATGCATTTCAGCGATTTTCGGAATCGCCAGGGAGAGGTACGAGTTATTATTGATTGTATTATTTTATAAATTTTGTGACTGAAAATTTTTCAGTTTACAATTTACTGGCAGTTTTACGTTCCCAGAACTATTAATAATTAACAGTTCGTAAAATACCGTTCTACTTTATGTTGAACAAATGACATTGTGTAGATAAATCGGACACCGAACGGCGGCTGGAGCAGCTGGTCTTCGGGAACTCAACAGACTTTGAGCAGATTCTGGACAGGAATTTGAAACAATCGCTAGCGATTACTGAGGATTTGGTCCCGAATGCCGATCTGAGCGAAGAGTCAGGAGAACGGCTGGCCGTTTGGCATGATACAGATGATGAAGATAACTTTGTGGATGTTGCAAAGCAGCGGCGATATAAACGATTCAAGACTGCGGAGGAAAAGCGAGTTAGCGCCGGCACACTCAGCCAAAGACTTCGTAATGAGTACGAAAAGAACCTCCCGACACCTGCCTGGGCTGCCCAGCCCAAAAGCGGGCGCGATATCTCCGAAGAAGATCCTACAACCTCGCTTTCCTCAGCTACGGGGAATTATATCGATAAGCGATTTGAGAAACTCAAACTAAAGAATTTCGTCTGTCAGCGTGTGACGAATCTGAATTTCGAGCAGCCGGCCAAAGGAATTATCCATGCAGTTGAATTTCATCCTGCTGCGCAGATTGGGCTGGTAGCATCATTCGGGCGTAGTGCCACTCTCTTCCAAGTAGATGGCAAAGCGAATTCCCAGTTGAAAAGCGTATTTTTCGAAAGATTTCCCATATCGTGCTGTCATTTTTTGGATGAAGGAAACCAGTTCTTGGTTTCTTCGAAGGTAAGACTTTAAGAATAAACTGGTCTGTTCAGAGTGAGAAATTAAGGCGACTTGCTAAGTTTCTCTGCTCTAGAGAATTTTGCATGTTTTGGTCACCTGCGATTTTAATAATAAGCACTATAATTATTTACGTTTTCATGCTTTGTTTAATTTTTGAAGACACTTTTATTCAGTTCGATTGCGCTAGTATGCTAATATTCTTCGCATATCACATGATAAATGTGACGTAACATGTACTGTAGTTGCACACTGATTTCGAAATTATTGATTTTGTTTGTTTAATGTGACGTGATATCTAGTTAATTTCTTTTATGTTAGCCCTGTTAGCAGCTTGGTTCGTAGATATGTATATGATTTGATATGATTTGTATTGGTCGACTAGATGTTTGCCAATTTATGTCAAATTTTGTACCAACTGATTGAATTTCAGCTCCATTCTCATATGTATTACTTTGACCTTCCTTCGGAAAAAACGATAAAAATTCCTTGGAATAAAGCTATTCGGGATGAATCATTCAAGTCTTTCGTCGTATCTCCCGACGGGTCTTCCGTAGCATTTCTCGGTAAAGAAGGAAATATCCACCTTATTGATGGTCGTAGCAAAGAATGGATCGGCACTTTGAAAATGAACGGGATGGTGAATTCATTGTCGTTTTCCGGCAACTCACAGCACCTTTTGAGCATTGGAGACGCTGGCGAAGTATACATCTGGAATGTGAAAAGCCGCAAATGTGTGACGAAATTTACCGACAACGGTTGCGTGGTGGGAACTGCTGTTGCGGTCTCCCCTAACGACCGTTTTGTCGCTGTCGGATCCAACACCGGAGCCGTGAATATTTACGCCGAAAATGATTGTTTTTCCAAAGCCGCCCCCTTACCGGTGAAAACCGTGCTCAACTTGACTACTTCTGTAACATCGCTGAAGTTCAATTCCACATCGGAACTGCTGTCCCTTTCCAGCAACTATCTGCACGGTGCTTCCAAATTGCTGCATATGGAGAAAATGCAGATGATTCCGACCTTTCCCGAGCTTAACCATAAAGTCCGCAAAGTGGAATGTGTGGACTTTTCTGTCAATAGCGGTTACTTTGCTCTTGGTAACAATATGGGGGAAGCGCTTTTGTACCGACTTCCGTTCTTTGATACGTTTTAACGTGTTTTGTTGATTGTGGAAATATGAGCAGCACTGATTGCTGAAGTAATATGAGTGAAGAACAGGTTTGGTTGTATAAGAAACTATCAAGACGTTTCCGTTAACGAAAGTCAAAATTCAACTGCAGACGGGAGGTTTCTGCAGTCGTAGGAACTAGAGTAGGAATGTTGTTAATACCATGACATTCGTGATTTCCCAATATTTGAAGCAATCTAGTATAATTTCTTCCCCTCTCAGTACACTTTCTACAGCAAGTTACACATGCGAATTTATTTTATTATGCTGTTGTTTATTTCAGCAAATCGCACGGACTAACGAGAAAGAATATTGATAATTAACCTAACGCAGTGTTGCTTATTGACAGCATGACACACATCAGTACCGCCGCTGCAAACCGAATGCAGATCATGGTTAAAAGATAAAAGATTACGGCAAATCCAATCACCCATTTGATTGCCGCTCCATTGTGATACAATGCTATTGTTTTCGCGGAAGAAACAGATGCGCTCCTTTCAGGTTGGTGTGTGATGTTGGCAGAAGGGATCGAGGTGGAAATTGTGTTGAAAATTTTGTGTACCCAGAGTCAACATCATAAACCACGTCTCAGCCTGCCAGTGGTCAGGGAGGCTGTGTGCAGAATCTCATCAATATATATGCACTGAGAAAGGGCAAAAATTAAACAATCTCCAAGTGATTTATCGGGCAATTACATTGCAGACAATCAGACTGGCCATCGCCCAATGTGTCAGGAATTCTGTCATTTCAGGCAGGTGGAAGTGTTATTACTGGACACACTCTGTATGCACAGGACCTGCTTAGAATACGTATGCGTATGTAGGCAGTTGTGGAGGACACTTGAGCCGGACTTGTCCTTGTCCATAATATTCTTTTGACCTTACCCATAGAATTCTGGTTAGAAGTCTTTAAGCACGCTTACACATTCAAAAAGAAAAAGAAATGTTATACGCATATTTAATTAAATTTCAAGTGAGTCTGTCGAAAATGGTAAAAGTGGTGGGCGCAGAATTCCAAGCGATTCCCGCTTTTCTGACCAACTTAAGTATAATTGCCGGTCTGCTGCTTCTCTAGTGGCGATTAAGGTTAGAGACCAAAAAGACTGTATAAAAGAGATTCATTTTCGTCTTGCACACACTCAATCCTGTGAAAGGGAGCGTGCTGTGAGGTTAAGAAGCGACAAACATGATCCAAAATAAGCAAATAATGGTTTCTAATCCTGATTTAAGGCTGATACGGCACACCTTGAGCTAATTACTGTCTTGTTGCATCGGATAATCCCCTTCTAACCCCTCCAATTTTCCTGGTTATTACCAGTGAAATGGCTGTTCGAATACTCAATTAACTGCTGATAAGGTAAAGTGGGCTAATGGCTACTGTTGTGCCATTGATGCCGAGAAAAATGAGCTTTTAGTTTTAAAAAGAAAAAGATTCTGTCATATATACTCTGTATATACGCATAATCATTGATCAAGCGCTTTCCTCCTGTACGAGTAGCAATAGTAGTTAAAAATATTGTCCATTTGCAACTTACTGTTAAACACACCAGCGCGCACACGTTTTGTTTCTCTAAATTATTACACGATGTTTTTAAACTATTTGCGCTTTTATATATGGGAATGATGGTGCATATGACCGACGTTAGCAACATAACGTATGCATGCATGAATACCTTCGCAAGGGTATGCAGTATTATGCACTACTGTGCAATATAATTTTATGCAACAGACGGCCAATTTGAAAGAAGTCCATTAATGACGTTCAGGTAGTATTAGGCGGTATGGTCTTTAGAACCCGTAAATTTACAATGCGGGCATGTGCCATGGGCGGATTTTCATACAAAGCACGGAGTGTTACGTTTGAATACACGGACACCATTCGCATTCGGCATGAATTTGTGGCGTATCCGAAGTTATATAGAGTAGCAATAATAACACCTGCCACTGATCTCTGCTTACTGCCCACTGTCCAGTTAGAAATTGTAATTATGGCTTCCATGCTGGACATTCCTGTTTATTCATTAGACATGCTAGACAGGAGGCGAAAGCGATTTCCAGTATAATATCACCACGCGTGTAAATTTTGAACTCTTCCTCATCCATCATTCTTTATGCTCGACATTAATAGTGCCAAAATTTCGATCGGTGAATCTGCAGCAAGAAAGGAAATTTAGAGAAATATGTACGAATGCCTGGAACGTTTCATTATTTGAAAGTTTTCATTTAAAGACTCCTACTGTGTTCTCAACAAGCCACGGGCACCGGTATTTTGACCAGCGGTCTCAGCTGCTCGTTTTAGCGCTAGAATTGAACAGCTAGTGTCAACTTCATACGAGCACCTTTCCTTGTTACCGCAGTTGTTTGCTGTTGCTTTGTTATGTATGCAAACTACACACGCCAAAGTATTTTGCAGGTCTCAAAATGGGAAAACATTTTATTACCGTCCTCACATCATTTTTAACTTGGGTTAATCATCCCAAAACCGCTGCGGATGCGGAGTGTGCTGGATACTTTATTAAAAAAGGCAGTATTGCGTAGTTACGTAACATACAACTTACAAGTTAGTCGTTACTCGTTAGATCGTGCAATACTCTTTTATAATTACTGTCGGCTTGATACAATTGGCATAGTACTTTTGTCTGAACTTAATTCATAAAAATATTTACGATACAGCATTAAAAAAATTCTGCATAATTTAAAAGAACTTTATGTTCTTTGGAAAAGAGCAGAAACAAAAATTAACCACCCATGTCTCAGCCAGTTAAATCGGTCGATCTGTACCGAAGCGGCTGATCCGGTTTCCATTTAGTGCGCTTCCATCTAGATGATGATTACGGGCTCAGGCGCTCAGCTACTAGCACAAATCTGACCGCCTCTTTTTCCTCCAGAATTCTCAATACATAGCGCACCGGACGAAGTTGGTCTAGAGTTCTGTGGTCATTCAAAACGCTTTATTGGTCTCATGCGGCAAGATAAGATTATTTGATCTTTCGATTAACGTCAGTCACTCACACGAATAGCGACACCACGGTGTCAAATTCCAAGCAGAATCTTTTGTTGGGTTAGAATTACAGGTTTTATTGCAGTTTTGTTTGTCCCGCGTTAGGAAATAAGAAATCGAGCTTCTGGCAGACTTTTCCTATCATCGCAATTATTCCTTGCTTGGCTACTTGAGCAAGGCATATCGGCGGTTCGGTACATCTTCCGCGTCTGCAATAATTGCAAGTTGGTGTCGTGCACGTTTGCACAAATTCGGGTTTTGCAAAAGCAAGTTGGTTTTTCTCCTACAGGTATGCTGTATGCAGGTATGCTGTATGCAGATTGATTTATGTACCGTACAATATAACCTTTTTGTGATCATTAGTATTTAGTGCTATTGTTAATTTTTTTCATTTTCTTTCTTCGGTAGTCCATATATGCTTAGCCGGTTTAGCCGTCAGGATATCGCTTGTCTAGGGAAGCGCTTTCTAATGAATTCTTATTTATTCTTATTTAATGAATTCTTATTCTTATTTATGAATTCTTATTTATTAAACTTGGTATCGTAATTTGAAACTTTATCGACAGGAAACCTCTCCGCAGATTTATTCGTGTTTGCAGTTTCCTCACTTGCGATCTTGCATATACAGATACTTACTCATATTTAACTGGTAAAAACTGAAACATTGTTTTGCAGGATTTATAATAGAAATTTTGATATTGCAGGGTTTATTATTGTCACATTGATTGTGGAAGATACAGACTTGCAAACAGCGTAAGGTTACGGACTTTCAGTTCTGGAACTGAAATGACGAAAATGTGGAGTTTTTTGCCGGCGCTTCGTCTCTATGGATGGATGTTATTGTGTTTGCTATGTTCCACTCAAATCTCCGTGAATGCCGTAATCAGTACACTCCCTGAAGGTAAGAAAATGGTAGTCGGTGGTAAAACTTTGCATTACGGGCATTTAAAAAATGACGATAATAAACAACTGTTCAACAGGTCTACTTTATTGTAAGTTGACCTTACTTCGGCCACGGTATAAAGGAGTTCTCTGGTACTGAATGATATTGTGGAAAAATTCAGTACTTTTTTTGCCGTCGCACCTCATTAACATTTCTCGAAAGACAAAACAAAGACAATGGCCGAAACGGCCATCAAGTTGTAAACGTGTGGCAGTGATTTTCGGACGATCCATAAAGACTATAAACTTTTCACAGACTGAAAGTCATAGTAAAATTTTACGCTGATTCTGATTCTGAATCCGTAATTTGTTTTTGAAATTCCAAAAAACAACTGAGTCGAGTAAAGTAGTAGGAAAGTGGTTTGAATCGGACATGTATACATAGAGGCCAGGCAGGCAGCGCGCTAGCGACAGTCTGTCTGCGCCCTGCAGTTTCACTCACTCCGACTGCTGCAACGACTTATATAAGGCTCACTCATATTCATAATTCGACTTATGCAAAAGTCATAATTTGTTTTCAAATCGATAACGAGCATAGAGAGCATAAAAAACTAGCAAGAGAATGTGCAATCCGTTTTGAAAAATTCCAAGCGGTTGAGGCTGTAGGTCGTGCCACACGTTTCACGTCTTAATTACAACTTGATGCCTTTGACGAAAACATGCCGAAAAGTACTGAATTTTCATCCAGCAGATTTCAACTTCATTCAGTACCAGAGATATTTATCTCTTATATACCTTGCTTTGACTACGTACCCCTATGTTTTTTGATAATGCACTTAGATTTAATTTGAAAAATTCTTCATACCATTCTTAATTATTCATATTATATCCACCGGGATTAAGAAACTGCTAATTGAATTTATAGTAGGATTGTCGGTTATATTGTACGAGTAATTACTGTAGTTAATTGTACAACCGATGTCAGGCGCGTTGCTCTGTAGTCTGTACTTTATCCTACATGCATATGCGCAGTTGCCTATATTTAATGTTTTAAACACGTAACTGTAAATTATAGACTGTCATGCATGTAAATTTACTGGAGTCAATTTGCCTAAAGTACTCTTACGGAATTAATAAAATAGTGTGAATTGTTTAACAGTCAATTTCTAATGTTTATAAGCAGGCGTATAAATATATGGCAATTTTTCTTATTGCGCTCAAAATACCTTTTAAATCGAGATGAATTTATCCAGATAATTATGATATATGATACTGTTATCCTTCGTGCCTTATCCGATATGCTTCGGGACAAATTCTTGAGCGTGCGGTGTCTAATGTGGTGTCGGTTATTTCAGATGTCGTCGCTTATCCCGCCGTACACAAGTATGAAACCGTCAAAACTTATCCGCCGATCATATCAGCATTTCCTCGATTGGAGACGCTTAATCGGACGGTAATTATGCGACCAAAAAGCCCGAACCTTCCGGCCGTGTTCCATCCGCCGAGTCTAATCGCTTTTCTGCCGACATTTCCCGGTCAGCGCAACGATACCGGCAATCAGACAAAGACGAAAACCGATAACGCACATGTCAGAATCAGCAGGTTACCCGGCTTGTCGGATCTGACTGTCCCGCCGCGGTTTGACCACCTTCCGCCCTTTGAAAGCGATCCGGCTAATTTTTCTGGTCGAATTCACGGGCAAAAAGAAATGATTTTCAGGCTGACTGACAAGAAACCGGTCAGCTTATCGAAGATTAACAAGTTATCGGATGTTATTAGAGGGATTTACTGGATGTTGGATAGTCCGTCTGTTCGTATTGTTCACAAATCTGACGCGAACAAACGCCGGTTTACAGATGCGGAGAAATGGATAAAAGATGTAAAAACCAAGAGGAAAGTGGTGAAGTTGGAGTCGAATGGACTGTATTGTGGGCACCATTACCTGGTCACTTTTGATGACGGGACACTGGCCTGCACCAAGCAGCGCAGCAATTACGATCAAATTCAAGGGGAAATTTTTGCATACTTTTTAGCGGATCTGCTGGACATGCGCCACTACTTCCCGCCGACTGTCTTGACCAAGGCCGGACCCAGTCGACTTTTTGCGACAGTGATGGATGCTGTGCATAATTCCTCCACTTGGGATCCCGCTAAACCGCTAATTATAACCAAATTCCTCACTCATTTGAAGCCAATATTTCTTCCCAAAATTCTACATTCTTTACTGAAATTCATCGTCAACCAGACGAGTTATCCGACAAGTGAGCCGCAAAACCAAAACAGCACTACTGTAAATACGACTACTGCAAAACAAGCAAGTACTGATAATGAGCATAATCAGGCGGGATTGGAACAGGGGCACACTGTTGACGGCACTACCGGAAAAGAACCGGTCAGCGGCGATATAGTGCCCAATCACTCGGCTTCTGTTGACCGCAGTCCGTTTGTGCTGCCCGTGATATCAACGCGATCAAGCGAACTGGCCAACTGCACCGATAAGGAATTGCGTGAGCTGGAGCAGTGGTCGGATCTCGTGATGTTTGATTATCTCGTGGGCAATTTGGATCGCATCAGTAATTTGGCTGTTAATCTGCACTGGCATCAGCAGATGCTGTCGTTGCCAGTCCATAATATCTACCAGTCCGCCGAGGATGGGCAGTTCATTTTTATGGATAACGAGTCGGGATTGTTTCATGGATACCGTCTACTGCATCAGTATGACAAATATTTACAGCCGCTGCTGCGGTCATTTTGTATTTTCAATAAATCAACGGTACAGGCCGTGAAGAAGCTGCATCAGAGCCGTAATGCAGGCGCTACATTAATGAAAATGCTGGAGGCTGATTATCCACGCCTGATCAACCGCCTGCCGGGTATCGGCCCCAAAACCAGCCAAATCCTACAGAAACGGCTTCGTTATGCTTATAAACATATTCGATTTTGTGAAGATAATTATTATTTACCATAATCATGTCCCCTGATCCCTGATAATGAACTGTTTGCTGTAAATATACTTCGCAAGATTTCTATTTAGAGGATCTGTGTGATTAGGATTATCGGATCCAGAATTTGTGTGAATAACTGCGCTTTGGCCAGAATGCTGCACTTGCCCATAGCAAAATAAAATAATTAGAGTTCCATTTTGGTAAGACCGATATTAAACGGTGGTTTCTTAAATGTCATATAATTGTACATAAATAAATCCCATGCAAGCTATCGTGGATTATCGAGCTAACAAATCTTGAAACCTGCACCGGATATTTCACAATCATTACCGCGGTGCTGTAATCAAGCGTGACCATGGTTGTTTTCTTGCCGTAATAAATATGTTACGAGTGGGTTGAATCTCACACTTCCAATTTTGCGTGCATGTCCGACTGCCGACAAACGGTAAAAATGTGCAGCGAGGTCGATGGCTTTTTGTTGCGAATGCCACGAAGCTCATGGTCATTTCGAAATCAAAGAAAGCGTATGGCCAAATTACTACGGAAGAGATTAGTGCAAAACACTCTGCTTCTTATTTCGTGTGCTTTGGTCTTATTGTTAGATTTACAATTTAAGCAAACTTAGTACAAGCATGTAACACAGGATACGCTAGTAACGCTACTGTGTATTTATGAAATTATTTACTTTGTCTGGCTGTTAATTTCGGAACATGATAAACAAAACTTTGACAAAATTTATCCCGAATCAGCAGGTACGTTGTAATAATCTTTGTATACTACCGAGAATTATTACCGATATAGAACTATAGTAAGCTCATGGTAACAAACAAAACCCTCAGTGGTAAAAAATATTTTATTTTATACAACCTTATACTTCCACGCTGCATTGCAGAAGCATAAGGTTTTATAAAATAGACTACGCATAGCGAATTTCGTTGAGGCGTTAGTGTGTATCTGTGAAAAATTAGCGCATTATGCGCCGTTGATATCCTGTAACATTAGTCAACCAACAGAATTTTTAACTAATTAGCTAAAATTGTTTATAAACATTTTTGTGAGTAACCACCTTTTGCTTGCATAAAGGGCATATTCTACATGTTGAGGTCATAAACGTTATGAATTTTGCAAGGTAAGGGATCGTTACTGACACTGTTGTTGAGTCATAGCTTCTAGGAGTATACTTTGTATACTATACAACAAGAACAGACTCATAAGTGAATTCATTTTTTCGGTATCTTGCGTACTTGTATTTTGGTTCCGTGTGTGTGCTGTGCTTTTGGGCTTTTTTGCCAAGGAACGTTTTCACATATTTATAGATAAACATCATATAAGTAGATGTATACAATTAAAACAAATGTTACTGATATTTATTGCTCCAAAATCAACGTCACAATTCATATTCTAAAGATGAGTGCTACTTGTACTTTTGTTGTGTCTATATTAAAGCGTTGAAATATAATTAAATACGTAGATATTGTATCATCTGTACGCGTATCAGCGCATGTAATTACAATAAGGCAATACAGTACATTTTGTCTTCACCGGGGCGCTTATAACAAGTAAGACGGTCAAGTTCTAACAAATTCGTATTGCTTAAAATTTATTACGTACGATACAAGTTTAGATGAAAATATACACCACGTGTCTAGTAAATATTTAATCGAAAATTTTACATTCGTTTTGCATGCAGTGCGAATTAAAAAGCAACCAGCAAGGAATCTTTGTTGTGATATCTTTCCATTGGATTAGGCTTCCGTAAACTTAAAATACACAACAGAAGCATCTGCATTTTAGCGGTCTTTGCCGTTTACGAAAGCATTTGTATTGTGTCTACAATGATTTGCTGCTTGAGTAAGCGGTATCTGCGATTACAACCGTAACAAAGTGGATTACGAGGCTAACAAAATTCTTGCTTGAGGATAGTTGACTAGTTTCATTTGCCATAGATAGTCATACATATTTGCCAGCTGCATAAAAACAAATTCGACAGATGCGTCTGTAATATTTCGAACGTACTCGAAGATAGGCGATCGCGTTGTGGGTTTTCTATACCGAAAAAACCATTTCTGTTCGCACTGGTTGGATCTAGTGCAAGACGAAATATTGTTGACTTCTGAACATCGTTCTTTACAAAACTAGGCATGTGCATCATATGAGTCGGATATGACGATTCTTTTTTTTAAAAACATTCACTTATTCCATCAAACTACGTATTTTTAGCAAATATTGACCGCTTTTCCAACGTTTTAAGCGCTTGAAAACGTGTATAAAGTAAAAAAGTACTACATCGTGCCCGGCCCAGTGTGTGTCTTCCGCTAAATCAGTGATATGGGAGTACTTATTTTTTATCTCGATAAAAAATTTAATAAGTATTTTTCTTAGGATTTTGATTCCGGTATCGTAATCGAATAATGAGTACGGACAATCGCCGATACTTTGCACCTCGATCTCGAACAGCCATGAGTATGCAGCCGACAGCGGAGGATTTGCATGCATGGAGCATTTATCGGTATTACTACAGTATATATTATACATTAACACAGATATATTCTATGTGGATGCAGAATGTTATTATTGCTCGAATGCAGCCATACTTGACGTTTCTATAGTTTTTGCAGTTGTAGTAGATATTGCAGTGCAAACTTGCGATTTGACTTCGTTATAAGTTTTTCATTGCAGCCAAAACATCAACTCCGAGTTGACCACAAGCGCTTTAGGGGACAATCCGAAAGGAGGTGCTTTGCCGTATGGAAATTTTGCTTTACGGCCGCATCAGGTACACTCAACCACGATTTTAAATTTGTAAATTGATAAACATGTGATGTTCCGCAAATTGTATTATACATAATCTTTCGTATTACGTGACCCTGGACCTTTTTGGTAGGTGGATGCGATTCTGCATCGTGCAAAGCGGGCCAGCGTTGGGGCGTCATCCGAACTGCTCAACTCCACTAACGCTATGACCTATTTGAAATTCGGCCTACCCCGCGTATCGGTGCCTAATCTGAAATCAACTGGAACTTCAACGCCAGACACCACACCCAGCAAAGCCATCCGATTGTACGGATCTCGCGGTGTCCTGACGCATCCCGAACCGGCATTTGACCGCAACTCGCGGCTGCGCAAGAGTCGCAGCGAAATGGACATCCGCAAAGCATCACGACTGGGTCATCCCGTATTAGTCAACGACAATCCGCGCGGCAACGCCGCCGGTCGTGACCACATCAGTTTGCCGGTTCGCAGCCCAAGTGAAGGGGATATCAATCGCATTGACCAGTTCCGTCCGCTACATCGAATGCCGGGTCCATCAACCTCCGAAGGTCACTACACCGGCAGTGTTTCCTACCGGCATTCTAACAGTAAAATCGACACCGGCTCGTTCCTGGTGGCTCCATCCAAGCACGGAGGTAAGACAGCATCGAGGCGGAAAAGACATATTTGTGTTATTTCGTAGACAGTATTAAATCATATGTTCGCATGACACTGCTTTCCTGTAATGCTCTGGTGCATTTTCAATCGAAAACATGCTTCGTTTTCTTTCGTGTTGGGAGATAATTAAAGTGTCGACTAGCACTTAAGACGCATTTTGCTAAATGTGCACTGCTTCGTGTGATTTTAGTGCCAAATCAAGATGAAATTATCTTATTTCTGTGAGAAGAGAAATGAAAATAAAAGTGCCAAAAACTCTTAAACTTCGTGCGCGACTTATAGTTGTCTACTTTTGCGCGAGTAAAGTGGGTTCTGGAATAGTTTAGAATGGAGCTTACATTGATTAACCGGTGGCATTCTACGAGTAGAAGCTCATTTCACAATGCTTTTGGCATTTCATGGGTTTTTGTTTTGCACATGGTATGGGTGCTGTAGAAGCAAACGCAAATGATTTGATAGCATGGATTTTCAAAAAATATATACGATACAACATCCAAGTTAGTAAACAAAGAACGAAAAACCTGAGATATAACCTCGTTTGACCTTTTTCGGCCTCTTTCTTATATGCTTTATATCAGATAATGTCGGTGCTTTTGCATTTTAATAGTATGTGGTTATGTTTGAATATAAATGGTGTACTTTTAAGCTTATAACTGCTAAACTTATGCCTCTTCATACTTACCACAATTTTATGTAGCATTAATCATTTGCCTATAATTATAGAGGCGATTGTTTATTAATGAATCAGTCACTACATAATTATAGAAGCATAGAACTTTGGCGGAAGTATAGTACATGAGACTATTGTAATGCATGACATTACATTGCAGGTCATGATGGGCAGCAAGTAGACGAGCACCTTGTGACAAAGCGTAATGTGGAGCGCAAGAAAAGCTTCAGTACTAATTGTAAAGCCCCTTCAAAATCAGCGGATTATTCACTCATCGAAATCGAAAGCGGTACAATTTCAAACGTCCAGGTGCGCGTTTATTTGCAAAATTGACAAATGGTTTTCTAAGCGTGATAACTATCTGTATGTTCGTGATAATTATATGTGAGTTTTTGGTTTTTAAATGGTAAATATTAAATTGCAACTCTGTTGCAGCACATTGGTATCGGTCAACCAGAACCAGATGCGCGATATGCTCCATATCCCCACTCAAATACTGACCCTGAACGGGAAGATACGAGTTACGTGTCACCAATCATGCTGAATGAAAAGTATTTTTTGAACGGCAGCACCTCTCCTAACCGCGCTGAATCGAAAAGCCACACGCGGAACCTGTTTTCCACCATTCAGCCCCATTTACAAGTTCGAAGCTTAAGGTACTGCGACAGATGCAATCCTACCGTAATTTGAAATATATATTTTATTTCTGTAGCATCTTGAAGCATTATACATAAGAAAACTGAATTGTGCACGATATAATTACAACACATGTATGAGGTAACTATCGATATACTGCGCATACATGATACAACAATTACTTGCAGTCTGACGGAAACCGAAAGCAGGAAGGCAGCGTACAGTTTTAGTTCGGTGACCTTTGAAGCGAAAGCCGGCGATCTCGTGGGTATTGTCTCGACGTCGGACAAACAGGGTGACGATTTCCTAAATGCTTTGATTAATCGACGCGGGAAATGGGGATCATCGTTGAAAGGCGCCATTACATACAATGGCGTGAATGTGGATCCTATGCAGTTAGCCCATCGGGCAGTATACGCCGGAACCAATCTGGACTTCAATCCCAATATGTCGCTGAAGCAGACTGTCCTGTTCGCCAGCCACCTGGCCGAACCAGGAGAAGCAAACCGCAAAACAGATACACGGGGAAGGGTATAATCTTACAACTTAATTTAACGAGCCTCGTGCAGTTTCAAGCCGACTAGTACGAAAGACGTTTTTCAACAATTTCAGATCGAAGCATTAATCGGGGATCTTGGCCTGTCTAATGTGGCTGCCACTAGAGTTGGTGAACTCACGTGTTCCGAAAAACAACGACTAAACATTGCTTGTCAATTGCTGATCGATCCTGGTAAGAATTTTGAACTACAGAGTGCATGTGTACTTGTGTGTGGATATTTATAATTTTACATTAAGAGTGACAAAATGGACATCAAGCTCACCTTAAGCTTTCCGCCCATCATCCCATGGGAAATGCAGAAATCTCTGTAGTGAACATGTACAGATATAGAAATGTGCAATATAAAGAGCTTCAATTAATTCAAATTTTTGTAGATTTAGTGCTTCTGGATCGTCCAACCTTGAATATGGACATATTCGATACATTTTTTCTGGTCGAGTATCTTCGACAGTGGGCTTTGCGTGGACGCATCGTGATCATGACCTTTCAACCTCCGACATTTGAAATCTTCAATATGCTCTCGCGAGTCCTTATTCTCTCAAACGGATGCACGTTGTACTCTGGAAAACGCAAAGACATGATCACATATTTCGAGCTACTGGACTTTCCGTGTCCCACCCAGAAGAATCCGGCGGACTACTACGGTAGTTATCGTTAGCATGTACAATACATATTGCGCTACACATTTTGTTGTTAATACTTACGCAATATGTACGTGCGCGTAATTCTGCTGATAAAATTAGTGGCGTTTAATAACGTTTCTCAATAATAATATTAATTTAAACACCATAAACCAAAAACTGGATCAGTTCAAATATAAACTATACCTCGAAAGTTTTACAAATGAATGTTTGTAGTCGATCTTGTATCGATTGACCAAACCACAAAAGATGCCCATGAAGAATCCATCCAACGCATAAACCATCTCGCATCTGTTTTTTCCCAACGCCAGCCGAGGTTATCGGATCTGCAGGCGCAACCGGGAATTTTGCCACCTAAAATCTGGAAAGCCGGGTTTATTTGGCAGATTGTAGTGCTGTGGATCCGCGCTCTTATTTTCATGTTCCCTTATAATCTCATTGATGCCATGTATCAGATTGTTCAATCTGTTGCAATGTCGGTTTTGATTGGCATTGTGTTTTTTGGAATAAACAAAAATCAGGCTTCCGCCGATGACCGCATGGGCCTCCTCTACGTACTTCTCTCCATTGGTTTCTGGCCAATCGTCATACGCATTATCCAAAAAGGTCAGCTGATGCAATAATTATGTTTGTCTACACTCTGAATACAACATCTAAACGCGGTCTCACTGCAGAATACAACAACAAACGGTGGATTTACAGGGAGCTTGAAAACCGCATGTATTGCAAAGGAGCCTATCTTATTGCAAAGGTGAGTCAGTCATCGAGATAGGTAAGTATTGTATGTCGGTGCATGATAAAGATGATACATCTGACCGGTAAGCAATGAAACCGTACAACAATGGCTTTTTATAGCTCCTCTATTCGATACCGGTCACGGCAATCTCCATTGGTTCATACGTTGTTCCGGTGTACTTTATGTCCAGATTGCGGCAGGATGAGGATTTTCGACCTTTTTTCTTATACGTTGCCATGTTGTACCTACACCTATTAACCTGGCGCATTGTCGCTAAACTCGCCGTATACCTCTTTTCGTCCCCGGGATGGACTGTTAGCTTCATAACAATATTTGCTACGCTGTCGTTTTTGACTTCCGGTTATCCCGTGCATCCTAACCAGTTGTCGCCAGTGTTCAAATGGTTTGACTGGATTTCGCCAACGCAGTACGCATTCAGTCAACTGGCGCAAATGGAATTTCATGGTGTGGACAAACTTGAATGCCAAAAAATCCCTGTTCAAATCGGTGGTCTACCAATTCTAACTAGGTAAAGGATAAAAATTTTTCCAGTAATACGTGCCAAAATGCAATTATGTTAATCAAATGTTTCTAAATTTCACACGTTTTACTCTTTAAAAATTTTGTAAAAAGTAAGGATAACCTTGCGTATACCCCCACTCTATTACATTTATCTGTAGAAGTAGTCACTTCTCCACGTGTGCAGTTGGGATAAAACTGATTACTAATACCTTCGGTTTTCGGTGCAAGAATTTAATTTGTCCTGTGCACTCTAGCCCAAACTGTGGACTGGAGAGTGGACGGGACGCCATAAGCTTTCTTGGTTTGTCTCGACATTTCGGAATTGCCTTGGAAATCTGGAAACCATTTGTGGCTGTTGCCGTAATTGACACAGTAATGCTTTTCCTGTGCGCGATGGCTTTCCTGCTTGTTGACCAGCGGCCAAATACACGTGAATCTTATACGTATTAATGCGATTAAGTTACTGTTATTATGCCTTCTGCAAATTTGATGGTGTATAAAAACATGATCTATGACAATAGTTTTGGTTGTTTTCCTGTTTTTCCGTAAGTGTTATTTATTTCAGCCATGATCTTCATTTTTGATTGTTCTAGCACTATTTTTTGAATAATATAAATTTATTGCCCTGTAAACTTAAAAAATAAAACATACGGAAAAACAGGAAACTGCACTTGTAAACGGAATCCACTGGTATGCAGTAAGCTGCAATCTGGTACATCTTTTCCATTTACTTTATGCACCTGCATATTTAAATTTACGCAATGATTTTTCTAAACCATACTTTATTTATACACATTGCTGTTAGTTGTTCAATTGTTATATATTTCCGTTTTACTGGCGTCTTTTTAGTAAGTCTTCGACTTTGCAGAGGTTTTGCGTCATCGAAATTTAATGAACTTCGTTATAATCATCGTAGCGTAACAAAGCAAGTCACCCCGTCTGCCTTATGGAAAACTGTAGTGGAGTGGCACCATCATATCTACCGTACAGATATATACACACTTAAACTGACATGGTTATTATAGCGCATGGATATTTCTGAACGTCTAGAATTTTAGAAAAGCGATCAGTAGGCAAAAAAGAACAGACGCAACCGGAACAACATAGTTAGGCTGCAGGTTACCGCCTGATGACATAAGCAGGCTTATATCCGAAATGGCCTCTCCCAGCTGATCCCAGATGGCGTTTAGTCCACTTAGTCCTTGTTGACCGCCGTCTCCGGCTCCGCTACCGTCGGTCCCTTCGTCTGTGGTCATCATGCTATCCTCGGTGGTCATAAAACTGCCACTGTTATCAAAACCATTTGGCGGTGGCCGGTTCCTTTGCGCTTGGATGAAACCGATTGCACAAAAAAGTGTTAACCCGAAACATAATTGTTTTAGATATCGCTGCATTTTCGGCTAGAAGGCCGGTTAATGTTCAAAGCAAAATAATCTCCAACACTTTAAACACAAGAGAGGATTGATGCTCCCGTAATGCCATAGCAAAAATTAGTCTTTAATTTTCTTTTATATATGCGCTAAGGTTACGGTTGCCGACAAAATTGCCGTTCGACATTCTCCGTGCCCATGACAGCGGCGCTCAAATGTACACCGTCGACAAAGGGACTGATGACACTTGTCTTTTTTCCGCGCTTTCAGCAGACATGCTGGTTTCACTGTATGATTAACAAACCGCTTTGTAAAATCTACACAAACTAACTGCAGTTTTCAAGTTAGCAACAAACAGCGTATGCAGCTGCAAACAGACAGGCGTCGTTTGAAATTTAATAAGCTCGGTTTCCTTATTCCTGCAATTGTTCTATAATCGTACTAAATCAAAGATGATAATTTTTGTCTCGGGAATAAATGGCAATTATTTTCAATCAAAGAGTCCGCCATATATTTGCAGCAATTATAGCTAGAAAAAAATGCCTTACATCGTTCGTAATTTGGCAGAATTTAAGAGCGAAAGAATAAAATGGCCGCAAATGCGTCGTATGCGCGTATTTCTGACAGCCGTACGGTTTAATCCAAGCAAAAATTTCTAAAGCCATTATTTCACTTTTTCAACCGCACTATGATATCTGAGTGGACAATTGCGCGAACAATTACATGCATTATGTTGCGCCTCCAGATTAATAGTAGTACTATGCAAATTACAAACCTCATTATATAGTGTATTATTAGTTGACAAACTGTCTTTGTGCATTGATCGAGTATGCATCGCACCTAAACAACACTGGATCTCTAGTGCACGCTATATACCCGCGTAATTCCTTGGGAAAATTTTCTTAGTGATTTTGTTTACCGTACATCCTAAAAAATCACGCAAAGATTTTGCTCTGAACAAAATTTTCATTTTGCTATACAGTTGTGTAAAGAAAATTTAAGGTTAAAACAAAAAATTGCCGCACAAACATACAACAAACAGCTCATGCAGCACATGTACAATATATACGTGTGCAATATAGTATGTGGAAACGAAAGAAGTCGAAAACGTTTTCTGGAAATACCAACAAAGTGTCTGCGATTAAATTCTGTTTTGATTAAATGCTTTTATCTGCAGAGTAGATCCATTTCAACTCAGATTATTTTTAGAAAAATTCCACGAAAGAGCATGGAAAGTCTGTTAATAAAAGCAGAACGTAGGTCTCGTGTTAGATACCGTACTTTTTTCACTATGCAACCGATTATTTTTCTAAGGTCGGCATAGATTCACGCCAAAGGATGCGTAACCTAGCCGGTTTCTGCCTTTTCATAATTTTTGTTTTCGCTTGCTCAGTGTTCGCTTGTTCGATGTTCACTTCGCATTTTTATTCGCCATATTGTTTGCTTGCTGTTTGTCTTTATCAAACAAATGCAGTGCATGCTGTGATGCATCGTCCAAACATCCTCACAATACATATTGCGTACCTTTGCCAAAGTCCAAAAAAACAAACAAAAACCAGATCAGTTTTATCATTTGCATTGTTATTTCTTAGTGATATATATTATGGCACATCAGTATTATTTCAAATTCATCACAAGTGAATTTTTATTCACCAAACTTGAGTATCATGCACAACTTAAATCAGGGATTTAATTTACAGTAGAATAAATTGCTTATTACAAAGAAGTGATGCTGTCCGGCTCACTGGTTTCTGTCAGCCTTTGTGTAATGTTAACAGCAGCTGGAATGTTGTTGGTTACTCTCGGGTTATCGGTTATGCCGGGAGCTGCAATACAGTCAATCTTTAAAGTGAACACATATGAAACACACTCTCTCACAATTCGACAGCGCATATGAATATTGATATGCGAACATGTACATACCATGATTGTTGGCGGATGTTGTAACGGAACTATTGGCTTTTTTATATGTTGTCGTAGTGTTCATAGTCAGCTTCCTGACATTCTTCTCCGGATGGAAGACAATAATATAAATCTTAGGCGAAAAAAGACAGAGCAAGCATGTTGAGGCACTGAGGCTTATTGATATTGACAATGTTGTAATCTGAACCTACAAAGCCGCACAAACGCAATGTATAACTGATAAATTTGATATGTTAAGTTTAATATGTAATCAAATGTATTCGATCGTGAAATATAATCTACTGAATCCGTACGTTAAATCTATCTGCCATGAAAGAGGAACAACAGCCTTTTTTGAAAGCTAACTGTTTAATGTTGTAGTACATCTATAATATTTCGCAGACAACGCTAATTTTTACAGAATAAATGCCGAATCAAGCTGTTTTATCTCACGAAATCTCCTGCTTCGCTATATAAAGAAAAGGCGAATTACTGTACTCATAAAACTGCGCTTAATCATTTCCGGAAACCGCCACGACCTACTTTGAAATTTCCTTGAGTCCCAAAGTATATAGGCACAAATGCTAACCAGATAATGCACGTCGTATACATTGTGAAGCCAATAAACTTGGATTCATTAAAATTTTCGGGAATTTTTCTAGTTTTCACGGCGTAGATTGTGCAGGTCACGATGAGCAGCATGTTGTAGGCCAAAGATATTAGAAATGATGAGTCGTCCGTTTTACATTTAAGGACAACTTCATCCCTGCAAAATGAGATTATGGATGAGTACACGAAGGACTTTCTTAACAAAAATTAATCGCTTTCCAATACTAGGGATATTTGTAGTTGTGTATGCAGTACTCCCTACCGTCTCCCTTCGGGGTGGCTCTTGTCAACGTTGGCCGGATCGATTATTAGCCAAATTATATTAGCAATGACTTGCACCGATATAAGGATTGATGTGATGATTAGCTGTGATTTGGGCGAAATGAATCCTGGACGTTTAGCCGACTTGCTGGCACTTTCGAATATCCTCGATATACGGTTGGTCTTAGTCAATAAAGCACTATACATAATGGAAAAGCCGAATCCGACCCCAAAACGTTGAAAGGCACAGATTATGGGTGATGGATAGGCAATCAGAAAAAATGTCAGACAATAGCACATCATGATGCCGCCCAGAATCAAATAGCTCAGTTCACGCCCGGACGCCCGTACCAGCGGCGTATCGTTGTGCTTGATGAAGACCACAATGACAAAGCCGGTCAGTACGCCGCCCAGGCAGGCCACCACCATGGGCACAATGGCCCAGAGCTGGTGCCACTCCATGTGCTGCAGCGGCAGATCGAAGCAGTCGGTGAGGTCATACGTCGGCCAGCGGAACAGTCCGCAGTCCCGGCACACCGCCTCGCTGACCACGTACTCGTAGGGTTTACACGCAATACACACCCAGCAGCACTTGTCGTCCTGGACCACTTTGACGTAGCCCTTCTTGCAGGGATCACTGCAGCGCGACAGCGGCAGACCGTTGGTGTCGAAGACCGGCCGCCCGGCGTCCGGACCGTCCTTGTCGATCGCCATGCGCGGCCACTGAAGATTCTTCTGGATTATCAGCTTGGTTTCTACCCATTCACCAATGTGAAAATAACGGAAAGTTCCGTTTTCGGTTTTCTGGAAGTTGTACAGATCGTAACGGCCTAAAAAGAATGTATGGTTCGTATTAAGAATTTTAGGAAGGAGCTTAAGCAAATTCTTTACTACTGAGTACTGACCAAGTCCGTCTCCATTCTGATCGAACTCCACTTTGTGTCCAGTTTTGTCTAAAAGTTCAACGCAGATATAAGACGAAAACAGAGACGCAATTGTTTATTGATAACTGCTTATTTTTTCCAGCTCGAAAAAAATCACTCTTGCTAAGTTTCGCGAACAAACATTTGTAGTGAGTTTTGTTGGGAGATGTCGATGATCTGAACGTGCAGCATCATGAATAGATTGCCGATCAATTGCCAATTCAGTTAATTCTCGATAGCCAATACAGGCGTAAGACACTTCTAAGTGCCGCTCTTACATTTCCCGCGAAAGACCGCTTATGCACGCTTTACCTGTAAAGGACACGTTGAGGATGTATTGATACAAACGCCGCCCGTCAATAATGGGTGGAACGCGTAATTTTTTCGAGCAGGTCGCATCGAAGATGTCGCCGGCTAAGCAGTTGTCCTCCAGCAGAGCGTGCAGCGCCTTAGCAAAGGCCAGGACGGCGTCGATAACGAAGGGCACTTTGGAGTCTTGAGCGTAGTTCTTATTTAAGCGCATATCCTCCGCGCAGTAATCCCAGCTGCGATTACGCCATTTATAGTAGCGATCCTCCGTCATGACGTAGGGCGACAGCTGGGGATCGTTAAACCACAACGAGGAGATTATGGTCGGTTTCACTTTACACCCAAAGTTCGTCTCCCAGAACTCCAGGAACCAGGGATTGCGGATGATTTTTGGATTACCCGGATACAGACTAACCAGATAATCGTCAAATTCCACCGACCGCTTAGACTGCAGTTCAATGGTGATGGCGCCGGTGGCCGCTTGTTCACTGCCGGCCACGACATTGCGTTGGATACCCCACTGATCGGTGCCCAACCAGATGAAGCCGTCGTTGTGTAAATTAGCCCGCTTGGCCGCCAGCATTAAGCCCTGCGCGTGCTCCTGTTTAACGAACACCACCACGACGCGGGCTTTCTTCTTGGCCCGCAGATTCTTGATGATCTCATCGAACAACTCCATGTTCGGACTGAACGGGATCTTCTCGGCGGCGGCGATGCAGATGTTGCGGGCGCGCGCTTCCTTCATAAACATTTCGATGCCTTTTTGACCGTATTCGTCTTCCGATGCCACATAGCTGACGTATGTCCAGTTAAACATGGTAATTATATCCACTAACGCTTTGGCCTGATATTTGTCGGGAGGCACTGCAAACAGCAACAAAAGCGTCTCGCACTTCGTTATTTCGTAATTATTTACACTGCGATCCGGCGGGCGCGCCTGCTCTGAATGCGCCCGTCAAGCCGCTCAACACCCATGTTTGCCTAACGATGAATGCGGCGTTTTCACAATATTAGTTTCTATGCTAATTAACAGTAAACCAAGCGCAAAAGTGTACTGCCGCTATGTTAAAGTTGGCCGTTTTTTATTGACCTGTTTGGTTTTGAAAAGCGGGTACCTGTTCGGGCAAAATATTCATAGCGCTGTTTATCGCTGAGAGTATCACTGGTGGCAGCCGGAGATATTTGCGGCATAGCAAACAGCCGCAATAAATTGGCCACTTGAATTGTTACGGAACTGTAGCTCTCTCCCACCACACCCACTAAAGGCACCGGATTGGACTTTGGTCGGGGATTCGTACCATCCATACAAATAAAATCGGAGGTATCTTGAGAATTCAATGAACCCCGGATAAAGGTCAAGGATTGATTCAAGGCATAGGCTTCCAGGGAACAACTGTCGACTAACTTGGCTCCTGAAATGCAAATCAATGTTATCTCTGGCAACGTTTGCATGTGAATGCCATGGCTGAATATGATCTGACCCGGAATATCACGAGTCAATCCATAAAATTACTGATTGACCAATTCAGGCAACAAACGCTAACCACTTTATATTAATCTGCTTACCATATTTGGACAGATTGTTCGCAAAAATGGATGTCGCTGTATTTCTTTAAAACGTAAACGGCTCTTCACGAAATAGCGTGCCAGAAAATTTGCATCGCGCATGACTGCAGGATGCGATCAGCCAACTTTACTAGTTTTGTGTTACCAACGTTGCATTACATTCCGCTAAAGATGTTGCAACCAAATGTTCGGTGTATAGAAAGAAGCCCAATTATTTTGGTTTTCAAAACGTGGTTTGAATAGTTTCTATATATTCAGGCTTAGCAAACGCTATAGACTGATAAGCAATCTTGAATCTTTTCCTTTTATTAAACAATGCGGGAAAATTTTATTTAGCCACGAATCTCGTGACTATTTCCGTGCTGCTCTTGAGTAATACCAGTTACAAAAATCAGAATCATGCTTTTAGGAATTCCATATACCTCTCTAGGGTTGTGTAGAAAGGAGTTTTTCTTATGGTAAATTTATTTCTCGTACGTCGCTAAAAATTGTATAACTTATGTATAGCTTTACGGTCAATTTTGTTAACCAGGTTCGCTGTACTACGGTGTTAGATTGCTGTTTTTTAAAAAAGAGAAAACCAAGATACGAGTATATTTATTCCACGAGTATCTGTAGAACACCTTCGCATCAACGTACAACAACTACTGCCTATTTGTATGTGCCGCTCATTCATATACTTTAATAGTTTACGGCTAAAGTAACCATATCCTGATAGTATAGTGCGCTGCACACCTAGCGTGATTCCCGGTAGTATCGTGGAGTCGTTGTTAACTTTATCCAGAGCAAATAACATGGCCTCCGCTCTCTGGATACCGCGATCAAAGCGAATTGGACCACATGAATAGTCGATTTTTTCATGTAAAGGAAAAATTCCTCCTAAGATGATTTGTCCCGGCATATCGGCAATGAGCTCGGCAAAAACCAGTCGAGTGTGATGCAGTAGAATGGACACAAAGAGTAATGCGCTGGCAGTACATTTTCTTGGATTTGACAGGGTGTTCCATAATAACAAAGTAGATCCCCGCGTTTGCCGGGCCGCTCTCATGCTGCTGTAGTTATACAATTATATCCGGTGCAGTAAGGGATGAAACTTAATTGGTGCTCCATAGGCATAGACTCCCAGATTCTGCCAGCTGAATTAACAAACAACTTCGCGTTAGAGTGCGATCAACCGGTTTATGGGACAATCTGTACAACCTGATAACACGCAAGACCTGCAAGTTTACAAGTTTGATTTAATTACCCGCACTGCCGATGCCTGGACCGCGCAACTTATACATCTTTTACTCGTTTTAGACAGCTTGATGCCCATCGATCGCGTAATATTATATCTGCACATGTGGTCATCGCAGTGCTGCAAGGAAGTTTACGATAACTAAATAATTATAATCAATTTGCATGCAAGTTAAGGGAAAGGTTGCCGGCTTGATTTGCGCAGATATATACAATTAACGAAATAGGTGGATGTCTGTTTTTGGGTAGTACAATAACTAATAACAAAGCGCGAGCGAACCGCAGAACATATCAATTTGCGATATGTGAGCATTCACTAACGTGCCTGTCGGATTTGGAAGAATAAAAAGTCCTAAATTAATTAGTTAAAACGTTTCTGCCTGCATTTTATTTCGCTTTCAGTAAATGATGGGTGAAGGAACTTTTGACAGTGGCTCAGGAGGCTTGTGAATAACAGACTCACAGCAATCCATTCCTGGTAACCGGATAACCGGTGCAACGAAAGAAGTCGCACAACGGATTTCCGTTCGTTAATTACTTTTTATACAGGAGTGTGTTTTTCTTGAGAATTAATTTATCTTGCTCCAAGAAACCCAGTTACTGCGAGCAGTACATAATGACTTGTGGTTTCTTTTCTTTGCGAAGTGGCCACGCGCATTGGCATTACATGCACGTATAATTTACATTGACAACGTGGATTAATGAACAGCATGGCGGCATTTCATAAGCCGGTATCATAACATACGCCTGTACTGTATCATTACAAATAAACTTCGGCATGCAACTTTATGTAAGTTGTGATAACAATATTTTAAAAAATTAGGTGTTGATACGCCGCTAAACACGCTTAAAAATGGCTCACTTCAATATATAAACTCCAGCAATTGAGACAAATCGATAAATGGTGATGGGTAATCGAAGAGAACCATTTAATATATACGTATTGCAGAAATGTTAGAATTTCGCCATTCTGTCGGGGAAAAAAACATGCGGGAATATTGTGTTTCTCCAAGTGATGTTAAGGTCAATATGCTCACGTGGACCTAGTAACATGACGATGCTAAATACACTTGTGTATGTTTAACGGACATCTGCGTCTTTAAGCATGCATAAATTGTTAAAAAATTTGAATTTGCTCATTAGGAGCATAAATAAATACATAATTATGTTTTTTTAAGAAGAAACAAATATTAAAAATAAGGTGGCTCCCTATTTGTTGCTAGTTCATTGTTCTACAAAGGTCAGCAGTTTAAAAGAACAATGCATCAAGATTGCATGACATTGTATTCTGTATTCGTTTCCAGTTAGTTTTACTTCATTCATATGTAATGTAGTTTGCTCTGGAACGATTTAAACGGAATGCTGTACTACCATGCAATCGGCTAGGTCATCCACCACTACAGCCTTAAGACAGTTGGGTAAGTCCGTAGACAAATAGTAAACATTTGGAAAGATGACAGTGGTGAATCGGAAAGTAGTGGATGTTTAGGCGTAATCATAATTAAAATTCGATTTAACACGAGTTCCTCCAGGCAAAAAGTTTCCTTAGTCAGCAATTTGTCATCTAGTCCAATAGGAATTTCTTATGCTGGCAGCAGCAATCTGGAAGATATGCCACTGGGAAATACAAACCCACAACATCCTAAATGTAAACCATTTATAAGTGCTAAAGCAAATTTCGCAATTCCAATTGTCTCTTAACAGACCGAAACAGTTTGCTCATAGCATTATCTTTTCTGGATTAAAAGGCGTAATCTGTAACATAGTATACATATACATTGGTTTCGTGTTTTACGAGCCTATAAGCTTTACCGCATCAATAAATGAAAAAGAAGGATAACCGGATGTGCTATATTATAGCTTTTCTGTATAAATTTAGTAAGTAACTAGTAAGCCCAGTGTCGATAACAATTTAATTCAGCGCCAATTAATTGTGTGTGCCCGCAATAATAACACAAGATAACTGTAGATAAATCATGCGTACAAAAATAATTATATAGTTTTTTAATAACACAATTTAATTAACTGCAGTACACACAATGCTCAATCTTCCACAAATTTGTGCAACAGTTAAAAAGGCATGTTCAACCTTTTAGCAATTAGAAGGACAACTTGTCATCAAGAGTCAGTTCTAATTACTCGTACAGCCCTGGCAGCATCGGTGAAGTTTTGGCATATCTTATGTCATATTTTAAAAAGGCACTGGCTCCGACGAACACTAATTACCGATCCCTATTTATAACTTGGACAGTAAGTATGTTAGCACCCACAGTAAATGTGAGGCACCCGTATTCCCGTAAATTACTCGTAAATATATACATATCCATATTTCAGTTTCATGTAAATAATACATTTGCGACAATCAGGGACGAAAGAGCAACAACAAAAAGCACTGCTATCCAAAATTAATTATTGACTACAAAATCAATAACACGATTGCCAAGGCTTTCTTAGAAGTTTTGTTGATAAATGATAATGCGGCGTTTTACAAATGCAAAGTAGACGTATAGGTTATTTTAATGCACCACGTTACCACGTTATGGACCACTGTTCAAGAAATGTTTTACCTCGATATACTCAGTCTTCGAGGGCTAACAAATCGTTCTGGAAGAGTCTGGATAAGCATCAGTTTGTGATTTTTTTTGTAGATCAAATAGATGTACTCAATATACTCGGAGCTTTGCATTTTATGTACAAATATTAAGCTTCTTGGATAATGATATGAGTATTGTTAATGTAAGAAACAATATGTCCTTGTATGTTGTCAAAGTGCTCCATATACAGATAGCATGGTCCGAAGATATTTGTTTCTCGATCACTTCGCTGAGGTAGCTATAAGCGGTCAGTGCAGTGTTATAGCGACTGCATTACGGTTTATATAGTCCCGCAAAATACGGCTAAGCTAAAAGACCTCAGATCTTCTTCCATACATACAAATCTGCTTTAAGCCAGTTTACACTCACTTATTGATCGATTGCGTTTTCCTTCATTGCCAGCGTAATTCTCCACCATTACCACACAAGATCATCGTTAATAAACTTCCTTTTTGTTCAAAAGAGAATTAGGAGTCCGCCTAGTGAAGCATTTAATGATTTCTTTTCTTAACTTGACTGTACTTGACCGGTTTCAGCCAGTGTCGCTCCAGTGACGCTGTTTTGTACGAGCACAATTTTTTATGGTCACAATACGGAAACATTCTTGGATTTGCAGTTCTTAAGCAAAGAGAAATGTAATCCAAGTACAGTAAAGAAACAGTGCAAAAGCACACAGGAAGGATGTTAGCCGTCACCTACATTGACTAACGGTAAATGAAAAGCGAGCGACTTGTTTATCAGCGCCGTACCTTGTGACCATTACGTTAAAAGAAGCGCTGGGTGTAGAAGCGTAGGATATGTACATAAGAATCGATACCTGTAATGTAGTTATTCACAAAACCCGCTGGTGATCCTATGAAAGTTCGATTTTTAATTATGCAATGCCGCAGTGTGCACTTCGATTGGTGAAAGAACGAACAAACTTTGCGATTCATATTAATTTTCTCCTAGTTTACAAACATATTAGCCAACCAAATTCCAGAAAGACGAAAACCAAAAAGTTCTTTCGTCGTAGCGGACACTGAATGCGCACACTAAATTCGCAACTAATTGCACAAATTTACGTGCGGTACGCGGGAATAGTAATGGAAACAGCAGTGCGGTTGGCTCTGCATAATTGTGCATGATACTAGGTGGGAGCAGCATCATTAACGCTACCATGTCACCGGTCACGTATCCAGTAACATCTCCACATGCGACATCCACATGCATATTCCAACCGTATAGTACGTAGCATTGCACAATGGGTCAAGAGGTTCGGGATGTTGATTGGTGTTTATATATACACAGACACCGTGCAGTAATACTCATCATGACCGTGGATCAAAATATCACGGCAAAACGGAAACAAACCATTTTTGGCCTGATACACAGATCGGGATGCGCTTCCAAAGCCATGACACGTGTGCTAATCCAACACATCCAACACGTTGTCTTTACACTAGATATTTTTTAAAAAGCATACAAAAGAACCAATTATGTGCGTCATTTTAAGTAATGGTGCTGCCATCGGCAAAGCTGACCAGCTGGCGTTTTTTGTATGTGCAGGTGGGCACAAGTGTGAGTGGTTATTAATCCAACACAATTATATAGCGCAAAACTCTTCAAAAATAATCCACACGGCTGCCACATTCTCCTGTTTTTTCTTACACAAAAAATTACCGGCATCCGTACATTAATGTCCTTGCTGTAATTATGTCAAGAGAAGGAGACACTCATTGACGTGTTTTTCAATCACTCCTGGCTCTTGCATGCATGTTTATGAAATCGGGATTTTTTCTTACGGATTAGGAAAAAACTAACGTCGATAGTTCGCAATTGCTCAAATGGCACTTTACGGGTTTATGTGAATATTCCCGTATCTTCATTCATGGATCCGTGCAGTTTTTAAAAGGTCTTCATTATTTGGATGTCGTAAGGACCTGCGCTCAAGTGGAAAATATGCACCGATGAGGCAAGTGCGTTTTAACTTCTCGATGTCTATAGAAAAGCGCGTAGGCTTAACCTGCATTAAAGAAAAATGCAGTAATAAAAGGATTACAATGCATTGGGGTAGTATTGACTTTTCAGGAAGTAATCCTTGTTGAGAACCCTTCTGATGCATCGATAAAAGGAGCCTTTGTTATACCGGTTCACTACCCTTTCACTTTGCGCAAAACTTTCCGCTCACAATCAGCTGTACATATTCCATCGCGCTTACGTACGTACTGCGCATATACGTTGGAATAATGTGGAATCATTATTCCCCTATTTAATTACTATTTTCTACCTGATTCATTAATTTTGTGTTATCTCTACTCAGTCCGAAAGTTAAAGTTATGACAGAATATGACGAAAGGAATAATACAAAGATTTTAGCATTTTCTGCTTAAGATGACAGTAACTGCGCTAAGCACATCGACGAAATGAGTGTGTTATTAGCCGCTTACCACTTGGTCATGAGTGTCCCCTTGTGCAGAAATGCGCAGAACGAGATGACATGAATTGATTCTTTAAGTTAAACAGATAAAACAGTCTCTGACGATGCACCAACATTTTATGTACGCTCATCATCTTCCTTCATAAACGCACACACAGTGGTGACCGAATGCAAACACAAACCGATTAGTGTAGTTCTTGGAGCATTATGCGACAGAACACCGGTGCACATACTGCATGGAAGTCCAGGTCTGGATGTCCCAAATAGTAATTAATTACGCGGCGGCACGAAGTGGCTTTTACGAATGCGATTCATGCCCCGTGATCACAACGTTCGGGGTTTGGCAGAAGCATTTTCGCCCAAAGGATCATGTGAAAGCGGTCAGAATTCGTGGCCTCACGGAAGTCACATAATGTCAACCGGAAAAGAGGGCATTATTAATTGCCATAACATTTTTCAAAACGCGAGAATAGTGCCTTTCCCCTGTCGCGCTGCACAAGTGCCACAACGTGATGGAGTCTCATAAATAACCGGGTGGGACACAATACACGACACAGTCCTACTATCAACCGGGCATCGTCTACATTTCTGTCCGAGGAAAACTGCCAGTCAATTTTGCTTGGAAATATATTTTTCTTCCACGCTTGACATCTCCGGCTAAAGGATACGCGCGCGCGGACAAAAACGCGAGCTTGGAACAACGCACTTACACTTTCTGGAGTAGAAGACACATAACACACACATATCTATGCACATACATACAATATATATGCAGCTTCTATATTGACAAGTGCGGCTAGATTGAAGGAGCAGGATAGCACCACAGAGAAAGCGCGGACAAATAAGAACATTTGTCAAACGGACCATACAGGATAAATGGATCAGTTCCCTGCTGTAGCGTCTGTTCTGTTCTGGAACGGAGCAGCGTCAGCACCCGTGTGTGTATGCTGTGTGTGGTGTAGCGCTGGGGTGTGTGTACGCGCTATCGCCACGGCTTCGTGCCGCTAATGCATTGTATAGAAGGTCTGCATTATTGCTGGTTGTGATCGCGAACTTGTAACACTACCGGCTGTTATTTTGCCGGCTGCGATCGCAGGATGCCTCCGCTGGCCTTCCGGTGGACGTACAAAACGGCTGGCACACTCACTCTTTTTCCCCCAGCAGTGGCAAAATCAATACTTCTCCCCCCATATAAATGCTATACCCATATAGACATTCCAACAGGAATCGGAAGCATGAAAAAACGAATAATCAAACAGTCATTAACCAATGTCAGTCATAAACAAACCATCTTTGGACCACAGGCCCTGACTTCTCTGCCAACTAAAGAGCCCTTAGACGACAGATTATGCCCATCCACAACGGCGCGCATGGCGCGCGCGACCGGAGCAGAATGGGATTCCGTGGATTGGCCGGGGCTGTTGCCGACGATGCATCTTATATCGGCGATACAGGAAGTAATTGCCGTAATTCTTATTACCCATTGCAGCCCCCATGATTGTGTACTGCTTTTTATTTTGCCTGAGCAATCAGAGCAATTACGTGACAAGAAAGGCACACTGTGTTGAATACATAAAGGGATGCGCAATTGTACGCTGGGGCGAGTTACGGTTGCCTACAAGGATGCTAATCCCACCAACTCAAGCGTTTCCGTTTTCCGGCAGAAGCCCGAACGAGCGCCCGGCTTTCAGGCCGAATATTAGACGAAACCTCAGCCTTTTTTGCATCCAATAAGGAACTGTCCTACTTCGACCTTATTGTCTGCATTTAGATCAAACAGCAAGATTAGCATAAATCCCGTTTGATTGCGATCTAGAAAATAATTAACAGTCTCTGCCAAGTACCGTAATCAGACTTTTTGAACTTACTACCATTTTCTCTTCCGATGAAATAAATCCACGATATTAATGTCTAGTGCAAAAAAGCGTAACACGACCGGAAGTAAAAGCAACTACACTCGTGCTTCTCGATAGTTAGGATATTCATGAGTAGGCCGCAAGAGCAAAACCCAAAGGTGACCATATGGGATTTTTAAATTCATAAAACATGCATTTTGGTGGACGTAGTCATCGGTGTTTCGTTGGTTTTTGTTGCAAAGACCAGTGTCTTATTGAATTACATTATGGCGATAATATTGTTCAGCGTTTACCTGAATTACCTCCAATGGCACGATAAGTAATTTAATTTTTCGCCGTTTCCGCTGTGTTTTGAAATTAATAATATGTGCACGTGGATGACGTTTTCATGTACAGGAATACCTAACTGGAAATCATTGTAGAGCCAAACATATTCTAGTGCATTAGCCTATTAAAAATTATTGTTCAGCTTGGAGGACATTTTGCATTGAGAATTCGAAGTGAAAGTTATTTATCATAGATCGACGTTATTATCGAGCCTGTTAGCGTTAAAAGCGTGCGAAAACGTTCTGTAAACAAATACGCACCACCACTTATTTTAATTAGCATAACTTTATCTGCATAATTTTTAAAGGCTTTGTTTACGGGCTAATGACCCACCTATTTTTTAACGGTGTTTATACGAATTTCAAATCTAAATAGCATGCACTTATCAGCTTTTACTATTCCTGCGTATGACTGCATTCTTTCATAAAGCGGTTGGCGGCGATCGTTATTAATCAATCAAACGGAATTTAGCGATAGGTTACCATGCTGCTACGGGTTCCCAAAGGGATGTGCGCAATCACACGTAAACCTCAACGGTGAGGATGATTGCCTATGGTGCACTCCTTAATAACCTAAATAATTTATTATCCATACAGTCTACGCTACCCGCTCAAATTATATTTAAACTGTGTCCAGATTTGTTCAGTGATAAAATAGTTTTGATTGCCTCGTGTTTTTGACTACGAGAAGCCGCAATTTGTGCAACAGTTCTACTGACAGCGTCACTGAAGATGTGGATAGATCTGGAGGTAATCGGTTCCCACAATTCCATGTTGTGAGAATCCAAATGCTAGTCGTATTCGGATTTACTAAACGTCCAAAGCGTTTAAATTTTCAAAACTGTATTACGTTTCAGATGTCAAACTGATTCTCTATTAATATTTTCAGTAGGAAACAGACCATTGTTGTATTTCCAACGTGTGGAATTTCTAACGCATAAACAATCAGATCAAATACGTTTGCCTAAATTGCGTTGTCAACAATGGCTTTGCATAATAAACTCGATTAAACGCCAACTGAGCATATGGAATAACCTGATAAGTACGTATGGAAAAAACGAGATACATGTTACCGAGATCAGTTTTGTGTATCAGCTGTAATTGAACAGCTGTATGCACTATCGTAAAGAAAACAAGCCCTTCATTGGTTTGATAACGCTGTTCGCATATATTGCTTGAGATGTAGATATGCAGAATTTTTAATTCCCTAGAAAGCATCCAATCATATCCTCTCACTCCGGAAAATTTAATTTGAATGTTTATATGAGCGCTAAAGAGGATGATCGAAAGCATGGCTGTACAAGCGACATCTACGATGCCGTACAGATACTCTTGATGCATCTTTCTCAAACATCCTCGAATCCCAAAGGAGTTTCGGGAGTCACTTGAATTAATCTTAAACCGCTCGCACTGTAAGGCCTCCAAGTTAAAAAGCATGACCAAAATATGCATCTTTTTATTTGCTGCCAGCACTAACGCCACATTGCCATCCAGAAGCAATCAGATATTATCGGTTGATTGTCCGTTTTCTTCTCAAATCGCTCGTGACCAAGAGAAGCCATCGCTTTCGACAAATATTAATCTAAAATATAGCATGTAATTTGATAATCAGCATGCACTGCTTATTACGTATTTTTTGTTATACTTGGAATTTTGCAAAACTGCGAAATATTGAATTGCGTTTTGCATTTATTGTTATTTAAAGCACACGCGCTTTAAGTGAGACATATCCCAGATGAGACATTTGCAAGAGGATTACGAAAATTAGCACCTTAATCCATGAACTGCAAAGTGCCAAGTATAACTAATGCGGCAGACAGATTTCTTCCGGCGTTGCTACCATGACCGCTGAACAAACAAACATTTAATGGATTGTAATTTACACACGAAATCCCATTCCATTTACTTTTACGCACACCTCCTACGAAGACCATCATGCTAAAACCCAATGGTATATACGGCGCCAAACGGAGCAGATCAAAAACCAGTTTTACAAACCCTGTTTGGTGTTTAGTATCGATCAACCATCAAACAGATTACGATAGATATGCTCCAGAATAATTGCGCTTTACAGTCATGTACGCATCCGATGGGGAATCAATACTGATGCCAAGACACGGATGCATGTTACTTATATGCAGTACAGTGTAGCGCTCTGTTCAACGGGATGTTGCGGTCTCTTCCCGGTTTTATTGATAGCACAGAAAACATCGTTGTATACGGGTCATCAGGCATACTCTACACAAAACGCGACAACGTAGAGGCCGATTTGTCTACGATTTACACAAACACCTGTACACATACATGTATATAGAACTCCAGTGTGACCTTTCTGACTTACTGGAGTGCTAACTGCTTTATGCTGTATAAACGAAACAAATCAAGTCAGGTTTTCTCAGTAACTTGAAGGTCATGTTGAAGTATTTAGTTGTAATAGTATTTTATTCAGTATGCGTACAGACAAGACAGACAGTACATTCGTTTCGGATGTTTGGAACACGCCTAGCGTACCGTATAAAACAACTTCCAACAGCCGCGCGAATTTATCGTAAGATTTCGGTTAAGGAACGAAACAACGCTGGCGACAGCTTTGTTATACGCGGTAAATGATTTGGATTTGCACGGTGTAATCCCCTTCTATACAGGTCATTGAATAGTAACACAAAAACTCATATGTTTTTGTTCGCATTTGTACCGATACTAGTCGACTACGAACGAATAAACCTGTTTCTACCAGCACTAGTCTTCCAGTTAATTTCCATAAGATTTTAAAAATTTAACTAAGCCAGGAACTGTAGAAGACGAGACCGGAAGTGCCTGCAAATTCAAACTGGCAGGTTACATATACAGGGCTTTACATACGTAACCTTCTTTGTCATTCTGGCGCCTTTTTTTGTAGCAGCCGTAAGATGCGGTAAATGTAGTAATATAAGATCCAAATCTTAGACAGCTTGGTATTTCAATAAAAAACTGGAGAATATACTGGAACATTTTATGAGCGTTATAACGACGTCAACATCTACACTATCGCAACCTCTAGCCCAAATAAGATCACCTTCTGTCCTGATAGCTGTAAGTCATCCACAATTCTTATTTCATACTTCAATTTCAAGTAATAGACCAGGCTAACGCTTCAAAGTTCGGATAAATTACAAACGCCCTACTGATTTCCGTTGTAATCGTATTGCGGATACATACATGCAAAGTACGAACCTATCCTTCCAATCTTACTTCATTAGTGAATAATCCGAAAATTGCAGTGTTGCCGGATATCGACTCCATATCGCCCATTGACAAAAGCATACGTCGATCATTATACACCAGAATAAAAATTCGAATTCCATCAAATGTACAAGCCGGGGCTGTGATAAAAATCATGCGCAAAATGCTGTCGAACAATCCCATTAAAAATTAGAACCCGATACCTCGGACACGAAGGGAGGCTTCCAGAATATTCTCGTCATGGGCATCGCAGCAGGAAAACCACATATGACATATTATTTTCGTGTCAATTTTGGTAGATCCTAAAATATAACAACACCAGGACTGCCGCTATTGCAATCGAATCCGCGACAAAACCCATCGTAGACTGTAAACATTTTGGTTAAGTGAACAAGCTTTACGAGATCCCGTCGGTCGTGTGTTTTAATTCGCGCCAAATCCACTGTCCCGCCGGTCGACAGCACAGTCGTTGGCGAATGCATTTCTCGTACATCAAGCGATGATTGATACAATCCTAATGCACATCTCCACAAATCGCGTGTCACTGGGATAAAAAGATTTCCGTGCCGCTTTACATTACAGCTACTTTGTTTTCTCTGTGTGAAAGCCCTAATCGTCCAACAGTCGACAACGGGAGCCCAGAAAAAAGCTATTCTGGTCATACAGTAACCATTCTAATCACCCACCATTTTATCACACCGCACTGTACATCCGAGGCTTTGACATTTATGAAATACAGGCTGACGAAATGGGGAAACACTTGGCGCGCCGCCCTAATATAAACTACACACAGCATCACTTTATAAAAAAATCTGCTTCACGACACGTCTTACATGGAATATCTTGATAAGATTCTCGGTCAAAAAGCACAAAAAAAGCGTTAATCGTTGAAGACCATCAAGAGATTTACTCAAATGCCACTTATCATTTGACAGCCGTCTGGCCGTTATTCACTATCTTTGGGCACGTCTCGGGATTCTCCATCCTCGGCTTCAGCATCTTCGTTGGCGCTTTCGGGAGACAGATCTTCGTAGTCTTCATCGTTATTCGCTTCCAGACAGTCCAGCACATACAAATCATCAAATTTTTCCAAAGGTGTGGCAAAATGAATTGCTTCAGCTGGGCGATCGTACACCTCCAAAAATGGACCGTGATCCAAACGTTTTTCCTATGAGAAACAACACGGTCAAGGGAAGCAAAATTGACTAAATAATGCCTGCAAAATGCAAACGCAGTTTGAGGCGTCATAAACTCACGAATGAATTCATATCAGCTTATTGGCGAAACATTTGACAAACGTTTCCCAAAAGTGGCTAGAATTGTTAAAAGACATAGTAACTTTCTGGCAAAGTACTTCTGCATTATAATTAGTAGAAACGAAAAATCTCCATTCAAAATTTTAATCATTCACAAAAAAATGAAGAACGATGCCCATGTACAGCGCAGGACCAGCACTAACAAGCGACTCGCTTCCAATATGCCCGCGGTTGGTATTTTTCCGTGCTGGACATTATGTAAGCAGCTAAACATCAAAGATAAACAGCAAGATCGCACGTAGTACTCCTACAACATTATAAGAGCTGCAATCTTCAAAGATATTTTGAATTTCATGGGATAAGGTAATGGGTACAGTAATTAAATTTATCCATTCACCGAAAATGTTTTTAAAAAACATAAAGAGATTACTGTGTTGTCGAGTCAACTTGGCACCTTTTCGTACAGTGAGTTATACGCTAAGCGGATACGACTCACTGTAAACAAGGGTGCCAAGTTGACTCGACAACACAGTACTATCATTAGTATGCCAGCAATTACTGCAACCTGCAACAATTTGCAAATCTATGTTCCTTTGTGGGAAACTCGCTAGTATGATGCTTATAAACATCTAAACGATACAATTCACAGAGCTTAACGGTCAACATGCACAGTACACTCGTGCAAGCAAGTCACCTTTATGAAATTACTGAATGCCGGATAAACCCTGTTGACGGCAATGAAGATGCTGAAATTCGTCCGCCAGGGAAATGTGACGAATGCAGCATTCTCAACGGAGGGGATCTCGACCTCCTTATAGCCATGCTCTTTTAAAGCCTGTTCGAACTGTTTTAGTTTTTCGCTATCTTCCACACCCGGTACTCCGTCTTCTTCAACGATCGTCCCCACTATGTAACGCCGGCTGGCAAACGGTGTCTGCAAAAAATGACTGGTATTAGCTAATCTTTCTGCACACTGTCACATGTCTAGTTACGCAATTAACAAAGACAGCGAGTCTGCAAAAAAAGCACTACAACCACATGCGTTTGCGCATGAGCCTTTAACGTTTAGCAGCAACAACCAGATATGTAAGTTACCGTCAAGGCGTTCTGTATTTAATTGCCGAAGAAACCAGGAAGCTTTCGCATAACAAAATCTTAGTCATTTTCAAAGCAACAAAATGCCGTACATAAAACGTAAAAACATGCAAATGGTAAGCATCATGAATAGAAAATGTATGCTCTAACTGTGATATTAATTCGGGATAATTTCTTTGGCTCAAAATCATAAAAAAAGCGCAAACGAATGTGCGTAACATCAATCTCAAAGTCTGCGTAACAAAAGTATGTTACGCGTACGAAAACCTGTACCGGGAAACTTCCAACCGCAAAAACGCAGTTTAAAAAACACTTTCTCTACGGGTAATACAACATGCATTTATCTCATGTATTTAAAACGTACCTTTTCGGGATCGTCGTAATATATGCCAAATGTTCGAAGATCGGGGGCTAATTTGCTTGTTTCCTCGAACAAACTTCCACTTTCCTTATAATCTCCACGCGCAAACTGCACAAAAACAATGAATATCCCAGGCAGATTTAAACTAGCGTTATAAAGCACTTGCCTTGTAGTATCCGCGAAACTTCTTCACAGGAGGCTTTCCAACATTAATCAAAATCTCGCGAAATGCGCCCAAATAAGCGAGGAGAAAAGCTACGGTTCCGAAGATGGCAATCAGCATAAAAATGATAGCTACGGCGCTGGAATGGAAGCTTGCTATAATTTCTGCACGCATTAATATCTTGAAAACGACATGCTTACATAATTGTACTCGCGTCCATGTCTGCGCTGTCCGAAATGGGGAGATCAAGATGGTTGGGAAACCTAGGAGGGATTTCATTAGGAAAAGCCAGCTTTTCAAGCACACCTGCCATTTTCCAGCAACTGGAATCGACAACTGGAGACTTACGCTTTTTCTTGCGATGTATGATAAGATGGTAAGCTTCCGTTGACAATTTTTTTACGAACCAGTGATGTAACGAAATTCTATTTTGGCTTTCCAGCCAGTAACAAGTCAACGCACTTCTGCTTCGGGCTTCTGAGTACTCACGATCAGTACACACTAAACAGCAGCTTTTGCCACATGGTGAAAGCGGGATTATGACGACTGACTGGCTGAGTTGCCCATAAATCAACAGGCACCCCACATCTGGGCGGCAGTTAGCTTCGCGAGCATCACTAAGACAGCTCCCCATGAAAGTGGTAGCGTAGCGTGGCGAGAAGGTTAAAGTAAGTAGTCACCCTTCCACTCCTGCTGACGATTTTTGACTTCCGGTTGCATGTGCCGCCTGCCATATCTTCCGGTACAGTCCTTACACCTGCCGGTCGTCGATACATTTGTTGCTGATTTGCATTCATGTTTTTTCCTGCTTCCGGTATTTAAGCAACGGTCTGCCGTTTTTGTGGTCCACGTCTAGATTGTCATTTGGCAGTGACACTTTTTCAGACTCGTTCTAGTCGCTAAAAATTTCTGCTATATTTCAATTCAACAACCTTTTCCCGGGATTTGGAAGAGTGTTGCTGGAATAACGAATCAGTGGGTGAAATGGCTGCATCGGTACCAGAAAATATAAGTTTTCCGCAGGAAGAGGAGAAGATTTTGGAACTGTGGAAACAACTAAACGCCTTTGAAACGTCGCTGAAATTATCGGAGGGGAAGAAAAGGTGATAAACGAATCTGCAGCCAGATACTTTCGTGAAAGTTGAGTTCCTTATAACAACTGCGTAACAGCGGTCCTAGTTGCATCATTTAGAGGGAACATGCAGCATGCTGTCCTGTTGGTGTTGTTTAAGGCTGTTTCAACTCCCTCAGGTTTACGTTTTACGATGGTCCTCCGTTCGCCACAGGCTTACCGCATTATGGGCATATCCTTGCTGGAACCATCAAGGACATTGTGACGCGGTTTGCGCACCAATCCGGATTCCATGTGGAGCGACGTTTCGGCTGGGATTGTCACGGTTTACCCGTCGAGTACGAAATCGATAAGACAATGGGCATCAAAGGGCCCGCGGATGTGGAGAAAATGGGCATTGAGGCGTACAACAACGAGTGCCGTAAAATTGTTATGCGCTATGCTTCGGACTGGGAGGTGAGGCAGCGCGGAGAAAAAACTCCGATGACATGGTTTAGCATAATACGTGATAAATACAAAGTGTGTGGAGTTCAGTTATATCACTTGTTCATTCTGTTGCAGACCATCGTAACTCGTCTGGGAAGGTGGATTGATTTTCGAAATGATTATAAAACATTGTATCCCTGGTTTATGGAGTCTGTTTGGTGGGTTTTTAAGCAGCTGTATGATAAGGGACTGGTGTATCAAGGATGCAAAGTGATGCCGTTTTCCACCGGATGTAATACGCCACTGTCAAACTTCGAAAGTGGACAAAATTACAAGGATGTTACCGACCCAGCTGGTAAGCGGCGAGCTGCATTAGACTACATGTACAAGAAAATTCATTTTTTATATGGATTTCGATTCTGACATTCATTATTTTGGTTTTGGTATTGTGCCTATTTTCAAAGATTCTGAAAAGTTTGATTCAGATTTTTTCTTATAGTAATTGTCAGTTTTCCATTGATTGACGATCCGACTGTTGCATTTATTGCGTGGACGACGACTCCGTGGACTTTGCCGAGCAATCTGGCGCTTTGCGTTAATCCATCCAAAACTTACGTGAAGATTCAAGGTAATCTTCTGTTACTCGTAGAAGTCATACATATTAGTACTGCTTAAAGTCATATATATATACATATATATATTAGTTATAGTCCTAGATAATTCGTTTCCCTTACTTTTTAGACAACTCCAGCAAGAAGGTCTACATTATGATGGAAGCGCGTATTCCTGCATTATTCAAGAAAGCCGCGGAATATACCATTCTTGAAAAATTCACTGGTGAAACTTTGAAAGGGCTCAAATACCTACCGCTTTTTAAATATTTCGTGGACCGACAAGATGTTAAAGGGTTTGTGGTACTTGCGGATGATTACGTGACCGAAGAAAGCGGAACCGGCGTGGTGCACCAGGCACCATATTTCGGAGAGGTATGTGCAGCGTTGTTTCGAATTAATTTTGTGATAGTAGTACTACTCTGATATGCTTGTTCTCAGGATGATTACCGTGTTTGCGTCGCTCATAATGTCATCACACGGGATACTCCTATGGTGTGCCCCGTCGATGCCACTGGGACTTTCACGGATGAAGTTACTGATTTCAAAGGACAGTATGTTAAAGACGCGGATAAAGCGATCATTAAATGGCTGAAAGAAAATGGCAGATTAGTCCATGCCAGTCAGTCTACGCACAGTTATCCCTTCTGTTGGCGATCCGATACGCCGCTAATCTATAAAGCCGTACCTAGCTGGTTCGTTCGGGTTGAGGAGCACGCTCAGGCCCTGCTGGCGAATAACGAACAGACCTATTGGGTTCCGGCATTTGTTAAAGAAAAACGGTTCGCCAATTGGTTAAGAGATGCACGTGATTGGGCCATTTCGCGAAATCGGTATTGGGGTACACCGATACCACTGTGGATCAGCGAAGATGGACAAGAAATTGTTTGTATCGGATCCATTGAGGAACTAGCCAAGTTATCCGGCGTTACAGTCAACGATCTTCATCGGGATACGGTTGATAAAATTACAATCCCCTCGTCACGTGCGGGAGGTGGTGTGCTGAAAAGAGTTTCTGAAGTGTTTGACTGTTGGTTTGAAAGCGGCAGCATGCCTTATGCGCAGGTAAGCATTCCCCAGCTAGCACGATGATTGACATTGATTGGCTTGTGTGGCTTCTTTCAACATACTTATATCTCCTTAATTGCTAGAATGCAGTATAGATTCATATTCCTGTGTTTACAATTAAACCTGTGTTTTCTACAGGTGCATTATCCATTTGAAAATCGCGGGCAATTCGAGGAGAGTTTTCCAGCTGATTTCATTGCGGAGGGGGTGGATCAAACTCGTGGATGGTAATGGTCTAATGGATAACTTGATAATTTACTTTACTGGTTTTGCCGCTTGTTGCAGTGGTGATTGTTGCAGGTTCTATACGCTCTTGGTGCTTTCGACCCTTCTGTTTGAGAAGCCACCTTTCAAAAATCTGATTGCTAATGGTCTCGTCCTGGCAGCGTAAGAGTTTGGGAGTTGACCGGCTTCTACGTTGTACGTTCTTTGTTAAATTTTTGTTCGATTTCCACTTTCCAGTGATGGTCAGAAAATGAGCAAAAGCAAAAAGAATTACCCAAATCCAGTAGATGTCGTTCACAAATACGGTGCCGATGCTTTGCGGTAAGTTTTTTTTAAAAAAATGCTAATAAAAGTAATTAGTAACTTTTGTTGAAAGGCGGGAGCGGCATTTACCGGTAACCAGTTACCATTAACCATCTGCATTGCTGGAAGGGACGATCTTAATAGCTCCGAAAAACCTGTTTTTATTTTTTCAGTTTGTATCTCATAAACTCGCCGGTAGTACGTGCGGAAAATTTACGCTTCAAGGAGGAAGGAGTACGAGATATCTTGAAGGATGTGTTTTTGCCCTGGTACAATGCCTATCGGTTTTTCACGCAGCAAAAGGAGCTGTATGAAAAGGTACCGATCGAGCAAATCTGTTTGGCCATGCACTTTTCTTGGAGGTTTCATCTAAAAGCTCTTTTTGTAGGACAATGGGAAAAAGTTTGTGTTTGACGAACGCCAACGACTGCTCTCAGATAACATTATGGACCGCTGGATATTGTCATTTACTCAGAGCCTGGTTCAGTATGTTATGGACGAGATGCAGGGTAATGAATGCAGAAAAAGTTGTTTACTACAGTAATATACGGACTGATACATGGTCATATTTCTAGCGTATCGTCTGTATACGGTTGTTCCTCGGTTGGTAAAATTTGTTGATTTATTAACAAACTGGTACGTACGCTCCAATCGCAAACGACTTAAGGGAGAAGATGGACCACAAGACACACAGAAAGCTTTGGAAACCTTGTTTGACGTTTTGTTTACGATGGTGCGAATGATGGTAAGAACTGCTTATTTTAATTAGCCTGTTTCACTGCATTACCATGCAGTAAGTTATTCCTTACAGGCCCCGTTTACTCCTTTCCTTACTGAACTGATGTACCAGAATTTGAAAGGACTGGTGAAATCTGAAAAAGATGTTAATGCCACCGAAAATCAAAGCGTACACTTTCTTATGCTGCCGGAAGTGAAGTAATGCAGAGCTTATTCAATCGTATTTTTTGTTTTGTTTTACCCAGCTTGGCTAATACCTGTGTATAGGAAGGATGTGATTCATACGGAAATCGAGCGTGCTGTTTCGAGAATGCAGGCTGTTGTAGATCTGGGTCGGCAGGCGCGAGAGCGGCGTACACTTCCCATAAAGGTACAATAATCTGTTTTTACTTTCTGCTCGCCTTAGATTTCTTTTGATTTGTCGTATATTTGGTGCTGTGAAGGTGATGTATTTTTACTCGAAAAGTTTTACTTCAAACAGCTTTCGCTTCGGTTTTAGTCTCCTTTGTCGGAGGTTATCGTCATCCATCAGGACCCGGCGTTCCTGGAAGATGTGAGGGCTTTGGAGTCCTACGTGACCGAAGAACTGAACGTTCGCACTCTGACTACTACAACAGATAAGAAACAATATCATGTTCAGCTACGGGCAGAGCCGGATCACAAAACCCTTGGAGCTAAACTGAAGGGAACGTACAAAGCTGTGATTGAGGCCGTTAAGGTGGGACATTAAGTAACTTTAGAAAAAAAATATGTATACACTGCATCCTTAAAGGTGTTAGATTAATGCACTTGCAACCTGGGTTGTGCAGAACTTGTCAGACGAGGAGCTGTGTGGTTATCAAGAAAAAGGCTTTATTGATATCAGCGGCACTCGCCTCGAAGGAACGGATTTGAAATTGATCTATATGTTTGGGGGACAAGCTGCTGGCGATGCGGCTAAAAATTACGAAGCATCTTCGGATAATGAGGTATTACGACGACACTTAGCTATTTGTGGTTTGTTTGGTCTCTGACATTTTAATGATTATTGCTGCTGTTGCCGTGTATCTCTGTGAATATTGCTTACGTAGATGCACTTTCAGATGCTGGTACTGCTTAATGTTAACCAAAGCCAAGAACTGTTGGATGAAGGAACGGCACGCGAGGTGGTTAACCGTATTCAAAAGCTGCGCAAGAAAGCCGGGTTGGTCCCGACGGACGACATTCACGTGTACTATGAGATTACTCCAGCTGAATCTGAACTGAATGGTGTGATGAAAACCTACACCGACTACATTGGGAATGCTATTAAGAAACCGTTGTTTCATTTTCCTGCCCCTGAAGGCGAGGAGCCGTTGGTGGGAGAAAGCCAGTCGCTGAAAGGAACAACCGAGGCATTGCTGCATCTCAGTCTTTTTGGAGGGCCGGATTACAAAGGCGATGCAAAAAACCCTTTAAAGAAACTCGCCGATGAGTTTTCTTAAATTTGACAAAGTGCAACTAAAAAAGGTCATTCTTTTTTATATTTCTTTGGGATTTTTGTTGTGTTTTATTATCGCTATGCGTGTTGTTCAGATGAAACGTGCGTAAACTCCTCGTTCATGGTGCACCAGCAGCTTGTTGCATTCGTTTTTTAACAATACTCGTATTAATTTTACCGTATACGTTAGAGGTATTTAAGTTATTGTAAATTAATATTTTTAAGTACTGCTCGTACGTATTCGCCTGGTGCGACACTTGTATTTTTATCGTAATACCGTATGTATCCCTTCACCATTCAAAAGCTAAGAAAGCCTCTCCTGAAAGAAAAACGAACTTTGTACAGAAATTAATTTTACGAACGTTCAATGATTCAATCGGTTTGCGTACGTTTTGTTGATGACTGATGACCAGGCTGGGGACGACTGGTATGAATGGTCCATAGACTCCAAACGATCGATCAGTTGTAGATACCGTCCGAGAAAGCCATTCCTTCCGCTCGGTCATACTACGTTTGCCAAATTAATACAATTAAGTATCTTGCCATTTTGAATAGCTTTTAAATGTGTTTAAGAACAGAACTTTACGCAATATTGGGAGTAGTTTTTTCGACCGCCACAAGTATCGTCTGTTCTTTATCATTCTCTTCTTTCACAGTTTGCAAACAGTGAAAAAAACCTAGTGATTTAAAATTAAATGCTGATAAGCGGCCTCGAGGTGGCCAGAACTGGTTCTCAAAGCGGAAGTATTCGTTCGATTTTCAGACTTACACCCGAATAATCCGAAGTTTCTGTCTCGTCATTATGGCCCATTTATGGGACTGGGCATCCTGCGGTATTCCTGCCCAAATTGGCGAACTCTGGCTGGGTGCGCTCCGCGCTCGTGCTGACCACTGGTTCAGTGATATTATTTAGTCGTCGATATCAAGGTGGGTCGTCAGGCGAATGACGATGCGTCGTGACAGGGCTTGGCGCGTCACGCTGTCACAACGATCGCTGACACTGTCAGATTTCGGCTCATTACGCTCCTTTTCAGCAGTAATCTCGGCATCCATCTGAAGGAGCATCTAATGAAAAATAATTTTGCTGTTCCTAGCAGATGTATTTTTATATAACACAACTAATAAATTTATTTAAAAATATCGAATGGCATTATGGCATTAAAAATACAAATGTAAAACTAAAAGGCACTGGATAGTGGATAGATACAACTACGAGTATAACAAGTATCATACAACTCGGCGCACGAGTCGCCGCCATCGTTGAACAGAGCGGGTATACCCAGCTGCAATACAGTTTGCGCGTGTGGATTTTAGCATCACAGTGAACAGACCGCCCAAGTTTGTGTTGGTTGGGCTTTACGCATCACCGACAAGCCGATAGGATCAGTTTGATTTCAGCCTTGCCAAATGCCAGCTGCAGCGCAGGCTGGATATGGGATATTTTATTGGATCTCCGTTTATGCATGAATTGCATATGTACTCAAGTTGTTTTTGGGGGTATAATTAGACGAGTAACTCATTTTTTAGTTGGGTATTGTTTGGTTTTGATGATTGTTTCGCACATGGAACCTACATGAAACCAGCTGTGCCGTAGCTGCAGGGACGATCGTTTGTCGTGGGCGACTCGGATTCATTCCATCCAGGCCAGGCCGATCCTTCGGCAGTTTTGCGCTTCCGTTCTACTAGGTGAGACATGTTGAAGAATTGCTGGCTGAGTAATATAGGAAGATTTTACGAGCGATGCTGTAAATCGTTTGTCATGGAAGCAATCTTATTCGCATGCGGTTAAGTATGAAAACAGAATTTCGAAGTTCTGTTTACTGTTTGAGTTTTCCCGTGCTCGAGCTGTTCGCTTTACCATGCGTGAAACGGGATTCTGGACCATATTCTGTTTGTGCTGCCTGCAGTGTACTGGGTCACGGTTTTTTTCAGTTTTAAGGTTTAAACTCCTGTTTTTTGTAACTATTGCCAACATCTTATTGTTAGTGACAAGGAGCATCGTCAGACACTCAGACGTATAAATTTTTATTACGTGTACTCGAGAAGTGGTCCTTAGCGTGACTGAAAATCATTAATAGAAACATCACAAGTGAACTTAAAGGTTTGTTTTTTTTAATTTCGTGTTTGAGGTAAATTCAACATTGTTTGCAGGTACTTACAGTACTGCAAAATGGCGGCTTGAACCTCCGCAGAGTGAGTTTTTTTCTAGTTGTTTGATTTGAAAAATAGTATACGGATATTTTGATTATTCCTGAAACTGGTTGATAAAATTCTTTGCTTGTCACTTGATGTTTCCAGCGATATACCGATATGCAAAAAATTAGTTTGATGGTTTGGTGTTCGAAAATCTGAAAGCAGTTTTTCTTACGCTCGTCACCTCGTGCATTAGAAATATCTGTGGAAATATTTTGGAATTTAGACCTGAAAACTTACACTGAATTACGGTAGCTGTAAAACCGCTATTAGGTAGTGTTAATTTTATGTGTTAGTGTATTAGCGTCTGATCAGTGAGTCATGCAGTCACTCAACTTGTCAAAGATTTGATAATTGTTATTCCTTTTGGGAAGGTCGCGTTCCATCGACAGAAATTGCTTGCGCACAAACGCGCGGTGAAGATTTGAGCCGACTTAGTGAAATTCAGAATATCGCTCACAACGCACGATTTATCTTTAAAAAGCCAGGACGGTTCTACAAATATGACGGTCGGTTTAGCATTTTGTGTCAATGCAAAATTACTTATTTACAACGCTGCATGAAAATTTACGTCTTGTATCTCCAGTAGAACGAGGAAACTGCTGCAGTGCGCAACAACAGTGTTAGATGTACTTTTATATTCTGTACACAGCTTTGTGCGCAACAATGCGTTATTGTTGTTTAATTAGCGATAACATTCGTATCTTATTTACTGCCAACACGATGCATCGAAACATACTTAGGAAATTATTGTTCGCGTATTGAATGCGTTTCAGTGTGATAAATATTCGATTACGCCGGCCGACACTCTGGTCTCTAGCGAAAGTAAAACTTATGGAGGCTGCAATAATATCGATACAGAGGACTGATTTTCTGTAATCATGCATAAAATAGCTTATGATTAGATCTCAGTCATCTCACGTTATTTAAAATGGGAGCTTACAGGAACCTCATGGTGCACAGTTTGAACATCATGATTTTGAAACAGTCGACAGTCTGACAATTGCATTTTTTATTCTCAACCGGTGTTTCTCACTTTATTATACGTTCACGATAATTAGCAGGCTATAATAGCAGGAGGTAGCAGTTTACTATATAGTATCTTATTAGAATGAGAATATTATAATATTATTCTGCTAACCAGTTAACGATTGAATAAGAAACATTCACGTCACTGTTAATCATTTTTTAACAATTTTGATGACGGAGCAAAACCATCATCAAAATTGTTTGTTACTAGTTAGCAACATTTTGTAGAATTTCGGATGTAGTAGGCGTATTAATGTATAAATTAACAGCGACCGACCAGTATGTACGAGTACATCAGTATATGCGATATTTGCTTACGCTTCCACCCTCGTTTTAACTGTTCTTTGGTTCCAGCGTTGAGTGAAGCATACATGGCACACGCCTGTACATGTCAGATCCAACCTTGCAGACTGTCCGTGCGTTATTGTCTTAGATTATGTTTTCTTTGCATTTTCCGAACAAAATTTGCAGCCCTTCTGATTCATCTTTTTAGCGTATGCGGGCTGCAACTACTTATTCGTAAACCCATGAATAATGCCGCATGTGTCGCCATGAAACGGGACGATGTTTCATGTTCATGGCTAATAGTTTGATCCTAATCATATTTGCACTGTTTTTCCCATGACGACTGACGTAAAAGATTCGCTGATTTAAGCAAACCTTTTTACACACGCTTGAATATCACCATAATGGCGTGCTCCGCGAGGTCCCTTTCTGAAAAATGCCGGTTAATACATTGGTTGCATGTGGCCAGTGAATCGCTGCCAACAGGCCATCCAAGGGCTATGTCGAAAATCATTGTTACAATTAGCATTCTTAGGCGTTATGGGAAGAATTACATTAGAGATCCCTGCTGTGCATGAATAGAAGTAATGCCGTTTGCCAGCATATCGCAGTATACCAGTAAGCCGTGGACATCCAGTTCAAAAAATAATTGTGACTTCGATCTGGTTTTTAATGTTGAATTATATCTAGAACAAGTTGATTAACGTTCTTATTATTAAGTAGCATTGCAGTGTCGATATGATGTGACTGTGCCAGGTTTTTTGTGGAAATATTGTTAGTGCGAAATATTGTTCACGTAGGTACTAGTTGCCCAAAATTTTGTTACCTGCGCTCGCGGGAACATCTTATTTTGAACAATAAACGTGAACTGATAGCACATTTTTTGCATAAATGTGTGGTAAATATGTGATACTAGTAGTACCACGTGTGAATTGACGTTTTAATGTTTTATCCGTTTTTGGTATAGGCGCTTGTCGAGGAATGAGGATTTCCACCATGAAATGAAAATATTTTAATAGGGCCAGCGGAACATGCATTATGCACTCGGGAATTACACATACGGCTAAGTTTCGTGATATATAGCGTTAGGCAGTGAGTTTATATTTTAAGGGTTAAAAATAGTTTGGCGACGGTGTCTGCACCACTGCCTGTAGCAATACGGTCGTGGCAATTGAGTTGGGGATTTCGCCGATCGTTGCCGCAGCTGAATGAGGACTTGATTCCTTGATTCATGATAGTGTTAAGCGTTTTGTAAATGCTTTTTAAACTATTTCGTTTTCACGTTCCTGCATTCTCCAAGTAATGTCTTTTTGAACCAGATAAGAGTTTTGTTGAGATTCGTATTTTCTCCACAAGCATACGTCGATATAAGTGTAAGAAATCGACCACAAGTCGGACAAAGGAGCTGCAAACGCTCTTGGATATCTTATAACGTGGAAGTTGTTCCCATAACTTGCATTCCAGTATGAGTGAACATATCAGTTGTCGACTGTAGCATATTTGGAGGTTTGTGTTTTCTTTGTTGTTTTTGTAATTTCTGTTCGCTTGAAGGAAGTTTTGCGCAAAGGAAGTGAGAGCATTGTTCCAGAGGGAATTATTACGTGATTATCGTTACCAGCTTTGGCATCATAATGCATCTTCTATAAAAGCGGTAGCACATCACTGAAGAATTTTTCCCTAGTCGGAGTTTGGCTTGGGCATGCGTTAGACCTCATCAGTAAATGCCGGATTGTCATATCCCGTATTGTTTGTAGATAATTTGTTGCAGCACCCTTGATGGGCTGTCTTATTTCAGTGTGTTAAGAAGTGCGATCAATGCAGCTTTCCGGCACACGAAGTTTGTGCGATCCCGTGCAGTATGCGTGTAGAACTGGGAGCCTTGCGCTAGCTAGTGCTGTCTGGGCGTATACAAGCTGGATCACGGATATGATTGTGGGTGCGCTCTGTATACTGTGTGCATGGGATGTAGTACTGCAGCTGGCTCCTGTTGCACTGATCGATAGGGACATAAAGTGCTGTATTTATCGGAGGAACCTTGGCATGATACAGTCAGGAGCAATAATGCTTGTAATTTGACAGTTCGTGATAACTTGCTTATACTTTGGGATTCGTATTGAACAGAGTGAGTGTGTGTGTAGCGTGTACGTGTGTGCCGAGAGCTCGGCGCTGGTGCCTGATATACAAAGGTTATATCACAGCCGAAAATGCCTCTCTTGTGTTTAAATGTTATTTTACGTCCTTCTGCGTGGCTCCCTGCCGTGCAGACTTGAGAGTTTGGTGCTCCGGGATTGTCGGGGGTGTGATAAGGTTTCGGTTTAGCTGAACAATAGGAGGCAATTACTTGCTCATACGCGGAACCGATAATTAGCTAGAAATGTACTTCCGGTTGAGTTATAGCCGCTGCATTTTGGCGATAACTGCCTGTTGTAACTGTTCCACAGCTTGTCGAAGATTTGGAAGGAATAGTGTCCAACACTGTGACACTGTTTTGACGGTCGACGTTCTGCATAGCCGTATACTGCTATTTGTTGGATGATTTTACAGATCGGCTGAAGAATTTATGTACGTTACTTGATATATTGTACTCGTATGTCTAGACTTGTCACGTTTTGGACCGTTTTGTGAATGTGGTTTTAGTACAATCATTGTGGGATCGGGAAGTGTGAAGTCTGAGGATAAACTGTTTTTGCAGTATGTGAATTCGTACGAGTAATGGAATCCGTTTTATGATAATTATCCATACTGATTGTTACGTATGGATGATACATTATGGAATCAGGAATGTTGAAGAGTGGCAGCCGTATGCAGCATTGTCTAATATATGTATGTGGCAGGATTGATCCCTGATGAGCGAATGAATTTTTTGTCGAATTACTTTTGCATCTGCATCTGTACAATACGGTGATGGTAGCGGAAATTGTCGATTAGTTTGAAAATTCTTGAGATCGTTGGAACCACAACCATTTCATACATCAGTGTTGCCAGTGATTACTGATAAAAATGGTATACCCTGTCTTCCGAAGGCAGTTGTTGTATGAATGAAACATAGGAATGGTGCTGGTGGTTTCTTGTTATAGCAGTTTAACATGAATGTTTATTGAATTTTTCTTTCTATTGCGCAGGCTGACTGTTGCTGCTGTTGCCGTATTGGCATCGATTGAGTGAGAGACGCGAGAGATCGACATTGCTCTTCGGTCCGACCCGACACAAGATCGCTTGGGGCAGCGCGCGCTCGGTAAGTAGTGGATAGCATAACGTCAAGGTTCGTTTCAAGACAAACGGGCTGTGTGTTATCCGGTCCCCGCTCTCTTGATTGCTTTGTGGTCCATCCTTTCCGATGGTTAGCATTAATTTGTTTGACTGTGCTGTGTGAAAGGATGATGGTATCTTGGTTTAGGTCTGTTGCGGGCATCAGTGCTGTTATTTCAAATAACATACTGATACTGCCAGAATTTCCATTTTTGGGAAATGGGTAAAAAGAAGGCTGCCGACGATGGAGCCGGGGGTGCGAGGCACCCAGACTTCCCTCTAACGGCCCAAGAATTGTCAGAGTTGATGCGCACTCGGGGCGAAGAGGCTCGACAAATTATTGATCAGAAATATGGCGGAACCCTGGAGTTGTGCAAAAAATTGAAAACGTCTCCCAATACAGGTTAGTTTGAACTTATCACGATTTCTCGGATGGGATTTTTTGTGAACTTGTGTGGTGCGCTGGATAGGATTAACCGGCAGTGAAGAGGAAGCCGACATTAGGCGGCAAGTGTACGGTGCCAACGTGATTCCCCCCAAACCCCCCAAAGCCTTTCTTCGCTTAGTTTGGGAAGCCCTTCAAGACTTAACGCTTATTATCTTGGAGGTTGCAGCTGTGATTTCCCTTGTTTTATCTTTTATTCATTTTCCTGATGACGACGGTAACTTGAATTGCTGTTGAATTTTAAAACGTCACGCGGTGTTCTTATGGCGTTTACTGCTTATAGATGAGCATAAAGAACAAGAAGCCAATGTTGAATGGATTGAATCTGTGGCCATTATCGTATCGGTCCTGGTTGTAGTATTCGTGACGGCATTCAACGATTATACCAAAGAGCGGCAGTTTCGAGGGTTGCAGAGTAAAATCGACACCGAACATAAAATTGCGGCTATCCGCAATAGTGAGGTGGTCCAGGTGCCTGTTAAAGAACTTCTTGTTGGGGATATATGTCAAGTGAAATATGGTAAGCGATAAAAATTACGAGGTGTAATAAGAATGGTGCATACGGAAGACCGACAAGTGAAATCGACAGAAGGATTAACGTTGATTGTATGAGACGGACATCGATTATTTTAGGTGATCTCCTGCCGGCGGATGGTATTGTTATTCAAAGCAATGATCTTAAGGTAGATGAAAGCTCTCTAACCGGCGAATCTGATCACATTAAGAAAAGCGCCCAAAACGATCCCACATTGTTATCGGGTAGGTGACGCTTGAGCATGGCTTTCGATGTGACGTAATGCGGATGCGGTTTTTATTGATTTTAGGGACGAACATTATGGAAGGCAGTGCCAAAATGGTCGTGATAGCTGTTGGTCTGAACTCCCAAACCGGCATAATATTCAAATTGTTGGGCGCGGCGAAAGAGAAGAAAAAAGAAAAGGGCGCTGCTAACCAGTCTGATGGAAACAACATTCCCATGACCCAGGTGAACGGAGGGTCTAGCAACAACCCTGGAGCGGCAGCGGATAAGGCGGCGGTTGCTGCCGTTGCTGCGCCAGGTGTCGAGGAAGAGGAAGGCGAATCAGGGACTGAACGCTCCGTCCTACAAGCCAAGCTGACCAAACTGGCGATACAGATCGGAAAAGCGGGTAAGTTTGCCCGGTAAATTGCGCTAAAACAATTAAGTACATTCTGGCAGCAAACAGAACATTTTGTTAAAGACTTGAAAATATGTTTTGCATGGAGAATGCATAACATGGATGCTGTTACAGGATCCATCATTGCATTGCTGACCGTTGTGGTGTTGGTGGTCAAATTCTGTGTGGTGACCTATGCCATAGACGGAAAAGAATGGAAGCTTAATCACATTCAAAGGTTCGTCAGATTTGTAATCATTGGTGTCACCGTGCTGGTGGTGGCCGTTCCCGAAGGACTTCCGTTGGCTGTCACTCTCTCTTTGGCGTATTCTGTGAAGGTGAGGTTCACTACACCGCCTTGGACGCAGGACTCCTTCGTTGCAGTCGTGTTATTTAAACTGTAATTTGAATTGCAGAAAATGATGAAAGATAACAACCTGGTTCGCCATTTGGATGCTTGTGAAACGATGGGCAATGCTACGGCTATATGCTCAGATAAAACCGGCACGCTTACTACCAATCGAATGACTTGCGTTCAAACTTATATTGGAGGTTAGTTTTGAGTGCTTTTTTGTTCTTAATCAAAGCTTCCTGAACAATTCTGCTTCTTTGCTAGGTGTGCATTACAAATCGACTCCAGCGCATTCGGATCTGCCCCCGAAGATCACTAGCGTGGTCAGCGAAGGTGTAGCCGTTAATAGTGGTTATACTTCCCAAATGATGCCTTCAGATAAACCTGGTGAACTTCCGAAGCAATTAGGCAACAAAACGGAATGTGCGCTACTTGGATTTGTGAATGCCATTGGATTGAGTTTTGAAAAAATACGACTGGAACATCCAGAGGAGAGCTTGCATAAAGTTTACACATTCAACTCTGCAAGAAAATCCATGTCCACCGTTATCAAACTACCGAATGGCGTGGGATTCCGCGTACACACCAAAGGTGCTTCAGAATGGGTGATGCGCAGGTAGATATTTGCAACTCAAGACTTTGCATACATATTAGACATCGTACAGCTAGTCAAAATTTATTTCTTTGCGCAGCTGCAAATTTATTGTCGGCCAGAACGCAGAAATTCTGACTTTTGGAGAAGCGGATGAGCATCGTTTGATCGCAGAAGTGGTGGAACCAATGGCGAAAGATGGTTTGAGAACAATCGGCGCAGCGTATAAAGATATGATCTTCTCTGGCAAAGGGAATCCCGGGCCCAATGACGAAGTCATCGAGTCAGAGCCTAACTGGGACGACGAAGAGCGTTGTCTGGGAAGTATGACCATGCTGGCCGTGTTTGGTATCGAAGATCCAGTGCGTGATGAAGTGCCTGCTGCCATTCGCAAGTGTCAGCGCGCTGGCATTACTGTGCGTATGGTTACTGGAGATAACATTAATACAGCGCGGTCTATTGCGCGAAAATGCGGCATTCTTCGCGAGAGTGATCCAGACGGAGTGGGCATTATGGAAGGAAAGGATTTCAACCAGCGCGTACGCGACTCTGGCGGTGTGGTAAGATACTGATGCATTTAACCACATTCGTTCCGTTGTGCGGGCGTAATTGGTTTGTATGGCGTGTTTGTAGGTTCGTCAAACACTTATTGACAAAGTGTGGCCTACGCTAAAGGTATTGGCTCGTTCGTCACCACAGGACAAGTACATCCTGGTCAAAGGGATTATTGACAGCACTGTGAATGCCAATCGTGAAGTTGTAGCAGTAACGGGGGACGGTAAGACTAATGTGTGATTTTTATGTACGTATTTATGGATTATTGATGTGAGGTCGTTGATAAATGGTAATCGCCAATGTGTACCACCTGTGCAGGTACGAATGATGGGCCGGCGTTAAAGAAAGCTGATGTTGGCTTTGCTATGGTAAGATATAGGCAGGAAAAAGTAAGCTTCGATTTACTGGCTTTTTAACTAAAGTGTACATGATTTAAAGGGCATTACTGGAACGGATGTTGCCAAAGAAGCCTGTGATATTATCCTCACGGATGATAACTTCACGAGCATCGTAAAAGCCTGCATGTGGGGTCGTAATGTCTACGACAGCATTGCCAAATTTCTGCAGTTCCAACTGACGGTCAACGTTGTGGCTGTTGTTGTGGCATTTTTGGGCGCATGCTTTCTTGGGGTACGTCTGATCACTGATGTACCGAACCATTGAAATGTGCTTTTTTGGTGATATCACTGATTATGTGGATATTGTGCGCTGATGATACTTACGTTTTAATTCATTTTTTGTGCGGATTAATGTTCTGAACTTGTGCAGGAAACGCCTCTTCGAGCTGTTCAAATGCTTTGGGTGAATTTAATTATGGACACTTTGGCTTCGTTGGCGCTGGCAACCGAACCACCAACGGAAGATCTTTTAAATCGTAAACCTTATGGGCGAACTAAGCCGTTGATTTCACGTACAATGATGAAGAACATTCTTGGACAGTCGGTTTACCAGTTAACAGTGATTTTGGTGATGTTATTCAAAGGTAAACACAGCCTGAGTATGATGATGAGTGAGATGGTTTCATCCGTGTGCTTTTTAGGGGCTGATTTATTCGATATTGAAGATGGTCAAAAATATGGAGCTCTGCCATCAGTCCATTTTACCATTATTTTTAATACATTTGTCCTGATGACTCTTTTTAACGAAATTAATGCCAGGAAAATCCACGGTGAACGCAATGTATTTGCCGGAATTCACAGGAATCCAATTTTTCTGATCATATGGGTAGGGACAGTTGTGTCCCAGGTGAGTGATAACCTGACCAGAAATTGAAAAACTCATGAGTCATGAATGGAAATCGAAACTCTCCGAATTTGTAGGTGATTTTAATTGAGTATGGAAGTTACGCATTTTCGACTTTAAGTCTGACGCCAGAGCAGTGGATGTGGTGTTTATTATTTGGAGTCGGCACGCTGGTGTGGCAGCAACTGGTCACCTCCATTCCTACTCGGAAGATACCAAAGTTTATGCGCTGGGGTGAGAAAGTGCCCACCGATGATGATATCGAGCGCGCTCTGGGTGACCATGGGGATTTCAATGCGGATGGTACGCGCCGGGGCACCCGCCATGGCCAGATTTTGTGGATGAGAAGTCTGACGCGGTTACAGCAACAGGTACTGTCCACGTATTAAACGCTCTGTTACGTAGTATTTTCGGCGTGATAGAACTAGAACAGACATAAGGTTTAGATTTGCATAGATGGTGGGGGTGCTTTTTTCCCTTCCCTTGGTTACCGAATTTGTTTGGGTTTTAGTCTGGCTTTGGTTCTGAGTGTTGCATGACTAACCGAAAAAAGGATTGACTAATTTTCTTGTTGCATTCTTTATTTTATAACCGGGTTTGGTAACACGCATCTTGAATGAGATTTTTGCCGGTCTGTTTGCCTGCCTGTGTTTGTGATTTGGTTTTTAATTTTTCTTTAACAGTTGCGAGTGGTGCGCGCTTTCAAATCTACGCTTGAGGACATAGAGGACCGCCGCAGTTCGGCCAGCGTTCCCAGTTTGGGAGCGCGTGGACGCGGCTATAGTGCGCGACCCTATTCCTACGTTGATATACCCTACGTAGATGATACACGCAACCCCGCGTTATCCCCCAATGACCTTCCCTATGAATCGTATCTGACACGTCAGCCTACCTTGCCTGAGCTTCCAGATAACAGTACTACAGCGACAACAACAGCGAAAGTACACGCTGATACATATGTTCGACAAGAGCATGAAACTGATACCAGACCAGAACGGGCGCCGCTGCTTAACAAGAACGGCGGCAACACACGTTTAGCTTAAGAGAAGTTATGTATATTTCTGTTACATTCGCATTCTTTCGGCTTTTTATGGCGGTTTGATAAACTATAGTTTTCGTTGAAAATTTTTTGATGATGGTAATTTGAACAGACGCCTGTGGTAATTGATGGATGGGTATCAATTATTCGGAGTCCATCGCAAGTGGCCTTACAACGTGTTCTCACGTAAATGTGCTTCTGTAATGATCCCGTGCTTCTCCGTGCTGCTAAAAGTACTTGTCTAAGGATGCTGTCGTACGCCCGGCTGTTATAAACACGTGTGCAACTATTTGCTTGTTTTTTAAGTTTATCATGAGCTTTAAGCTAGCACAATTCGGTTATATCCTGCCCATATTTTGCTTGCTGGGAAATGACGCTGGACAGTTGATGCGTCTGCTCATATCGCTTCAGTCCATATGGTTTCCGTTTGTTTTTTTAAAGAAAGCGACAACTTGTGTTTTGTTTTAAGTTAACTTTTTATTGCTTCATTTGTTATTGTGATGTGTTGTTAAAGTTAATATTTACCGACTGAAAAAAGTTCGTTTGAAATGAGAGAATTATGTTACATTTTGTTCTTTTGAACTATTGTGACGCACGAACCGTATTCCATGGTTTTATAAAATTGTTTATGTAAGTATAAAGCCTGATCTAACAGAAATGATTTCGGCACCTTGCTTGTTAGGGCCATGTAATTCTTATAGAAGTTTTAATAGTCTATAATTTGCCAACCGTGTTACTGGTCTGTTGCCAACACGCCATTGAAAGCATATATTGTGTTGGTAGCAAACGGATTTGCGTTTTTTATGTACCATTGTACCTTACAACATTTTTATTCTGTCGAAAAAATATTATACAATGGACGACAAAAAGAAGTTGAACCGATCAGTCGGTCCGCGCCTCCGCGGTTCAAAAATAACCTCGCAACGACACGCCACCAGTGAAACTTTGACGCTTAGTTTCTTTGTACGCTACTTTAAAACGTTCGCGCTCCGTGAATTTTGGAGTGCAACTATGCAAATTGCATATCAAAACGTGTAGAAAAAAATTACGAACTTTTTGATACTAAAGCTGTGGCTGTTTATGGCGAACAACACAAATGCTAGCCATTTTGCTTCTCGTAGGCACAGCATACGATCTGCGCGCAAAACCGTTTTGCGCTCAATCTATGCTTAAGTCTATGAGAATAACAAACACTGATAATTCGTTTCATTTCCCATGAATTGCCACTTACTTGGAATCAAAAATCTCATAATTTTTTTCTGGATTTTTTGGTATATTATTGGCTGAGTGATTCTGTTTCGTAATTCACGAGAAATGGGTGGTAGAACTGACTTTACGACACACGCATGAACGGAGATCAGTTTGCAACAGGAAAAACAGCCAGTGCGCACAATATGTTTTAAAGCCGAGCCATCAACTTCTTTTTGTCGTACATTGTACAGATTTTATAAAGATCAAGTGATTATAAAGATTTCTGTAATGGGGAATTAAGTTCTGCTAACAATGTAAACAACAACAGCCACCTTGAAATAATTAGACCACTAGACCTGCTACCCTGCAGATGTGTATTTAGAGCACACGCCTACTGCATTGAAAGAATTATGCGATTTGCGCATACAAGAAATTGCATGATCCCTTGCAACAAATTACGGTATAATTTTTGCATGATTAGTTTTTGCTCGATGACCTTTATCGGAGTTGTTTAAAAGTAGTACTCGGTTACGCAAATTTTCCGGCATTGAGAATGCATCGATCTATATTCGTTGGCCTTTTTCACACATGGGCTGACCAATGGACGCTTCATAGTATCCCTTCTTTTGAGCAATTAGGACGACATTTACAGTTAGTTGTACCGAATCACCGATGCAGTAATATGCGTTAAAATTATACGAACGTTGAATTCGAGAGTGTTAGCCGTATGAAATCAACGCATTACTACTGTATCGGGACTCGGGGATTGGTGCAGTTGGGGTTTGGGGAAAACCAAAATCGTAACCATATTAGTGACAATAGTTGACACCAATTCGTCTGGCTCCACCACGTAATTCGGAACTTCAGATTTCAGCACAATTCACTTCCCTTTACGTATCGACGATTTTTCCTTTGGTCATTCAGTTGGTTTAATTTCTGCTTGGTGTTTGGTTCGTAATATTCCCATCTCGGGTTCGCTTTAATTACGTTTTGCGGAATTAACTTTATTTTCTCGGTAAATTTGTCCTTCATGTAGTTCACAAATCTGGCAAAGCTAACCTGCATGGTTATCTTTACGTCGCAGGCTTTAACATCGGAGTCAATGGACCGCTATGTACCGCCGCGAGGGCAGGCAGTGTCCTGTTTGGCCTTACTCAGTTCCCATTTGGGAACGGCTGTGCTGGATGTGCCGCATACGCAGCAGGGTAATAGTACGGCGCAAAATCGCAACGCCGGTCATCATCGATGAACCACGAACAGATTTCCCCCTGTTTTACTAAGAATTGCACGATTTTTGTGGGTTAAAGTAATGCACACTGGACTCTCAGGCGCAATTTACAGAACATTCTCACAGAGACATCTCCAACCTCTGCCCTTTGTAAAACTGGTGGTGGAAATTGTGCTTATGAAACTTGTGTGTGAGCTGCAATCGGGACGGATTCCAAACCAGAGATTGATTTGGTGTTCTTTTTGTCTGATTTCCTGTTCTTCAGTTTAATCTGTGTTTTTACTGAGAATTCGTAGTGGATTGAAATCTCCTTTACTTATAAATCACATTTTGCAGGTCTGTACATTTATATAGCGTGCTTTGTTGTCAAAAGCTACGGTTTGAACTGTGCTGAACTGTATTAATAATTAATATGAATAATAATAATCTTATGTTATCCAGACTGCATTAGCCTTATCAACGTTGTATGTAGTCATCGTTGTGCGCACGCGATCCTTCTTTTTATATTGCAATGCTGCAGAGATGACATAAAAGATTAAATTGTCGAGAAGCTCCGTACTTCCTCCGTATGATCCACAGATGTAATTACATAACACATTAGAGAAAGCTAAAGATTAAAACGGTCGTTAAAATCAGTAACACTGGGGAAATGAACCACGGGAAAACTGAGTACTATAACGGATGTTATCTCGCAGGCGAGCAAATACAATTGCAAATTACACTACCTTACCATATTGCGGGGCAATTTCTAAACCCAAGAGGAACTGACTTGATTTCATATGCTCCCGATATGCATACATAACCGCATCTGCCGCATGTGACACCCTTGTATGTTAACCAATCCTCTTGCCTCGTCAGTTATTTAACCAGTCCAAGCTTATAGCATGGTGCAGCTGACAGTTCCAACCTCGTGCAGCGTACGTAAAAGACATCGTTTGTATTATGGAGGTTTCTTGTTCTACTATTCCGAACGCATACTTTCGAACAAATTGCTCCTAAATCCATGTGACAATATGGCACAGGAAAATCCCCAGCATTTCTTGGAAGAAATCAATTGGCGCGGCGGCATCAGTCCGTCGGCGGTGTCGACGGTGCAGCGGCTGAGTCTGGAGGATCCCAGTCTGGATGATCACACCAAGTCCATGCTGCGCCGGTTGTCGCGCTTCTCCTCGGTGGGCTCCCATGGGCTGGCGGTGACGCCGGCGGAAATCGAGCGACTGCAGCGGTCCTACGTGGCGTCGTACAGCACGCCATTGGGCGAGACCATTGTGGAGGAGGGCATTGTGGATTTTGTGCCGAACGATCGCAGTGTTAGTTTAGATATGATTGATGATGAGCCGGATCTTAGACGTGAACCGTCTTACATCCATCCCAAACCGTATCGGCCCTTTACAAGTCGCTGAACATTTCTACAGCCGTTGTCTGGGTGAATTATTTTGGCGGGCTTCCACTATTTTGATTACGATTAAGTATCAGTGACCTCGTCTTCCGTGATTTACAAAATCAATTTGTTAATTGTTTTAAGTTTTATGTCGTCTTCCTTAGCGCTCCCCGGAAGTGCCTAGGCCAAACCCTGCTGATGCGTGATGTATGTCATTTCCCATTTTACAGCACTTCTTTTCTCAGTTCTAGTTTTGGAATGCTTGCTGACAGTAGTACATCGCTCTAACACATCGGTGACACTCATTTTATTACGATTGCGAGAAAAACAAGATCAGGTTTGCGCTGGTCGGAAATCGATTAGTACAGTACATTGAAAACTGATTTTGCACAAACAGCTTCAAACAGGAAAGCCGTGGATGTAATATCATGCGAACAAATTCCAGCATATTTATAAACATATGTCAATATATGCATAAATTCCAACATATTTTTTTATTATGTTTTATGCGATGGAAATATATTACTTAGTTATACAGTGCAGGCGTACGCAAAATTCAGCACTCAAAATGCAACAGATTTCGGCAACAGTTGCAATAATTCTAGTAAAATCATCATAGACGCATACAATTCTGATACGCAATGTGATTTCGTCTCAGTTGACGCTTTATTGTTGTTTCCAAATAACATCCCCTAACTGCGCCACCCACTGGAGAAATTCATCACCGGGCTCATTGTAATCGTGCGGAATACATAATACCCAGCATATATTCCAGTCTGCACGTTCACCTCCCAAGCGGAACATGGCCGAGTGTGAGGGAATATTCTCTTCGGCGATAAACGCATAAGGACGTTCAATGCCCATTTTGAACATTTCGCGGCACCATTCATACGAAATGATCTGGAAGAATTTGCGATTTCTGTGTTCCGGAGCAACATACGCGGCTATCAGCGTCATCTCCGCATTGCAGAGTTCGTAGCCCACCATCTGATTGTCCTGATCGAAAATCCCCATTGTCGGGAATCCGTTGTCGTGCAAGTACAGAACGTATTCTTCAGTGGTCGCTGTACCGCCAAATTTCCATATGGAGTTGACCTTTTTTGCTTCCGCTCGCGTTAAAGGCCTAACCGTAAATCCTTCAGGAGGTGGCGGTCTGGAAAAAGTCATAAAATGCGCAAGTTTCAGTTTGATTATGAAATCGTACATGTGTTTGATATAATCCGACTGTTTTCGAATATCTATATACACAAGATGGGGAGCTTGTACCCTGGACGGAGTTTATCAGCTGAGAACCATACACCCATAGCTTTAAAATCCTGCCTTTCTTCCGGTCCAATACATCTCCCTTTTTTTCGACAAATATCAGTAACGACTTTTGCGTAAGGAAGCCATAAAGCTGTTGATCACAAAAACTATTGGGTGGCTTTTTCAGTACCGGCTATTTATCACTTATTGTTAGGTTAAGGAGAACACACTTTTAGCAGACACTATGGTTCTTACTTCCAAAAAACAGAGGCTTCATCCAGTCAATCACACCGGGTGTTGTCAGGAAGTTGCTTAGAGCATCGGCATTTTTAGCACATACTGTGTGAAGTCTATGTGAATGCCGTGGAACATATTCCTGCGAAAATTTGCAATAACGGTAATACAGAGTTCAACCAAACGAAAACTGTCCTTGTTATTTTCCTCGCACTAGACTAAATAGTAAACGGGCTTCTATAAGTATTATTTTTGTAATTTGGCAAGTAAATAATTCTTATGCTACGCACGGGATCGTCAGGTGCAGGCTTAACAACGCAAGCTGTATGACCCGGAAACTGATCTACAATAGTATAACAATACCATCAAAGTATTTTGTATTCTCGAACAACGTAAACTGACTGGTGAGAATAAAATACTTGCCGACTACAAACTGAACGCCAGGCCACGCGAGTTTGGAATCATTTACAATATTTCTGGCCACGTAGTAGATCTGAAATTGAATAAGAGAAAAATTCCGAATGAACAGTGTCCGAGAGAAAAACATAAGAAGTAAACAAATGCACATCAACATAATTCAATTATTATACATGTTTGAGATGAAGCGCACTCATACCGCCAGCGTTTGTGGAAGGTAGGTCTCCAGTTCTTTCATGAGCACTGGCAAGTGATCCTTCTGCAGTACAACCGCCATTTCTCGATTTGCACTGATGCTGTTCTGGAGAAAGTTATCCTGCAGTCAAAAGCTTTACTTATTTCTTATTACATCAGCATGCGTGCAAAATAATTCTATAAACGCATTTCATTAATTCTCGTAAAACCATAGAAAATCATGGTATTGACAAATTCGAAAGCCTTCGGGCATTTTAAAGTGTGTAGACGCACCTCGCCAATACAGAGAAAGACAAGTGCCGCAATAATTTCGAGTTCGATAAGTTGCGAGCAGTTTCAGGGACGGGTAAAATGTGATAATCAGATCGCAATTGTTTGAGCCGCTTGGTGTCTAATATACTTCTGTTAAAACTACTTGACAGGTTTATTTTTGCAAAAAGATAAATAAATGATTTACAGTACACAGTATCGCGGGCTAGAGTAGCGTTTATCAAAATTATTAGCTGTATAGTACTATGAGACAAGTAAGTATGTATCTTTAATATGTATGTGCAAACGTATAACGTGAAGATAAAAGAATCTGCGTATCATGTCAGATTATCAATTCACAATTCTACATGAATCCATATGGTACTTAATTGTTTAAGATAACGTGTTGACACAGTTATCAAATTCATATTCGAACTTTCGAAGTGAAAAAAATCAAACAGTATTCGCCCGCAAATTCAGAGCTACAGGTCTGTAGTTATGTGTATATGAGTACATACCAGTATTAAGTAAAGGATTAATTAATAAGATTCGCCCTGCTCTAGGCTCGTTAGTGTAAAAATATTTATGAATGTTGTGATTCAGTTATTAATTAAAGTATTGCAGCAAATAGACAGTGAAGTATCTCTACAATTATCATAACACAATAGAACACAGAAGGTTTTAAAGGTTCGTAAATTTTGTTAACTACGTAGAATTATACGTTTTACAGGTACTGAAAAAAGGATTATTGTAATCAGAGAGTATGCACCATCGCAGTTACTCGTAAAAGAAGTCCGCCATTTTACCGATTAATTTTAGTGTTGGTTTTGGCCATCGGTTTCTTCCGGCAAAAGACTTGCTTATCAAATCAACAATCAATCTATGTGTTGGACAACTCTATGACAATATTTTTACACGGAAAATATTTGTCCTGTACTAACAATGTCCCAATAAGAATCCGCTAAGCTGTGTTGACCTTTAATGGTTATCAGTTATATGCGCCTTATCTTCTAGAAGCACAAGGACGTCAGTATTGTGCAGAAGAAAATAGCGCTAAAACCTGGAAATCCCAGAAATGCTCGTTTTCCAAGCAGACATCACTATGACATATCCCGTCGGTCTTCGTTACGCTACATCGGTATCGATCGATTTGTGCCACATTCCGCAACATACGAAGCTTTTCCAGGAAAACCTACTGAATTCGCTGTCAGGCGAATCGCAGTTTTATCGATCCACTGGAGCGCTCTCTCAATAATGCCAGCTGTACCTACACCATCACGAAGGTGCACGTCGCGAATGCGATAGATAGGACGTTCGCTTTCTTATATTTTTAAAACAACACGATCGCTTTCAGTTTTTGAACCAGTTTGTACTTGAGAAATGTTTATAACCCATTGTTAATTAAAACGTATGATGTTGAAGAAATGATTTGTACTGTCAACAACCATCGTTTTCCCTGGTTGCAAAACTACCACTTCTTGTAAAGTCTTAAAGTGATTCACTTCATTCATGCGTAGTATAATGGCGCGGAAAACTCTGCAGTCGGGGTATTTAACAACGATGGTTATTCTAAGCTTATTTATTTGTGCTATCGCTGCTGTGGCAAAAGGTCAGCTGTTGATCGGAAATCCAGATCCTGTGATGTTCGAAGACGATGCTGCAGGAAGACGAGTTGGTCCATCCAAAGACAAAGATGGAATATGCCTCGACGCTTTCAGTCTCAAAAAGGGCTCTGTTGTCCAGGTCTCGAAATCGGAAAAACTAGGAGGACGACTTATCAATGCGACGACAGGACTGACAGGATCGGATTGCCTAAAACGATGCTGTCAAACCGAGCACTGCACCGTTGCTGCATTTGAACAACAGGTACGAAGCACTACTCTAGGATATTACTGCATGTTCGTACTCTGTACGTCTTACTTGTCTTACTAATTTAAAATGCTGCAAAACTTATTCGCTGTTAAAGTTTGTAATACGGTAGTGCACGAAATTTGAGATTGTTAACGAAATAATTATGTTTGAAGGGACGCCTGGCATGCTATTTATTTAACTGTGGATACTTGGATGATTTTCGGTGCGAACTGGTGCCGTACAGCGACTATGAAGTGGGAATTTTAACAGTATCTCGCGAAGCTCTTAAAAGTCCCGCAAAACCGCAAATTGGTTCGTTGCCTCGGTCTTTCCCAAATGCTCTAATTGGTCGCCCCGATGGTCATGGTACGTCACATTCTTTGGTCCCATCGTCCCGAATCAGATAGCCCACAGTCTATTGTACTGAAAATTTTGAAGTGGTTTCAAAATTTTGCAGATAATGGTGGCTGCAGACCGTTTGAGTTCAGGTGTACAACATCCGGCGAATGCATCGCTGGTTATGATCGATGTAATGGAGCCTTTGGTATGTAATACGTATGCTTTGAACATTACAAAATACTCGCGTCACAGTAAACTAATAAATATAACTATGAATACTCGAGCATCTTGATTAGACCCCACTATGATTATAGATATATACAAATATTAAGTAATTGGTACTAGATATATTCAGTACTTGTATATCGTGGGGATCAGATCTGTGTATCACAGTCTTCCCCATTTCTACCGGAAATAATTTGTAACATGACACATGTTTGCAGAATGCCCCGACCGATCTGACGAAGCTAATTGTGAGCAACAGCAAACTCGTCAAGGTAGGTACACGTGTCACGAATGTGCTCACTAATTACCGTAGTTACTTCGATATATGCAGAATGCTGACATAAAATAGGTTATGAAGAACTAACTCTGCATGAGCTTGAGTGCGTTTGTTGTTCAAAACCAATATCGGCGCGATGATTTGATACTGACTACAACAATCTTTCTTAGAAGTTCCACAGATTCCCAGGAACGAAGAGGGTAGCCGCTACAGAGGTCTAAAGGATCAGCCAGTGCAAATAGAGGACGAGCTGCGAATGTCGGCAATGGATGAGAACGAGCAGACACTGTGGGACCGTGGCCGTAATCGTCCTCACGGAAACGCAGGACCAAATACACAAATAATTAACTCGGAAAAATCTGAAAATACCAGAAATAATCCTGCTGACGAATGGTAAGGAAATCGTTTTGGTACATGGAGCAATAACAAAATGACTGAAAAAAGGATATTCGGTAGGAATTTTAAGCCGGAAACAGCCACAGCTCAAAGTACTACTTTAAGACCATCACCTGAACCGTTCAGTCCAGCAAATCCGGCTCATCAGCGACACACAGTTCCAACCACCAACCGGCCGTCCACAGCAGTGCCACTCGACAGGATTTCCTCAACGGTTTCCATTATCTCATCCACCAATCCGCATGATATCCAATCCCTGCATATCGAAAAGTCCAATAACTATGGCTTTCCATCCTGGGTCAACTTTTCTGATCCCACTCATTTCATTATCAGTGTTGTGCTGATTATTGCTGTTGCTTTTTGCGCCGTTGTTACGCTATTTGTAATTTGTCGCTGCATTTGCGCCAGGAAACCAAAGGTCACCAAATACCGCATCGTCGATCCGGATGCCGAAGACTTCTTGCTCGGAGGCAGCTCTTACAGCTGATCATGATAACAGTGCATGCCTGCTTGCACCGTGCTAGAGTGTTCAGTGTGATCTTCTTTCATCCAGAATATCTTGTTCAGGAAAGTTTATTATGGCTGCGTATGTTGCGCTTGATCATGACAGTCTCTGGAACAACTAACAAATTATTATTTTGTATGTTCGGGTTGCTAGTACTAACATACGAAACATAATGAATCGAAAAGACTAACATACCAGTTTAAAGTCCTTGAAAAATTGGGAAAAAATCCTTGAGTCCTTAAAATGATTGGAGCTCTTAAAAAGCAAGTCCTTAAAAAGATCGGATTTCAGTGAGTTCTCTGTAGGTAAAATTAACGGGCTACCACCCATTGCCCAAATATATCTGTTACCATCCGAATTTTTTTTTCATATTTTGTGGAAGAATGAAAGCTACAGCAGCATAAGTCTGGAAAATTATGCATATTTAATGAACAGACAAATTTCAATCTTCGATTAATAAAGTCTGTGAGACTTATCAAAAATGGGTAAGTGTACAAGCTGCAATTTGCAAATAAAAGTGTATGTACAGAGTATTTACTCCTATTATTCCACTGATTTCTACGTCGAGATGTGGATTGCATCTTTTATAACTGAAACCGTTTTGTTAATTATAAGACAAAGCCTTTTCCGGTGTCGCCACGAAATTTCGGGAAAAATAGTGTATGTAATTGCGATTTTCAGTTAAAAAATTGCGTTATTATGTTTGGTGTAGACGGAAGGAAATTCGCCATGGAAGAAAGTACCCTCGACGGCAAACTTATCCGAGATAGCCGCTATTTGGCCAACGTAACCGCAGTATTTGATCATGACGATTAGGAGGTATGTTTATTAGAGAAAGCAAGAAGCGTTAGTTTGCAAGATAAAAATATCATCGAATGGGACACAGCATAACATCACTTATGTTGTGCCGCCTGCTGGAAAAATGCATCATACACCGCCTGAATCTATGCAAAATGATGCATAGTTCCTCGCCAGAGCATTTTCTCACTTCCATAGTTAGTCCACTGATCCGTCGTCTGCTTGATTCACCCTCTCTAAATGGCGCAACACGGCCCAACAAGCTTGTTGTTGTAGTCACTTTGGTGGGATGCGTGACCGCGACTGCTTTTGGAATTTAGTTTTTGTATCTCCATAAGTCACTTACATTTTCCACACTATTCGCATTTTGTCTTTTTTATAGCCCTTAAGCCGTATATTACTTACAGTTGTTATACCCTTTTGTCTTCTATCAAACATCAACCTTGCTTCCCCTCCTTGCATTTAATTCCTGACAACCATCCAGCCGGAGGTTTTTGGTACGTACTTGTAACCGGCAGCTGTTGCACTTTCAAAATCGTCACTCTTACTTGATATAAATACGTATAGGAAATTATCGTAGGACTGCTGTTCTGGTTAAATCAGTAAGGTCACAGTGTGTGGCTACGTGCACCGTCAAATTAGTTTTCTTAACTAATTCGTGATTATTTTGCAAAAAATTGCAATCAGCTATGCTTGTAATATTGTACCGTTGTGAGATGTTTGTAAACAAGAATCTTTAAGAAAATAAAGAACTCAGTGCTATACAGTCTGCATATAATTATAATATTGTAGCGTGGCTGGTACAGAGAAATACAAAATTACGGTAATTTATAACTATAATTATTTGTCTTTTGTTTGCAAGCGAACTGTACGCATGGGTAATATAATATAACAATTAACAACTAACAAGTACAAACTGCAAAGTACTTGTAAGTCCCTGACAGATTTGCATTTGCAGTAGAATATCCAGTGCCTTTTAAAGATGGAGGTTTTGTACCAATAGGCAATAGAATTAATTGTATGAACGCATTCAATAATAATTGGATTAATGATGTAAGTCTTTATTGCATAAAGCACTGTTTCCCGAAAGGAATGTTTTATCCTGAACGCAGCTGAAGAAGTGCTTCCCTTCCTTCGTGAATTCTGAGCGTTGAAATATAAAAGGCTAATTTTGCGCATGTTTGCCAAACTTGGGAGTAGACTCAGTAAAGTATACAAGCGCTGTGCATCTCAAATCGACTTATGGTTAGGTATGAACTATGAACTATATACCGGCGAAGTCTTTTTATCCACGCTCTTCTAAAATTCATTTTGAAAACAAGCTTTATTCACGCATATGGCAAATGGTGTTATGTGTAATAAAATTCAATAATATTTCATAATTCTGTCGTTAACGTAGACATTTTAATTGTAAAAAGGTTTTACTTTGTGACTTATTTAATTAAGGAAATTGTATGTAATATGCATAACTGTGCATATATGAACAATATTAGGGTTTCACTTGATTTTACTGATCGTCTCGCGTACACTATTAATACACACGTAGCAGGCACGTAATAGTAATTTAATTATGTAATAGAGATCTATAATTATATAATATAGATCTGTACATATACTACGAGTATTAAGATCCTTGTCTCTATACTCTGTATTAATTTAATTAACGATAAGTAATATAGATTTATATGTTTATAAACTCTTTGTTGTACAATACAACACAATTGTTACTGTGAATTGTCTGTGAAGTATAGGATCAGTGGGATCACAGACCGCAGACGCTGCAGCTTAAAATCCCAACAATAAATGCGCGTATGATATGACATTGTGTGCAATATAGGTGAAATCGCCTCACCATGTTAATTATAGGAGTACTTTATAAATTATACCACGCGTGTGGATATATAGCAAATACTATTTTGATAATTTTGATATTGCTGAATTTCTTTCTTGGGTTTTTTTTCTCAACATTCCATCCTTTAAACCTGTTGAATCAAACGCGAATATCGACCGAGTATGAAATTGTACTTACGGTAACCGCGGCACCCTTGAAAAACCTTTTTGTTTGCTCTAGCATTTCAACAGATGGAAAAGAAACCTCAAATGTACCTGAGAGATAGGACGTATTAATCCTCTATTCCAATTTTTTGTCTGTGTGAGACGCAAAGTTATTCAACAAAACAGTCGCGAAGTAATCGCTGACATGAATCATCTTCGTTTGCATACGGAACAAAGTTTGTCACGGTCTTTATCGCAAAAAATGCATGAGTCAGTTGTATCTTATTAGTTTGAAACACTTTGGACTTTACCGCTTATGACTATCGCAAAGAAAAGAAAGCAACAGCTTTGTACATATTAGGCACAGGAAGGCGTTAACAAAACTGATCAACTTTGATGATAACTCTCGTACGAGTGAAAACTATAGGTACACCTGCCATTTTTTACAAATACGTGTTCAAATGTATAGTAACGATCAGGTGGTACCGGTAAGCGGCATATACACTGTGATGGTTCGTAACATGCATTATGAAAGGTGGCTATCTTTGGTGATGGTACGAGTTTCTTATTGGCTGTAATTGTATAGTTTATTGTTTGCTTCATTCTGTGACTGGTTTGCAGACTCGCCGGTGACCCAACGTACGAACAAAGATGAGTAATAAACAAAATCTTAATCTCGACCAGCGGGGCACGGTCTTTGGCCGAAAGCCTTCCAATCCACCGCCTCCCCAACAGATAAACTTAAACCGTAACCAAGGTACAGGTTCCAGTCAGAATACGCAGGTTCCGCAACAACAACAACCACAGCAACAGCAACAGCAGCTGCAATCCCAACGCCAGCAACAAGAGGAATTAGATCGTGAGCCAACATTAAACCCGTCAGGCGCAGAAGGAGGCGAGGAAGAGATGCCGGCCACTGAGCGCGACCTAGCTGATGATGCTCCCTGGAAACGTATCCAGCAAAATACCTTCACGCGATGGGCCAACGAGCACCTGAAAACGGTTAACAAGAATATCGGCAATCTTGAAACGGATTTATCAGATGGATTACGCTTAATCGCACTTATTGAAGTACTGAGCGGGAAGAAATTGCCGAGACACAACAGGCGTCCCACGTTCCGGTCGCAGAAACTGGAAAATGTCTCGGTAGCCCTAACTTTTCTACAGGAAGACGAAAACATCAAGCTTGTCAATATCGGTAAGTCCTGATCTGCTACGAATTTATCAAATGCTTTTGCGTGAATACAATAAAATTTTATATACATGCTATATTCCCGAGTTAAGAGAGCGCAACAAGTGTCTTCAGCCGTACGTTTGTCCTTAATCTTTTCTACCTAGAGGATTGTTCATTTATTGATATTTTCGCATTTTGTAAAACACTTGACTGGTGGCAGACTTTCAAGAGTAAATGCGGATTTAGTACAGTAATGTAATTATGTACTTACTTCTTTTTTTGCCGGTAAATGTAATGACAAAACGAGAAAGCTTTTTCGTTTAATAACTGTGCGTATTCAGTTTAAATTTTAACAAAGTTTAACAAGTAATATTGATGTGGTAAGGTTTTGCAGTATTTTATGGGATAAATATGTATAAAATTGTAGTACAGAGATGCATTTGTCCAGCACGCGCTGGATATTGTGGTACAGTACTGTACAACTACAGAGCATCGCATTCATAAATTTTATAGCTTCACGCTCGACGGATTGGTCGTAAGCTGCTTGACTGTCTTTATCGATGTTAAAGTTAATGTCGATTGTCGACTAATGTTAGTTTTCCGCGAGACATGCGGAAACAAATGAATTAATAATACGCAGAAGAAACCAATCTAACTTTACCAAATAAAGTTTCACAAATTGGAATTTGCATTTGACCGCCGTGAAACCATTGCTTATCACTTCCGCTGTCATTGATGAGTAAATGCATTAGGTATACCGTATACTTACCTATTTGCTCGTTGTGTGACAAACGCACTAAAGTGCCGAATTAAATTCTGTTAGCACCTTTTGGACTGCATGGTCAGCTGAAGAAATGTGTTATTCTTCTGTCCTTGAAATCGTTTCGGTTTTCATAAACTGCATTTGCTGGCTTCTTTCTGATTCTAAACATTTGAGAGGTTAAAGATCACATGTGCAACTACTCGTGTGGAAGGGGATTCTAATAAGCTTTCAGTCACAGTGCAAGTGGTCTGATCTCCAGACGGAAATTGTTTATGAAAACGACACAAAATGATGAGCGGTGTTGTCGCAGTTTATATATTGACTGTTTACTGATTAGTCGCCTTATCTTATCGCGTCGGAGAACGTAATTCTGATAGATCCACAACAAACTGCCTCGTTAAGCAAAGATATGCGCTTTACGCAGTGACATGGCTTTAATAAACGCAATATCGTTATAATTTACTGCATACCTGCAACCAACCGTAAAGAGGTTTTCAAGTTATAACACATAACAATTTACAAATAAAAGTTGCACTGGTTACTACACTTAACGTACTGTATTGTTTTAGTAAGTGATTTCGGAATGAAATACTTCTGTTTTCACTTTTTATTTGACGGTTTACTGAAACAAATATGTGTGCATCAGATGCTTACAATTATTAGTTTCCGCAACACCAGAATTACAATTTGTAGAGTTTACTAGCAATTTTAAGATGTGATTATTTATTGTTCGGCTTTCAGATAGCAAAGCGCCTGCATATGCTTGTTTTGTGCATTTGTGCTTGAATATTTTCCTTGGATATTGTACTGTCGTTGAACGTTCAAGAATCGCGATTTAAATCGTTTTGTGAAACTTGTCTGTCAGTCGCGCTGACCATGAGAAAAGCAGCTAGAAAACTTTCTGAACGATGGTACAACGATTCGCGGTTGCGGAAGACAACCTGCTCAAAGCGTACTTTCGCCATAAATGGAATCTCCAGTTCATTCGTCTTTGCAGCTTTCGAGCAGCCGGTTTCCGAAACGCATAGTCTTTGATGCATGTTGCTACATCTTACACATGCTATTACACAAATAAATATTCAACTGCAAGTGCAGCATTGAGTTTTGATTGTCTTACTACTTAGGTGGTAGGGATTATCGTAACTTTACCGTGGGTGAATCGTTTGGTTGTATACTTACACTGCAAGATGCTTCAGATGCTGTCGTCTGGCTTGATTTTTGCGTAATGCATTCAAATATCGCAGCGTCAACAAAAAAGCATGTCTCTGGGAGTTATCTCGCAAGTGTGTAAACTGTAGTGATACCTGGATTTTGTGAACTGTTTCCGTATCATATGCCCAGTATACTCGTGCTTACAGTTTCTGTTTTAAGTATGGATTTTTTGCTTTATTAAAAATTTGGCCTCAACTAAAATGTGAACTCAAAATTTGTTGAAGTAAACAACATCCAGTACTTTTTTAAAACGTGCCTTCGTACCAGCCATACCACCAGTATATACTAGTAACAATATGCTTGATTAGGTTTTTGTTAGTATGAAATTCGCCGCAAAAGATTGGGATGGCTTAAATAACTCGATCGATTGATTAGTATCGTCAAAACGAAGATATAATCTATATGGAGCAAATAAAATATTTGATGACTTGGTACGGTGGTGCGGTAGATCAATAAAGATAGTCACTGCCGACTGTGTCGATCATGGGGATTTGCTGCGAGATTTCAAAATGAACGAATATCTTGCCAGCGTTTGCGTAGCGTAGGCGAATGCTTATGCAAGGTAATTAAAAGTTAGAACGCGTGCGTTATTATAAACTGCAAATCTTGGAAAACTTTTCTCGACTACATATAAGAAATAGCAGTTACAAAACCCCACAACTAGAAGATGACACTAATTCCTGTTCAATATGAGCAGAAGCGTGTATTTTGTTTTCCCCAATTGTTTTCGGGAATTATTCTAAAAGATTAGTTTTATTCTAACGAATAGAGCAGATCTTACAAGACTGCACCAATTTTAACGTTATATCACCATATCTGACGACTTGCAGTGTCTGTTCTTATTTATTCAGAGAAACAAATAAATATATAAAACAAAAATAGTTCAGTTGAAATAAATAATGCAAAACAGTTAATTGTGAAAAATAATATAAGTACTTATTGATAGAAATTCATCCCTTGAGCGCATCAGCCTACGTATCAGCTGTTTTCAGTCGACATCGTCTTACTTTTTGTCTGTATTGAGTTACCGGTATTCGAGCCTTTGAATATACGTTCTTTTATGTTTCTTCATATATTTGCAGACAGTACAGATATTGTTGACGGCCGTCTGAAACTTATTCTCGGATTGATATGGACGCTCATCTTGCATTATTCGATTTCCATGCCTATGTGGGCGGACGAAGACGAAGGCGCAAAGGATCTCACACCCAAACAGCGTTTGTTACGCTGGATCCAAAATAAAGTGCCCGATCTGCCTATCACCAATTTCACTTCCGACTGGAATGATGGCCGCGCTGTGGGCGCTTTGGTGGATGCTGTTGCTCCAGGTTAAAGAATGTTGAAAACCGTGACTGTGTTCTCGTCGCGAAAACGCGTGCTTTCTTAATCTTTTTTAATTATGAATTTTAACAGGTTTATGTCCGGATTGGGCTGACTGGAGCCCCAAGAATGCCAAGGCCAACGCCACAGAAGCAATGAAGTTAGCCGAGGACTGGCTGGGCGTACCTCAGCTGATCCGACCCGAAGAGATGGTGGATCCCAATGTGGATGAATTGTCCATGATGACATACCTCTCGCAGTATCCCAACGCCAAACTACGCCCCGGAGCACCATTACACGGCAAGCTGGCACCCAATCGTGTGCGAGCATACGGGCCTGGATTGGAGCCCGGTAACAAGGTGGGAGTGCCGGCCAAATTCACTGTAGAGACCTTCAGTGCCGGCGCCGGGACCGTGGAAGTTGACGTGCTGGGTCCAGATGGACAAAATGTGCCTGTAAGTGTCCGTGTACGAAACTAACAGTCTCTTAACGGGCTATACCTGATGTTTCATTTAATTTTAGTAGATTACCTCTGTGAAATCAACAAATGTTTTAGTACAATACATTAAGTACATGTGTTGTACATGCACCACTGTATGTGAAGTGGTAGCTACGCTGTAGTAATCATTGCCGTACGAGTACAATTTCGTAAATTACTACGGCTTCAAAGCCTACTGGTAAATATTTCAAACGACAATGTCACTGCTTAAAAATGTGAAAGCTGGCGCGTTTAAAAAGTCAAGCTCTAGCCCGAATATTTACCGGACCATTCCGTTTGTCAAGAGGAACTTATTGTTAGGCCGATGCAAAGTACAGTACAGTTTGACTATAAAATATTGCACAATAGTAATATATGAAATATCGCAGACTGCAGATTACAGCAAACTTCCTCATTTAAATCGCTCTAGTGCTTTACGAAACTGATATAAAGCCTCATACCGATACAGCGGTTAGTACCATCGGTACTACGTTGGCGCCTTGGCGGTTAATACTGCCCTTGCTGTATTTGTTTTGATTGATCTCAAATGTTATTTTTATAGTCAACCGTGAAATTCAACAACGATCGAAACAAAACGTATTCGTGCCAGTATGTGCCCAAAATGGAAGGCCATCATCGTGTAACGGTGAAGTTTGCCGGAAAAGATGTGCCAAAGAGCCCGTTCGACGTTGATGTGCGTGGCTACGCTGGTGATGCTTCCAAGGTGACTGCAAAGGGCCCCGGATTGGAAGCGACAGGAAATCAAATCGGAAAACCGACTTGGTTCGAGGTGTTTACCAAAGGTAATAGAATTGTTTTAGTCGCTAGAGTCGTCAGTAGGATAGTTGTTCATAAAAACGGTGCTGCAGGTGCTGGAGATGGGCTGGTGGAAGTGGTCATAATGGATCCAGCCGGCCGAAAGGACACCGTTGTGCCTACTTTGAAACAAGGAGCAGATGGGGTGTGGCGGGTTGATTACACACCTAAAGAACTCGGTCTCCATTCTGTAAATGTGTTCTTTGCTGGCAAGCCAATTCCAAATAGTCCATTTGGCGTTAAAGTTGGTCCGGGTAAGTTTCGTTGTGTTTTTACTACGTCGAGTTGAAATAATGTCTTAAAAGAGCCGATAAATAATATTGCTTACTGTTTTCAACTTGTCAATTTTTTGTGATATTTTTCTCAGTCAGCGACGCTCGAAAAGTTCGTTGTACCGGGCGCGGATTGCAGAAGCACGGTGTGCGTGTTCGAGATGTGGCGGATTTCAAGGTCTGGACAGAAGGAGCTGGAGAAGGCAAGCTGGAAGTAAAGATCATTGGTCCAGGTGGTGTGGCTGAGCCTTTCGACATGAAGAAGATTGACGCTACTACTTTCGAATATAAATATTATCCAAAAACTCCCGGACGCTACACAGTCATCGTGCAGTATGGTGGTCAGGATGTGCCCAAATCTCCCTTCGAAGTTAACGTCGGAAAATTCATCACTTCGAAAGTACGCGCTTTTGGTCCCGGTTTGGAAGGAGGAGTTGTTGGCCATTCCGCAGATTTCTGTGTGGAAATGAATGGCGAAACGGCGCCTCTCGGTACGGCCTTTGTTTTTATGTTTTGTGCTAGGTTACAATTTGATAATTCGATTCGCGATTATAATATTGATAGGAGCTACAATGTTCCCATATGCTTTTCAGGTTTCTCTATTGAGGGCCCCAGTCAAGCGAAAATCGACTGCAAGGATAACGGTGATCAAACAGCGGATGTAAAATACTGGCCCACGGCGCCCGGAGAGTACGCTGTACATGTTCTGGTCAACGATGAAGACATCCCCGGCAGCCCTTTCATGGCACAGATAACACAAATGCCGGCTGGTGTCAATCCCGACAAGGTCAAGGTTTTTGGACCGGGTGTGGAGCCTGAAGGCGTACAGACAGGCCGTCCCACCGAATTTACTATTGACACGCGCGAAGCTGGTCGAGGAGCTCCACTGCACGTCAGCATAATGGACATTGATTACAATCCGGTGAATGTTACTGTACGCGATATGCAAGATGGAACTTACAAGTGCACGTACACGGCGACACGGAGCGTAAAGCACACCGTGCAGGTTCACTACGCCGGTGTAGGTGTGCCGAAGAGTCCGTTCAGGGTAAGATGCCGTATTGAGAAATTTATGAAAATGAAACTTCTATTGTTACAGTTTGTTGTTAACAAAGATTTTATGGCCGTTTATGTAATGCTTGTTGGAAGCATAGATGCTTATATTGTTTTGTCGCCTCTATAGGTCTTCGTGCAAGAACCGACAAATCCCGGTAAAGTCCGTGTGTATGGCCCTGGAGTCGAGCTGGGTGTGCGCACGGCAACGCCCACTCATTTCACGGTCGACTGCGCGCACGCTGGACCCGGAGACGTCCAGATTGCGCTGCAAAACGAGAAAGGGCAGGATGTCCCTTTCAAGATCAACGACAATCGCGATGGGACGTTTACCGTGGAATACACTGCGCCGACGCCCGGTACGTACAAAGTGACCGTGCATTTTGCCGGAAAGGAGGTTCCGCAGTCGCCCATTAAAGTCCAAGTGGCACCGCATATTGACGTGAGCGGGATTCGCGTGGAGGGGCTGGAGCCAAGTAAGTTCTTCCTATTCACTGTGATATTCTCTGTTGCATGTGCTTCTGCTTATCGCTTGCATGCCTCTGCTTGCTCAGCTCAGCTTGATATGGTTATTACTCTCTGTTGTTAACTTGGTTAACATTTGTTTGACGCCGATTGAATTTCACAAACTGCCACAAACAATTGAGCACGTTTCGGTTTATGGAAATACGTGGTATTATTAATGCATCGATAACTCCAGTTTATTGACGCTGTTTGTCCGTGACCGATAACCAATCCATTAAGGAATGCGCAGCATGCGCAGATTATGTGCCATAACCAGTCTGTCGCGGAAACTCACCTATCCGGATCAGCGGCTGAATATTCCGTTCATGCTGCAGCTGTGCCCGTCAATTCCAAGCAGCAGATAAAGGTCATTTCCACCGCTAAAGATGGCGTTACTCTGGATGAAAAAAACACAACAGTAGAAATCATCACAGCGTCGAAGAAAATTATTCCCGTTAAAGTAACTAAGGGCCCAGATGGCAAAACCGTGCTGGCCGATTTCGTGCCCACCGAATTGGGAGAAAATCAGCTGACGGTCAAAGTCAGTGGTGCTGTCGTGCCGAACATGCCTCACAGATTTACCGTCAGTCCTAATCCCGACCCGAGCAAAGTGAAATGCGAAGGGCCTGGATTGATTGGTGGAGAAGCCGGCCAACCAGCAAAATTCAGAATCGACACCCGGAAGGCGGGAGTGGCGCCGGTTAATACCACTATCGACGGGCCTCAGCCGGTGAAAATCGACACTGTGGATAACAAAGACGGAACTATAGACGTTACTTATCATCCTGTAGCTCCTGGAGAGTACGCTGTAAATGTGACCTTTGGAGGGAAACCGGTGCCCGGCGTGCCGTTCAAGCCCAAGATCACTTCAAAGATTGATGTTAGCAGTATAAAAGTGGAAGGATTGGAGAAAAGTATGGTAATTGCCGTTATGTTTCATTACCGTTGTTAATAATTTTTGTTTTTACAGCCGTACCGATCAATTCCAAGCAGCAGATTAAAATTGTGCAGACTGATTCCAAGGCGCCAAATCTTAATCCCAAAGACATCATAGCAGAAATCACTACTGCTTCAAAGAAAATAATCCCTGTCACGCTGACAGCCACTCCGGACGGACGCGCTGTTCTAGCAGATTTTGTACCTACTGAACTGGGTGAAAATCAGCTGTTGGTAAAAGTCGGAGGTGCCGTGATTCCTAATCAGCCTCAGAAGTTCCAAGTTTCTCCAAATCCGGATCCATCAAAGGTCAAGGTTGAAGGTCCTGGACTTATCAGCGGAGAAGTTGGTGTTCCTGCTAAGTTTAGAATTGATACTCGCAGAGCTGGTGTGGCACCTTTGGGGATGAATATTGATGGACCTGGTAGGTTGATTCCGCAATTTGCTTTATTATTTGCCTAATTCTTGAATGCTGGCATTCACGATCTACTACTTTCACAGTTCCAGTAATTTCCATTTTTTTAAATCAAGTTAAAGACTACTGAGTACGTACTGAGCGTACTTGTTTTCGCTTTTTCGGAACCGGGTAATTAATTTTACGGGTAATTTTTTCTTTCCAGCGGAAGTGAAAATCGATACGGTGGACAACAAAGATGGAACAATCGACGTAACATATCACCCAACCGCGCCCGGCGAATATTTGGTGAACGTCACTTTTAATCAGAAACCTGTGCCTGGTGTTCCATTCAAACCAAAAATCACTTCCAAGATAGATGTTAGTGGAATCAGAATCGAAGGTCTTGACCAATGTAAGGATAACATGTTATGTTCTGACGTCGCCGCTGAACTTTGCGTATCAATGAGTATTTATTTTTAGCGGTTCCTGTCAACTCGCGACAGCAGATCAAAATCATTCAAACTGATCAGAAGGCGCCCCCGCTTGATATCAAAGAAATTGTATCCGATATTACCACCGCGACTAAGAAAACTGTGCCGGTGAAGTTAACTCCGGGTCCTGACGGCCGAACCGTCATTGCAGAATTTGTTCCTTCGGAAGTGGGAGAAAATCAGCTGAACGTGAAAGTCGGAGGGGCTCCTGTTCCAAAGACCCCACAGAAATTCCAAGTGTCGCCACAACCAGATCCAAGCAAAGTCGTTGTTAGTGGACCAGGGCTGACTGCCGGTGAAGTAGGCGTCCCTGCAAAATTCAGAATCGACAGCAGGAAAGCGGGTGTTGCTCCGCTGGGATTGAATATTGATGGTCCAGGTAAATAAAATCTCCAGTGTCCACGGCAACTACAGAAAGAACTTTGAGCGTGTTTATGTTAAAGTGAAAAATTTTGTGATACAGCTGAAGTGAAGATTGATACGGTCGATAATAAAGATGGCACGGTTGACGTCATCTATCATCCCACTGCACCGGGAGAATATTTGGTCAACGTTACCTTTAACCAGAAACCAGTTCCAGGAGTACCGTTTAAGCCCAAAATCGCCTCGAAAATTGACGTTAGCGGCATCAAAATTGAAGGACTGGACCAGAGTGAGTTCGCATTACTGTACTTTCGAATTCGGCATTGAAATAACGGTAACATGGTGTATTATTGCAGCTGTGCCGGTTAATTCACGTCAGCAGATCAAGATTATTCAGACTGATCAGAAGGCCCCACCGCTGGACATCAAAGAAATTGCGGCAGATATTACCACTGCTTCGAAAAAGACCGCGCCTATCAAACTGACTCCAGGTCCGGATGGTCGAACGGTAATTGCGGATTTCGTTCCTTCGGAAATTGGAGAGAATCTGTTGAATGTGAAAGTCGGCGGAGCACCGATTCCAAAAACCCCACAGAAGTTCCAAGTATCTCCCCAGCCCGATCCTAGTAAGGTGGTAGTCAGCGGCCCAGGACTGACGACTGGAGAAGTTGGAGTGCCGGCCAAGTTTAGGATCGATAGCCGGAAGGCCGGTGTGGCGCCTCTGGGACTTAATATTGATGGCCCCGGTAATATAAGGTTCAAGTAATTTGCTCTGGATGTATTTTATGGTAATACGTTTTTTTTTATTTCAGCGGAAGTGAAGATAGACACAGTTGACAACAAAGATGGAACAATTGATGTCACATACCACCCAACTGCACCGGGAGAATACAAGGTTGATGTGAAGTTCGACAATAAACCTGTTCCCGGTGTCCCCTTCAAGCCAAAGATTGCGTCAAAGATCGATGTCAGCGGAATTAAAATCGAGGGATTAGACCAAAGTGAGCAGCGCAATCAAAAGATTTGATTTCCGTCACATTGATTTCGATATTTTTAGCTGTACCTGTAAATTCGCGCCAGCAAATTCAGATTATTCAAACCGATCAAAAAGCACCGCCTTTGGACGTCAAGGAAGTCGTAGCGGAGATTGTTACCGCTTCAAAACGCAATGTGCCAGTCAAATTGACCCCCACTCCCGACGGTCGGGCGGTTATTGCGGACTTCATACCATCTGAAATTGGTGAGAACGTTCTCAGCGTGAAAGTGGGCGGCGTTCCCATTCCGCAGACACCCAGGAAGTTTGCCGTGTCTCCCATGCCCGATCCAAGCAAGGTGGTTGTTAGCGGTCCAGGTTTGACAAACGGCGAAGTCGGTGTGCCAGCCAAGTTCCGCATCGACAGCCGAAAGGCTGGAGTAGCACCTCTGGCCCTAAACATTGACGGACCAGGTGCGTTAGCATGCCAGTTGTTATCTCCTGCAATCGGTAATATCATTAATTTGTGTTTTAGCGGAAGCGAAGATTGAAACTGTGGACAATAAAGACGGCACTGTAGATGTGACCTATCTGCCGGTTGCACCGGGTGACTACAATGTCAACGTTTTGTTCAACCAAAAGCCTGTACCCGGCGTGCCGTTCCATCCACATATTGGATCAAAGATTGATTTAAGTGGAGTTAAGATTGAGGGATTGGATCAGAGTACGTGGGTCTATTAAATCATTATCAGTCGGCTAATTAGTAAATTTTTAACGAGAATCGGTTTTATAGCGGTGCCTGTTAATTCTCGCCAACAAATCAAAGTTATCCAAACCGATCAGAAGGCTGCACCGCTGGATGTCAAGGACATGGTGGCGGAGATAGTCACGCCGTCGAAGCGAACACTTCCGGTTAAACTGACTCCGTCACCAGACGGAAAAGGAGTTCTGGCTGATTTTGTACCGTTGGAAGTTGGTGAAACTCAATTGGTCGTGAAAGTGCAAGGCGCTCCCATACCACAGACTCCGAAGAAGTTTGCGGTCTCACCTCTGCCTGACCCAACCAAAGTGGTGGTTAGTGGTCCAGGATTAACGGGCGGAGAGCTTGGAGTACCCGCTAAATTCAGGATTGATTCCCGGAAAGCGGGTGTCGCGCCGCTAGGACTGAATATAGACGGGCCAGGTGGGAGTGCGGCTGTTTACATCCGTCAGTCTCGTAACGCTTGACGCCTTTTTGGCACTTGCAGGGGAAGTTAAAATCGACACTGTTGACAACAAGGATGGCACGGTTGATGTGACTTATCTGCCAACAGCACCCGGCGAGTATGATGTGAACGTCACGTTCAACCAGCGCCCTGTACCAGGAGTGCCTTTCAAGCCGAAAATAGCGTCCAAGATTGATGTCAGTGGAATAAAAGTGGAGGGTCTAGACAATAGTGAGTAGAAAGGTCATTGATCGGTTCTTTATGGGCGAGATATATGTGACCAACAAGGGGAAAAAAGTACTTATAAATATCTTTCTCGCATAATCTCTTGTAATACTGGGCTTCGCTTGTTGTGTGCGGGAATCTAAGTAAGGTTCACCTATCATTGATTATAATTAGGAGTGTATTGTATCGCTAAAAAATATGGTAATCGTCTTTCTTTTTTTTCTGTCATAGTTATGCCGGTCAATTCTCATCAACAACTGAAAGTAATTAGTACGGATCAAAAAGTCCCGTTGAACATCAAAGATGTGGTAGCGGAAATCACGACGGCTGCTAACAAGAAAGTTCCCGTGAAGTTAACACCGTCGCCGGATGGCAAAGCTATTCTGGTTGATTTCGTTCCTACAGAGGTGGGCGAAAATCAGCTGGCCGTTAAAGTCAGTAACACCCCGATTCCCAAGATGCCCCAGAAATTCACTGTTTCTCCGACGCCCGATCCATCTAAAGTTAAAGTGGAAGGACCAGGTGTGACGGCAGGAGAAGCTGGTGTTCCTGCAAAATTCCGCATTGATACGCGAAAGGCTGGAGTGGCACCGTTGGCTGTCACCGTGGATGGTCCGGAAAAAGTTAAGATCGACACCGTAGACAATAAAGATGGCACTGTGGACGTGACCTATGTGCCGCCTGTGGCCGGCGATTATACGGTAAATGTGAATTTCGCCGATAAGCCGGTACCTGGTAGCCCGTTCAAACCAAAGATCGCGTCGAAGATTGATGTGAGCACACTGACCGCAGAGGGTCTGGAAGAGAGTAAGTGGCTGATGAATGTGATTAACACCACGGAGAACTACAAGGAATCTCATGTCCACACACGATAACACTAACTATCTGTCTATCGTCCCGGTCCGTTAACAAGTGTCCGTATTTACGTGAATCCAGAAACCATGTGGTATCGGTAATTTGGTAACGGGTCTGCATGTCCTACCTGTAGCGGTGCCAATCAATTCGCGCCAGCAAGTTAAAGTTGGATCGACGGATAAAAACTTCCCGGCTCTGAGTGCCAAGGATGTAACGGCGGAAGTGTTGACCGCTACACAGAAGAAGATACCGGTAAAGGTCAGCCCGGCACCGGACGGAAAGGGCGTACTGGTGGATTTCATACCGAATGAAGCGGGCGACAATCAGCTGCTGGTAAAAGTTGGTAATCAGCCCATACCCAAACAACCACAGAAGTTCAAAGTGTCTCCTCAACCTGACACATCGAAAGTTGTTGTCACCGGACCTGGCCTGAAAGGCGGAGAAACCGGTGTCCCGGCTACCTTTCGCATCGACACACGAAAGGCGGGAGTGGCGCCGCTCGGTATTGCTATTGATGGCCCCAAGGTTGGTGTTCTCTGTTTTAAGAACGTGATCTCTGTTTACAAAGGACTGTTTTTTGTGTAATACTTATCGCAATTTACGTGAGTCGTTTTGCAGGAAGCTAAAATTAATACAGTGGATAATAAGGACGGAACCATCGATGTCACTTATTTGCCGACTGCCATCGGCAACTACGATGTAAACGTACTGTTCAACCAAAAGCCTGTACCAGGAGCGCCTTTCAAGGCGAAAGTCACTCCAAAAGGAGGCGCGTACGATCTGAGCGGTATCAAGGTGGAAGGGCTTGATCAAGGTAGGATTCAGAAAGTCTAATAGTAAAATGCTTGTTTGCTGATGTGAATATATGCTCTGCAGTAATGCCTATCCATTCGCGACAACAAATAAAAATCGCTACAACGGATAGCAAGCATCCTCATCTGGAGGTTCAGGAAACAGTGGCCGAAATAACATCTGCCACAGGAAAGAAGATACCAGTGCGTTTGACGCCTACCCCAGATGGAAAAGCTGTGATGGCTGACTTTGTGCCAACGGAAGTGGGGGAGAATCAGTTGGCAGTTACGGTCGGAGGTCAACCAATTCCCCATCAACCACAGAAATTCACCGTTAGTCCTACACCAGACCCATCAAAGGTGAAAGTGGAGGGTCCGGGACTCAATCACGGTGAAGTGGGTGTACCCGCCAAATTCCGCATCGACAGCCGGAAAGCTGGGGTTGCACCGGTTGGTTTGGGTATTAATGGGCCAGCGGTAAGAACTACTAAGAAGCCAGATGTGGATGACTTAGTTGACGTAGTTTTAGAAAAATACTTCTGAATTATAAAAATGTTAGTGGATGATTCGAAATTGAGATTGTAATTTATAATTCATTGTTGTATAATTTTACAATTACACAACAACAAAAAGTGATTTAAAAGCAGCGAATAATACCGAGCGGTCTTGCGGATCATGAAATAGTTATTGACTAGTGCAGTACTACGGGTAGTCATTGCACAGTGTAATTTAGATCAGAAATAGCTAAATAGATTAGAAGACATGGAATGGATCGAAGTTATATCTCTAGGCTCTAATGCAGATCTTCTGTTTTGGAAACGGAAATTCATGAAGTTGTTTGTCTATTTTAGGAAGCAAAAATCGAGACGGTGGACAATAAAGATGGCACTGTGGATGTTGTGTACCACCCAGTGGAGCCCGGCCTTTATGATCTGAATGTGACATTCGCCGGGCAGCCCGTTAATGGAACCCCATTTAAAGCTCAAGTTGTTCCTAAGGGCGGTCCATTAGCCGGGCCGGATGTGTCGGGCGTAAAAGTTCACGGCCCGGGAACGCAGGGTATTGGTGGCGGTCTGCTTGTTGTGGTGATGGTGATGCCGCTTTTGGTGTTGCTAATGTTTCGCTTGTTGCTGCTGCTTGCCATCTGCTTCGTATCGTATTACCGCGGTTGTTGGTGCGCACTTTTGGTAATTTAATCATTGTGACATAAATATTCTTTTTCTCAAGGAGCATTCTTGGATTCTATGACGGAGTTCACAGTTGATGCGCGCAGTGTGACTAGAAATGGAGAAGGCAAAGTGAAGGTCATCGTTACCAGTCCGAGTGGCATCCGCACAGAGGCGCTGGTGTCTAACAAACACGATGGAACATACACTGTAGATTACAGTGTTTTTGAAGAAGGTGCGTCCTACAGCGGTATTAAAATTGCCAGAATACTATCACAGAAACACTATACTACTACAATTCTATAAAAACGAAATATGATTTGCTGTGAAATGTGATTTTCCATTCGTTTTATGAATACAGGAAAACATACGCTGGAAATCACGTACGAAGGAATTCCTGTACCGGGAAGTCCCTTTAAAGTCAATGCCGTTCGTGGATCGGACCACACAAAGTGCAAAGCGTATGGACCAGGTTTACAGGGCGGTTACACGCATATCACCAATCAGTTCACCGTTGAAACCAAAGGAGCCGGAACCGGAGGTTTGGCTTTGGCCATTGAGGTAGAAAGCGAAAATTAAACTTGAAAATATCTAGCAACATTTCAGCTTCGTATTTCGATTTTCAGGGACCATCTGAGGCTCGCATGACTTGCAAGGTATGCCGAAGTTCACTGTTGCTGATGTATAGTTTATAATATTTTTCGAACTTGGTACCGTGTTTCAGGATAACCGCGATGGTACATGCCTCGTTGACTACACAGCTACGGAAGCCGGAGAATACGACATCACCATCAAGTTCGCTGATAAACATATTCCTGGCAGCCCCTTCAAAGTGCACATCGACAACCCCGTGGATTCGAGTCGCGTGCGAGCTTATGGACCCGGCGTGGAACCGAACAAAGTGCGTGCCAATGTTCCAGCCAATTTCAAGATCGATGCAACGAAATCCGGGCGCGCTCCGGTTGCCGTGGACGTTACGTCGGATCGTGGACCAGCTGGCAAGCGCCCAGAGGTGTACGACAACGGTGATGGCACCTTCGACGTCAGCTATCTCCCGCCACCCGAAGGATCCAACTGCAAGGTCCGTGTGACCCACGGAGGCAAGGACATCCCAGGCAGTCCTTTCCAGACCCGCGTCTTACCCACATGCGAGCCGCAGAAAGTGGTGGTCAGCGGGCCCGGTGTCAATAAATCCGGTATTCCGGCCAGTATGCCGACAGAGTTTATCGTGGACACTCGCGAAGCCGGCTACGGTGACCTCCGGGTGAACATCGCGGGACCGGATGGTCGGCCGGTGAAAACGCAGATCGAAGATATGAACGATGGGACGTACAAAGTGCGATATGTGCCGGATGATTTGGGAACGTACAATGTCAACGTTATGTACGGCAATGAACCGGTGAAAGGGGCGCCGTTCCAGATTAAGACCTACCCGACCGGCGATGCGTCGAAAGTCAAGATTCTGGAGGGTGTGCATGAACAAGTTGTGATTAACCAAGAGTACCGCATCACTGTTAACACAATGCAAGCTGGTGTGGGCAATGTGACGTGTAAAGTGACCGGGGAGGGTCAAGATTTCGCTGTGGATATTCAGGATAATGGCGATGGCACGATTAGTCTGTTTTACACCATGAAACAACAGGGCGATTATACCATCAATATCAAGTTCGGCGGGCAGCCTGTTCCAGGAGGCACGTTCAAGGTCAAGGTAAGCACTCTACCACCGATCTTGTGTAACCGTATAATGAGAGAGGGCACATTTTTTAAGCTTTGGAAGTTTTCTAATGTACATTCAGCGAAATAAAAAACCTAATAGAATACAATATTTTCTACTGATTTAATGGGAGCGCCTTTTTTTGGTGCGTATGTTTTGTTTTGCATAGTAAAATGAATGTGAGTGCCTGTTTTATCACACAAGTCGTATGTGCGCTGTTTTTTTTTCCAACAGTAACTTTTTAGCCCCGACTGATACTGCACTAGCTGAATATTTTACAATTTTAATGACCAGAGCCTTTTTGCGCGCTATAAGCTGTCTCATGCGTAAAATCATTTTGGGGCTGAGTGTTCTGGTAGTGGCGTCAGTCGTGTGCTCATATCCCCTCGCACTATTATCTTCCTCCATTCTGCAGTAAATCATAATTATTATGCCATTGCAAAATTTGCGCAAGCCCACAAATATGTCGTTCATGAGCGGCACAGTGATAGTTTTTGCACTGCGCTAGGGAGATCTCATTACTACGATATTTTGAGTTTTGATATGATTCGTGGTTAAGTGCGTCTCACAGTGGACAGTCACTGTCGACAGTAGCATCACCGCTTCTTCGTTTTGTTAGAGATGTGTCATTCCGTAAGTCCGTTAGATAAAAATAAATTGGGTAGGATTGCAAGGGAATTGTATCAACTGGAAGGCAACAGTGTTAGCCAGACACATGTGGACTATGTTAGGATTGACAGTTAGAGCACATTTTTCTACACATGGACGTACATATATGGCCACATGTAACGACTGCCAACTCCCACTATAGACTACGCCACCAATTAGACAAGATTTTTACAGTAAATTTTTTTGGCCTGAGATAACTGTTGGGGATAACTTGTCGTAAGAGCGTTCCGATACCGCTTTCCGTCATCGGCCGTCTTCCGAGTCGGAAGGCACAACAGAAGACATCTTAGCAGGGCTAGTTAAGAGCTTTTTAGAATTTACAATCTCTTCGCGTTAGCATATGCTAATTAGCTCTCATCGGAGGTGAGTTAGATGTGAAGCCGTGAATTTCTATCAGGGGAAATTGATACGTTAGAAACGTTGTTAGATGCCGTAATTGTGAGGTCCTACCTGGAAATTGATTTTTTATCACTTCTCGTTGCCCTTTCGAAAGTCAGCTGGACATGTGTGGTTATAATTGGATTTAAAATAATATCACTGCTTTGACATACTGTTCAAATTATACTTCTGTGGATTACATTTCTGGCTAGGAGCTTTGTTTACGACTTTCCCGGTAAATCAGCGTTATTTTCAATTCGCAGGCTACAACTGAGGAAATCATCACCCAGAGAACTGTTGAGCGTACGACTACTCGCAAATATCGCGCTCTTGAACTGAAAAATATTCAGATCCCGTCGGGTGGTGGTTCCTTATCTGGTGCGTGAACGAATTTCTTCTTATGGTAGCGAAAGTGAATTAATGGGGTTGTGTTGTTCTGCAACAGGCCTTGTAATCATGCCGTCCGGAAAACAGGCTCAACCCGAATTAGTCGACAATAAAGATGGTACAGTGACAGTTCGTTATCAGCCTACGGAGGCTGGTCAGCATGAAATGCATGTTAAATACGCTAACCAACACGTGCATGGCAGTCCGTTTAAGTTTTTTGTTGACCAAATTGAAACCGGCAATGTGACGGCTTACGGACCGGGTCTGACACATGGCAATGCCGGTGAGCCCAGCCACTTCACCATCAACACACGGGACGCGGGATCAGGTTAGTAAGCATTCAAATTCTCGAAATGATCTTTGGCCTGGAAGATTGTTTTAGTACTGGTGTCAGTGGTGTGGCATTTGTAACCTTTCCAAATGTCAGATAAACATTCAGCAGTTATGTAACAGTAAATATGACATGGTGCGTTTGTTTTGGAGAAAATTAACCAATTAGTACATATGTGATATGTGCGCTACGTAATGGAAATGCGTATGGGTACATCGCCTCCCGGTTAATTACATACGCAGTTACGCACAGATCTGCATTGCGTTAGTAGATTTCATTTGCTCTTGGTTTTATCTGCTCCATGGGATACAGAATTGTAAGCCTGTTTGTTGACGAAAAGCGTTGTTTTTTTAGGTGGACTTTCCGTAGCCGTGGAAGGGTATGCTAATAAAATGTTCATGAGACGTCCAGACTGTAATTAAAATATTAATTTTTTGCAGACCGAGCAAAGCTGATATTACTTGCACTGATAACAAAGACGGCACTTGCAATGTCTCGTACTTACCTGTCTTGCCTGGCGAATATAAAATCATTGTCAAATTCGCGGATAAACACATTATGGGTAGCCCATTCACCGCTCACGTTACAGGAGCTGGCAAGCGAACCAATCAGATTTCGGTGGGAACCGCCAGCGAAATCTCCTTGATGGTGCATGAGACCGATGTGCGAAATTTACTGGGTAAGTACTTTGTATAATACTCGTATTTTTATATATGAAAACTCGGTCCTTTGTGGCTCAGGTGATTTATTTGGTTCGTTGCAGCTACAATTAAAACGCCGAGTGGTTTGGAAGAACCGTGCATGCTTAAGCTTTTGCCCAATGGACATCTTGGTAAGTGTCAAGTTTGTGTTCAGTGTTAGTGAAAGGTCAGAGCAATTATGATTTACGTTGCATTACGAGTTACCGTTGTAGGAATCTCATTTACGCCCCGTGAGATCGGTGAACACCAGGTTATTGTTACCCGCAATGGCAAACCGATCCAAGGATCTCCTTTTAAAGTGCAAGTTGGTGACAAGGAAGTAGGCAATGCTAGCCGTGTGAAGGTCAGCGGGAACGCTGTCAAGGAAGGAAAGACTCAAGTCTTGAACGAATTTATTGTCGATACGAAGCAAGCCGGTAATAAAATTTTTGCCAGTCTTGTTTTCCTGTATGCATTTTTTGTTTTTTCTTAGGCTATGGAGGATTGAGCGTATCTATCGAAGGGTAAGTAGTAGCACAAGTAACACAATACCGCACACGATATGGAATAATTAGAATAATAAGAAAAACATACAGAAAATTAAAACTGAAATTATGAACCCTGTCGAGAGGTCCGTTTAAACTCGGTAATAATTATGCCTGTATTATAGACCAAGCAAAGCGGATATCCAGTGCACGGACGGTCCGGATGGCACACTGAAAGTGGGCTACAAACCAACCGAACCCGGCAACTACACCCTGAATGTCCGTTTTGCCGATCAAAACATACCAGGTGCGTACGTCTGGAAATGATTTGGCTGTTGATATCCGAACGTATTGTTGGGAAATCCTTTGAGTTAAAGAAACTGGATATTATTCGGTGGTGGTATATGGACTCATAATCCGTAGCGCTAACGAGTATTATTTGGTTAAGGCTAGCTTTGAAATCGATTTTTGCCTGCTTATTGATTGATTAATGCGACTCCTCTTGTGCTGACAGGAAGCCCGTTCCCCGTCAAAGTGACGGGAGAAGGAGCGCGCATCCAGATGGAGAAGATCACCCATACGGCGCAGACCATCCAGACCTCGCATGTTGGCGCTAATTGTGAACTGCAGCTCAAACTGCCTGGTATGATTGAGCTCCCGATCGTTTTTTGAGTAACTAAAAAATGCGCGAATATTCTGAAACACATCATATCCGATTTCCAGGATCGGATCCTTTTGATATGAAAGCGCAGGTGACCAGCCCGAGTGGAAAGACGGAAGATGCCGAGTTGGTTGATTTAAATGATTCGACGTACAAAGTCCGCTTTGTCCCTACCGAGATGGGAGTGCATACCATCAGTGTGAAGCACAAGAGCATGCATATTCCCGGATCGCCCTTCCAGTTTACGGTGGGGCCACTGAAGGATGGTGGGCCGCACAGGGTGCGTGCCGGTGGACCGGGTCTGGAACGTGGTGAAGTGGGGGAACAAAATGATTTCAATGTGTGGACGCGCGAAGCCGGAGCGGGCAATCTTAGCATTGCCGTGGAAGGCCCTTCTAAAGCGGCTATCAACTTTAAAGACCATAAGGACGGATCATGCTATGTTTCCTACAAAGTCGACCAACCAGGTATAGAAAATATTGTTAAAATAATTATGAAAAATATTGTACGATAAATTGGTATCAGGCCAGTTTTGGTATGGCTGCTACATAATTAAAGCGGAAGAATGAATACAGTAAGAATACCTGTGGAATCAATGAATCGGGTTTTCTAATTCACCAAAATAATTTTGAGCAGGTTAAATGCAGTGAGGATTACGTAGATATGTGATAAACAATGTGACGTATTAGTTTTTCTGGTGATGGTTGGTTTTATTTGCACATTTGTTTAGACAGCTTGCTTGATTTCTGACAGGTGAATATGCTATCGCCATAAAATACAATGATGTCCACATACCGGACAGTCCCTATAAGGTGCACGTTGCCCCTTCGGTGGGAGAAGCTAAGCGGATTGAAGTCGGTTCCATGCAACAAAACCTCCAGCCACAAAAACCCGTGGCCTTTACCGTCAACATGCACGGTGTTAAAGGCAAACTGACCGCCTCCGTGGTAAATCCCAATGGTAAAGAGGAAGACTGTGTCATTACTCCAGTCGATGACGGTAAGAGACGGACAGCGCGGCCATGAGTGGATTACTGGATATTGATCTAATACTTGTTTTCTTTGCGTCACAGGCGTTTATGCCGTTCGATTTATGCCATACGAAGCGGGTGTTTACTTTGTCCATGTCAAATACAATGGTGCTCAAATTCGAGGATCGCCGTTCCGAGTGCGTGTCGGTAAAGAAGAGGCAGATCCCGCTCAAGTTATTGCGTACGGAAAGGGATTGGAAAGTGTACAAACTGGAGAAAAAGCAGAATTCGTTGTCAACACGTCAAAAGCTGGTGCTGGAACTCTGGCTGTAAGTGCGACTGTTAAAGTGCGACTGTTATTATTTACACGATATAGAGGATGTCTAGGTATTTACGTTTATTATTTAGGTCACTATTGATGGACCAAGCAAAGTTAGTATGGATTGTTCGGAAGTGGACGAAGGATACAAAATCCGTTATACTCCATTAGCGCCAGGAGATTACTTTATCGCCGTCAAATACAACAACGCTCACATTGCCGGCAGTCCTTTCCGTGTCACAGCTTCCGGTACATATATATAATTAATTTTATTTTTGTGCAGAATTTTGCTGTGCGTACCTTATGCTTCGCATCGAAAAACGTAATTTTACAAACGGGATTTGACGGATGGGTACGGTTATATTTTTTTAAAAAAAAGAAAATTTACGCAGTTATCAGAACAGTTATTGATCAGTGATTTGTTACAGGAAAAGGGCGTGCTGGAAGCGTTGTTCAACAACAACCCAGTCAGTTCAAGCAGACAAACTCCGTCGTCGTCGAAACAGTGACAAAATCGGAAACTGCCACTAAAGTGCAGAGTTTGAGTAGCGGCTTACATGGACGCTCCGATGCCTCTAAGGTCACCGCCAAGGGCCTGGTCTGGAGAAGGCCTATCAGAATAAGCAGAATACATTCAATGTAAAAGCCGAAACTGCTGGTATGTACTAGAACCACTGCGAATATCATAGTTTTGTAAAGTTGTTTTCGTAAACCCATTTACATTGACTGTTCATTGTTTTTCAGGTCATAACGTTTTGCTGGTTGGTGTTTATGGTAAAGAGAAACCAGCAGAGGAAGTACATGTTAAGCACGTCGGTCATGATTCCTATCAAGTCAGTTATATGCTGCGTGAACGTGGAGAATACCTTTTGATTGTTAAATACGGCGATGATCACATACCCGGCAGTCCCTTCCTGATCCATTGTGCCTAAATTAGAAGCTGCAGTTTGTATCCACATTGGCATCCCTTCTCTCTCATACGGTGTCAAAGCAACCCCGTTTAATTTCCTTTTGTTTCTTCTATCCTGACCTTTAGCTTGCGAAATACTCAAAAAGAGTTAGTTTGTCTTTGTGCTGCTTCTTGTCGAATTCAACATAATGCATTTATATTCATTTTTGTTTTCATAATAATGAAGATTTAATAATTTCATCCTGGTTGCATGCAAGTATAATCTTATTGGTCAAATACTGTTAGTTGTCACCGGAAATCGATTTTTGTTGACCGCTGCATTTTGTGCACCGCAAGGTTTAATTGTATTTGATTTTCTATGATTTTTTAAGGCCGGTATTGGATAGCATTTCGTGGTTACAAAATATACAGTTGATCTATTAGGATTTAGGATTACCATCGCATCTGTATTTTGTTACGGAACTTGGATTAAATAGTTCATCGAAATTCCTGGTTGGATATTTTTGTCGCGAACACGCTATGCAGGGCTAACTAACTTAAGCGTTGACCAGTCTACTTGTTGTTTGCATTTCAAACCCATCATCTATCCATCTAACCAAATTCAGATTAAGAAAAAAAATTGCAGACACGAGCGCACTACTTCATAATTAAAATTTAAACATTAAAGAACAACTAAAATCTCTATCTTCCCGTACGTTAAAGGTAATATAAAGCCGCAGCGTTTCCCCTAATAACAGCCAAAATGAAACGTTGCTTAAAAAAACGCGCTTCAGCAGTGAAGCGCGCTTCTCTCGTCACTTGACGAATTTTTCGGCCCATGAAATGCAACAGTTTGTTTGCAACCGGGCCGAAAATACCCAACCACTACATACTGTAGGAGATAGAAGAGATCGATTGTCCAGAGATCAGTACTTCCATCGCTTAATTCAGATTCGTGGCCGACAAAATACACGAAAGCCACTCTGTATGTTACAGCTACGTGGGGGTTTGCACGAGTACAAAACAATATTATGTAAACGCAGATAGTAAAGCAGTCACGCAAGGTCACCTCAAAGCGAGTGGCTTGGTTCAGCCTGTGTCGCGAACACCTTCGAAAGGTGACGGTTCGCGGGTCGGAATATGTGCGAACTGAACATTTTAACCATAACGCCAAGTCGGCTCGTGCTGTTGCGAGCATAACCAGAGTTTGCATGAACAGTGCCTTAATTACGAGTACTTATACTGCTGGAGATCTGATAGCAGATCCACATACCCAGTATAGGTTAGTCCAGAGAGTTAGTCATTATCTCAGTCGCCATCAGTCAAGAAATTTTAGGGAAGGACATCACTGATTTACATTAATCATTTTACGATCGCCATAATATTATAATCAGCCGATGGTTAAAATATATGTTTACCAACCAAAAGTGAACCAAAGATCTAGAGTAAGTTTAATAACGTACATATTTCAAGTTGTTAGAATAGCCGTATGGATGTTCTCCAGTTTTGGTCACAACAGTTTTTTTATAGAAGTGCTGTATAGATCTGCATCTGCACCTTCCTGTACACTTTGTGTGGTTAAGCAGCTTATCGGTGAGAATTAACCTACCCGGTTCTATTCGAGAAAAAGCGCCCATGTCTTCTTCATCCAAAAGATGTCTTTTGGATGGTTATTTTCGAATTTCAAAAGCCATATTATAGTTCCGTAGACCATGTATTTTAGACGTGAAAATGTACATAAAAAAGGGGCTCCATAAGTATACTGAAACATGCCGTTCTAAAGACGGCGTTTTATGCTCCGATGATGTCTAAAGCACGTCAAAAAATTGCTTGCCGTAGAACCGGGGCCTGTCCATGTGACCTTCGAAATGTAGTGTATCGCCATTCTTTGCACTACCCTTAATCCGATACATGTTTTACTGCAATGACTGTACAGAAGTTTTTTTTGCGCTGGCGAAGAGAAAAAGAGTGTTCCTACTACATTGGCGGCGTGGAACCGCGAGTGTTAGGACACGATGTTGATTTGTAAGCGTTGTAAAGGAGTGCAAATATTTGCAGTCAAACTGGATACATAAATGTAAACAATGGCTTAGAATTTCGGATTTCGGTTTTCATGCAAGCGAACCACGCTTCTGTTTATCTATTTACAGGACCCATAGATTAAGCGATTTTTAATTGTTGGCGCGGTTTTTATCATAACGCTGGCTTGCAAAGTGTGGCTGGATGTTGAAAAGCGTAAAAAGAAAAAGGCATATTTCTTTGTGCACGAGGCATTGTTCGAGCAGCGTCTGTTAGCGTTTCCGTACACATACCACATATACAATACAACGTATCGTGAGAGAGTGTGCAAAGAGCTTAGTCTTGAAATGGCTGGCCAAGGACTCTCCAAAAGCAACTGTTGACATCTTTAAAACCAACTCCAATGTAACCAGCTGCTTAGCGCTGCCAGTAAGCGGATTACTTTGGCTGACTGGGTAAAATATGTAATACTTGAATTAGCTGTTTGCTGCATATACCAAGTTTCTTACCTATCGGCTCCGGGTTGGTCTCACTTGACTTGGTTGTTTCTTGAAGAAAATAATTAAAACAACCTGTACACCACTTTGTTATACTCTAATCCCTGCAATATCAACTGACCTGCACGGATTATGGCAGCGTTGACCAACGACCCAGGTCGTTTCGCATGCTGACCTTATATGCATTTTCAGTGGATTGCCCATATTATTTTGTACTGGAAGGGATGGAATCATGGGAACTGGCCACTGGCATGCCGTATACATTAATGTCCTTTTGATGGTACTTCTCTTTCCTACTTATGCTTTTGCTGATAAGCACCCGAAACCGCCCAAACCCAAGCATGGTGCACACGATTCCAGGTAACTGAAACGAAATATTGCCCAAATGAGCTTATACGCTTCATTGTACTTTTGGAAAACTATAAATTTTATACTGTTGAAAGTAAAATATTATTGATTGTTAAGTGTTTCTCTTTTTGCGCGAGTCAATAGGCAGCCTAGTATATAGTACTACATATAACAATACTTTGCAACTGTTAATGGGCAACATTAAGTAACTGTTGGTACATTCTGCACATTATGTGACTGTCCGTGGTAATTATAATCGTAACATATGATTATTGTTTTGCTTTTCACTGCAAATCTATTGAGTACTTGCGATACGAATTATCCGTATTGCTGCAGCAAGCTGTCTGGAAGTGAAGTGCCACTTGTTTGCCACGTTGAGCACGTGTTCCTTGTTTGATTCTTTTCCGTTTGAAAATCATCGTGATGGCTCGTTAACGTTGAAAACCCGTACAGTGGTACACCAAACAGTGTGCAAAATAACACATGTGCTTGTTTTGTTGTCGCTTTTATGCTGATACAATTCTAACATTTGCATGTATATATCCGTAGTTCGGAGGAAGAAGGCCCATCTGGACGGGAGGGACTGCGGTGTTACAAGTGTGACCCAACGGATTACAACAACTACTGCCGGGATTTCAAGCCCAATTTAGCCACACCGTACGACTGCTATATACCTCCAACGGACACCCGGCATTCCAAGAATCCCACACCGCTGGAAGTATCACTAGATCCCGATAAGCCGTTTTCGTGCTACAAAATTAAAGGGACGTCGCTTATGGGCACGGGAAAGGTCAGTGTGCCATTAAAAATACAATGCAATTACATTTAGTCTTACTGTAGTCGGGTGTAATTACTGTATATATCTCTTGTATGGCTATGTGTGTGAAACCGACTCTTATTGATATAATCTGCAAAATTTGGCTTGTCAAATTAGTCCGTTTCTGCCCAAGAAAGCAATGAAACTGCAATTTAGTACGTAATATGCACTTATGCAGTGACATTAATGCAATATAAAATTACTGTAGTATGGCCAATACAATTTTTGTTCATGGCTGCTCAAAATTTGCGACCCATATTAACAGCGGCAAGGATTTATTTACCTGTTACATATAAACTCGGCGCAATGCGTTAATTAAAATAAATGCCTAATAGAGAATATTCAATTTTTCAGTGTACGGTGCAAAACGGTATGGATGTGGGCATTTAACAAAATTCAAAGAAGCGCCTATTAGGACCCTGGATCATGAGTGCGTGGATGTGAAGCTGGGCAAGGATAAAAGCAAAGAGTTCTTCGAAGGAACTATTTGTAACTGTGATAATGCCGATGGATGCAATGCGGCACCCAAGAAATTTTCTTATTACTTCGTATCCTGCTAATTCGCCTAATTGCTTATATTTTTCTGTTACTTTCAGAATATAAAAAATACGGGTAATATATGAGCATGCGAGAACGATTTAATTTTAAATAGTCATTAAATCTAGTACTAGTCAAAATGCAAGATTATCAATTAATCGTGCAGAGCCTTTCCAGTACCACGAAATATATTGAAACATGGATAACTACAGCCCTATTTTGTTCAAGATTGCTTGCCAGTTTATTGGTCCAACGATTTTTTTCGTCATAATTACTGAAGTATTTACGTTGCTGCGACATTTACGTTGCTAAATAAAAATAACTGTTTCGCGCGACGTACAATACTTTTATATAATATGCAGAGTATCGAAGGGATTAATCTGTGTCGTGTGAAAGCGAAATTACCATACTTCCGTGTGAGTGTGTCAATAATGATTTCGCATCTACACGAAAAACAGCCGTTCAGACAATCATTACGTTACATTAAGCACATTCCATGAGTAATTTGGAGTACGAGTTGTAGATACGTATTGTATTTCTCGCAAAAAAACTTGCTACATCACGACCTTGGTGTACAATGCTCCTCTAAAGTGACTTCCTACTTACATTTGTTAACGAAAAGCCTTGCACGAGACTTTGAATGGTGTTGCTTTTTAGGTTAATGAATAATAGCACGCCTGCTGCTTTGAAAGTAAAACTGATTATAGAAACGCGAAAATGATACCTGCTGAAGTCAATTTGTTCCGTTAGCGAATGACCTTATGGTAAAAAACTCATAAACAATTAGGCTAGAAGACTAAGTATGCACTATGCAACATATAAAAAAACGCAGAGTCCACGGGAATCACAACATATATAAAACAAACCGTGCAAACATAAGTTTTAGGATTTGCCACTGTGATCGGTTGCGATTAAGGACGTAACTAAACAGTTTTACGAGGATGAGATACAAAACAGACACATTATTGCATGGCACCATTTGTTACGCATGCTTCCGGAAAAGTTCTCACGCTTTGTTTTATGGAACCTGTGTTGCAGACCAAACGCCGCATTGTGCTAAACTTGTTTCAGTGTTCGGATCCCTTTAGGCGTTCGCTTGATACAGCCTTATATGCACTGCATACAACTACGTAATGTTTTCCCGTCGCATGGCACGCACTGCTGTCGTATTGCCACCTGTTGACCTTTACAGCAAATATTCTGTAGTTTACGAAAACAGAAATAATCATGTTTTACCGCCAAAGATGGGTAACCGCAGGGGTGCTTTTAGCAACAGTTTCTTCTTTGTTTTGGCTCGTTGGTGGACAGTCAGATCTTACTATGGAAAGTACGGGTAAATATGCCATTGAATCCGCTATTGGCAGATTGAGCCGAGCCCGGATATTTAACGATGACCACGAATTCATGAGACGTGTTGCTTGGATTGAAACGAGGGACGGTGGTGACCCGAAAACATTCCGCACTGGATATTATGGTGGAATATGGCAGGTAGAAACTAAAAACAAACTGAAAATGAAGGTTTCGAACGCTTGCCATCTTTGTATTCGATTTAGCTGCTACTTCGGTACTTGGCGCAAAGCCTGTTGCGTTTTAAAAATTCACAAACAGAGCGCATGAAAACTGCTAATAGCTACTAAATGCGGATGATACGGTATATACTTTCATAATACGGTATATTATACTTTCATAATTCATGATACGGTATATACTTTCATAATCATATTAACCAGAGAGGTTTTGGTTCGTACGGAAAATTACCATGAATTCGTACGTTCGTACGTCATTAGGAAAATGCATCGAATGGTGTATTAACAGTCCGCGTAGCGCAGCTCTTTGCGTTTTAGAATTATTTACAGTGATAATGTTTAGGTTATCGATACCCCAGCCACAGTTTTGTGACCTTTACCTGTGCTACGATTGCTTCCACAAATATAATTACCATTCGCGATATCCTGCACTTCCACACTACATTTCCACACTATAATTAGTTGAAAAACATGGCTTTAGTAGCACGGGACGGTTGCAGCAACGCGGCTCGCAAACCTTTGTGCGACAAGGTTGTACCGAAAGGTCGTGGCTCCGTGTTTGTTACTATATGTAAAATTTTCAGCCTTAAACAAAGTTTGAGTTCGCAAAAAATTTTCAGTTATATATCCGACTGAGAGGTAATGGCGGTAAACTGCGTTGCAGTATTGGACATAATTATAGTATTGTGTATGCGCGAAGCTTTATACAATACTGTAGTTGTAAACCTTGAAATACCGTACAGATAGGTGATAATTAGAATCTTGTGCACATGCTTTATTCTCGCCAGGTGGACGCTGACGTGTTTTTCAATACTCAAACTGACCCGGTAGCGATTTCCGTGTGGCAACCTCGAATCGCTAGCAAATTGAACATAAGCTGGCCGGACGTTCTGTGGAAGGACCTGCGCAAGCCATTTTACTCCTTGCTAGCCGCCCGACTCCAGCTTCAAATCCAAACGCAGCCCGGCGAGTGTAAGCGACCTATTCCCAATTCCCTGCCTGACCAAGCGACGTTCTACTTGCGCTGCTACCATACATCATCCTCCAACCAGATCAGCCTTTCTATGCAGATGGGAGCAGTTCGCAATCCGAACAGTTTTATTTTGGCCATCACTGAATGTAGAAAAGCAATGTCGTGCACAAGCGGCGGACCGACATAATCGAGAAGCCAATGGAAATTCCAAGCCAAGCCAATGGCAATAAAGTTCAAAGCTGCCTGCTTCTTCCATTCTAATTTCATATTAAGCATTTCAAGACAATTTAAGTTAATGTGTATATAAAATAATTCTAATGTCTGCTTGAATATTTTTGTAGTCGATATACGTACAGTGACGTATATATATATATATATATATATATATATATGAAATATCATAGTTATTTTGTTGACTGCAATATTTTATGTGTGCTTGAATGACCGATACGTAGATCGTGTCGGCGTTATCGATCGAACCGCCTGCATTTTTTATAGAATGCCTGCATGATGACGTGGCGTATTGCGAAATATTTCAGTTTTTGGTAGGTCAGTTTGATGACCGCTTGATTAATGCCACTAATTGTCAATGGTTTAAATTCTTTTGTCTATCCGGTAGAAAAAGTTTGGCGAAGACATACAGAAAAACCTATTTAGGTTCAACTGTCTCGTTATCCCACTTTAGATTACTGGTACCAGAACTATCAACATACAGTATTGTATTAAATTATTAGCGCTTTTAAATAACAAACCAATGCTATCCTTTCGATGTTTTTTACGTAATTTAGCCCTGTTATAACTGACGATAAGCATTACTTAAAATTCGGCGTCCAAATGCCTATATAAGTTAGTCATCAGTGAAATGCAGTGTTTTGCTTAAGTCTTAGGGGTTTAAAATATGAATGGCAAATTACTTGGCGTATTGTTATTTATTTTGACACTGTGATGAAGTTCAGTTTTGCAACCTGCGAAGCAGGATTACTGACTTCAGATTTGCGGAATACTGAAATGCTTATTGCTTTCCTTGTGACGATATGCGATAACAAAAGTACCGTCTTGAGCGTCCAAATTGTCGTCTAACTAAGCGTCGGCTTTCGTTTTCGGTGCCATTATGAAAACACCATACAAATACTCAACTTTATTTATATTAACATAACATATAACACATAATAATGTACGCGTTCAACAATCGTCGTACAGTATGTATCACAACAAAAACAAAGAACATTGACCACTTTGTATGGCTTTCTGAACGGAGAATTTCAAAATTGAGATCCATCAGACACAGCGCGAACTGCCACGGAGCTATACCGCGTTTAACGAGTATTTACACTGCAGTCGCAGGAATGGATCCGTTGATTTGGTCAAAGTATACTCATCAGCCTTCGCAATTACTTGCTGGGCTTTTGCGCGGGATCCACAACATACAAAACCCCAAGACTTTACCGTCTTTAAATTCAGAAACCAACCCACAGAAATAACACCCACAACCAACATCGCTAAATATTTGATGATATATAATACTGAAACATTCGGCTGGCTTCCACTTCCTTTACAATTGCACAGTGTCGTCCGTTCCCAGTCTTCTCGATACAGCATTTCATATATTGTGCAGCCAAGGAAAGTGGCAAAATGGACGAACGTACAAATGGCGAAGGCCCCAATCCGGTTCATCTGGTGGTGGAAGCGCTGGTGTTCCTCCTTGTCGGACAGGGAAATCAGTCGACCCTTCTGCGAGTGCGCGCCCCACAAAGAGCACATTCCCAGCAGTATGAAACCGGCTCCGATCACTAAGTAAACAGCCAGCGGTGCCGTCACGAAGACCAAGAGGTCATTGGGGTCATGCATGCCGACATAGCACACCCCGGCTACCGGATCGCCGTCGACGGAATGTGTTCCCAGGACGACAGCGGTAAAGCCCAGTGGCAGTCCCCACGCTGCTAAGTGGAACCATTTCCAGTGCGCAGCCAGCGCTTCCGTCGTCCACTTCCGGCCAGTCGATAAGTACCACGTAAAAGACAGAATCACCCACCTACAAATTATGTCCAATTAAAACTAGAAATATGCAGTCATAGAAAGCAGTTCCGGCACAAGTGATCAAGACGATTAATACATTCAAGTTTTACAAACTTTACCAGTTCCGTGCAAAAGCAGCAATATTTATTTATTTAAACAATTATTGTGTTCCTATTTTATAAAAAATTACTATCTGAGCCGTCTTCAAAAATTCTAAGGTGATCGCAATGTTTTGCACATCATATATATTTGGACATTACGATTTTGCAGCTGGCGTCGCCGGCGAGCATCTAAGTTATCTAACAAGCCACCGTGAATTTGAAATCCCCAGTTTTTATTATTGATCTCATTCAATGTATTCATTATTAATTTTGGATGTGCTCATGTCTGTGGACAACAGATTTACAGCATAGCTTACCATATGCAGCTGGCCATCCCAAAAAGTAAAGAAGGACAAAATCACGGTGCATTTCCAACTGCTAATATCACCGTGCCTGGAAGCTCCTCCGCTGCACGAAACATCGGAATGCCCAAAATACAGTCGTAATACGAAGCCCAGTGACACCATCAGGTAACACCCGGTAATAAGGACGACAGGCCTCTCCGGATACAAAAATCTCTTTCGGTCAAGCAGGAATGTAAGAACGGACAAAAAGGTCAAGGCAAAGCACAACACAGACCATCCACCAATCCAATATTCGATAATCATCCACTCATTGCGGCTGGGAAATGGACTCCGGCAGGGACTTGCACAGCCGGCTAATCCCGCAAAACTGGTGCCATCAATCGCTGGCACGGATAAATCCTTAGGACAACTGCAGGGAGGGCAGGTTGCAACAACAGGCGGCGGAAATGACGAAGAAATGGGAGTTTTGGTACTCTTGGTGCTGCCGCCGCTCCGGGGCGGTGGCACTGGTCGCGCTTCCGGCTGATCCGGCACGGAGCCGTTGAGCCAGTCCATGCACAGATTTTCCGGATCACCGTCTTCTTTATACTCGGGAACTGTTCGCACTGCATCCTCTCAGGCCACTCGAAACCATACTGTGCCATAACCGGCTCACAGGCCGCCCTGGTACGCAGACACACGGATCGGCAAACGGGAATAGGCCGGTGGAAATTCTCCATGCAGATGGGCGCATACATGCTGCAGAGGAACTTGGCCAGTTCCGGACTGCACTTTGTGTGCACTAGCGGTATGAATTGATGAACTTCTAGGCCGGCTTCGTCTTGTGTTTCATGATGGAATCGATTGGGCATCATGGTGTAATTGTACGGCACGTGTGACCGGCACAACGGAATCTTTAACAATTCGCAGCGTACAGTTTCCGGCTGCAAACTCCCATTAACACCATCCATTTCCACCAGAATTACAGTCAATAGCCAAACGCCAACCGGCAAAAGAACAGCCATTTTAAGCTGGGTAAACCTAACAACAAAAAGCAGAAACGATTTGAATTACACGCCACTATAGTATGCGGTGTCAGTGTTGGGACAAAGGCTATTCGGCGGATATCTGTATATCGAACTGCAGGGCTTAATGGAAGCCGTTGAAGGGATGGTGCAGCGACCATTTCCTTCGGTAGAGCGAAATTCAATTTGCTCTCGCACGGACAGGCCAGTTCATCTGGACTCAATTTCCTCAGCTTAACCAAATATACACAATTCCGTTATGCGCTCTCACTGTCTCACAACGCAATCCTGGATGATCCAGACTGTGTTTCAGAACAATCAACTGCGATCGTTCGAGTAACAAATACTTCTGCTTCGGCGCGTACATGTTGCTGCTATCTAAAAGTAAGGCTGGCAAATAACGCAAGATTTCAGTTATATCCAGATTTCAGTGGAAAACATTCAGGCCATTAGATTAATGAGCTAACAAGAAAAACACACTTATTTTTGCATGATTTTCACTTGCGAAAATGACCGGTTTCTCGGATACTGTTAAATAATTACTCTAATGCTAATATTTAAAACGCAAATTTTCGATACTTAAATAAATAGCCAGCAGGTTTCAGGTGATCAATTATCTACCTAAAATTTGAACATCTAAATTATCTTACAACAAGATACAACAAGTACGCAATGGTTCTTCTGCCTATTGAGTTGGCTGAAATAGATCAGAGTATTAAATTATTGGCTTTTGTGAAATTGAAACTGGGGACTGAATAATATCATATGAGAACAACATCAGCAACTGTTGTGCAATGGAACGAATAGTGGAAATTTGGAAATACCTGCTTGTGTAATAGTTCTATATCGTTAGTGCAACACATGTGATAATACTCTGCATAAACGCCCATAAATCAGAAACTTAGATTGCAATCTAATGAAGTTTACTTAATACGTTAATACTTACTTTACTAAGTTTACTTAATCTCATGTTAGTTAGAGCAAAAATTTTTTGTCGTTGGTTCCGTACACTGGCACGCGCATAGCTGTTCCGATTATAACATAATCAAATCGTTGTAAAGCTGCTTACTTACTCCTTACGCACTACATGTTTTGAAGCAGAGTGGATAACCTTAAACTTATGCACGGCTACGTAATTTCCCTATAGTGAAATGGTTGATTTAGTTGGTTTATACATGAAATAGTTGGTTTATGCAGATTTTTTTACAACTATTTATGGTTTTAATCAGTATTTGTGCAGGCAAGCATCGGTCAATCATGTGGACATAAAATAAAAACAAGTTACTACTATACTGACTTAATTTTAGCTGTAGTAAATGCTTACTATGTGTATGTTGTAATATTCAGAAAAATAGCGGGCATAAAACCATTATTCCTCCTCTACTGCAATGGATAAAGCTTGCTGACTCTTTTCTTCAAATAAGAACACAGCAAGCAAAAAGGATTTGGCTGACAGAGAACAAAGCGTCTTAATCTTACCTCGACGAATTTTCGTCTGCCGGCAGAAAAGCAGGTTGGACAAATTATTCTCACAAAGCTAGGATTAAGTCCGGAATGCAGTATGCTGAGAATACGGCATGCGGTGAGTGCACCTTGAGTTTAATAACAAATTCGCATCAAATCGAAGATGAATTCAAAACGGAAACGAACACCGCATACTAGAAAAACTTCAAACGATTATTCCCACATTAATCATAATCTGTCAAATTGCGGCGACAAAATGACTCCGTTAACATGTCGGGGCAGTCAGAAGAGAATGGCCGTTTTACGGGCGTGCGTGATTGTGATCACTCACAAGACGAAAGAGCGGACAAGACCGAAGAATGCTACCACGCGACTGACCAGTGCATTTAACAAGCTGCTGATAACTCCATCACCATATTAATCATCCCGGAAAATGAGGCGGGCGGGCCTTGTGTGCAAAATATGGAACGTCACGATCGCTGATTGGTCGCCGGCCGCCTAATCGGTCACACCTAGCCAGCTTCTGGTCAGTAATGCGCCAGCTATTAGAGAAATGGAAAATGACCGTGGGTGCAGTGTATTTACTAGTCCTGTCAATTAGGAGTCAATCAATCGGAACATTAACATAACGTTTAGCCGGGCAAATTATCGATTTTCAACAAGAAGGACGAGTGAATAATAAATGTAGGTATAGAGATTAGTGTGGGACGTGTTGCAATGATGTCGAAAACAAGGGCTACTACCGTATCTCTGGCGATCTCTGTGTCTTCGGTTTGAAAGGAATCTGAGCCATTGCATATCCCAAGAACAGAAGCTTGGGAAAGTTAAACAGGGTAGAGTGCAGTGAGGCTAGCTGGCATAAACGTGTGAAATGGTGAACAATGGTGCATTTCAAACCCTAAGAATCAGATGTTTAAGTCAGGATGAATGCGAAACATACAATTTAAAACAATTTTGTCAATAACGAATATTTTCCTGGTAATTGCAACTTACATGTACGATCCCTGCTCATTTCAAAAAAACGTTTATAGAATGACGCGTTTACCTTATACGGAACGCTGTGACCTTTTATGCATTTCTCAAAGTGCAACAGCTACTGTTTGTTCTTGCGTTCGCGTACCGCTGAATAATTTTTCTGTACACAGTAGGATTATTTAAACACTATCACCTTGACACTATCTTTGCTGTACGTATACTACTAGTTCTATGACTAGTACTAGTACAAGATGAACATATTTTTTATAATGGTGGTATAATAAGCTAATATAAATATAATCCTTCTGATATTCGCGGAAAACTAAATATTGAATGTAAAGGTTTGGTTTTGTTCCGGCCCCGATTGCTTGGCACTGGACGTTTCGAGATGCAATAGCGTAAAATCGATAAAATAAGTTACTTGTCCGAGAACTAATGGTGAGTTCTTGTCGAATTAGAACGACTGCGAATAGACCCTGATGTGGACTGGCCATTAATCAGCAGATTCAATTTGACCATTTGAATCAAAATTATGCATAAGTACCTAATTATTTTCGCGATAGAGTCATGAACTTTGTTCTGCAGCCTGTCGTTTCGCCCTGGACAAGCAGTAATGTTTTTATGCCAGATACAACAAGTACAAGTAAGTATGCAGTCACTCTAGAAGTATACACATCGTCATGTTGCATTATTACCGTATTTCAAATGCTGCGATTAAAATTTTCCTTTCGTTCTTACTAACTTACATGTCAATAACAAAAAGCGAAAATATTGCTGCAGATTGATTTGATCTACAGTGCACTAATAATTTTATATTAACAATTTTGTCACATTTGCTTTTTTGTGTTCACCATCGCCGTTGATATAAAACCGCAAACAGGCCAGGTTAAATTTTTACGGTTATTAGCTCAAGTTCAAAAAATTTTTGGATGGCTTTATGCGAACTTCGATAAAAGTTTTGAAAGCATGAAGGTTGTTTGCGATAAAAAAACGGGACCTGTCCCTTTTGGTTTATTTTGTTGCAGCTACTGTATTCAGTAGCTATTTTTTCTGTGCAGTAATTAAGTTTTATTGCTCTTGCTAACCATAAGGTAAGTGAGGCGCTGACAACGGACCGCAGATCCATTTGTCAATTTCACAACAGATAACTACATGGGACGAGGCGAAATATGACACATTAGCAGAACAGCCTTGTTGGATATTTGCACAGAAGAGGGAAAAGTGCAAATTAGGAAGGAGGCACAGATGTGCTGACCAGCGGTCACTCACGCCAGCAGGGACACTCAATTGTTCCTGCTGATGATTGAATTTCGTTTCTGTCTGAAATGATTTGCTGAATACTTTAGCTAAGATCAACAATGGTCTCGTCGTCCATATACGCGCAAAATGTGAAGTGATTAAGCAAAGAAAGCAGCGGAGTCCCAGCCTACGTATGACTGCAGTGCAGTGTATTATGAGAAGGGGAGAAAATGCTCGGGAACACGCTACTTCAAGTAGGGTGGTGCAGACTGCAAATTTTGCCCATCATCTTGCCAGCGACGGATACCTGCTGGCCATTATATTCATTAGCGCTGCCACTCCACTCCGCCTATTGTCACGCCAGACCAACAGCATGTTCTTCATGGCCAGTACGAGTACCACTCATCTTGCTCCGTCGAGGGAAATTTTGCATTTATTACTCCGCGACTCGGTACATAGTTTTCCCGTGAACAAGCCATTAGCCACATCTGGTCATTATGGGCATTGTGCTTAAACGGTTGGGTGGCATCGGAGAAAATGTTAATAAGCGCAAAATTAACTGTAGTTTATGCAGCATTGCTCTTCAGTTCCTTCTCGACAGGATGGGCAGGTGAAGAAACAAAAATGTATAGTGATTCGCTGATTGATCTACTGTACAGATGTGATGCAGAGAGAATTTTCGAAGAAATGCGTACTTAAACATATCTACAGATGTAACTGGTCGTACTTTTTGTTTCTCACTGCCAGTGCCGACAGCCGGCTGAAAACAATAAGAATTATTTGTACGCCAAAAAATATGAGTGCAGTACTCTGCCGTATGGTCAGCCGTCACTGTTTGGTACATATTTCTAATTAATTTTCTGTAAATAAAAGCCGATTAAATGATGACGAATTCAGGAGTCGTTCACATAAGTACTGTACTGATTTATTTCAACTACATACCATTGTAGAAAGCATACAACCTATCAGATTAATTTTTGCACAAAAATTTTTCTCATTTTGCCGGGCGATTTAATACGAATCAAACGGAATTAACAAAATAAGTCGTAACGAACGAACGCAGGACAACTGATCCGCGAGTACCGATTCCATATATAGTGTCGGATGTGAAACTGACCGACTTCCTGCAAGCATGATAAACTCGAGAGACACGAGTGTAGTAAATGTCTCCTACAATCCAGCGGCGGGAATGTGCTGTTCCATTAGCTAAGCCCGTGGCCCGCTTTTATCATCGGAATCAGGTCATCGTGTCCTGGCAACCTGGTAAATAATTAAGGTAAAATTGATCTGGACACGTTAACCATCCTCATTCACCACTACTTGGCGGAAGTGAAAGTGTCGCTTTCGGCCAATTGACCGGCTCCCCGTGGTCACACTTTATTGCTAGCCCTGCTGAATCCGACACACACGAAAGGACAATAATGATTTGTGCCGAGGATAAGAATGTAACGTTGCATCCAAATTAAAAGCCATCTTTTATCTACGTTCACGAATTCTTTTCACCTCTCTATTGTGTGAACTTAATTGAGACGAGCAGACAAATTACTGTACAACAGCTACTGCTGCATGCCCGTAAAATGCTTCCTCATTATTGTCCGTGTAAAGAAAAGCAGGTACCAGGTAATGATGAACCTTGCTTTAATGCAGACTACAGAATAAAATTTTTTTGATGGGAGTTTACAACAGGATTTCGACCATGTATTTCAGTTTACAGTCAGTAGTCATACCACGAGATTTTTCTTATAGGTTTGTGAATGAATCGCAGTGAAAAGGCGGCAAGTACGGCGAAAAATAAAACATTTAGCTACCGCTACTCAACACATGAATTTCTCGCCAGGTTTTCATATTTTAATGCTTTTTTAAATGACAACACAGTAAACTAATACTACAATGCACATTTTGAGATCATAGCGAAAAAGAGAACAAAAAATCTATGGTGCGGTTTTCAAACTGTTTTCCAGCTGGCGGTATTTTTCCTGTAGCTGGACACGTTATCTTTATACAATACAGGATTATAAACAACAGATGACCGTAAAAGAGGCATGTAACCAAACAACTGCACCAATTCATTGATGCAATCACCCGTTGGCGTACCGTTATCCAATACCTGTCCATGTCAGAAGTTATAGAATCCTCATCCGACATTTTTCTGGTCAATCGCGCAGGCGGCACTCTTGTGATTCTCGCCGCCAGGAAATTTAGCAGAATATCCAAACAAATATCGGGCAGATTCGGCACCACTTTTCTTTGTAATGCCAGAGAAGGCCATAATACTGTACGTGAAAAAGGCTTCTTTCAGAAGACCAGCGAATATTCGTTAGTTAGTTTGTCCGAATATTTCCACGATTCGCTTGGCTCGTCCCAATAGTGTGAGGCTGCCCGGTAGCCAACAATACGGCTGGGAAAAGACTTCCAGACGTGGAAACCATACTCGAAATCTTCCCAGGTAAAACTGCAGTCGTCCTGCACGAGAAGAACTCCTTCCGTCGAGATCGTTTTTCTGAACACTTGCTGTAGTTGTGAGAAATTCAGCTGTGCGTCTTCCACACGGAAGGGGTTCGCAACCAGGTCCAGCTGTTCAGGGTACTCAGTGTTGTGGCTTTCCAGGGGCTAAACACAATGACCTTATCCACAAATCCGATACGGTTAATGACTTTCAAAAGCCGCACGAAACGTCCCATCAAATTTGCTTGCTAGTTACGTTGACGAGGATCGTTAGATTTTGCTTTGTATACAACCGTGGTTTATGCACATTATGAATGAATCCTCGGTGAAAGTTATCCAGTTCAATATGCGTCAATTGTGACATGGCCATTGCCGGCCACTTATTCCAATAGTCT